TCGGGGCACATGATGTAATTCGTGAATGCGAACCCCTTTCTTGTATCACCATAATGGAAATAGGAGAGATAAATGACAGGCGGTGGAAAGTTCAGCTCTGTCGGCTAATTCTTAGCCGTGGTAATATGAATGGTAGAAGTATCTACAAAGCAAAATAGGGGCTCTCATTAGTGGCGAAGGATGGCGTTACTATCAATAAGCTACGGGCGTGCGAGCCGTATCGGTACCTGATGTTTGCTGCGGAATAAGAGAACGAGCCGCCGTCATATCCGTGGCGATAGGGGCTGAATGTGGCCCGTATTGACAACTGTCGTCTATGACGATGAACTACGACTACTAGCTCACAATTGGGCCAAATATCTCATCTATGCTAGTTTCCACTGAGATTCTTAGGTAGAAATAGGTATCAAGTTCTTGTACTTGAACCGTTTATGTACCTTATTATCAATGAACAATATTGTATATGGCCTTAGATACCGATATCGTTCATCCCGTGTTTATCTCGACAAAGGCGACTTGTCCCATACCTAATAGCTAGAAACCATCATAATACCCCTGAGTGTCCATTTCTTAGATAGTACCTAGAGGTATCTTACAATAAAAAGGGGTATCGGAATGTAGAACACTTACGTACCTACCTACGTAGGTAGTCACCTATGGCATATAAGCCTCTTTGAAGGACGGTTTGGATATACCTAGCAATAAGGACGACCTGGTGCCGAGGGACTTGGGTGGCGTACGTTAAGGTACTAATGGCCTCCATATCATAAGACTAGGCATACATTATCTGTCTCCCATTACTAGAAAGTCTGTAGCCATTATCTCATGGTCTTCGCCGTAGAGAGGGAGTTAGATCATAAATACTCGATATAGAAGGTAGGTACCTACCTACGAACCTCCCTCTTTCAGATCTATAAATTCCAACCTTTCATGCAATCAAGGCCGAATGGCCTTAGCAATTTTCTGGTAATGGCAACATGATAACGTACGCTTGGCAGAAGTGATTGGAGAAGCTACTAGGTAGGTAGTATATTGTTCTGACGATAGCCATAGTCACAGAAATATAGGCACTGTTGTGTTCGTCTCGAAGGGACCGGGACGATAGAAATCCTCCGTAGAAGAATTCGATTTCTTTGTACTCATGGTATGAGGTCTCATCATTTCCCTAGAGTATAGAAGTATGCATTAGTAGAATAGCCACAATTCGGTGGTACTTGACTTGAGATGTTGGTATTAACTGAGATCAAGCACCTTTTTGTTGACGGCTAGATGTATATGCTGGATATCCCGTTGCTGGGAACTCTAGCACGTATAGACTGACTGCATGATGTAGTGACTGCAATGGCTATTGGTATATGTAGATATAAGTCTATCAAGGCTCTTGGATTTAATGATGTTAAGCAATGGAGGCAGACGTATATTTACTAGGTACTAGGTAACTACTAGGTAGGTACTTACACAGAAAAGAAGGTAAATGAAACCACCACAGCAAGAACTTGCATATCTCTGGAGGCTCTTTGCCCGAAATACGGCTGGACTACTTATTCATAGGTGTACTGGAGCGGCCTAAGGTCTTGGGATCTGGGAATGCTACCTCGTACCTGGTCACTGTCGGAGCAGATTGGGGGAATGGGTTTGGGACGTGAACCGAGGTGATGTGATGTATGGCTGGGCAAGTAAATAAAATGGCGAGATCATGCTCTCCCTTTCTCTCGGGTTTCGCTCTCGTTCTCATCCAGGTCGAATATACTCTAGGTGTAAATCTCTAGTGTCAGTCCCTAGCTGTAGTATAATTCTAAACACTGCCTCTATACTACCTACCTAATTCTACGTTACCTGCGCAGAGTTTCCGTGCATCACATATCAAAGTCCCAGAAACCATAGACTGGAAACTGCTTAATTATATCAACGGTTGGGTATATAGGCGGTATGTGATTGTTATGTTTCGACACGAGGGTAAATCATAGTGCGACCGCCTGGCTCGAACCGTATCTTCGTGATATATACTTACCTAGTAGGTATATGTCATGTCACAATATTATTTGTAGAGGGGTGTCGTAACATACGGCCATCGAGCACGACCATTATGGAGTTTTGCTAGCGGAGAGACTATGACTTGATGCTGAATCGCCCAAGCTACCATATTCTGCATATTCTACTTCATCTTGTAGGCGTCGCGACTAATTGGGACGTTCATTGTATGATATAATCGCACGAGAAACCTATGACCGATAATATTTGCAGGATATAACGTAGATACAAATCGATTTGATTATATTGGAGTAGCGAAAAGATACCAAGGTCGGTAACGAGACTCGTACGGACGTTCGATCGAATGGGTCGAGGGTGTCAAGTACTACTGACGTTTCCATAGCGATGTACACTATCTGTCGTGAGATACACGTGTCTTTCTCGAAACTCGTTGATGTCGACGTAATCGAGTGAAGAGCGCGGATGTTGGGAGATCCTGCCCCTGACTTGCGGGTAGGTACTAGGTAGTCTTTTATATCCCATAACGTTCCAGCAAACGATACTGATATATTAACCTCTATGAGCTGTACCACAAGGGAAAATAGGCAAGTTTACGACGACAAGGTCGCGTCAAAGTCAGATAGCAACGCATGCTAAAAAGAGGCATGTCGTGTCACCGTACATGAACATAAGCCGCGTCACGACCAGCACAAAATCGATCGCCAAGTTGCCAAGTTCTAAGACGCCAATGCACGTGCTACATAATTAGATCCAGATCGACCAGGTTGTTGAGCCGCTGAGACGTCCCCTTTAAGCTTACTGGCTTCCACTTGACATTTCGTAAGATTCTTATTCGAGTCGAAGGTCTTGTCATCGATCGTTGAAGATATCATCTCATTGTCGCTTAACATTCATGGCGGAATTCTATTTGCTCGAACGGCTGCCTACATAAATCGGATGCTGGAGTGCCGAAACTGGGGAAGTCCTAGATCTTCGCACTCGCTTTGGCAACCTTTACAATATTCATTGTGCGTCGGCAATCCGCGTGGATGATAAGGCTTTCCCATAGGTTCTTTTAATGCGATGTTAGGCAATGTCTCGATTTTCATTATGAAGTACGTACACTTACATATTGGGTGCGCAGAATTGCTTTTCCGAATACCTGACTCATCACTAAACGATTTCTTCGATTATTCCTTTAGGCTCTGCGATTTTCGGCATGGAGGTTGTACGAGTAACGTTGGTTTTCCACGTAGGATCCATCCTGTTACGCGAGTAGTTATTCCATCGAAGAATTCCTGCTTTTTCTGAGAGCGTTCGGAAGCGCGTAGCAATCATTCCATGTAACGACCCCTCGAATTTGAGAGCATGCACGGCTCGTAACGCCATCCTACAGAATTTCGAGCGCGTCGAATTAAATCCGGGATTGGATTTGCGTACTGCTTCCGGGATCACGGAAATTATGTGGAAAAGTGGCGAGGGTCTAAATGTGATCTGTATTAGGTGAAGATCTGCTATGCTACACCAATCATAGCATGGTTTCATCTAAATCCTCGACGAAATTACCGGGTGGGATGCGTGAGGCAACATCTATTACAAGGCTGATGCGGCGAAGCTAACATTCTCCCGGTACCTATGAGCCGATACTTCCTACAAATCACCAATTTTACCCGGGAGGTATGATGTCGAAAGTGGCTTGCATAATCAGTTTCGACGAGCTTGGTTGTATTCTTCTTCAGAAGTTGCATAGAAGAAAAGCTACGCCCTATGAGATGGTCACTAACACAACGTGTCCGGCTGAGGTAGCATTGGAATCGACGAAGATTCGAATCGGCATCGGTCCCGTCCTAGACGGATTTCACCCCGTGCAGATGATATGATTACTTATTAAGACCCACGGCGTGTTATGACCAATGGCTGCCAGAATCGAATCATCCTTTCTCCGGGACCCGGAAAATCGACGAGCACCGGCATTTGTATCCCAAGCACTCAAAAGGTCTCGATTGCTGGCTTTAAGCCACTCGGCTAAGGGTTTGATAGCGTGATGTAAGGGGGTTTCGAATTTGCGGGTGGCTGACCTCTCTTACGACTTTGGCTAGAGACATTTCACTACACCGGAGAGGCGTCATTAATTATCTGACTGGCGTTGATATAGCCTGTTTACCACCTACGGATCACAACGGGGTTAAGCCGGCTGTCGAAATTGCTATGTTAGTTGGTAATTCCGTGGCTATTCGGAAGTACGAGGTTTTCCTTCTCCTTGATTATTGCTCACATCAGCATGCATCAAACGACCGAAAACCGTAAAATGACGAGTCCTAGTCCCACGATGATATGTGGCACAGAAAAATTGTAAATTTTACGATAGGAACCACGACGAGGCGGTATACCCAATCCTTTGAATCCTTTTACGATCTTAATTATGATTCTGACAGCTTCCACTTGGTTGACCTTTTCTAAGCGAGTTAACTTAGTTATTCCTATCGAGAGTTCCTTGTTTCCCTCGGTACTTACCTAGGTATGACGGGATAGACCTTGGCTGAGTAACTGCAAGAAGACGCGGTGTAACACGACAACGATTAGGTTGTGAAACCGTCTTGTCCGATACATCCAGTAATCTGGCGGGATTTTTCTCTTGACCGATGGCAACAAGACTGAAATGGAGATCGGACCGCGCCGTGTTCTCCTTTAGTACAAGAGAGACATATCCTTTCCGAAACTTTCATGATTTCTCCAACTATCTGCATGGTGGCTTCTTTGTGTATCCAACCGTCTGTTAGGTCGATATCTTTTTGACAATCGGTGAGGCTCCCTGAAGACTGCTTACGTACTGGTACCATGTAAGTCATTATGGGATGCTGCAGGATCGTCGAATCGTCTGCTCTCGTATAGTTGACGCGTGATGGTTGGCCTCCACCCAAGCATATCAACCATGATTTAAATATTCGGACCAGTAGGTATGGCCGAGCCGAATGTTATCTCACTTGCTTCGTTAAACTCTAGTCCGATGGAAGCCTCGCCTGCGTATAGTTTCTCAATGGGGAGTTTCTCAGCTGGTGTTGATGTTGATAACATGATGTTAACAGAATTATATAAGACAACCACTTCGGTGGCTTACTACCATCGTAGTTTGAACAGACGACACAAACGACCTGTTATCGAAGCTTGAATATTGTACTCATATCATTACCCCTTTAGGATAATAAAGATGGCGAAAGGAGCTTCTCCTCATGTCTTGATCGTGGGCGCTGGCCTAGGTGGTTTATTGCTCGGTCAGAATCTGCGCAAGAACAACATCTCATTCGAGATCTTCGAACGAGACCCAAGCGATAATGTTCGAATTCAAGGATGGGCAATCGGTCTTCACACGTAAGTAATACACTTGAAAGGATATCGTGATGAAACTAACTGGCATCAAGGATTCTCGACGAACTCGACGCCTCAGTTCCAGATGACCTAGGCTCGCGCGATTTCATAAACCACTTGCTCCCCCTGAAGCACAACTATGAGTTTGCCTGGTACAGACATGACCGTACCACGAAACTCGGCGTGCGCGATGACGGAAGCGGAAAGTTCATCCGCGCGAACCGAGCCCGTCTACGGAACTGGCTGGCGACGAATATGCCGATCCAATACGGCAAGCGAGCTCTCCGCATCGAAGAAAGCAATGATACCGTGACGGTTCACTTCGAAGACGGGACTTCGGCTACCGGTGATATCCTCGTTGGTGCAGAGGGGCCTTACAGCCCAAGTTAGTATCTTGTTCTATTCAGTGAACTGGTATATTGCCTTACTAATACGCTTACTACTAGCCCGAAAATACCTCCTAGGAGGCAAAGACGTCATCCGGAAGCCGCGCCAAGGAACAATCAGCGGCGAAGCCATCCTCAGCGGGCGCGAGATGAAAGAGCAACTAGCATTAGGCCACTCCTGCTACCTCGTCGACATAAGCCCGGACGACGAAAACCCCTCGTTCCTCTTCTGCGGGCTGAGCGAGGCCTTCGAAGACGGGAAGTCCGGGCGGTACTACTACAACATGTTCTGGCGCGACGAGGGAGCCACGGACAAGAACTTCTGGCCGTACTCCGCTAGCAAGGAGAAGCTGTACGAGACGGCGTTGGAGAAGACGGCGCACTTGCCGGATAAACTGAGGTCCATCGTAGTGCGGACTGGACCGGAAGGGATGAAGCAGCCGCCTATCCACTTCTGGACTCTGACTATGACCCCTGACCAGCTGCCCCACGGGAGGGTTACGTTGATGGGTGACTCCGCACACGCTATGCCTTCATGTAAGTAATTATACCATCCCTTCTCCATAAGGAAGAATGTAACTAACGAATAACGACTATAGTCCGAGGCGAAGGAGGTTTCCACGCCCTCCTCGACGCGCTGAACCTCGGAAAGGCCCTCGCGAAGATAAAGACGAACGACACGGCCGTGATCAAGAAAGTGCTCGGCGAATACCAAGACGAGATGATCGAGCGAGGATCAAAGGCCTCGGCGTGGTCGAGCATCGCTTTTGACCAGGCATGGAGCAGCGAGAATGCCCAGCCCAAGATCGTCTGGGGTCTTCCTGTGGTGCCTCTCCCCGAAGAGAAGATCGATGAATAATTGCGTAGATACCTATATTTCTGGGTTGGATGGGATTGTGTATGATAAATATTACTAGTGTAGTGGGACATAGGACAACCTTTGCTTATATATGAAATACCCATTGGAGAAATCCAGCGCAGCGCCGAGCTCAACCTCGGGAGTTTTTATCGGGATGGACTTGGGGGAGTTACGTATTACGAGCGGATTCAGGACGACCACGAAGCAGTGGAACATTGCTTGCTCTCGTGTGGTGGGAGAATGAAGATATCGGGATATTTGTGTACAAATATATGGAAGGATTCTTCCAAGATAACAATATGCGACCGTAGCACATATAATTCAATTACCTAACACGACATCATTTTACGAGTATCTTTCATGACGCAGGAGTACTAGTTAGCATGTTCCTTGACAAGCCACAACCGTCGGCTGCACTAACACCGGAACGCTCTCGTCCCTCAAAGTCCACGAACACTACTCGAGTTAGTGATAATATCCAAAAAGCATTAGTTAATAAACTTGAGAAAAGGTCTACGAACCACACCACTACCACCACAACTCCCTCTCATATTCTCCCCAACCTGGAAATGTTGCGTCCCGACCAAGACCTTGTAATATTCATCTCCGTCTACCGTCAGGTTGGTGGTGAGCGTAAACCTGACATCCATGTTCGTGGTAGCCGACGGTGAAGTGACATTCGCCTCTAAGACCTCGATTGTCCACTTTGACGTTGAAGACGAGGAGGACTCTTCGGTGTCCGTTGTGTTGCAAATAAATACATGGCCATACGGATAATCGCCGGCATAGACCCAGTTCACCGTGCAGTTCGCGCTGCTGGCGTCGAATGTGACTCCGGGCCCGGCGGGGATGGGGCTAGGATTCGTGATATTGGCCCATAGGTGAGCGTTCACATCGCTGCCTGGACGTCCTGAGGGTGAAAACGTGTTAAGCCTCGTTACTTGCCATGGCTCTGGAGTTTCCAGGTAAGCCCCTGATGAGGCGACGAGGGTGAAGCAGCTCGCAAGAGCAAGGATAGGCCTGTAGTGTCTCATCGTGATCTGCTAGTAGTGTCTGTTACTCCCAACTGTTTAAACTTGACTAGGATTCCTGAGACTATCGTGAGTATATCATGATATATATGGAATTGCTTTCTGTAATACGTCTCAGAACACCGTTGACGATACGAGGCAAGAACATGCTACAAAAGTTTGTCGCTATTGAGTAACGTTGGTTCACAACGTAGCACTGATCGATCTAGACCAGACTATTCGCGAAGTTTTACCTATAGAGATCCGTCATTTTGAGGCTACTGTCTGCAGTCATCCATTAGGCTAAATCGACGGCAGGAAGTCATTCCACTCCATGTCTCGATAGGGACTTGGGACATGGAATACGAGCTATCCAATGGCGAATACCTATTTTTAAACGTAATATACATGTTGTGAGACGATGTATATGACAGCTTTAATTTGACGTACTACGTGTAGGGCTGGAGACACGACCCACGCGATGCAGAATTGTCTCTGCTAGATCCAAAGAATGCGGACTTATTGAATCAGGACTGCATATTTTTAGGTAGCATACACTTGAGAAGCTTGCCAAGCACTTCGTGCTGCTGATTGGTGCTTCGACAGCCACTTACGCCGCCGTGCTTTTTCATCTCGCGGGGCCACCGGAAGGCGGTCTCGCGCTGTATTCCTCAGGCCAAGAACGGAAGATATCGCGGATCTTGTCCAGTGGCGCTGTCAGGAGCCCCACCGCTGTCTCAAACGGAGGCTTATTTGGGGCACCCGGATGACTGCGGGTCGGTGTGAAGGCCTTCGTCATCTCGAACTGGTCGGCTAGATTCCTCGATCTTGATGGAAGCAGGGCCTCCTCAAGCTTGACGAGGTCATGCTCTTCTTCTTCTCTGATATGCATCTTTAGGTCTGTCATCAAAGCTTCCAAGGTGGGGATGAAATGTCTGTCTCCGGGTTCAAGATTCTGGAATATGTAGAGCTGTTCTTTAGCCTGAAAAAGCAATGCTTATTAGCATGTATTCTTTTGGACACCTTGATGTATTTATCGTACGTACTATCTGATGCTCCGCACGATCCTTCTCTGCCATCTCTTTACCATCATTGAGCCCCGTTTCTATCGAAGGATACACGACCAATTCCTCGGCTATGGTATGTCTGGCGAGCTCCCACACGAAAGCGTTTTGGTATCGGCGCTGAGCGTCATGGTCACTCGAATTGATGATCTTGTCGTAGTACTTCTCGATTTGTCGGTGATCCTGGTGGATGGCTTCCGAAATACTGCCTGGCTGAATGTCGGTTTTGGCTGTAGCGGAGTACGATCGCCATAGAGTTGAACGAGCTACCGAAGTAGGCACTGACCGGGCTGCCAAACCCCTTAACGGAGTTAGTCGTAGCAGTTGTCGCTGCATTGGTGAAGTCCGGATGCACGATACGATCTCGATTTTGTAAGCTTGGTTTCCTCGGAGAAACTGGCCATGATGATGGTAATGCCAAGTATCGCGGTCGTTCAGCTGATATTAGTCGCATTAATTGGTATACCCATCATAGAGTGACATAGATTGCCGTCATCAAAACGTATTCGATGGGTTCTGGTTTAGTCCATTTAGTACATCTCTAGACGATGACGAGCTAGAAGTCCGCCGTTCACGGTTTAGAACATCGCCGGCTTTCTTAGAAGGTCATTCGATGACACTTCCATAATATCTCATATCTTAGATACCTAAGGACATTAGCTGGATATCCCAAACTTCACATTTAATGAAGTGAATCAAACATGGAATGAATCATGACACGGACGAAACAATCAGCGACCAACAACAAAAACACATGCAATTTCATATATTCATCAAACCCTCATCAGCCCATCATATATGCAATTAAGAGACAACCCACAAAAACCCCAAATGCATATACAGAAAATATCTATCTAGCCAAAGAAAGAATTCCCTAGGTATATATCCTCATCCATCCCATATATCCAACACACAAAAGCCGGTCCGCGGCCAGGGACATCAATTCCTCATCGGGAGAAACCAAAGTCCACCAGACCGCGCGACGGGGAACGAAGAAACTAATAACACATTATCTACCGCCAGGTGCTCGCGACATCCTGGGCGGTAAGCGAGCACGAGGTGGGCACAGTGTAAGAGCGATTAGGGTCACTCTCCCACGTAACCGTGCCGGAGCTCGAGACCTTAACGAATTTATACTGGAAAGTAGTGCCCGCAGCCATGGAGAGCGTGATGCTCCACAGCGGGTTCGAAGACGTGTACTTGGCAGCGGAGAGAGCGGGAGCCTTGCTCACGTCCCAGCTGCCGAGGGCGGCGATGGAGCCGACGATCTTAATCGTGTCGCCGTAGGCTGTCGTCACGGCCTGGTTGAAGGTCAGCGCAACTGTACTCGCGGTGGCCGAAGCGGCGCACGCGGTGCTGGTTGTCGAGGTGGACACACTGGTCTTGGTGGATGACGGGGCCGGAGATGACGCGTTGCCTGAGATCGCGATGTCTGCGCAGGACAGGTACACCTGAGGCGTCTGGAACGAGTTCCACTTGAAGGAGAGGAGCGTGTGCTCGCTCGAGTAGTTCGGGATCTTGATCTTCTTCGTCACGGTGTAGCCGCCTGCGATACTCGTGTAGCAAGAGTTCAGCGCGGCTTTGTCTACGCCCTGGCACCTGGTGCCCGAGTTGAAGCCCTCGCACGTGAACCAGTCGTTGCGGTAGCACTTCTGGTCCGACGTGCAGTCGGCGTTGTAGCCGCAGGTCTGTCCGTTCACGTCAGTACATTTGAGGATACCCTCCTCGAAGCAGTCCTCCGCCGCCTGCTTCTCTGCCTCCGTCGGCGTGTAGGTCGCGTCTAGGAACTTGTCGACCAGGGTCTGGTTCTGGCAGATGCGGTACGTGAACATGCCGCCGTGGTCGCCGTTGTTGTCCACGCACCACTCCACGTCGATCACGTCGCCCGGCGCGTACGTAGCCACCGTCGACTTGCCCCAGTTCGCCCCCGGAAAGTTGTAGTCCACGCTCACGCGCGCGTTATATCCGCAAGGCCCGCTCCTGCCTACCTTCGCCGCGTCTAGATCGGGCCACGCCGTAACCGGCTCGAGAATGGTGCATTCGGGGCAAGTGTCAGTGCCGGCCTAAGATAACAGGTATGGATTAGCATCACGTTCGCTCCGAGGGAAACTTATCGTGGCGGGTCCGTGTACCTCATGTCCGAGGCGGGTGCGGCTGTGAGGCTTGGTCATGTAGCCGTGACCGTGTACGAGGCCGAGAAGGCCGGCGCCTGTCAATACGGAGATAACCCTCATTTTGAAGTAGCGAATGAAGGATACTGCTTAAACGATTGAAGAGTTGTCTTGGGGCTGTGATCTTGAACCTTGGCGATGAGGATCTTGGGTTGATCTACAAGCTTTCATCTCGTTGACTTGGGGCCGGACGGGACGGATCTATATACTCTTCGACGAAGCCCTCGTCCCGGCTACATTGCGGTGAAAGCACGAGAAGGACCGAAGTTGACTATGGGGATGATGGAGATTCATGGAAGAGTATGTCGTTGATCTTACAACTACCGCCACTATATCTCTGCACATACCGCCGAGCCTATGGACAGCTCTAATGCTTTGTTGCTACGCTGTGTATCGCATTGGGAAGATGAATCGTCATGTGTCAAACAGGAAGCCCTCGTAGCTCCGGTCGTTTGTCGGCCCCTGGGCATGAGTTGTGGAGGACGACCCCAAATTTTAACATCGATGTCATGCATGCCGGCCTAAACCACAAATGGCTTTGCCCCGGAGATCGTCTTGGAATTTGTGGAGGCGAGAGATCACTTCTCCAGGCGGGAGGCTTCCCCACATTTTGAGAGCATGCTAGATCTGGGGTGTTCTACGATGTCGCCAAGGCTACAACAGCGCCTTAAAACCCTGTTATAAAATTCTACGACACCTGGTCCGGTCCGAGAAAGCGCCGGATGGAACGCTTCGAGGCTTTCTCCGAGAGCTCGCTTAATAATTTCATCTATCATGAGCCACTGAGATGCTCAGCTATTCAAGAGCCTCCCGTTATTTAGCGAATGAGTTAATCGAAACTCCGTCGCCGCAACTCCGCCTCTAGCCTTGAATCGTCCCTGTGGATCGTGCGTACCTGGCGATGAAGGTTGTGTGCCGAGGAGCAATGGGCCGAATTAACCTCTTAGAGTTCCTCGTGATAATAATACCTGCTAATTATCGTAAAAAATGTAAATTAACTTAACTACCTTTATCATAGTCACGAGAAAATCATGGCGAATAGGTTACTACACCCAGCTAGTTGTGTCGTGAAGCAAGTATTATTAACAGACTTGTGTAGAGGCCCTTTTATCGTACATTCATCGTCAATCGTAATCAACGTCGTCAAACCAGTTTGCCCATATTAGACCGTAAGATCCTCCCCCTTTCCCATCATCAATCGTAACGTCATCGATCCATTCAAATCGCAAGGGATATAGGTAAAGGGGGGATTTGGGTATCAGGCTCAGGCGACCGGGGAAGTAAGAAAAGAAAAGAAACATCCACAAACAAACTTTTGTCCTCCGGCTATGCAGCGATGATAGCGAAACTCTCCTACCAGCAAATAAAACCACCCGTTGTCCTATGCACAGAACTATCTGCCGTATATCGGCTCCCTACTAGTAAAGCACCGTTTCGTATCGAAGACCAATAAGTAGGCTTAACCACTCATGTACCTCGAAAAGAACAGTACATATCACTTCGTCATGTTCATGTGCGCGTTTGCCGCCTCTAGATGAGGGCAGGCTGTAGGGGAGGGTCGCTTTCCGCCGTGGAAGCTCGGTCGGGTTCGTCGGGCATCCACACGGCCTCAATAAGGCTCATGCGGCTGTTCTTAGGTCTGGTAACACCCTGTGATGAATAGGTAGTCAGCATCTATACTCTTCTTTCATCTCATCTCATACCAACACCCTCCCCCCTCCCCTTCTAAACATATGGATGGTTAGTGCTAGGAATAAAATAACTCACCTTGAAAACGAAGCCATCTCCAGCCAGCTTGAACAACTGACGAAAATCCTCCTCTCCGCGCTCCTGCGCGTTCAGCAGCGTCATCATCACGAGGTCCATGCTCCTCATAAGGCGCTCGTCCCACGGAGTCTCGACGCCGGGCTCGCTGAGACACAAATCGTTCACGATAATACGCGCACCGGGCTTCAGAGCCGGGATGAGGTTACGAATGATCTGAACAGCGTAGGGAGTCGAGTGATTATGCATGATCCAACGGAAGTAGTAGACATCAGCGCCGCGCACGGGCTGCTCCTTAAAGAAGTCGTGCACCTGGAAGCGGATGCGCTTAGCGATCTTAGCGTCGGCGCAGACAGGCTTCGGAGCGCTGTCAATCGTGTTGGCCAGGTCTTGCACCACGAACTTCATGTTGCGGAACTGTTTCGCCAGGTACAGCGACACGAACCCGTGGCTGCCGCCTAGGTCGACCAGAGTGCCGCCTCGCGCGTCTACGGAGGCTAGATCGCAGCCTTGCGTGATGTACGATAGCTCGTACCCTTCTCCACCGGTAAGGCTCGTCATGGCCTGCCCCATACGCTTGGCTCTCTTCGGATCCTTACCGATCGTTACGAACATCGGTTCTGAGTCAACCGTGTTGAACGCGAAGTTGAAGCCCGTCTGCATGAGGCCCGTGGCCTCGGGGTACTTCTTCAAGGCGTCGATCACGTGCGCCGATGCCGGGTACACGTCCTTGGTGTTGAAGGCGACCCAAGACTGGAGCGATTCATCCTCGAGCAGAAGTCGGGATGCTGCCGTGTGTGTGATCACGCCCGCCTCAGGTTCATGGAAGAGGTGGTTGACCATGCCATGACGGAGGAGTCGTGCGAGATTGGTAGGGTCCAGAGTAGTCTTAGTCTGAAGCTCCGACAGCGTGATTGATCCATCGATGGGAACAAGTTTTGCTAAGGAAAATTTATTAGTAATTATCTAATGTATCGCTATTGCAGGGTTTAAAAACATACCAATCTCATAGTGGTTCAAGAGCTGCAAGCTCTGTGTGTCCATGAACTATTATGTCATATGTCAGCATAATGTCTAACCCTATATAAAAAGGTGTATATGGTATGTATGATCGGAGTGATATGATAGGTAAAGCGGAGAAAAAAAGCTATTAAAAATTAACTCAAATGTCTCACTTACATTCCAGGCCATCCATCGCACAGATTCTCGAGGACCGACCATGAGATCCTGAAGTTCCTTCGTCGCGTGAATGATCTCGCGGCGGCTTCGAGAGATGTCATCAGGCATCTCAGGAAAGTCGCTAGGCGCGTCCACATCGAAGTTGGGGGTCTGTAGACCGTGTTCCTGAAAATAAGCCTCGACCTTTTCGGTCTCGGAGCTGATCTTCTGCGCGAGAGTAATCATTTTGGAGGGTGCCATGATGGGCGGGGGGGTAGGTGGTGTGATGGGGTTATTTGTGTGGGAAAGGTGAGAAAGATTAATACCAGATTCTTCTCTCTGGTATATTTGGAGATGATGTTTTTTTTCCTCTGATGAGGCTGTCGGTATCTCAGTTGTGGGCCTGAGATTTTGTTTTATGTGGTCTGTATTTACAGGATGGGGAGTGGGAGAGGTAGGGTGGAGCCAGGTAGCCAACCTAAGCCTAACCATCTTTATGTGAGGATGGCGACGGTGATGTTTGTGATGTTCCGTTTGTCATCTGTAGTGTCGATGAAGTTTGAGTAGCAAAGTGGAAACAAAGCAAGCCGCCAGGGTTGATACGAATATGAGATTCAGAAGTGAGAATAGCGGGAACAGTAACGTCCAGACGACTGAAATAGATGAACAAATTATAGACAATTAAGAATACCAATGTCCTGGTGTTCCACCTACAAGCCAAGCGAATGTGATAACTGGAAAGCGATGTTCGGTCACCGAAGAGTATAGATATTAGAGTCTCTGTCTAAACATTTGACAATCATCACAGGCCAATATGATGCCAATGTTGTGTAAGTGAACCTTAGGCTTAGCTCAAAAGGAGAAGAAAGAGTAAGCCCCGACTATGAATCTGTATCACATCTCATGGTGTGAGACAGGTGTCGTAGATATGAAGGCGAATAAGGTGAATCTAAGCTGATCTAGTCGACAAAGAGTGACGTTAGCTTTTTTGTCAACCTTGAAGTTTGCTCTTCTCCTATAGCGATTGTGTCTTGGCATCTCTTTCTCAGTTTCTCATAAGATTTCTTTCTTTCTTATATGTACCGGGTAGAATTATACCAGCACTCGCAATATAAGTTATCGTTCTGGATTATGCATACCTAGAGACCCTTTTCTTCGCCTTCCTCCTTATGAAGAGGTCAGCAGATTTGCCGCCAGGCCTGCAAGGGAGAGAGGCCTTGTCAGCCACGCGGATGTTTATCATCCGATTCTAAAATCTGACAATGGCCACAAGATCTTCCAGAATTAGAAAGGCGCTCTTAGACGAGGATAGATAACTATATGTCTTGAAAATATGGCAACAATAAAAATAAAACAACACCAGGGATCTTCCGGACCAGAGAACTGGTTGACAGCTACCGAGGACTTGGTCTTGGGTCCAAGAGGCGTTCGCTTGTGGTGTGTCACACGGCAGACATGCAAAAAGAACCGTAATTCTTTTTTTTCTTCGGTACGAGCAACCGGTCGGGACGAGGGTGAGAAGATCTGTGTGCGCGTGTGTTTTCTACGCGGTGGTAAAAGGATTGGAGGCGTTGGTCCAACGAGATGGAGACGCGAGAGACACGCAGCTCCTCGAAGGCGATTGCCTTTTTTCCCTCAGCTGTATGACCCGACGTGTCTTAGGCCATAGGGGCTCTTAGCTCGGCGCCCAACAGCCAGGGACGGACGGAGCCCCGAAAGCGTGGGAAAAGCCTGGAGGGCCAAGTGTGGATTTCGTTATGTGCCTTTTCTGGCTGGCTGGTTGCGTGTGGTGTTCGGCCGTCGTGCGGACCTGCTGTGGGCGGTCTAGCTGCGGCTATCCTTTTCTTGCCCGGGTGTCTGCACTGCAGTGAATTGTAACCCCTGTGCGTATGTGAATGTGTCTAGTCTTGTGCGGTGTCCCTCTCCTCTCCTAAGCTGGCTTGAAGTGGACGGCAGGCCATATCGTTTCCGGAGTTGAGATCGGGTTGTTGTCACGGCACATCGTGAGATCTTATATGGTAGAGGATAGTAGAATACTTTCCCTTTACGCGCCGGATGTCTGCGCCGAGCATGCCGGAGTTCGCGGGGTAGTAACCCCTTACCTTATACCCTGGATCTTCCATCATAATTACCTGCCTATGAGAGCTGTGAGAGGTGCTTTCTTCCGAGAAATATGTTTAGCTCTAACTTTCCCCAGATACCGACCGATGGGATCCATCTCTAATGTAACATGCTATTCAAGAACGTAGCATTTATAGCGTCGTAATATTGAAAGAGTTACCTAGTCTGTCAATTATGGTAACCAATCCGGATATTCGATTGGTCCCGTCGTGATGGTCTTCGGCCTAAAAACTGCATGCATAGAGTTCCACTTCCACGGTGGTAAGAGGAACCTTTGGTTGTCTTGTCTAGGTAGCCAGTGACCTGCATCTAATTGCATTGGTCAATCAACCACCAAGGTAGCGCCAATAACATGCATTGGTATATGAGTAGCGTTGTGGGGGTTTGGAATTAATTGTAAGCCGGGTCGGGATCAATCCCATCTAAGAAGTAGGTGATGGAATTTATGCCCTCAAGCAGCCGATTTGCCGCCATGATGCCATCTTTTGGGAGATGAGCGAATAATAATTAGGGGAGAGATCGGCCAGACCGGCCATCCGGATTAGGTATACCTACCTACCTACCTAGGTAGTTATCCAGCTGAAGAAGTGTGGCTTCAAGCCGCTGATTAGACACATCCGCGAACTTGCTAGGAAAGGATCTAAGAGAGCTAGGTATATGAAGTTATGAATATGAACTTCTCATGTTGGGCATGCGACCAGTCGATTCGACCATTGCTCGAGGTAGATCATTGATAAGGTTTTCTAGCGGCTCTTGCCTCATTCATATTATAATCTGGAAATTAATAGAAACAGCGATGATGACAATAACGCGTATAATATGGTGTGGCGGCGGTTTCCTTACGATTTGGTTTCGTTGAGGGAAGCGTTGTGGAGATAGTACTTGTACTTAATCTAACTCGTCTCGAGTCTCTTTAAACTCTTTACATACAATATAGGTTGTTCTTCGGAATGATGGAATGAAGAACAGTGCGGAAGATCTTAGTAGTTAAAATATGACCTGTCAACTGTGGCTTCGAGAGCGCTGCCGCTAGGCTTGCTTCGAATACCTCACCGGTTTCAATTTATCTTCACCGGAACGCCACACTACCATAAACAACACCCATGACGTTTATATGAGACTCAACTATCGATGAGGCTTGTAGTAAGTGCTTACTGATGCCCAGTTGGCGCTGAAGGTGCCTTAAGTGATAGGGGCTTACATTTCTAGGAAAAGCAAATATTTGTATAGGTACCTACCTAGGTATATATATGTATCATGGCGATGAATCAGTGGAAGAACGCTCTCAATCTCTTCAATTATAGCCTGCTAGTAATAATATGGTGCTTAGGGTCGACCTCATTTAAAAACGGTGTCAGCAAATCGCGAGAGTGAACGCTATACGAAGAACGCTAGACGTTGCGAATTGATGGTTACAATTTAGCCGTTGGGAATTTGTCACCTTTCTAATGCAGCCACCGACAGTCGTCCCTCTTCCACGATGGTACGTTGCGAAACTTTGGGGATCAACACCATAACAGTTAGGTATCCCAGAGTCGTAAGCAGGGCCTTGGCGCGTCCAATCACCAATCGACGTTCTTGATCTCAGGGCAGTCGCACGACAGGGCGATAGCATGGTACTGTAGATGCGCATTTACATGTGGTTTGAGAATAAGGGTGAGAGATGGACTTTACCTAGGCACGGCAAAAGAACAATTATACGATGGTCTTCGAATTCGCGAATTCGACCCATCTCATATCAATCAGATTATCTACGACAACACGGAACGGTAAGTAGTGTTTGCTACTCTCTGTTTTATATTATCTGATTGCGAATCATCATCGCGTCTTCTCTCGTTTTCCTTAAGAGCAACGGCTACTTGCTTTGCAGTGACAGCGGCCGTTGCTGCAAGGCGCCCGTTTGGGAGGTGGGAACTAGTAGTGTACAGTGCCCAGGCGTATGAGGCGGCGATGGCGTCGGCGATTCTTAACCCGGATAGGCGAATTCCATCCGCTAATCTTGGGGTACCTACATAGGGCGAATCACTTCCATCTGGTACTAAGTATATGCGGGTGCGGGCACGAGCTTGATTGCTTTGAAAGATGCCGGGCACGCGGATATCTTGCACCCGCACAAGAATCTAGATTACCTAGCAAACACGCGGGTTCACCGATATTTTCGCATATTTAGATCTAAGCGATGAGGGTAGGTGAGAACCTAATCGGAATGAGATATGATATGATTTGACGCGATTCTTAGGTACGTAACAGGGTAGATATTTAGATATCTACCTACATACATAGGCAGATGCGTAGATCTATGAGAGGAAACGTCTCGTTTCTCATGTATACCTTCATACATAGCTAGCCTGTACTGTACTTGTGCGAGGAGTGAAAAGGGGATAGGAAGCTCTGTTTGACAGGTTTCCGACGCCATCGGGTGTTACCCCTGCAAATATATGATCATCCCATTCCAGTTGTGATTCTTGCCGCATGTGATAAGAAGATTCCGTATATTTCTTTTTTCCATAAATCAACATGGTGGGAATGAGTTCGCGAACCCGAAGATCTTCTTGGGAACTAAAAGAGTTAGCACTGTCACAGTGGAGAAGCATTATCGAAAAAAAAGATATTTCCTATTCCGGCTATAAAAAGTAGTAATTCTCCAATGATAACGGCTCCTGCGAGCAAGGGTGGCTGAAAGTGTCTAAAATTAGTCAAGCTAGTGGTTCAAGCGGTTCAAGTTGTTTGTTCTCCTCAATACTTCCACGGTTCGTTTCTGCTCTGCAGGTATTCGCTCTGCCGTCCCGATCGCATTCGTATCCAACCAGTATAAGCTTCTTTCCCGATCTGGACCGCCTCTCGGGAGATCCGACCTCCTTTTCGCTAGGATATTTACTGCGATTCGGGTTTCTGACCATATACGCAGACGAGAGGCATGTACAGGAGTAGCGAGTTGTCATGATATCCCTTCCTCACCGAAACTAGGAGGGCCTCCACCTGTTCTCTTCTCCAATGTAGTCCCCTGGTCATTGGTCCGAGCGCTATCGCTTGTATGCCATCAAGCAAGATCGTCTTCCAGTAGAGCCCGACACTCTTCAGAGTCTTGTTTTTCGGCCAAGTACCGATAGGAATGTGAAAGACCCGTTCCGTTACATTCACATATCCGCATTCTCGCATCGCTGCCGCTATACGGCCTTCGTTCGACGTCCTGAAGCTAACCCCTAGATTTATCAACCCCTCGTCCACATATTGCCAGTATTGGGCAACCGGGTGGTCGCTCGCTAAGGTACCATTACTGCTCGCGGGGAAATGATGAATTTCTTGCAGCTCTATCCAGCCGCCTGGTTTTAAATGCCTATGTTGGAGTAATATTTAGCATCAATTATTCCCCTTGAGCTAGTCTCGGTCAACTTACTCGTAGGATGTTCTTAACAGCTTATCCCAGTCTTTAATAGCCATGATCATATGTCGCGAATGTATGTAGTCGAAATGGTTCTTGGGATGAAGCCAAGGGCTTTCCACGTCGTCTACCATGAATCGGACATTAGGCGGTACCCACTGTGGTTGAATAGGACTCAAGTCTAAGCCAAGAACGTTTGCGCTGGGATAGGTATCACCCACTAACCGAGTCAGTAAACTAAGACACAAAGCAATGATCGTCATATAAACGAGCGACTTACTCTCAATTGCCCATACTCCGGTGCCTGTTCCAAGATCGAGTATCTCGTGTGGGTTGTCTCCGATAGGCGCGAAGTAAAGTTGCTGGCACAACATTTTAAGCATGGCGTGTTTCATATCTTCACGTTCCTGTTCGTCATCGTCATTCGGGAAGTTGTATCGTCCTTCTCTAAATTTATGGTATCTTCTTCCGTTCTCGAAGGAAAAATCCCAAATACTCGATGACACCGATGTCGATGCAGTCGTTGCTGCTGTGTCTGATTCATAACCGGCATCCGTGACTGACACGTTATCTGCCACGATGGCCCCGGACCCGACTTGATGGGCTGCCTCAGCTTCGTCCCCTAATTGCTCGAATGAGGACGGAGCCGCATATGGACCAGTTCCACCTTCTCCTGCCATTGAAAAAGCCTGTGATGTAAATACAGGATATACATTTGCATTAGGATTCCTGCTCGTCAGATGATGAACCGGGGGCCTTTGAGCATCCCAGGTTTGCGGAGCAGCTAATTGAAAATTCCAGTTCAATTTCACGGAAAACCCATTGAGCTTCGAAGGATGGTTCGCAGAGGCATAAGATCGTTCCGCAGCTCGGCTCGGAGGTGCAGTTTCCGTGTTATTGAAGAGAGCTACCCCTGTGATGCTATCGATTCGGAGTCGAGGTAGAGTGATCGGTAAGCTAGGGAGTTTCTGCTCTTGGGTTCTGGTTGGCAGGGATGGAAGAGATGGGAGAGATGTGTAATGTGATATATTCGTAGGAAGATGAGCATAGCTTTGTTGTAACTTGGGGGAAACGACAACGGTCGAGCCCCGACTGAAGTCTGCCATGGCTAACAAAGAAGCGAATGGAGATCAAAGAATCGATGATGGCTTGTCGTTATATGTCAAGAGTCAGGTGATAAGTAGGAATCTGAGACATTCAAGCAGCCATGCGTAGATATGCGTATATATGCATCTGGTCGTTAGAGTTGTCGGGTTGAATCACTCAACATTGTAGGATAAAAAAACGGGGGACAGGATGGGTTTTCCCTTTCAAATTGGCAGGACTCGCCCTACCTCAGTTCTACGCCACGGTATCTGTTCCACGGAGCGATTGAGCGAGTACTGGATGGAATACAGTTTTTTTGATGTGGCTATTAAAGAGACTGGTAGCATCGAGCTCGGATGCCCGCATGAGCACCAGCGCTGGCAGAGAGTCTTGGATGACTGAAGTACCCGCGTAATGAGGATTGCAACACCGATACACCGCAGCTCGCCTGGAGGGGCCAATCCGCGAGTTGAATTCACGCAACCACAAATAAACAAAGAAGTTTGGGACTTTGGAACTTTGGACACTTTTGGGCCTTTTGAACAAAGAACGAAGTCCGAAAAATGTCCAACGTTTATTTTTACGTTGGGGATCTCGTAGTTAATGAGTTGATCTCTCGGGCGCTGAAGTTGACAATGAACAGTCGGGCATTTGAATGATTCATATTATTCTAATGCTAATCCGAAACCGAAAATATAGTACTATGGTATTCTTTATTTCCTATTTGGCCTGACTATTAGGTAGGTAGTATACTAGGTGCTGTATATGATGTCGGTCAGGGGTCAGGGGTCAGGGGTTCGGATGGGTAGACAACTCAACCCCCCACCTTTGTCCCAAAGGCCGCACTGCAGTTTTCAATCGAATCTTGTGCAGTTCGCCTCTACAGCGTCATACTAATTTCATATCTGTATGAGATGGGTCCGTCATGGAAGAACAACAAGACGGGAGATAACAGGATACATACAAACATACTAAGTACACTATTAGGTAGATAATAGTATATTGTATATTTATTGTAGTATCTAATATACTTAGGGAATGCACTTTTATCTAGTTTTTAGGCGTAATCGATTTTTGAAGGCTGCTACTGGCAATGACAAAAGATAAGTACTGGGTGGTAGACAGGTACAGGTTTGCTACACAATAAACGAACCGGAGAAGAACCCGGCAAACAGGTAAGGCCTGAGGTGAGTTGATAAATATCTTAAATTTGGCGCCAGGGACTGACTTGTATGCAGATGGGACCTACGATGGAGAGGGCGACTGCATGAATTTTCTCCGATATGACAACATCCCAAACGTTCTCCTCTCGAAAAATAATTGGAAGACGATTCTCAGATACATATCTTCAACCTAGCTCAGTAAGGTTACGCCGTACACTGTCATACTAGGTACCTGCTAGGTAGTCACGTCATGTGTGCCTTGATAGAAAGATGGTTAGATACCGACTAGATTTGTCATCCAAGCAACGTCTTACGCACGGAATACTAAACTCCTAGAGTCCAAATGGATGGCATCCATACTATAACCTCCTAAAGGGTTACCGTATTGAGAATCTCGTCTGATTCTATCTCTAGGCGGCCGGGCCCACCCGTTCACAACGTCAACCGCCCCGAGCTACCAAGTGTACGGGGAATATGCGAGGCTGAGAATATTCTTAATCAGTGTCGTTGATTAAGTCGCAAATTCGCCTTCTTTCATACCTTCTAGATGATTATGACGGGTGGACGAGCTCGGCAAGTTCCTGGATTCAATATGGGGCAAGGAATCGATACCTAAATCATTCCAATTTATAAAGACATGCATCTCCCTGCCAGTTTTCGGCGTATCCAGGGGCACCCTTTATTAAATCGCTTAAAAATGCCATAGTGTAATTCCAATCGCCTAATGTTATACTATAATTAAATCCCTGGCTGTTAGGTATTTCCAGAACTACTTTGTCGGCTATTATATTATTTAGCTCCCCTAACAGCTCTCCTCATGTTGCTGATAGGCTTACTAAACTCCCTTCAAGATGAGCTTTTAAATACCTCGGGACCGACGCTGAAGCAGAAACTGTTTTTAGGTGAAATTCTTCAGAATTCATTGCTAAGAATGTTTATCTCGATGCCTTCGCAAGGCGAACAAGCTTTAACTTGTGATACCAGGGTTGACTGGAGAAATCGATGAAGAAGATTAACGACTAAATTGCATTATCGCATGATTATCCCTTGCACTATTCCACACAGGCATCCAAGCCCAAGGAACCGGTTTGCCATGAAACAAAGCCCGAATGTTGAACTGGAACTTTCGAGAGCATGTTGGCATGCCGTACAATATCATGGCACTTTCGACCCGGCGGTCCAGTAACCTAGTGACAAGCGGTTACAATGTCTCTCCGGAAAGAGTCGAGTACCTAATCTTAGCTTTGCCACAGGTACGACTATCGTGCGCCGTTAGAGCGTTGTTGGAAATGGTAGCTTTAGGCATAAATATGGACCGATCTATGAAATTCTCACTATTTATCAAGATCGCTCACAAAACATCGTATGCAAGGTCATCGCCGTCGCACATTACGTCTATACGTACCTGTTACTTGCATACCTACCTTATAGGTACTAGCTATGTTCGCTTCTTCGAATAGGGGGGCTAGGGGCATCTACCCCTGAATGCGGGGAACGATCAACCCCGCCTAAGCAATTATCCACCGTCGACTAGCTACATCCAACTTTTCCTCTCAAAACACCGAGTACTCATCCCGCTTGCGATCGAACCGAAAATCGAGGTTTGAAAGGAGGACCGACTAGATGGCGCCTAAAAAGAAGCCTTTCACGTATTGCGAAGGCGCGCCGTCCTGGAACCCGACGACATACATCGCAGACGCCCCACTACACGCGCGCGTCGAAGCGCTCCTCGCCAACGATGACTTCGCGTCCGCCATCGCCGCATCATTCTCGCTCCCACCACCGAACCGCGACAAATACACCTACCACGCGATCGTCAGCGTGACGCTTCCGGAAGTACAGCACGCCATATCGCTCGGCCGACAAAACGGGCTACACGCATGGTACTTCGCGCCCACACCCACGCCGACGCCGCCCCCTAACGATAACGACGCCACAACCACCACCCCCCAACCACAAAAGCAAACCCTAACATCCCTCGCACCACCCCCGCGCCCGGACACCGAAGCCTACCTCGCGCTCTTCTCCCCCAGCACATCCACCGCCTCCGCGCTCAAAACCCTGCACTCCAACGCGCGAAAATCCAGCCTCCGTCTCTCAACCGCCCTCCACCTCCTCTCAAAACGGTACCTGCACCCCTCGCTCCCCTCCCTCACCATCCCAAAACAAAGCAAAAAATCCCCCTCCCCACCGACGAACCCATACCTCCAATTCCTCATCTGGAGCATCAAAGCCCTCGAATGGTGCGGCCCTTGCCCCGCCTCCACGCTCGCAGGTCTACGCTCGCACCCCGTGCTCCCGATCCTAATGCACCACTTCGGGTGCGCATGTCCCTCGCACGAAGCCCTTTCCATCCTCCGAGTAGTCGCGGCCGGTAGGCCTGTTTTCGATATAGGCAGCGGAGGTGGGTACTGGACGTACATGCTACGCGCGTACGGGGTGGACTGTGTGGCGGTTGATAGCGCGCAGAGCGAGTGGCGGGTGAACTGGGTCGACGACACTGTGATTTCCGACGGCGCTGCGTTTTTGAAGAGGCGGAAGGCGAGGAATACGGGGGTAGCGGTGGATCCGGACGAGCCGGTGCTGTTGCTGGTCTACCCCATTGTCGGGGGATCGATAGCGGGCGGTTCGGAAGGCGGGTTTACGCGCGCGATGTTGGATGCGTATTCTGGGGATACGCTTGCGGTTGTGGGGACGCAGAACCGGAATGGGTATACGGGGTTTAGGGGGGAGAGTATGGATGAGTATATGGAAAGAGAGCAGGCCTCGAACGGCTGGGTTAAGGTTGTGCAGGTTGCGCTTCCGAGCTTTCCCGGTAAGGATGAGGCTCTGTTTGTTTTCCAGAGAGGTGCTCGGGCTCCTACTTCTGATCGTACGGAAGTTGGCGAAAGAGATGAGGGTAAGAGTAAAGATGAAAATAAGAGCAGTAGCGGTAATGGTAATAAAGGGGCTTCGTAAGTAATGCTGTCTTTGGTAACATCTTGTAAGGATACCTAAAGTAAGTGCTGCTATCGCCCGCTATCACTGTTAGCGGAATAAGGTGGTTACGAGGATTGTTACAGGTAAGAATTACATCCCTACCCGATTTTATAATAATTAATTTCTCTACAAGTCACGATAACCGACCGATATAATAGGAATCCGTTGATTTCATTATGACCCTATATACGGAAAAGTCAAAGAACTCCCAGAAACCCCAGTGACTACAGAATGAGCACATGAAAACCACCGTCATCGCCAATCGTTCATCCCGCGTATCCTCCGCCAAAAGAGTTGTCGGTTGCTGATTCGGATAGAGATGACAAGTCTTCTCAAAGCCCAAAGAAAATTGCATTGGCGTATATACCTAGTAGGTATTGCCCATTCGTACCGAACCTAGAAGGCCAACGACCCGTTTCCCGCACAAACAAGAGGGGTACTTCAGGTTACTTGACCAGCCAAGCCATGACCTTATGGAACACCTAAGGGGCTACTCCACCAGCACCACCCCCTTCATCACCGTTAGCACCCCCCTCCGTGGTTACGATTGTGACGACGCATAAGGGTCTCTACATCAAGTCTCTGCCTGTTCTTCTTTCCTGGGCTGCGTGGAGCCAAAGCTGACGTCTGGTTACTCGTTGATTGATCACCTTCAGGTTCCATGTGCGAGCTACTACCCTGGTAAGATGACATGCCTGGGTTGTTCTCCTTGTTCGTCTCAGCCACATTCCTGACCTTGCGTCGAAGATGAGGGGCTACCCATTCCTCAGGCGGTTGTCCCTGCTGCTGGGGTGGAAGGTTCGTCTGGGCATTGACGCGCTCGCGCTTCTCGAGCTTGTTGAGAATCTTTTGAGAAACGTAATCAAGGTCTCGTTTCATTGACAACAAATAATCATCATTGGGCGCTTTTTGCAATGACTTGCATAGTCTCCTTTGGCCCCCGATAAGAGACTGCATTGATTCGTTGCAATCCTTCTCAAGTAAAAAATCTACCGCTTCCCGTGCACCAGAGTTCTTATCGAGGTAATCCTCGATCTCCGCCTCAGTCTTCTTCTCGGTAGATAGGCCTGCGATCATCTGTCCATCTACCATATCACGTATTAGGGTGCCTTGTAGCTCTGCGAGTGATTGGGGTTGAGCATCATGGATCAAAGTCTCGTCACTTTCGATTGCGGCTTGCGTTGGTGCCTCAAGTTGACTCACGGCAGCAGAACTCTCCTCCAGACCACGGATGGGCATGTTTATGGCCTTGAGCCATACTATGCACTTCTGCTGAACCTCAGGAACGCTACAGAGTAGTTCAATCTGTCGAGATTTTGCAGCTTTGAGAACTAAATAATAATATGTTAGCAATTGGTATCAACAAAGACCATCGGTACCTATACATACGGCCATGGATGCGTTCTGTAATCGGACCCACGCTCCCACCAATGAGATTTTGGTAGCGTACGACGGCTAGGGCTAAATAGAAGACCGGGTAGTCGAAGTACTTCTGAATGGCCCGAAGAGGATCCGGGTTAACTCCAGGAGGCACAAAAACATCAGGGATCCAGCATATGATCTCGTTATATGGTGCAGCAACAACTTGAAAGTCGATCTTCTCGTTCCAATCTCTGCTTCGATCTTCAGTCGGTTGTGGAATATCCAGGGAGCGAATGGTGATATCTCCGAGGACGGTTAACGTAGCGCGATGTTCAGCAACGGTGAAGATCTCATGGCAAAAGTTCTCATCAACATCCTTATCATCGAGGAGTTTCTTAAGTACTGTCTTAGCTTCATTGCTAGCCGGCAAGTCCCAATATGCAGGCCAAGCCTCGAATGCCTCCTTGGTGAGGTGTTTCAGGTGAACAATCTGCGAGTTCTTGTTACCGCCAAACGCATCCCCGAAGAATTTGAAGCGCTCGCAATCTACGATTCGAGTGCTTACTTCGAGCTTCTTCCACTTCTTGCGATAATCCTCTAGTGAAAGGTACTTGCGAGGACCAATTAGTTTCTCCCAATCGTCATGTTCGGTCTCAAAGTTAAAGGAATGATTGCCGTTCTCAGCAGACAATCGGCCAGTAAGAGAACGGTGGATGGCCACCTTTAAATCTGCAAGAAACTCTCTCTGCTCATCAGAAAGTATGAAAGGATTGGAAAACTTCTGTTTTACCTCTTTCATATTCATACCATCACCGCCGAGTAAAGGACAGGCTAACCCTACGAAGTGTCTCATATGGGACCTTGTAAAAACGCCGCCGAATTGCCTTGCGAGGAATTCGTTGCGATCGGCGCGCACCTGACACGGAGATTGGGTGAAGGATGGATTTACCTGCCACCCAGCAGAGAACATGGAGGGTGTTACCATAATGGCCTCGACATCTCCACCAATCGCATGGCATATGGATTGACTCTTCAAATGATGGACTGGATTGGTCTCGCCGAAGAAGACGTCCTGCTCAATGGTACTCGGGCCACAGACTATAATAATCAGAGGAGTACCTGACTGCTTAGATAAATGCGCCTTGACGGAACAAGCAATGAGGAAATCCGCCATTAGCTTCTGGCGATCTGTCTGGACCTTCAAATCGGCGCCGTGAGAATAATATGTTCCTTGGTAGCCAGTTCCTTCGGCTCCAAGGACAATTCGGCGCTCCTTGCCGTGAACGTAGAGATCGGGATTGTTGTTGACTATGCCGACAATATCGCAATGAGCCAGCCAATCTTGTGATCCAGGATTTACCTCATCGTGAAGAAGGTATTTAAACGCCAAGAAGTCTACAATATGCCAACCAAGATTATCCATACCTGCTCGCTCGAGGGGCACGGTACAGAGTCCGATAACGTGGCTTCCGGGTGGAATGTCTGGAATAGTGCGCGTGATGAACGTGGCATCCTGAACGGGGTCACATGCTTGCCCGCCGACTGGAGCGAACTCACGAGCCTTAGGATCAAGCGGCGTAGGCTGATGGCCCTGGTGGTGGCCATACGCCGATGAGCTGAACATTGTAGTGGGCAATCTCTTGAACTGGTTATGGTGCTGAAGAGATGTGTACTCTGTAATTCTATTAGAGGTTAGAGGTCAGCACGTGATGAACTGAAGGAGAGAGATTTTGTATGATATAGAAAGTAAAGAAAAAGTGACAAGAAGTGAGTGACCAAGTCCTTTTCTTGAAGCTTTCATCATCCGAGGTCACCCATGGCTCTATAAACACCAATTGTGATTGATTTACGCGATAGGGAAAATATGAGTCGGTACTGCTTCTTATCGCGACTAATACTCGTCTATCCAGTACCCCACAAGCCGCTTGACTCTGTTTAGTGGAAACATAGACGCATATTATACGAAATAGAAAGGATGACAATAGACAATAGCCATTGATAATAGATGATATGGCAGTTCCAATCCAAGATAGGAGGAGACATGCCAGAGACAATCTGATGTAGAGGTAGGGACGGGGACATTAAGGCTTGATATTGAGTAATAATTTGACATACCCAAGTATTAGGAAATAGTTATGAAGAGGTAGCTGGGGCAATGGGATCCAATGTTAAAAAGGAAGATGAAGGGAAATGGATGTGTGGTGAAAATTCAGCGGATGCTAATATTCAAACGAAGCTTCAACTCGACGCGATAGTGTAGTGTATGATACCAAAAATGTTATAGTAGAAGGGGGAAAATATCATGGATTACTTACTAGATGGGTTTTTTTATACGACACAGCGCAGGTTGGCTGAGACTCAGTACTTTGATGTGACGTGGTTAAGGAAAGGTTGGATTGATGATGGCCTGTGGTGATGAGAGAAAAGGTGAGATAGAGAATTGAGAGAAAGCTTTATTAAATAGTTTTTTGACGTGCTGCTGATAGTTACTGATCCTAGATCGAAGCTATCCCCCGGGGCGCCAGGTGCCTTCCTTGACGTTACCCTTTTTATGAGTACCTACATATGTATCTAAGGCATCTACAACTTGGAAGTATCCACAGATTGTAGACTACTGAACATCAAAGTACCTACCTAGGTACGTATTAGGTAGGTATACATGTAGATACAATAGGCTGAGTGTAATTGTTACGATTAAGCTTTGAGTTGCTGTTAGAATTCTAGATGCCGTTAAGAGATATTGAACTCAATAGATCCCTTAGACGAAATGTCTAGGTACTTGGAGGTACGTACAATAACATCACGGCAAATTTGAGTCTATCAGTCAGGTTCTTCAAAGGAGGCCATTGATGAATATACTAGTTATAGTTAAAGGATGTGTGGCCTGCGTACCTACATAAACGCAACTAGATAGTTAATATGACTATTGACACTAACAACCCTCAGATGTTTACATATATGTTCTGGAGTATAGGTACCTACCTAGTAGGTATAAATGTTGATGTGGAAAACCGGGAAATATATACAATAATTTTCAATTATCTAGGTACCATCCAAGATAAGTACCGTTTCTCTCTATGTGAAGGGAAGGCCGTGAAGAGGGAGAGAGATAATCATCACTAAGAAACTTCCCTAAGTCACTACCTACTAGGTATATATTCATTAGCATGTATAGGTTTATCGCCATATACCTAAGCAACAATGGCATTATGACCCACTCAATTTGCATATATATACCTAAGTGACCTATCCACCTAAACGCTGAGGCTGTCTTCAATTCCATTACGCCAATAAACTCCACCTTCTTCGCCTCTCAGGTCTCCAAATGAAATTTAATCGTCGTTATCCCAATGAGAATGAAGCATAGCATCCCGATTGATATAATAGGTCATGACCTCGTGCTTTGACGGCGGTCCTAATGCATGCTCGAGAGTCTTCGCGACAACCTGTCTTCTCACTTGGGCCCAATCTGTGCCTCGCTTTTCCAGGTCGAAAACGCTACTGTGATCACTGGCGTCATGGATAGCCCAGAATGTAACAGTCACGTTCTCATCTTTCTTGCCTTGTCCACTCTTTACTTGGCCGATTATTAATGTCTGTTTCTCGAACACGGGCTCGACGATGTCATGGCCCTCAAAAATACAGTCCATATCATAACCCAACCCCAAACCGAGTTTAGGAAAGCTTCTCAAAATTGAATTGTGAATCTTATAGCAGGAGTGGCAGCGGTGGATCGCATGAAGGCCATGGTTGAAATACCCACCATATTTCCGGCGATGCTCGGAAACGGGGTTCTCTTTGCTATGTCCGTAGCGCTCACAATCAGTGAACTTGTCGAGGTGTATCTCACGCAACGACGGGAACCATTGGCGTAGTAGTCGCCAAACGTACTTGAACTCGCCGTAGCAAACCGCTTCATCTTCGCCATCGACTTCCGGGAGTATGTGCGGGGCCGGCCGCTCAAGTAGCGAATTATGACGAGCAAACTTTGGGAGAGCGGGAGCCAATTCCGGGATAGAAATTCGTCTCAGGCGGCTGAGATCAAGCTGTGTGAATGCAGTCTGCAGCGGGTGGTGAAGGGGGAACACCAATCTATCGATATCGAAGTTGAAGAACACAAATGTACGGCTGCCAGGGTGTTTGCATGGCACAGTGTGAGTCGGGCAACGATCTGGCAACATAAGAGCAAGTTCGAAGTGCCTCAATGTCTCGCGACGAGATTCTCTATTTACCCATAGAGATAAGGGGGGCCGGGTTGTCGAGCGTGTAGTTACTACGAATTTGGTGGGTAGCCGTAGATAGCGGCAGTCATGGCTCTCATGCTCTTGAATGTCCCAATGTTGCTGATTGGCACGAATGTGGGCTAAATGATAACAATAAAGGTCGATTTCTCGTCGGTCATCATAGGGTTCACCTAGACGGAAAACTCCAACTCCCCGTGTCAAGTTCACATCCCGATGCTCCCAGGTCTCACGCCAGATCTGGAAACGCAATTCCGGAGGAAGCCTACTGAACTGCGGGAAACCTGCGCCTGAGTAAACGAATGGCCGAGTATCATGTTTGCGTACTTGGTGGTGCGTTGTAGGATAACGAATGTATGCAGGCACAGCGCGTTTTACTATTTCCCCAGTATAGCGCAGTAGCCGTTTTGTGATGGAAAGATCTTGGTCGTCATCCTCGTTATCCCGATGGCGCTTCTGGCCACGGGGTCGCGGCTCTTGGGATTCCTCCATGCTAATTTTTATCGAAGTAGGCGATGATTTAGCACTGTTATGGATAACTTAGTCTTTATACATCCATAGCAGTTGGAAGTGGGGACGAACAGCGCAAGTTGAAATTTATTGGTGTGGTTCGATTCTCGCGTTTTGAGTATTGATCAGAGGTCAGTAAACAATTGTATTGTAAGGTCAGTGGTAACAAAAGAGGACTTTTAGTGAATGTGATATATTTAAATCACTTAGAATATGGCGTCTTTTTAAAGTCGCGACGGTTCAAACTACGAAGAAAATAAAATCCAATAGTTTATAGCATATGCAGTATACTAAGTACTGAGGGAAGAGGTTAAAAGTATTGAGTCGCCGGAAAAAGTTCCTATTTGACTATTTTTTTGTTACAAACTCCAGGTTAGGTATCCCCTCGGGACAATAAATTTGAATTTCATAAACTTCTCTAAGGCTACATCTAAGAAGTTTTAGTTCTACTAATTAAGTACTGAAGGTTAATATATGTACTTACTTAGGCACCTACGTAGTATGTAGGCACTCGATAGTCTCAAGGTTAAATTGAAATTCAACCTGATTGGGTACATCCATGTGAAAGTTAGGATACTCAATTATATATCAAGAAGGCAGGAGGAGAAAGTACCTATGATAATTGGTTATCGAACTACTATGTACATTTGTATGTACCTACCTAGTACGTACCTGGAAAACAGTCTGTGCACGTGAAGCATTATGCACTTGGTACCTAATATTGGCAAGCCACCAAGCCACCCTCGGTATTTTGTTAGAGCAATACAGTACAAAAGCACGGTACATAAAGATTACAAACTGTATTTTGTACCTGTCAATGAAACGATGCTGTACCTATCTATATACCTATAGTATTCTGTAACGCGCATGAGAGACATAATGCGGGGAGTCCACCCTCCCTCAATCCTACCAAGTACATATTTGGGGGGCTAGCCACAAGGAAATCTTGGAACTTCATCGCGATTGTACTTAGTAGTAATTACCTACCTAGTATGTTATGCGTAGGTACCTAGGTATCTAGCGTATGCTTTTCATTCAAATTGTTTGAATTTTGTAAACACAATACGTTTGTGTCGTCAAGTCGACTCTTCCGATTCCGTTCTTAAAAGTGTCAGGTACTATTTACAACTTCTATTCGTCAATATGGGGGTCCTTCGTTCCGCACAAGAGCCACTTGCAGTGTTGGCAAATCCAGCCAATTTCATACGACCTTTTATCCTTTTAGTCCTTGCATTCTACACATTTCGGAATTATGACTGGTTCATAGGAGCAGTACCCGAGACAAGCGTTGGGAGTGATGAAAAACCATTACAAGATATTGTTACTTGGGATGAACACTCCTTATATATAAAAGGGGAAAGAGTTATGATTATGAGTGGTGAATTTCACCCCTGGAGATTACCTGTCCCCTCATTATGGCTTGATATTTTTCAGAAAGTTAAGGCGATGGGGTTCAATTGTGTCTCTTTCTATAGCAACTGGGCTTTATTGGAAGGAAAACCAGGCAACTTTTCAGCCGAAGGTGTGTTTGCCTACGAAGAATTCTTCAAAGCTGCAACTAAGGCTGGCGTCTATCTTATCGCAGTAAGCCACCCCCCAATTACTTGAGATAACTTACCTACTAAACCTCGAAAGCGACCTGGCCCCTACATTAATGCCGAAGTTAGTTTTGGTGGATTCCCCGGTTGGCTTCAACGTATTAAGGGGCATCTTAGGACTCCAGATGAGGGTTATTTAGCAGCAACGGACAAGTCTGCCTTACTACCAATATGAATAGACTTATCTAGCTAATTTAGAGTAGCTATGCAACTCAAATTGGTGCCATAATTGCTCGCGCACAAATTACCAACGGCGGCCCTGTTATATTATACCAACCTGAGAACGAATACACAGTCGGAGTCTCTATCCCTTTCCCTAGCGGCAATTACATGCAGTATGTCGAGGACCAAGCGAAAAACGCTGGCGTTGTTGTACCCCTTATCAGCAACGACGCTGTCGCGCTTGGCCGCAATGCTCCTGGTACGGGGTTAGGTGAGGTCGAAATCTACGTGAGTCGAATCGAGCATAATTGTGTACTGGTCTAACGGGGAATAGGGACATGATGCTTACCCAGTCATGTTCGATTGTGTTAGTTTGATCACATCCTCTTCCACTCGGATGCTTATCGAAATAGGCGAATCCTTCTACTTGGCCACTCCTGGCTTTATCAGGAACTTACCATCAAATCCACGAATTACAGAGCCCCTTAACCCCTTTCTCGTTAGTCGAAGTGAGCTAAAAGTACCTATAAATATTGGCAGTGAATGTATGGTATTGACATCAAGTGCTGCTAGTTCCAAGGTGGCGCATACGATCCATGGGGTGGCCCGGGGTTTAATAACTGTGCTACGTTCATTAACCACGAATTCGAACGAGTTTTCTTCAAGAATAACTTTGCTGCAGGTGTAGCTATCCATAATATCTATATGGTTAGTGATAAACGCCTCATTCTCGACTCTTCAGCTGACCTGTACCAGATTTACGGTGGTACAAATTGGGGCAACATCGGACATCCGGGTGGTTATACGTCATATGACTATGGAGCAGCGAGTATCTCAAGCCATTTCGGTTACGGACGGAAGACTAATTTACCTTCAGGCTATATCCGAAGACCGGACAATCGTAAGAGAAAAGTATTCGGAATTAAAGCTTGAAGCTGAATGGCTGAAAGTATCACCGGACTATTTGACAGCTCAGCCAGGGGCTGCTCTGGTTTGGACATATGCGACCAATGCAGCAATTACTGTGACAAGACTTGCTGGTAACAGTACGCTAGGCAGCGGATCATTCTTTGTCGTCCGGCATAGCGATTATTCCAGCACTACTTCGGATAGCTACACGATGAAGTTACCTACATCAGAGGGCGATATATCTATTCCAACATTATTTGACAAGTTTACCCTTCACGGCAGGGACTCGAAAATTATAGTCACTGACTACGATGTACAAGGAATCAAGCTTTTATACTCGACTGCTGAGATTTTAACCCACCAAAGGTTTCAAAACGCGACAGTGCTCCTTGTATATAGTGGGCCAACCGAAATAAACGAGCTTGCAGTAAAAACTACTGGTGGTTCTCTAGTTGTGTCGGACGACTCTATTAAAATAAACAGGACTGAAGGGCTCGTCACTCTAGCTTGGGCCACTTCCCCAACAAGGAGGGTCGTTCAGATTGACCGCTTTCATATTTACATTTTAGGTGAATAACAATACCCCCTCTTGATTCTGAGAGCTAATGGGTCCTTAGATCGGAATTCTGCTTACAAGTATTGGATACCGGAAATCAGTAAATCTTTATCGCTGATAATCAATGGGCCTTATCTTGTTAGATCTGCTTCTCTTGAGAATGGAGCGCTGTCCGTCTCCGCAGACTTCAACAGGTCGACGATTTTCGAAGTCATCGGAGCCCCGCAGAATACGACGACGTTAATTATAAATGGGAAGAAGGTAGATTTCGAAAACCAGGATGAACGAATAGTAGCTACCATCCCGTATTCGGCCCCATTACTTAACATACCTCTCTTATCCGAATTACCGTGGATCTATGTCGACTCGCTTCCCGAAATTCAAACGAACTACGATGACTCCACATGGGTGATCTGCGATCACCAGTCTACGAACAATTCATATCAAATTCTACAAACACCGACCTCACTCTTTGCCGGTGATTACGGGTTTCATGCTGGAATTTTACTATTTAGGGGTCACTTCACCGCCAAGGGCACCGAAAAATCCTTCAAGATCAAGACTCAAGGGGGCACTGCGTACGGCCACTCGATCTGGCTCAATGGCATCTTTCTAGGATCTTGGGTCGGAAGCGCCAGGAATTCGAACTACGACACTACCTACGAGTTGCCGGATCTTACCCAAGGAGAATCATATACCTTCACGATTGTCATCGACCATATGGGATTAGACGGTAACTACGTGCCGGGCATCGACACTGGCAAAGCGCCTCGCGGGATCCTCAACTATCGCCTCACGAGTTCTTTAATTGACTCCACCCCCATAACCTGGAAAATCACCGGAAACTTTGGGGGTGAAGACTACGTCGATCAGGTGCGGGGTCCTCTGAACGAAGGGGGGCTGTACATCGAAAGACAGGGTTACCACCAGCCTCGACCTCCTACCCAGAACTTTACCTCTGGCTCGCCGTTTTCCCCGCCAGGCAAGCCGGGCATATCATACTACATGGCCCCGCTTTCACTCGACCTACCCTCCGATACTTACGACATCCCGCTCTCCTTTTCCTTCCGCAACGTCGACGGCGGGGCTGCGCGCATCCAACTATACGTAAACGGGTGGCAATTCGGCAAGTTCGTAGGTCATATCGGACCGCAAACAAACTTCCCCGTCCCTGAGGGTATCTTAAACTATAATGGAGAGAACTGGATCGGGTTGGCGATATGGCGTATGGAGGAGAATGGCCGAGAGCCCGTCCTCGAATTTACGCTCGAAGCTGGTATACCGGTTTTGACGGGACGCGATCCTGTTGTTTTAGTCGAGAGCCCGATTTGGTCGCTACGCGAGGGAGCGTACTGAAGTTCATTGATTCTATGATAATGGTAAATATATAGAATCGTTACTCGATCACGACGAGATATTAGCTAGCTACCCCTGTTATCTGCGAAGATTTCCGATTGGTCTACTGGTCATTAAATTGCCTATTCTGGCTTCAAGTTCTCCAAACACAACTACTAACTCTGATTGTAGTAAAGCGACATGAAGGTGGAGACTGACGAGGGTCCGGCTTAAAGGGCCAAGACTACCTACCTAGCCAGTAGGTACCTTATCTGTAGCTTCATGATTCTATCTCGAATTTTTCGGCGTTTCTACGTTATTTTCGGATAGTCTAGCAGCGAGGCCAAGGTTAGAGGAGCGATATCGCCGTTCATGGTGTCCAGGAGGTCAGTTTTGCGTTCCTGTTGTCGTTATCTGGTATCCCCCAGTATGATATGTGGGGGGAGGAATAAACATAAAACCTTTGATCTGTATTAGCGACAGAAGTATAATTCATTATAATGTAACATCATTAGTCAACGGCGAGATAAGCCATCAGCATGCTGTCGAATATATCATGATCGCAGCCTCAAATAGGTAGATGAAGACTTATCTACCTACCTATCAAATGAGTAGAACCAGGTACATATAACAGCCAAGAGAACTTAGTAGGAATAATCTATTGGCTCGTCCGTATTCTAAGCAATTGATATAAGCTTGGGGTTTGAGAATATACGTCATTTTGGAGGGCATATCGCACCGCAAGGCGCGTTTGACAAGCGGGGGTTTGTTTAAGAGGCTTCTCTTTTACTCCAAGAGCTGATTTATAAAGATGAAATACAATCACCAATGCTAATCAATGGAAGAAATTTGAATCGGAATTAGTGTTCGTTCATTGCAGTCTTCAATATTGACCCAAGCAAGATGTCCAGACCAACACCTGACAATTTCCCGAAACCGAAGTCCATTACAGGGGGCTGTCTTTGCGGTGCTCTGCGATACAAGGTCGACTTCCCCGACGACCACGACTTTTTGAAACAAGTACGTACGATATTATCTTGAACAATATAAACACCTCTTTCAATAAACGGCCTCAACTAACGAAACCCAGAGCTCAAGTTGTCAATGCACGCAATGCCGGCGCAACACAGGAACCCTATTCCTCGTAGCGCACACTACCCCGCTAAGCGGATTCACATTCCTAACGCCCACGACAACGCTGAAAAAGTTCTCCGCGACGCCGGGTTTCCAGCGCGCATTCTGCGCTAACTGCGGGGGCTTTCTGTACTGGCGGGACGAGTCGCTGGACGAAGTCGCGGTGGCGGTAGGGACTGTGGACCCGGAGTACCTATCCAAGTACGGGTTCGCGCTTGCGAGTGCCTCGGACAATCTCTGGTGCGAGAACGAGATTAAGGGCGTTACCGATGTGATGATTGGCAAGGAGAGAGGTATCAGGTGGGCTAGGAGTAGCGAAGAGGGTGTTAAAATGTAAAGGGCACCTGCAATGAAGCGAAATTTATCCTGTAGGGAATAACACGCCTAAAAGCTCGCTTGTAGACAATGATAATACTTGATTTCTATTGGTTAGCTTCATGCGATTAGCATCAATGATTGTGAGGGGTCTCCGCAGCTTTCTGTGCGCATATAGTAATCTTTAGGGCGATACTCCAGTATCCAATAGCAGTAATACTCCGAAGGAGTGGACTGAAGCATCAGTGGTTTAGTGGTAAAATCCATCGTTGCCATCGATGGGCCCCGCGTTCGATTCGCGGCTGATGCATTTAACTTTTGCTTCCTGTGACACTTGCGGTCTAGAAGGTGATAATATTTTTTCCAAGTGATTTTCTTCCACGATTGACAGCGATTCAGTGATTAGATCTATAATTTTGAGACGTAACTTTGCTGTGAGTAGCAATTAAATGAAAACAATTAATTAGGCGTCAGTCCGCTTTTGATGGCCGAACGGCAGCTGTCTGTGTGGGTGGGCAGTGAGCATAGGTCTGTACGTAGGTCTAGGTATCGTGAAAGTTGCGCGTCCCAGTCAATAGCACATATTCCAACATCTTCCTCAAGGCGATGCATCAAGGCACCGCTCAAAACGAAAATGAAATGACATCAAAAATTGCGCTCCCTACGATCCACGAGGGATAATAGAAGAGGGTCGACTCCGCGCTGTGCAATGCAGGTCTCTCCCCTTGCGAACCCCGATTCTTGAGCCGGGGTGCGCGGAACAAGGTAAGTATGAAGAAGAAAGGAAGAAAAAGAAATTGAAAATTTGGGCGGGGGGCCAGGTATTTATAAACTCTCCCAGACGCTCAGGGCGGTAGGAGCTTCCCTAGGCAACTGCCAGGCAAGAGGCACTGAAAGAGGCACGAAATGGCCAGTGCCTTCCCAGCCCTAAAACCCCGCGTCGGAAAGATCGAGAAGCTTATTGTCGCGTTCGATGATGTCATGCTAAAAACCTTGAATACAACGGAACGAACGAACGATGTACCTACTATGTACCTTCGTACCTAGTACACGGATAGCGAAAAAGAATATGCATCTTGTACCTCAGCCATAATACAAAAATCTTGAATCTCACAGCACATCCATGGATCTCACATGTACAATGCTCATACAAGGTACGCGGTATTTTGCGTTTTGATATATCAACTTCCATTCAGTATATTCTTCTAATAAATATATACCTCTGATTTAGGCATTTACATATAGATATATACCTCCATATCTATTCCACCCCACGAACTCTCCACTCCTATATCCTTCCCGTTTACAACATAAACGCAACAACAGCCAACAAGCCCAGACTCAACGAAGCAGTCTTCGCCGATCCGGCCGTGACCACTGCCGACGCAGTAGGGTACACAGTCGCAGCCGTGTATCCGACCTTCGAGCTCGTTGTCGTCGGGACAATCGGGTATCCGGTAGCGGCGCTGGCGCTGTACGCGGGGAGGGTGCTGTTGCTGGCCTTGCCCGTGGGGTACACGGCGATAGCTAAGGTGCTGGTAGCGAACGAGCTGCTTGAGGAGGCAGGGACAACAGCTGAGCTAGCGCTGGGGCTGCTTCCGGATCCAGCGACCGGGTAGTTGCTAGGAACGCCGGCTGCCTGGAAGGGCTTTGAGGACGAGGATTCGGGCGCGCTGCCGACGGGGTATTTGGCAGCAGATGGAGCTGCGGTAGTAGTGGTAGGCTTGGTCTCTGAGGCCTTGGTCGTGATAGGGACGAGGACGGTGGAGACTGAGATAGTCTGGGTGGTAACCTTGGCGGGGCAGTTCTCTACGTATGCCGGGCACTTGGTGATGGTGGCAACGACGGTGCTGTAGACAGTGCTGGTAGACAAGGGGACGGTGGTCGGGATCGTGGTGGGGGCCGAGGTAAAGGCAGTGGTCGGCTTCTGAGTCGCGGTAACAGGGCATACGGTCGTGTATAGATCGACCGTTTCGGTGACGACGGATCCTTTAGCCGGGCAGTTGGTTACGGTAGGGGCGCAAGACGTCACGGTGTAGACGGTAGTGGTCTTGATGGTGCTGGTCGTGTACTGTACAGCAGAGGAGGTGGTGCTTGTCAGAGAAGCACTGGAGGCAGTCGTCGCGGTTGCGTATCCACTAGACGTGGGAATGGCAGTGGAGCTGCTGTTAGTGTAAGACAGAATGCTGGAAGAAGCTGTCGCCGTGGCAAAGCTGCTGGATGAGAGAGTTTGAGAAACACTCTGCGATCCGGTGGTAGTTGCCGAGACACTGAGAGTGGCCGACTCAGTAAATGAGCTTGAGCTCTCGTCAGTAGTGCAGTCATCATCGTCATCAGAAGAGGTAGTCGAGGCGCTGTACGAGGCACTGGAGGTGGTGCTAGCGGACGAAACAGTGCTGCTGCTTGTGATCAGCGAGCTGGAAGAGGACTCTGTTGCACTTGCTGAAACGCTAGAGCTGGATGTGGCAGTGTAAGAACTGGATGAGCTGCTATCCGAGGAGCTACTGGAAGTAGCGGCGGAAGACGAAGCGGAAGACGAGCTGCTTGACGAGCTAGCAGAGCTTGAGGATGCCGAGCTTGTGGTAGCAGAAACGCTTGAGCTGGAGACACTGCTGGAGACACTGGCGGAAGCAGTGCTGGAAGTAGCAACGAAAGAAGATGTAGTCGAGGACAGGCTGCTTGAAGAATCAACAGAGCTTGAGGTTGAGGCACTGCTTGTCGTAGTTGCAATGCTTGAAGTAGAAACACTGCTAGCCGTGCTCGAGGTAGAGCTTGAAGTATACTCGGTGCCAGTGGAGGAAGAGCTGCTGGTCGTAGAAACAGAGCTTGAGGCGGTGCTGCTAGAGGACGAAGAGGCGCTCTCGGTACTTGAAGAGGAGCTGGAAGTCGAATCACTGCTCGTGGTGGCAGCAGAGCTAGAAGCGGAGGTGCTACTCGAGATAGAAGCGCTGCTGGTAGTTGAGACAGAGCTAGAAGTAGCCGTAGTGCTCACGGTGCTTGAGCTAGAGACAGTGCTTTCGGTGCTGCTTGCAGTAGTAGCAGAGCTGGAAGCAGTGCTGCTGCTGGAGGATGCGGAGGAACTGGTGGATGCGGAAGAGCTGGTGCTGCTGCTAGTGATCGTGGCAGAGCTAGATGAAGATGTGGTGCTAGAGGAAATGCTAGAGGTAGATGTGGCGCTAATAGTCGAGCTGGATGATGTCGGCGGAGGAGCGCAAACGTCAGCAGAACAGCCACCGCATTTCAAAGCCTCGGCAACGGTTTCGAGGTATGATATATTCTCTATGTCGGTGTTCTCGGAGGCGTAGTAAGCATCCCATAACATAGCACCGCCAAAATGCTCCTTATTTTTATACGTGCAGATAAGTTCCTTGGCCGCGTCAGGGGTAATGTAACCAGTGCCTAAAACACCAACAGCTTCAAGGCTTCCGGGAAGACCGATGAAAAGTTCGGCATCGTCGTTGACTCCGCCATTGATGAAGGTCTCCCAATCATCATAGTTGAACCCCGTGGTAGTTGCCTCGCAGGATGGGTTGTTGTAAAACTGGATCCAGATCTTGTCAAATTTGGCCTCCTGAAGGATGGTCTCCATCTGGAAGTACTTGGAAGTCTGCGGGCATTGAGGGGCAGCTGAGAGGATTATATCCTCGCTATCGTTAGTGATGAGTTCGCGAAGGTGGTTCACCATGTGAACGTATGGCTCTTGGTCATCTATACTTGAGTTAGTAAGTTGTAAAGTACGAGTAAGGTAAGCGAGCACTGTGCTTAATTTCTTTAGAGAAATGAACAATTCTTACCAAATTTGTACTCAATATCAAAGTCAAAACCATCAATGGTGGTGTGGTCCGTGGAGCTCGTGTCAAAGGGTCGTGGACCGGTGTATCCCTCCTTGAAGGGGCCAAAGGCCTCGTAGAGGAAGTCCGCGAAGTCAATACCATTCTGGACGGAGGAGACCGTATAGTTGCTCGTCTCAGAAAATACACCTCCGACTGATAATAACACCTTCTTACCAAGACGCTGGCATGTCTTGATATCATCCTTGATATAAGAGCACGAGCTGAGAAGTGAGGACGTTCGATCATTATTCACGTAGACCTCTGCCGCACAGTGAGAGGCGAAGTTGGTGCCTGGGTAGTTAGTGCCGTTTCCATTTTCGGGTGAGACGTTTACGAAAGCGAGTGTGACGAAGTCAACGCTATCAGATTCGCAGTGGTCGCCGAGGAAGTCGGTCCAAGGTCCGGATTGTCCCTACGAGTTATTTATGAGATGGAGAGTCTTCATTAGCAGTGAGGTATCATACCCAGTAGGCATTGAGTTTGTAGTCTGGCGTGTAAGTGGTAGCAGAAAGTGCAATGGCAGACGACGCTGAAAGCGCGGCCATTAAGACTGAATTCTTCACCATCTTGAGGGTTGATTAAGGGATTGTATTATTCGTAAAGATCGTAAGTGGCCGAGGCCGTAATGAATGTGGTTGCCGAACTACTCAACGAAAGGACGCAAACAAAATGTTTGCTACGGCTGGCTATTATGCCGTTTCTTGTCGAATGGACAGATGGTGATGAGAAGAAAGAAGAGACGAAAGAAGGAAAGAGAGCGTCTCGACTATGAGATAAAAAACACTTGTTTGCTCTATAGGGGCCTAAACATCCCCTAGCCACACCCACCCCAGCTAGGGGACGATTACTATAGGGTCGATCCAAAACTAGGACAGTGGCCTTGTACATTGTTTGACTAATACTTGATAGAAGGCGTTTGCGTACTCTTCTCATCGCTTGCCTACTTGGTAATTTCCCAGTTTCCAGTGACTGAGATTGTATTGTCCGAAATGGGACCTGCGCGCCGAGGAAGCCCATGATGGTAAGCCGCTAAACCCTCGTCGAATCAGTGTGATTATGCGGCTTGCACAAAGACCAAGGGGTACTATCAGGATTAGGGAGTCGGCTAGTATCAGGAACAAGTATAGTCCTCAGCCTAGAATCAGCCTTAAGGCACGAGTGCGGCGGGTGACCAGGGCTTGCAATTGGTCGGCACTAGGGTCCGAACTATTGGAACCACACCTATAGAATACTATAATTCTCATAGGTCAGATGAAAGTGACTAGGCAAAGATCGATTAGATCTAGGACTTAGGACCACAATTTTATCGGACCACTCGACGCTCGCTTAAATCGAGTTTGTTTAATGGAGAAAAACTGGTGAAGAGGAAAAGATCATCGCCGTTGACAACGACATGCGCTATGAACCAGTTAGTTCTCTTCAAAAAGGCACCTATTCAGTATTCAACGGTAGCCGAACTCACGAGATCATATAACGAACATCTTCTCCTGGGCTGCGACGCCACAGCCCTACGATGAAGTTTCATACCCCTAATCTACGCTCAGGGACGCACATATTCTGGTGCGGTACTAAAGACGTTTGAGTGCCTGGCTCTCAGTTCACTAATCCATAGCGCCCAACCCCACGTATGTTCAAAAGGTCCCTTTCCTAGTGCCGGCGGAATGACATACCCGGCCAATTCATAGGCCGACGGCAACGGGGCATGACAATCCTTTGAAAATATTAATCTGTATAATCAGGGACACAAACTCCCAATTTGTTCACTGTGTCGGGATGACGTTGCCTACGTCCATCCACCATAATTACCGGCATCGAATCGGGCATATGTCCGTCTGCGACTCGGTACCTGCATAGGTAACTAGGTAATTAGCCCAGGCATTGAGATTGGTACAGCCTGAAGAACTACATTACAATGAGGCTGGCGGGTCTCGCGAGTCATGTCATGATCTAGAATCGCGGAGTTGACTAGCACTAGGGCTCAGCTGGTGTGATTAAGGCTCGCCATCGCCTGGAGTTGATTATGCCAATATTCAATCGTTGTGAGAACAAAAATATTCACAAAACCTTAGAAGATAAAAACCATATGGTACCCATTTGGAAAGCAATATCTTGGCTTCGACGCGCTCCTAATGGCCGAAGAAAGAAACGTGGATAAAGCTGAAGAAATTGTGAAAATCGTGGCTCACGGACTCGGCCGAACTTAGGATCCACATAAAGCCACATTTATTACTTAATCTTTTTTTACAGTGGGGTTTCATCATCACACTGTGCATTGAAGCCCCTGAGTTAAAAAACTAAGAGATTATGATAGGTGAGTCTTAAAACGGATATCGTTTAGTTTGAGAGAATATCCTCATATTCCGAAGATTGCGTGTCCTCCAATGATATCTACAACTTAGGCTGTATTGAAGTGGACATCATGTCTCTCTAGTGGCGATACATGTGATAACCTCCAATCTGCGACTTACCTAAGAGTGTTGTAGACCTCCATTACTAGGTAGTATGAGGAAATATCAGACGGCGCCTGATAGGAGAGCATGGAAAAGATGAAAAATCAACTATAAAATCAAGATTCCTCATGTTTCTCTTACAGGTACGTAGAGGCACAGTCGACTAATGATTCCCTATAGCCCTAGGAGATATTCACATAGCTACTTGCTTGCCTTTTAGGTATGCATCCGTTGCTAAATGCCGACAATCCCTAGTAACTACCTACCTACTAGGTATTTATTAGTCAACTACATAAAGTAGCCCTATGTGATTCTCACAATTTTCCACATAGTCTAAACAACACCACAAATGCCAACCCCGCTGATTATTTCCGCCTAATATTCATGGGATCATAATCCAGCCTATCGTCACAGAGTAATGAAAAGGATTGGCATAGTGATAGTAGCTCGACAGTATGACCTATAGTTAGGGACAGAATCACATGAAACCTGCTAACTATCAGTGTCTACCTAGATATTTATCTAGGTAGGCGGTGTGTATAGACCTATCACTAATTAGGAGATCTCCGAGTGAGTATAGATGTATTCGAGACCCATCGCAGCCCCCTCAGTAAATTAACGCCAGGCTAATATCCATGAGGGTTATTGGTAATGTTCCTACCTATGTGAACCTCGAGAGTTCAACCTTACCAATATTCACCCCCTTTTTATCATGCTGTTTGACTTCATCATTATCTTCGTCGTTTCGCAAGAGGAAGCTGTACCTCAAAGTTTCTAGTATCATGATGTGATGTTTAGTTCGTTAGTTAATTGGCAGAAGAACTTACACCTGAGCAATAGCCCCCGGGGCACTCGAAGAAACAAGGGACACTCTTTCACCCAGTATGATCGCAGAGTTTATCTCCTTATAGACCGCTATACATTCTTCTCATTCATATAACCACTTATATTATCTATCTAGTCAGTTGTATCATCCTTCAAGTGTTGTTGATCCTGTCGGACGTCAGGGGATAGTCGCGAAGAAGTATTCAAGTCGCGGATAAAGCTATCCATCAATATTTATGTCGGCTAACTTCACCTAGGACATTATTAGATGATTGTATACCTTTATTTCAATAGAAAGTAGAAGCGGCCTGTATATAAAACCGGGATAGAATCGACCTCACCCAACAAACGTGGCATCGTGATGTGATGTATATCATCTATTTATCGACACACGCCCGATAAATAGCTTGGTCGACGACCGAGAATCAATCGTATATCCTTAACGTCGATCTCTCGTTGAATTTTAACCATTCTGTCCAATAAAGGGGAAACATTTAGAGCGAGACTCGAGATAGTTATATGATATGCAGGAACATCATAGAGCTAGGTTGCCGGAGTGCCGGAGATCTTACATATACCATGCATGATCATTTCGCCGATAGCGTCTGAATATATTCGAATTGAGATAATAATCGCGATGACATCGGTGGCGTTCCGAAATAGCATCATTCTCCTACCCCAGACGCAGGGACCGATGCGAACGATTGAGGGGCTACCATATCCCAATAAGTTTCACCACATCTCGACTTTGGTGACCTATGAGGGCGATAGTCTACCTACCTATAATATCCTAGGTTGATTTTAAAGGACCTAGAACTTATGTTTTAATGCCATTGTTTGTTAGGTTCTCAGGTGTGAGCGCCCATCTGGAGTCAATTTCATGTCTTGGCAATTTTTTCCGCAGTAGCACAAAACCACAATCCCAAGGAATAGAAAGGAGAGAAAACGAGAGATCAGCAGAATCGTTTCTATAAATATGGAAGAGAGCGTATGTTGGGCGCTCGAAAATATATCCTGATCATGTCTCTCTAAGGCACAGTACAGGGTAGTAGGGAGGCGGGGTTGTCAGGCATCTGCCAATCCCACAAGACGTTGGATATGCGAACAGTTAGGTAGGTATCACGTTAAAACTCCAAGCAGTTCCAAGGTTGTTATTTCAACTTCTTGACATTGATATTCTAGATACATCTCAACTATCGTAAGAGAATCAAGAATATATATATTTTTTAAAAAAATTACCATGGATGTGTTAATTATCATCATCTCAATGTGTGTACCCCTTTCATCACAAGTCTCCACTGAGCCCTCCCCTTTGAATGTTGAGAAAGGCAACAAGGCATAACTAACAACACCATAGTATTCTCCTTCTTGCGAGTCTAGCCTCCTTCATTCCCCAGTACCATCGTATAGTGTCTCGTGGCGACTATAATGGGATATCTCCTCTCTATGTCCTAATCAACCTCATCGTTGCCACGGAGCAGTTCGCCATTGATCTGCATTATATGGTAGACAATACCGATATAATGGACCTCATCGTGAAGACACCCCCAACGGTTCTTGACTGGCTTAACCTGGCTCAATTTTCCGTGGTTTTCTTTTGCCATCTAGTACTGTAGGTGTAACCACACTCACCCCCAATTGAGTCCGAAACGTTACACGATCTTGTCTAAGTGCTACCATTACGCCTGCTAATGTATTTTCTTAGCTTCGGGATGTACCTCTACTTCCCATCTTCGAAGCCCAGCCTGAAATACTGCATTGTCGCTACTTACGTTGCCTTCTTTCTTATATCAGTCGCTCCGGTCATACTCGAGTCTACCTTGGAATCTGACGGAACGTACGGTTATCGACAGCTTCTCTCCGCCGTATTCTTCGGCATACACACCATTTATATCAACCCTATAATCACTGCTCTTGCTGTAATTGCCGTGTTTCCCCAGCGACATGAGATCTTGTCACGCAGAGAGCCTGGGGCATTGAGCGTCATGGGCTTATTAGTGCAGGCGGTCGTATTCGCGGTGGTGGCTTGCGTCTGGCCAGTGCGTTTTACGATAGGATCGGAAGTCCGAGTTCCTATCAGTGCGTGGTATCAGCTTGTTGGCTGGGCTGCTGTAGACAACTTGATTTTCGCCATTGTCCAGGCGGTGTTGTTTTGGACTTCGCGGAAATTTAGGGTAGGAGATACTGCTGAGGAGATTGCCCCCGAAGAAACAACACCATTAATGGCTGAGCGAGTGTGAGAATGTCAGTATTCAAGGGAACCTAATATAGCATTAGATTATAAAAATATAAATGCATCGGTGCTATCTGATACAGTACCTACAAATCGCGCTGTATTGAGGATCACAACATCTGGTTCAACGTCGGTGACTCTGGCCTTTCCATTATTCATCATTAGGACACCAATCGAATTATTCTTGTGGCGCAATGAAGCCAGTCTAAAGACGGCATAGATGAGTCCAATGAGGACCTTTCACACGGAGGTCTGTTGGGTGGCAGTGTCAGGACAATTCCTTGTATCACTTTCCTCTGCACGTGTTCCTCGGCCTGCTCCATGTCGACAAAATTCTTCATCCCGTAATCTTGCCTCAGCGCCACCACCCAGCCATGCTGCACGTCATCCACACTCTCGACAACACCGTCGATAGATTCTTTTCATAGGCTCGAGCGTTGTCGTCTAAGAAGCAATGCGACGAAGTTATCTGCGAGACGCAGCCTGTTGATATTCACAAAGATGCCGTCACTAGCCGTTCTGAGCTGGGGTGGGTCAGCAACCTAAATGACTCACAGCCAGCAATATGCGAGATGAACAGGCTTCCTGGAGAAACCCATATTACCGCGCACGCCTCCCCTACGCACGATCAACGGCTCGAAACCGTGCATAGCCTGGTAAAGTTCGTTGAGACTACATCTTTATCTCTTCTCTTAATTGAGAATGACTTCTCTATGTGTAATCGCGGTAGAGGGATATACTAGGTGACTCGAACGCCTCGATGGATGCTATTCAGCGATCCTTACGCACAGCGATCTCAACGAGATGAACATCCTGGTTGATACCTATAGCGGCAATATTACAGACGTTGTCAACTGGCCTGATACGAGTATCGAGCCGCTCCAAGGTTTGGCTTCACCCTCTATGCGCTGGCGGACGCCCTCAGCAGCATGAACTTTAACGGATGGAAATGGGCAAAGCTTTGATCCCCACTTTGTGACTCCGAGATCCCGCCATTTAAAGCTTTATCGATAAAGATGTGGTGATTCGGGATTCAAAGTTCAAATCGGTTCAACCTATCAATTCAATTATGTCAAGGATGACCTGCCACGTGCGCGACCGGATCTTTCTTAGCGTAGCAGTGTAGTGATACTGTGGCAGTGGCAATCGCAACACTGGTTCGCTCTGTTCGTTCTGCTCGTTCCTTCCGACCAGGCCGGTGGGGGTACAGATCCCAGAACCCCGGGTGCAAAGGACGGTGATTTTTTGAGTTCGGAAAAAACTCTAGACCGTCACATCCAATCAATTTCGAGCGCCAAGTGCCCCTCCACTTTTTACTCCAACGTTAGTCGCAAATATTTCGAATTCTCTCAGATGGGACAAGAAAAAAAATTAGTAAATTTAATCATGATGCCGATTGCGCGCGTTTCTTGTAGCGCAGGTGCTTCCGCGCTCCCACTCGAAGGCAAATATTCGTATAATCAATTCAGTCAATTCAATTCTTGATATCGTCATATTTGTCAAATTATACGTTTATTCCAACTCCTTCAAGTACCATCCCACGTCCATCTTCGTCTACCTGCGTCCACCTCCCAGTAATCGCGCAAACTCACGGGCACTTGTTGCAGGCTTCGTACGATTTCCCCGCGATTCACTCGAACCGATCTCACTCGGCTCGACTCGATTCGATCCAACTTGCAGTAGCACCCCACGGCATCGAGATCAATAGAGAAGGTACGTTGGAATAGATTCCGTTCTCGTAGAATTTGGCGCAAATCGGGGACAACGGGTTGCTGCTTCCTAGCAGATAGGTCTGGTATAAGTTGATCCTGCGTAATTCAAGTCCTAGATCCTACTCGGCTATGGGATAGTAAGAATTAACGTTGGAAGCAATTGTACTCATAAGACCCGTGCCCCTGAGGATAGCCGTAAATATTGTTATGATGAGTATTTTTCTTTATAAATGTTCGACTGCCTAGCTACATGCTGCGGATAAATCCACTCTGAACAATATCTTTACCAATCGTCATATTTATCTCTCAGAACACAGCGTAACAGCACCGGGAAACCAACCATTGCGTCTAATTTATTGGTCTTGGTGTAACTTTGCGTATAAGAAAATATTTGGTGTTTTCCGGTGATCCGGTTGCTGTTGTGCTGTTGACTGAGATAATGGGGCTTCTTGTAGCTTCATCTTTGCTAACAAGACTTTCCTAGATCTTGCGATCCTGCCCGCTGAGCAACCATGTGTGGCGTCATTGGGTTGATCTTAGGCCATGTCGGGGATGACCCTGAGCACCCTTGCAAAGCTGCAGTTGCGCTTCACGAAGCTCTGTACTTCCTCCAACACAGAGGACAAGATGGTTAGTTAATACTTATGGCAGTAATTTGGGTCAAACAAACTGACAGTCATCAGCTTGTGGTATAGCAACTTGTGCTGCCGGAGGTCGCATATACCAGTGCAAGGTAAATCTATGTATCTATTACTTTTTAAAGGCTAGTATCTAATGTTAATATTAGGGCAATGGAATGGCCGCCAAAGTGTTTGCCGACGGCATGAGAATTCAAGATCTACCCGGCTCAATGGGCATTGGGCGTACGTTTTCTCTTCCTTTCCCTCGTCGCCATCTCTCTCGTTCAAAAATTTGAATGCAGAATTCTCCCAGTATCACTTTATTTCTACTACTATTCATTGAAAGCTGACGTTTGATGCATTAGACCTACGTTATCCGACTGCAGGCACATCATCAAATGCCGAGTCACAACCGGTTAGTGAAACTTACCCTCTTATAGTATTTTACATAGTTCTCGTGAACTATGCGATGTTATAAGATCTCCCATAAAAGCTAATATTATCATAGTACGTTGAGTCGCAATCATTGCATTTTGTTATTTACCCCTTTTTATGGAACAATCCTCACGGTTCCTAAGCCCTTGCCTAGATACTAACATAAAACAGGTTATACGTTAACAGTCCTTATGGAATATGTGTAAGCCCCGCCCGATCCCCTTCTTAGTTCTAATAACCATAAATGTAAATTTATTTGTAAGGCTTTGAAGAAATCGCTAATTAGACATCACAGCTTGCCCACAATGGCAATCTTATCAACGCTCCTGAATTACGTCGGTATCTCGACACTGTCGCTCACCGACATATCAATACGGACAGCGACAGTGAACTGTAAGTTGGCAACCGTACTCCGGAAGATTCATAAGGAAGGATTGAAACCAAGCAAAGCTAACAAAACTTCAGCATGCTCAATGTGTTTGCAAACGAGTTAAATGAGACAGGAAAGGCCAGAGTTAACACGGACGATATATTCAGTAAGCATTCCGAATATCAGACCCTTTTCTTCTTCGCCTAGATTTTCCGTCTTTGTCATCTTTTTCTCTATCCAGTCTATACAAAATATCTTATTCAAAGATAGAGCTATTTTCATCATTAAATATAATGCTAACAGATACTAGATTCTTTAGAGCGAATGTATGAACGATGTTCGGTTGGTTACATCTACTAGAGTGACGATATAATGATAGCTAACAACCGTATCAGGGCGGCTGGGCTTGTACTGCAATGATTGCTGGTTTCGGAGTTTTAGGCTTCAGAGATTCTTACGGTATTAGGCCCTTAGTACTCGGCGAGAGAGATTCCGATACTCTCCCCGGCGCAAAAGACTATATGCTTGCCTCTGAGTCCATTGCCTTACGACAACTTGGTTTTCGCAACATTCGGGACATTTTACCCGGCCAAGCTGTGTTCATACAAAAAGGCCGCGCACCCGTCTTTCATCAAGTTCAAACCCCGAAAATGTATTCACCTGACATATTTGAATACGTTTACTTTGCAAGGCCTGATACTGGTTAGTATTATATAGAGTTTACCCTTGCCAGGTGACACAAATTCTAACCTCACTTTTGCAGTCATGGATGGGATCAGCGTACATGCTTCTCGACAGAGAATGGGCTACAAGTTGGCCGATAAGATACGAGAGCTCCTAGGAGATGAAGGCATCAAAGATATTGATGCTGTTATTCCCATTCCCGAGACATCAAACACGTCAGCCGCAAGCGTCTCCGAACGATTAGGCTTGAAATTCTGCCAAGGTTTTGTCAAGAACAGATATGTGTTCAGGACGTTTATGTTTGTTAACCCTTATCTGTTCGAAAAGACTTGCTGATGCCGATAACTAACTTGGGTTACTACAGTATGCCTCAGCAGGGAGCTCGTCAAAAGGGCGTTAGGCGAAAGCTTAGCGCTATTCAGACCGAATTTGAAGGAAGATGTGTCTTGCTTGTTGATGACTCTATCGTTCGCGGTACTACAAGCAAGGAGATAGTTGCTATGGCACGTGAGGCCGGCGCGCGAAAAGTTATTTTCGCTAGCTGCGCCCCCCCTATCACAGCACCACACATCTACGGCAGTAAGTGATATGCCCTTCCCAAGATGATATTCTAGCTATTGATTACCATTCACCGACCCCTTTTCCAATTGTGGATGGTTTACTAATCAGATCCTATAGTTGATTTAGCCAGCCCCACAGAACTGATCGCTTCAGGCAAAGACCGCTTTGCTATCGCCAAGAGTAAGTGACCAGCTTTAAATAACAACCCTAATAGTGTCAGATAATTACTAACTTCAATACTAAGGCATTGATGCGGAGGAAGTGATCTACCAAGACCTCGACGACCTAAAGGCATCATGCGCAGAGCTCGCACCGCCAAACGGTCCTACTGAATTTGAGGTCGGCGTATTTTGTGGAAAGTATGTCACACCGGTACCCGAAGGGTATTTTGAGCATTTGAATGAATTGCGCGGCACGAAGCGGAAACATACCACGCATGCCCCAATCGCCAGTAGTGGCGCAACGATGGTAGTTGGTGGCAGCCAGACCGGTACTAACGGCTCGGCGCCGCATCTGTCGGCACATGAAGAGGAACATCCTTCGCCGGATCTCAAGAGAAATGGGGCTACTTCCCCTATTCGGGATGACATCAGTCTTCACAATATGGCTAGTGAACCCGAACGGCGTTGAAAGCTTACGTTCTTTATAGACGATCTATTGATTAGCTCGATAAGAAATATAGACGTCTAACGAAATCACACGCTCTTATTCGTGGTTTGCGTAGGTGGTTTACCTACCTCATTGCCATATGTTTCTGAATTTCCCAACGGAGGAGTGATGTCGTACAGACTCGTCTTCTTCGGCAAGTAGTACATTATCTAAACCAAGAATCATGCCTTACCTTCAGTCTTACCTACCCCTGTTTTGCTAAATCAATGTTCAATCTAGTAGCCATCATGTAACATTCTATCTACCTCCTGAATTTAACGTCAACAAGCAGAAACGCAAACCCGATACCTTCTGATACGAGAGAAATTCTGCTTAGGGAATTCATACCATAATAATACCAAAGTACTGATTACATCTCAATCTGGCCAACCCAAGAAGAAAATTACCTACATACCTAAATAATAATAAATAAAGGAGAGGTCATTTCTTATACGGACATCCACCTCACTCACCTACACATAGGAATTACTGCTCGACGACGGCCATGTTCCATTGCCTAATGAGATAAAGGCACTCGAAAACAAGAGTGTAAGAAACATCGCCTTGAATAGGGGCGGTATCTTATCCAGTACCTTTGTCGGTAGGCGTGTTAGGCAAGAACGTACCTGGATATTGCCCAGATGACCATCCGAACCCCTAAATACGTCATTATCCCGCGAATAGAGTTAGCGTCTAAGCATTAAGCGGTGGTTCCTGCTGATGCAAAGAAGTTCGTCCGATGTTCATCGCACTTGCAATCATCTATGGTTTGAAGTAGTCTTTGGTCTTGAGTTGAATGTTGTCCCGCCCTTCATGAACTTGCTCACTTCCAACTTTCTTCCTCACTTTCATACCTTATACATTCTCAAGTTTCGTTTCTCCCACCTCTGTATCACTCAATCGACTTTCTTCTTTCTCATATGTGTACTTTATGTGTTATGTGGTAGTTGACACTTGTCAAATACCGATCGTCAATTCAACCATTCGATTCAAGCTCACCCCTTTGAAGTAGCACATTCATCACGCAACTGAATCCCCCCCCAATCCTGCACTTAGAGCATCACTCTTGTCAATAATTGAGTACACACCGAGTTATCGCATCAGTTTATCACAGCAATCCCGAGGTTCTATTCTTCCTCGCATGCATCGGTACTGGACAGATTCATTCTGAACCCCACTGTCAGACGGCGGTCTCTGTAGGTACTGTAGGTGTCACTCATATCACATGCCCTAGTTTGCTAAAATTCATGTCGTCGATTGAATATACTCTTCTCAAAGACTACATTATGTCACAGTCTTGTCATCTACTAAGCGCATTCAATTAGTATTACTAGATTCGCCCGCGCCAACAGAGTACACTCTCGTTGATAGAATATACACATTGTCGCTAGTGAGTTCCCTCTCTCACAGTATCCCCTATTCGTATCAACCATATCGGAAGCTATCCACACATCCCATTACCTACATACTTACTAAAGAACTGCTCTTACCAAAGCCACCGATACCTCTTAGCGGTGCTCGGATGTTGACTTATCACCATCGTGGTTAATTACCTACCTTATACTTCCTCTAAGTCGGTCGAGACTTCTCGAGTCTCATTTATGGAATCGCCGCTTCCTTCAGTACTCTAACTACCACCATCTCGACCGAGTTATCGGTTTGCGATAAGGGAACCAGCATTCTTCATTTGACAAACTTCGGATCCGCTCCCAACTCAAAGTTTCGTTAATTACTTTGATGTCCAAACTACCTACCAAGGCGAACGCTAGACTTTTAATAGTTACAGGCGGTATACACCTTCAACTATAATTGCGCAGACCATTTGCCGTAAACGTCGTTTCATGTTATTGGTATTCTTTATATGTGAGTACGCGCCTATGGATACGTCTTGGTAAAGAATTAGATCGAGCAGATCTAGTACACCTACCCTAATTACAACCTCCTTATCGCGGCGCTTTACATGCTTGTATAACCCCCATCTACATATTTTATCCTCTATCTCCTTAATTGCCGAGACTAAAGATGTTATCTCATAAGCATACACTAATTAAATCCTAATGCCTTGCCTACTAGGTACCCTATTCTATGGCCCTCGCATATGTGGATTTGACGTAACGTATTTTAATCTAGCCCGTACCTAGTCGTAATATACCGACAAGATGCCGAGACGAAGTCGAAAGGGACCTCAGGCAAAGGATGCGGCCATGTTGCCGTTGCCTCACGGTTTAGGGGTTGTCTTAGGAGCTGGTGTAACCAAAACATCAGCTACTATTGAAAAGTCGCCTTTCTCTAATTTGCCATCCATCGCCGATTCACAACCTACGGTAGACTCAATCGCTAATGCCCATCCATTGCCTATTCCACAAACGTCATTCACCCCTGAGGTGCCGGTTGAAGCAATAGCGACAACAGCGGTGACTTCGGAAGAAGCTGGTGTTAAGAAAATTCAAACTCCAAGTTTGTTTAGACTTGAGACTGCCTCTGTCAATACGCCAATCAGCGGCGGCCGGCAATTACGACCAAGAAACCCAAAGGTGAATGTTCAAAAGTCTTTGGCGCAAGATACTCTATCCTTTTCCGTTACGAAGCTTCAACACGCCGATAGACAAGATTCTAAGAGCACAACACTGAAGCGAAAGGCTCAAACGGAGGGTATATCTGACGCTGGGAACCAAGATATACTCGAACCTAAAACTAAAAGAGCGAAGAGGATCGCTAGAAAGACAAAGGATAATCCTTATGGTTTGACGCCAGGTGTGAGTCCTTTCCCTACGTGGGTGCCGCCAACCGCGGAGCAGTGTGAAGAAGTTTTCGACTTGCTCAGAAAAACGCACAACACTGTTTTGACCCAATCACCAGAAGTTATACCTCCTCCTTCTCTAGAGGTAACTGGATGTGGGGAGGTTCCGTCTCTGCTCGATGGGCTACTTAGGACATATCTGAGCACTGCAGTAAGCATGGACAGCTCGAACAAGATGTTACAAAATGTAGCCGCAAAGTTCGGAGTATTGAATGGGGGAATTGGAAATGGAAGTGTGGACTGGAATAATGTTCGGCTACATAAGACGGAGGTGCTGTATGATGCCATTCGCAAAGGGGGTCTGGCAACTGAAAAGTCTAAGAACATTAAGACCATTCTCGACATGGTTTATGAGGAAAACGTCGAACGGCGTAAGGCATATCTCGAGGAAAGGAAGACCGGTGTGCATGCAAACGTATTCGCAGCGGCAGAAAAGACAGACGGACAGAAGGACTTTGAAGTACAGGCAGTGGAGCAGAATGTCCTTTCACTTGAACATCTCCGTGGCTTGCCAAGCGACGATGTCATGAAGCATCTGACCAAATACCCTGGTATTGGTGTTAAGACCTCAGCATGCGTTATCCTCTTTTGTCTTCAAATTCCATGCTTTGCTGTTGACACCCACGTTCACAGATTTGCGCGATGGCTAGGATGGGTGCCGGAGAAAACAAACGCCGATGATACATTCAGTCACTTGGATGTCAGATGCCCGGACCAGTTCAAGTACGGTCTGCATCAATTGTTTATCCAACACGGAAAACTGTGCGGGAAATGCAAGGCAAACACCGTTGAAGGGACAAAGGATTGGGCTGTTCTCGACGAATGTCCGCTAGAGAACCTGATTCGCCGATTCGGAAAACGGCAGTCAAAGCCGAAGGGAGGACAGGAAAAGAAGAAGCAAGAAGAGAAGATTAAGGAGGAGGAGGAAGATGATGAGAATTAAAGGAAAGGCGTAAAGGATCAGGAGAACGCCGAAGGTGACAAGTAAGCTACCGATTATGGCTGGTGGTAACTGCTCAGCTGCTTTAACTGCTTTTATGTGCAAGGAAGTGTAGATTACCTATTTAGGTAAGAGCTGACCTGAGATAAAATAAAAACTGCGATGCTTTTTAACTTTTTAACTTGTACTATCTTGCACCCGCTTGTTTTTGCTTTTACTCGACTATACGCCTCCGTGTCGGTGCTTTCTATATGTTTCACTTCTACTGTAAGCTCCCGCCCTCTTTATCGTATACCTAGCACGCTATAGGCGGGACTTGCCTGTTCTTTTTACTCTTTAACGGTTTCATATTATACATACTAGTCATTAAGTAAACAATTATACGCTTCCGAATTCGAAGTAATCGAATTGGAATGATAATAGACCTATGGAAATAAATTATTTGCGAAATTTCTACCAACTTCCTCTTCTACACTTCCACTTCTACACTTCCAATCGGAGGGATTACGCCAAGCCTCCAAAGCTCAACCCTGGAACCTATTACCTCATCACACTGCACAGAACCTTGCCAGGCGAAGCAATTAAAGTATTATCGATAAGAAAGCACTGTAAGTACTGTACCTAGTAGTTTGGCACGTTCCTCGAAACTTCACGCGCCGCGCCATGAGCAATTCACTTTAACATTACCTACACATCTCCAGGACTGTCAAACTTTCCCACTTCACTTTTGACAGCTCCTAATTCCTCCCCATTCTCAATATCTACTGTTGCGTATGGTTCTGACTTATTGTGTAGCAGAGAGAAGAGAAGAGAAATTCCATTTCGCAAACCCTCGCAAACCCTCGCAAACCCTCGCGTTGGAATTTGCATGCCATCAATACCTTTCCCCCTCTTGAACGTCCCTGACCATTTCTGGTGGTGAATGTACTTTCCAACTGAGATAATCAGAGTGGCTTAAGATTAGATTTTCTAAATTCACACTCAAACCTCGATACAAATCTTAGAACCTGAACCTAAATCTGAACCCGACCTTCAATCCCCCATTACAACATCGAATTACGATCCGGGACGACATGCCTGACGCAAGTCAACATGTCTGTCAATCAATTACTCGAGAGTGCTTTTAGTAAGCTCCGAGAGTTCCCACAAGAATCACATCTATGCTGTCCACGCATATCCGAAGAGGATGACGAGATCTACGAGGACGTTGACGCTCCTAGCAAAATCACCATCGCCGAAAAGGAAGAGAGAATCCAACAAGGCAAGGAGAGATTGAATCAGACATACATCTGTTCATTAATATTGGGCCTCGAAGAAGAATTGGCAGGGAACTTAGGTCCTGAATTTGGAGAGCGGACAAATGTTTTCCTCAAGTCATGCGCGACATGCGTGCGTAACTGGCACAAGGGACGTAAACCCTTCCTAAAAGACATCGGCCAAATATACGACGACAGTGTAGTCGCCGAGATGGAGGATCGTCTGAATCAATTCGATTTCGTCCGCATCACCAAAGGTCTTGAGGGTGCTGCTGAATTCATCAATGCACACAACGGTGTAGCTGGACAGAGCACCTTTCTTAAGGAAGATCGGGAAGATCTACTCATCGCGCTCTACGAAGCTATCTGCTGTATGCCATACTTGAGTTTGCCGGAAAACCGAAAAGAGTTCAACTTCGTATTCGAGGCTATACAGAAGAGAAAGATTCTTAAACTAGACGAGATCCTTCCGACTATGACTTTTTTCCTATTCGACCCCAACGAAACTCGCAACCGATTCGCTGTCCACACATTCTCTCGACATCCCTCTGTTACCGAAGAGGACTTTGAGTGGGCAATCAACGACAACCTCGCAAACGCTATTGTGGGAGCTAATGACTCCTCAGCGTCTCCTGAGTTCCTCCTTCGCTTCTGGCAAGGATTTCTTCATATTCTGGACGTGCTTGATGAGAAGCTCGTCATTCATTCCCTTCGAGCCATGACCGGCCAGCCGAGCATATATGATTTGCTGCTTGCCCAAATCCCTCGAATAAATTCCGTCCCCATTTTGAAGTTACTTCTCAAGGCATTTTGCGCGCTGATACGAAAGTCTTCCAAGGCGTTCTGGGATGCATATAGTCATTGCTCTCACATATCAGTTGCCGAACAAATATTGGGTAGCCCAGCCTTTAAGTCACTTCTTTTGCAATCGGGAGAGCCTGATATGTCCGAGGGTCCAACGGCCATCTCTTGGGTAAAGCCATTCGTAGAATCAATTCCTACCCATCAGAAGAGTGATGTCTGTGATTCACTTTTGCACCACTTCCTGCAAAGATACGCACAGGATCCTACCATGACATCGGGAGGCAAGCTCGCTTGTACTCTTGCTGCGGTTGAGATTCTCTCCTCCACCCTAGGAACTTTCGCCTCCCCAAGTTACAAGCTTCACATATCATCCTCGACCATTCATACCAATACGGTCTTGAATCTAACATTAAAGTATAAAGACTTGATCATACAGCTTGCCCAACTTCCATCCAACGACCAACAGAATGCTGCTATGTCACATGCTGGTTTATCCGTAATAAAACACGCTCTAACTTTGGATTCTCGCATCACCGTCGAGGAGTTTAGCGCACTCCAGAGCAGTGATAGCTACGTCCAACGAGAGGTAAAACGGAACTCGCCTGGTCTTTGGGAAGCATTCTTGGAGATCCTCCAGCCCGGTGCAGATGAACTTGCCCAGATCATGCTAGTTGCCGCCAGCCCTCTAATTGCCGTAGAGATCTTTCGACCGGTGAAGAGACAGACTTTATCGCCGACGAAGAAGGAATTCAACATTGATTTTCAGAAAACAGCTGAGTTGATAGGCCGGATGATTGAAAGGCTAGCCGACTTTAGCGAGCCTGCTCTACGACAGCTCTGTTCCGATCCTTCGACAATATCCCCTATTATGGCGACTCTTGTGCATGGCGAGCAGGACATCAATCAGGCCGGGGCATCCTTCATCAAGACGGTAACGAATGAGATGAGGAGAACCGACGCCGTACTCAGACTACTAGAAAGCTACTTCACCCATGTCTTATCTTCTTATACCTCTATTGTCACTGAAATTACCGAGAGGATGTCTCTCTGGTCGCCACAATTTAATGTCATCCGATATTCAAGAGATATTCTCAGCAGTCTCTGCGATCCGACGTCTGGTATACTTCGATCGAAAGATCTGAATGGCAGAGAGCGTGAAGTACTGCGTGCTTGGTGGACCGCACAATGGATCTTTATCGACAACGCATTTACCCAGACAGAGGATTGGAGTCGCTTAATTGATATGGAAACCATGAAGAATTTTTGTCGAGAAGCGATGGAGTTTGCCGAAGCTCTTTTGGCTCAAGATGGTCTCCTCGCCTCTGCACTGAGCTCAGAATCTGCGCATTCTTCTTCGGTCGAGAATGGCGAACAACCCGAGAAGCAAGCTATGAGAGATATTCTCGAACACCCGCGAAAGTATTCCTTCGGACTTTGCAAGATGCTTCGCTTAAAGGATCTATATCTTGTTACGGTAATCGTCAACGTGCTCGGAAAGCTCCTGAGACGTCTGGTAGAGTTCGATATCGAGCTCCCCTCGCAGGCTCTGACGTTCGTCAAGAACACCTGCATTAAGAACAAGGATGGGCGATACAATACCTCGACAAACATGAATGATCGCCAACGTGCTGAATTATTACGAGCTTTGGGCGAAGATGCTCGAGATGAAGTCGAGATCATTTCAGTAAAGAAGGCCGAGCCACTTAAACGACAGACTAGGCTTGATGCCTGGTCGTCATCGGTCGATGACACTTCAAGTACACCGAGTGCACCTGGCGCGTCTCGAAAGGAGAAGATACCAGTAAGGTCAAGCAAGGATGATTTGCGTGATGTGCTAAAGACTTCCTCTTCGGATAAGACTAAGTCTGCTTTGGACATAATGAGATCCCGCCAAGCAGAACGAAAACCCGCACCACCTGTAGTTAATGTAGCATCTATTCGTGAAAAACGTCAGAAGGAAGCCGAGGAGAAGCGAAAGCGAGATGCAGAAGCCATTTCCAGGGCAAAAGCTCTTAGGCAACCTAAACCGCTTGTCAGCGGCGAGGGTTCTGGCCTTCAGGGACTTTCTGGCGCCCATGGCAAAGATCATGCACCACAGAAGAGCGAGATCATGGTCAATTCCTCTTCGGAAGATGAAGATGATTCAGACGGTGACGCCGAGTTTTTAGCCCGATCTGCTGCTGGGAAGAAAGGGTCGAAGGGCGGACAATTCGCGAGGCCTAATGTGCCTTTACCAGTGAAAAAGGTGAAGATCATACGTTCTGCAAAGGATATGCGAGCCCGACTTATCCCTCCGATGGACATCCTTCACCAGGCTATTCTCGAATGGGATATCTTCCATGAAGGCAATGACCCACCTAATGGCATAATATGTTCTAAGGTTTCTAACGCCTATGGAGATCCACTTGAGTATAGGAACACATTCATGCCGCTTCTAATTAATGAGGCTTGGAGGTCCTTTGTGACGGCTAAAGATGAGTCGACATCGAAGCCGTTTGGTATCAAGATTGTTAACCGGATGAACGTTGATAAGTTCGTCGAGGTTAGTACAGCCATGCCTATTAATGAAAATAAGGACAGGTTCCTCTCAGAAGGAGACATTGTCCTATTTTCACAGGCTGCGAATCCGTTGGAAGCTACGGAGGACTTACATTGTCTTGCTCGTATCTGGCGTGTCCAGTTCAAGAATGGCAATCTAGAAGTGCAATTCCGCTTAAGTGGTCGGGCTGGACCTATATTATCTACATTGACGCCTAAGTCCGAGCTTTATGCCGTAAAGATTACTAACATGACTACCATCGAACGTGAATACGCCTCGTTGGAGAGTCTGAAGTACTACGACTTGATGCCTGAAGTTCTAGAGGCTAAACCGTCTCCTATGCTTAAGTTTAGTCAAGAAGCCGTTGAAAAGGTCATGGAAAACTATCAACTCAATCCTGGTCAGGCAAAGGCGATTCTAAATGCGAAGGAGAATGATGCATTTACTCTAGTTCAAGGGTGAGTACCGATCATTAGCAGGTAAAACTTGAAGAAATATTGACTAATTGATTACAGGCCCCCTGGAACAGGCAAGACGAAAACGATCGTAGCAATGGTCGGAGCCTTACTCACAGGCAATTTCCCTACAAATACGGGCACAGCTATCAAACGACCTACTGGGCCGGGTTCAGCGGCCGGTAAAGCGTTAGCCAAGAAATTGTTAGTTTGCGCGCCGAGTAACGCTGCTGTGGACGAATTAGTTCTACGACTCAAAAATGGAGTCAAGTCTACCACAGGATCTTTCCACAAGGTCAATGTGCTACGTCTCGGTCGTACTGACGCTATCAATGCTGCTGTAAGAGATGTCACATTGGACGAATTGGTCAAGGCCCGCGTGGAGGGAACTGCGGACCAGAATAAGGGTCCTAGCTCGCGAGAATTGATGCATAAGGAAGCTGGTCAAATCAAGTTGGAACTGGCTGATTTGCGACCGCAACTAGAGGCGGCGAGAACCGTCGGCGACCGTGCGCAGATAAACCAATTTCAACGAAAATTTGACGAATTGAAGCGCCGACAAGCCCAAATCGGCGCAAAGATCGACGCCGATAAAGATAGTGGAAATACGGTGGCCAGAGAGAACGAAATCCGACGACGTCAAATCCAACAGGAGATCCTTGATTCCGCTCAGGTACTATGCGCGACGCTCAGCGGTAGTGGACATGAGATGTTCAAGAATCTTTCGGTCGAATTCGAGACCGTGATCATCGACGAAGCAGCACAGTGTGTTGAACTCAGTGCGCTCATCCCATTGAAATATGGATGCTCTAAATGTATTCTTGTCGGTGATCCAAAGCAGCTTCCTCCTACTGTGTTGTCGCAATCTGCTGCGCGCTACGGTTACGACCAGAGTCTTTTCGTTCGCATGCAACGAAACCATCCTGACGACGTTCATCTCCTCGATACACAATATCGTATGCACCCAGAAATCAGCCTCTTCCCCAGCCAGGAATTCTACGAACGACGTCTCTTGGATGGCGATGACATGAGAAGACTGCGTCATCAGCCGTGGCACCAGAGTGCGTTGTTAGGTCCATATCGCTTCTTCGACGTGAAGGGAATCCAAGAGAGAGGTCGCAAAGGCCAATCGCTTGTCAACTTGGAGGAACTTAAGGTTGCTATGCAGCTGTATGATAGATTGTCGACGGATTACGCGAACATTGATTGGAAGGGAAAGATCGGTATCATCACCCCCTATAAAGCTCAATTATTCGAGCTACGAGATCAGTTCTCTCGCCGGTACGGAGAGAAGATCAAAGAGTTCATCGAATTCAACACCACGGACGCCTTCCAGGGTCGTGAGTGCGAGATCATTATATTCTCGTGTGTTCGAGCTAGTCCGACAGGTGGTATTGGTTTCATGACCGACATTCGACGTATGAACGTCGGTCTAACCCGTGCAAAGTCTTCTCTATTCATTCTTGGAGATTCAAGAGCTCTAGTCCAGGGTGAATTCTGGAACAAGCTCATCGAAGATGCCAAGACTCGAGATCGTTATACAGCTGGCGATGTCCTCTCTTTGCTAAGAAGACCCGGCGTCAAAGTGCCACCCCCTAATTTTGAAGCTCCGCCAACACCCGCTCTGCCGGCTCCCCCTCAACCTATCGAAACCTCGAATCCCACTTCGAAGCAATCTAGTCGAGCCAATAGTCACGAAGATGTAGTTATGGAAGATGCACCACCTTCGAATCGGGCACCCAAGAAGAAGCATCAGACCCCTCAACTACCGCAGACGTACACCGTCCTTGAGCGACAAAATCCCCGAGCCCCAGTCGACAACTCGGCTATGACGGGATATGGTGGATTGAATGAGAGAGGTGAAGCGGCCACCGTCAATCGTTCTTCTGAACGTCCCGTAATCCATCAATCGGGTCAAAAGCGGCCTAGAGATGGTAACGATGATGGCAAAGCGTCAAAGAGGGTAAGCTATATCAGCATGGCGAAGATTTCCGAAAATCGCTAACATTGAATGAAATAGGTTGCTAGCACGAATGTTCCTCTAAAAGCGCCACCGAGCGCACCTCGAAACATGCCGCAGCCCCAAGATCCTTCAGCCATGGCTGTTTTGGGCATTACACCCAAACCTGCTTCATCTTCTCACAACTCCCCTCCCGGGCCTTCGAATGCCCCTAGGGTATGTAACACCTTCTATGGTTAAATAATAAACTGTTCCTTTGCTAATAATTATCATTAGGGTCCGCCCGGTCCTGGATCATCTCGACCGTTACCACCGAGAAGACGACCCCCTCCTTCCGATCCCTTTATCAGACGTAGACCGAGACCACAGTAATAACCCGACGAAAGTGGAGGATCGATTTTTCGTCCCTCCGCTATCTAATGGGTGTGGATACGCTTTTTCCCTTATTACCAACAAAACACCACACAGCACATCATCCGTAATACGATGTGCTTCGTTACGGGAATGGCGTTACCGGTAGCCTCACCATTACATCGCATTTTCACGGCGCCTGGCTTTCCCCATGATACTTGTACTCCTAGATATCGCTTTCCTCTCGGCCTCTACAAAACACCACGCTTAATTAGGAACGCTTGGACGACTTTCTAGTGGCTTTGATACCCAGGTCTCGCATCTAAAGCAGTGCAGGCAGGAATGGTATTTGCTTCTTCGTAAACGGGGATGGAAAAGAACTCAATTAAAAATAGCTGGCGAGCCGAACCTCGGGCTGTCTTCTGTAGATTCTGGGCGAAAATCGTGGAATTAATTACGATCATGCCCGGTTTTAAATGGGCGATTGGCTGGGTAAGTATCCTAGTTCGTATTGCCTGGTATATTTGTGAGGTGATTCGGTGATTTGGTGGTGTGTATGTGTGTATGTGATACCTCCTATGCTTCACGTTTGGTGGTGCTCTGGTGGCTTTAGCCCGGAGATGTCCTTCTCGACGACTCTATTGAATATTCGGGTTGAGCGTCATACACCTACAGTACCTACTTTAAGGGTGCGAACTACATATCATTTTCAACCTTGCGTACCTACCCAAGATCTACCTGTTCACTATTCCTGATCTTCGCACCCATCTCCAAATACCACTATATTTGTGATATCCTACAGCGTCGACCTTAGCGGGATTCCCCCACATCCCCGCACCGCGTACCTATTGTGTGTACCCCCAACCTCCCTTTTTCGACCCTTCAGAACCTTGGAAGTTAAACCCTCGATAAAAAGAACCAGTGTATCTATGTCATCTCCGTCTATCCGTATATCTCCTTCAAAGTACAGCTCAAGGAGCCTCCCCCCGTTTCCAAGCTTCGAATCATTAAATCACCGTAGAGTAACACAGTCACAACTGCATACGGAGTTTTCCATCCACAAACATTAGTACCTATCAATACCCCTTCATTTTCCCCCGCAACCCCTCAATTCTTAACCTAGCCGTATGTTGCCTATAAGACACTGCAACTCAACTCGGCTTAGGGAAATAGTCTGTAATCTCACGAACACATCGGTGTCCATCTAGCTGCGTACCTAGGTACCTAGTTAGTGCTGGGTTTAGTGCTAGGTATGCCAAAGCCGTACACTCTAAGCCCGGAAAAGCCTCGTCCCAAATCAGGAATTAGACCTAATTAGGTACCATCTGCCTACATATCACACTTAAACATAATGCACAAGAATCCCAAAAACGCCCCCTATTAGTTTCATAAACGCCGTTCGGCGTAAATATATTACAAATATATAAGTAGGCGATGAAAGATTGTAAGTTAAATTTAAACCAGCAAGCTAAGAAAGCTAACTAAGTCCAATAGTCCTGGGTATGCCTCGTTACAACCAAAGACATAGCTGCAGCTACGGGAGAAAGGTCCAAATGGATATCAACCAACCAACCCGACAACCGAATCAGAATAAGTTAAAGATCTCAGGCTCCGAACCAGACGTCTTTCCCCCTTCGACCTCGGGCTGTCTCGCCGTCGCCTGCAACTCGCGCATGAGCGGTTCCATGACTTCGACACTATCCGCATCGATGCTCTGGTCGTTACTGCTGTCGCTGGAGTGGCCGGAACCTTGGGCAATTTGGCGAGTTTGGGATTGCAGATGTTCTTGTAACGCCTCTAGTGCCGACTTGCTAACACGTGTGCCCGTAGCATCGTTCTCTTTTCTTTCTTGAGTATCTCTTTCTCGCTCCGCTTGACGTGGATTTGGTGAGTTTTGTTTTTGAAGCTGCGTCGTCCCTCGCTCTAACCCCGTCCGCAGGATTTCACGTAAGTTGTCATAGCTACGTATAGACCTTAGGGATTGGGCGCGTCCTCGGCCAATTTCGGTGTGTTTTCGGCGCGGGCGGGAGGCAGAAGTAGTTGTATTACGAACGGTAGCACTTCGTTGTAGGGGATTTTGATGTTGATCCTGTAACAGTCTATTGAGGGTGTCCATCAAAGACACCATAGACTGCATGAGAACCTCGCCATTCCGCTCTAGCCGGTGCAGCCGTTTCTCCATATCCCTAGTACGACTCTCCTTTAACTTTTCGTATCGCCGGAGGAGCTTCTGGTGTGCTATTTTATCCTGAAGCTCTGCCTCCTCTGCCAGCCTCTGGGCGGCATACTTTTCTCTCCTTACTCTAGCTTCATTCTCTTCTCGCTCCGCCTGCTTTTCTCTTCGGCGATAATAGGCTGTACTACCTTCCCAAGGCATGGGCGATGCTATCGGGGATGGTGATGACGAACTTGTCATGGCTGGGACGCTCGCACTTCTTTGGCGACGTTTCTTGATGGCAGCTTCAGGTGACAAGTAAGGCGATTTCAGATGCATCACAGACCTGATTGGGCCGATATCCGATAGTTTAGCTGTTAAGTATGGCTTTGAAGACAGGGGGCCTATATTGTGACCAAATCGGCCGAGAACAGGAGACTCCGGCCAGTCATCGTCAACTACTACCCCCGACGTAGGAGCCTTGGTCTGACGCAACTGCGCCTTCAACTTCTCTATATCTTTCTGTTTCCGTTCCCGTACCCGATCTTTCCGACTCGAAACTACCTTGGCTACTGCGGGAGGTGATAGAATTTCTACATGGTCTGAGCTATTGGCTCTGATCGAGTTATTTGAAGGTGGTGTAGGGAAATTGAGATTCAGAGGTGACTCGGCGTCTGGATGCGAAGGTGGCCGTACAACTATGGGAACAGATTGGTATGCCGTAGCAGTCTGCGCCTTGAACAATCTAGGCGACGATTCCGTCGTTCTCAGACTCTCAGTAACCGAGCCACAAGGACCAGTTCCACGACCGTTTCCATCGCCATTATCAGAGTTGGCGGTCAGTAGCATGGGTCGGCGGCTAGCAACATTATCAATATCGCTTCTTCCAGAAAACGTCAGTGGAGCCCTTCGGCTCGAAGTTCGAACTGGCAATACCGGCGCACTCAAAGAGCTCGTCAAGAGAAAGCGCCGAGGCTTAGTAGATTTGCTAGCATCCTTTGAATCGTTCTTTGGCGTTTCATGATCTTCGTGTGTGATCGACTCGGTGGCCGGAGGCGGTTTCTTGAGTTTCTTTGGCGTAATCTCAATAACCCGAGGGACCTTTCCAAGTTCGGGTCCAATAGATTCCGATGCCTTCTTCTGATGCTCTTGTTGTAGCGCACGATCCCGCGTGGGAGACTTGGATTCCTGATCAGTGATATATGATGTCTTATTAGATATCAAAGGCGTCATCAGTGCTTGGCGAGCTATGATATTTTCTGCTTTACCCCATGTATCTAATTCTTTTCCTTTCTTAGAAGTTATCTCTTCCTGAGAAGCCTGCGAAGGCACCGTCGAAAGCAAGGAAACTTTTCTAGGGGGAGGTGCCAATTCGGTAACCCCTTCCTGTTGCGTCGCCGACTTTGTTGCGAGAGATATAGAGGACAATGATTCGTGATCTTCAGTAACGGTCTTGAGGGTATTTCTGCGAGGATCAGAGGTCGATTTACGCGATGGATTACTGACTGTCGGATATTGTAAAGGAACGGGGCTGAATGTTGAATAGTTAATCGGGATAGAAATGGCAATATATCGATGGCCGTCGATGGTTCTAGCAGAAACAGCTGAGTCTGGAAGCTTGATAAGTGGCGGTTGGCGACGTTTCCTGCGCTTCCGCTTCTTGCGAAAGACTTTGAAGACGCCCCATTTGGTATCAGTCGAAGAAATACTTGCATTGTCAGGTATTGACATGCGATTCCCTGGAGGTGGAGGCCCTTGAAGGAACTCCACGAGGTCTTTTCGGCAATCCTCGCCGGCGTTAGGACGGGCAAGCATCTTGCCAGATGGCAGAGACGAAGTCGTCTCGCGCAGCTCAGATATTTTTGTTTCTTTCGTTAGGTTGGATATAGAGCGAACGACAGATACAACAGAGGATGGGAGAGATGGTGCTGAGTCTCCATTGGTCTTGTCTTCTATGCGCACCACAATTTCCTTTTCCACCAGGATACCCAGGCTGACTGAGCTTAAGAAGATGCTATCCATAATTAAAAATGCTTAGGCGGAGACGATGGAAGGGGATAAAGTCTATTTTTCAAGTGTCTTCCATGTGTGAATGGAGACATACGCCACTTTTACTTCATCATCTCCAGCTCTGATTGTTCGTGACATGACCAGACCCAGAGCTTCGGGAGTCAGATACGACCACACTCGTCGAGCTTTCCAGCATCAGCATACGAGGGTTCCCTACAGTATTATTATGAATAGCTATCCCTCAATAAAAAGACCGATACCATAACGTATTAGATATTTCGGATATTATATGAACCCCTTGCGGGCCTTTTAAAGAGAGCAATAGAGACTTATTGGGGAATATATGCAAGTAGCTAAAAATGGCATCATAACGAAGAGGAGAACGACCCCAATTAAAAAAACGAGGCAAAGATAAACGGTCGAAGAGGTCGGTAACTAGCCGAGAAAGTTAAACATCATCTTCCATCTGAGTTAGGTATGGTAGACAGGTAAAGGTTCGACTAGCAACCTGTGATCGACACAAGCAAGTGAAGACTGACTAGCCTACCAAGGATAAGCTAGACAGCTAGGCAGCTCGGTTCACAACCAGCCAGGCACTCGACTACCGGTTGGAATCTTAAGAATCTTGGAATCTTGGAACTGTGAGTTGTCTCGAGTCAAGAGTTAGAGTCAGAGCGCTATCAGCTCTGACAGTAGCGAAGTATGTTCGTCTACTGGCTAGGTAGCTACCTAGGTAGGCGACTCGAAAAGGCCGTTGAAACATGTTCAAGAGACACGAAAACAAGGTGTGCTAGACAAATTGAGAGGTCTGTCAGTTAACTTGCTTTTCTTGCCAACATTGGACGATCGATATAGGAAAATACTCGGCCTAGTTGCCCATGACTACCAAGTACTGATCGCTACCTGAATGCGCATCAAAGGCCATTGATGTGTAGTATCAACGACCTAGGTACCTTGGTAATGGAATATTTCGAAGACTCGAAGCATTTCCAGGAGTCGAGGGTGTTTGATTACGAGTCATTGTCATGGTCGAGTTGTGAGACATTGATGTTAAAGTTTAATTCAGAGCTCCGAGGTTGTTCGCAGGGATGGAAATATACGGGGAAATAAACCTTCGATTAATACGATTACCAACCCCACTAATTGACCTTTGCTTTTATCTGCATACACTTTAACCTTCTAAAACGTTCGTATTCGTTAACTCGTTCAGCCTATTTACGCCCCTAAATGACACATCAATTCCACCTCTTTTTCAATCTTGAAAATCGTTAATTCATTTCAAAAAAATAATAATAATACGGTGACTCGTGAATATCTTAAATTTGGTGCTAGGATCTAGTTCATTCGTCGACTTCCGTGGATATGTGAAGGCTAAATATTACCTAGGTGCATTACCATGGCGTCGGAATCCCGAGAATAATAATGACCGCCTCAACGCTCCCGGAAACTTGGAGGTGTGATTTCGTTAACGAATCGTCTATGAAGATAACCGAGAGCGAGTAGGCGGCGTTATAGAAACCTCGGCCGAACATATTAAACCTACATTTCCTCTAGAGAAACTCGAAAATGGCATTATCAGCTTAGAAAGTGATCGAGTTTCTCTTCTACGCTGATGTCTCTATACTTAGCACTTAACGGAGCTCCGGCTTGAAACCGCTGAGAGATCATGTTGGAGATACGCCGATCTTTCCTCATTTCTCCACGCCTCAAATTTCGCATGAGGAGGCGTGTAAATGAGAGAATATGTCTCACACGAGATTTCCATGCATATTTCAGCCTACCAATCTCGGGGAGGTTGGGTCAAAGCCTTGGACTCGAAGAGAACTCGAGAATGAATTTTGCTAAGCTCTGGCAAACAATTGCATTCTGTCCACCCTATAGAATAGTCTAGCCTCGACTTTTCTCGATCAACTGTGAATCACTAAAATGAAATACACAATATTGATTCTCATTCTACCCGGTTCATTGCAACTAAGTGCAGTTACACAGAAAACGAGTCAACTGGCTGAGATATAGAGTATAGAGGTAGTACCTAAAATGCCACTGTTGATTTTACGACAGCTTCGTACGTTCTAACATTCAAGATACCGTAAATAGTTGTATATGATTTGCAATTCTGCGGCAGGGTATTCACAGTAATAACCCTTACCCGATCGCGATATTATCAAAACTGCTTATAGATCGATAGTGATGAATCATTACCTTTGATCCATGGATTTAACCTCAAGCATCGCAGAACGTCGGAGTTTCGAGGCGTCTAGCTGAGCAGCAACATGTCTACTATGGCTTTCCGAAATGGATCACAGATAGTAAATTGTTTTCTAACAGTTATGATCGGAGCATAATGTAATATAGTAGTAAACTAGGGAAGAAAACTCACCAAAATGTCCAAACCCTGGATCCTCGTCTCCCCAGCCAGCCGCGGGATCGGACACGCCCTAACACGGCACCTCCTACGAACAACCACGGCCCCGATCCTCGCAACAGCGCGGTCCGACCTCCCCGGCGTGCGAGCCTCCATCCTAGACTCTCTCTCCTCCTCCCCATCCACCCCCCTCTCCAAAGACGAAAAAACCTCACTATCAAAACGCCTGCACCTAACCCACATCGACGTAACCCACGAACAAAGCCTAACCACCGCCTCCGCAGAAGCAGCCCAGTTATTCCCCCCCGAAACCCACCACCTACACCTCGCATTCGCGCTCCCGGGGATCCTGCACCCAGAAAAAAGCCCAGCAGACGTAGACTACGCCGCGGCGCTGCACACGCTGCAAGTGAACGTACTAGGCCCCCTCATGCTAATAAAGCACTTCGGGGACTTCCTGCCGCGAAAAAACGTCGACATATCCCCAGAGCCGTTATTCACCTCCCCACCCCAATCCCCCACCACCCCCAACGAAGACGGAGAAGCCAACAACCCCCCACCGCACGCAACCTTCCTCCTCCCCTCCGCCCGCGTGGGCTCGACAACCGACAACCGGCTGGGAGGATGGTACACGTACCGGGCGTCGAAAGCAGGCGTGACCAGTCTCGCACGCACATACGACTTATATCTCCAGAACCGGTCCGGGGGGAAGGCTATATGTATAGCGTACCACCCGGGCACGGTGAAAACGGATCTAAGCCGCGAATTTTGGGACCGGGTGCGTGCGGAGAAGTTATTCACGCCGGAGTATGCGGCGGAGCGGATGGTGGAGGTGGTGAGGACGAGGCGGGCTGGGGAGCATCGGGGGCGGTGTTGGGATTGGAGGGGGGTGGAGGTGTTGCCTTGAAGGAGGGGTGGTGAGGAGAAGGAGAATATCCTGAAGCTCGCTATGAAACTACTTCAAGTCCTGAACAAGGAAGTAAAATAGCTATGTGCCATATAACGTAAAACAAGAAAATGGCCCTTATTTCTCCTAAAGGATTCGGATCCGGTTAGAGCAAAACGCCTTTCCAACTCATCCATATATTACTAGAGTTATACGAATAAACGTGACTGCAAGACGTCAATGTGACACATTCCCGCATCCCTACTGTACACAGGTATATTAATAGCCCAAGCTGACAACTGCCATTTTTATTACCTGGCCGGGTATTTTGGAAACCTCTGAAAACTCCATGCTAGTGAGCACTTCGGATCGTAGACCGTATTTATAGCGCTACATCTTGGAAGGACGCCCCATCACCGGGGGAAGGCTCAGGTTTACCCTCCGAATTTGCCTCCTCTTCCGAATCCTCGGCAGTCTCTTTGTCGGGCGATGGTTGTTCACGGCTAGGCCGCAGAGCGACTTTCTGAGTATCCTTATCTTCGAGCCTCACTTTCTGTTCGTCCGTAGCCCTTGCTTTTTCATCATCTCCTGTGCCCTCCTCGTCTTCTTCATCATCCTCACCGCTGCTCTCTTCCTCTTTGTTCTCTTCTTTTTTCGTTTCGACTTCTTTACTCTCTCTAGACTGGCTTGGGGTCTGTGGGAGATCCTTCTGGCTTTGTTGAGCCGGTGTAGGAGGCGATGCCGTCCTCTGTGCTTCCTCGAGGCCTTGGATATTCGCCCTTGGCGCATCCAAGTAAAATTTGGTGACGCCTAGGATACGGCCATTCTTCTCACATGCCTCAACCCACTCGGGTCGCACGACAGGGATATTCATCTCAACTGCCTTCTCCCAAGGTACACCACGACCTTCAGTGGTAACGAAGTGTGTAGTGTCGATGCGCACACCATCGACGATCTTAGCGCCGATGCGCTCGACAGCCTTTGCGAGCTCTTCGCGCGTGGAGGGCGGAAGAATGCCGGTGGTAATAGTGACACCACTCAAATCGGTCATCTTGTGAGTGCGGACGACAACCTGCTTGCTAGCAAATGTGCCGGCGGTGGTGCGTAGGACTAGGTGGAATGAATATTCGGTATCGACTGCAAGACCACTGATCTTAGTGCTATGCATATGAAGAGGTCGAGGGATGTTGCCAGCCTTTTGGCCATTGCGGTAGAGGGAAAGGGAGATGAGGTCGGCGGTAGCGAGTTCGATAGGGTCCCATTCAAGGACTACTGAAGTCTGAGTAGCATTTCTGCAACGAAGGGCAGGTGTGCTAGGCTGCGAAGCGCCAAAAGAGGAAAATATTTGATCTTGGAGGGCGGAGAACCGTGCTTCTGCTTTGGCTTCGGACTCGTTGTTGCGAGAGACAGTAATATCGACTATAGAGCCCGAGATAATGTTGGGAGGCAAGAGAATAGAAGGAAATTCGATCTAGATTTGCACATTAGACTCGTCACTGGCTAATTGGCCACTATAAAGTACGTAGGGAGCATCTCGCGCCTGTGCGATGGATTGCGACAACTTCCAGATAATGGTGGATGATGAGATCAGATAGAATAACGACATACCAAACGTTTATCGGGTGTTAAAAGAACAGTTACGCCGGCATCGACCTTGCCGACAGTGAGAGAGACTAGCATTGTCACCGAGGAATCAGGACACAAAAATTCGAAATAAGTTGGATGCTAGTAGCCGAATGTGAGGTTGGTTGTAGTTGATAATAAGTTAGAGATCTGTACCTATCGTTTAATAAATTTGGGGCGGCGATTCGATTTCGCGTCTCAGGAAATTATCCCACGTGTTACGTATCGAATCTGCGCATCTACCCAAGGAAGCGTCGACACTAGACACTTTTACCACCCCGCAAACTCTCATGCAAATAATAATGTACCTAAATGTACAATGTATAATAAACCATAAAACAGATGATCTTAGGTATAATATCTCTTAAACCAAGGAAACTGCATTTTAAAAAGGACAATCGAGTGGCACCTGGCACGGTCTACTCCTAGATCAGGTACCAAGGTACGTATATTGATGTCGTGCCATCCAATCGCTATAACACCACTAGGCAGTTTTCGTCTCTGGTTTTATATTTATTTCAATGTTCTATAACATACCTAACATTGCATCTTCCCCTATTTCCATATGATATACGTATTACATGTATATGGGTATTATAAGTTCGATATGATTGTATTGTATTGTAAGTACCGGGCTACATACGTCGTGCTGGCCGTGTGTTAGATCGCATGTCCGTCCTCTTACTATCGCCTATTCGACTTATTGCCTGGCTTCCAGTTTGCTTGGGTTGTATTTTGTTGACCCTTGGTCGGGGAGCTGTGATGAATTCACCATTCTTGTCTTTCGCAAGAATCGGTTCAAACCCGGCCACTACCTGTTTCATCTGCTCCAAAAGATCCGCGAACTTGATATTGCAAACAGCCTTCGGATCCCCGCAAGCTATCTTCACGGTCCCATACAAGTTTGTGATTACACTTGACTCATCTTTCGTGATTTTCCTACCCTCTCGATCATATCCATAGTATGCCAATGCGTCGAAGAGTGCGTGCCGGATCCTCTTTACCGCAACTTTACACGGAAAGGGTCTGGCCACGGGATGAGCAAACACCTTATGCCATAGAGGGATCTTCTTCTTTTTGATGTACATGTCGAGGACCGATTTCGCAAATGGGTGCTCATAGCTGTCGAGGTACTTGATCGAAGCTTCGTCGAAAACGTGAATGTGAGAAATCATTATACTGAACTTGCATGAATTATCATTCATCTTCAGTCGGCTTATCGGTATAAAGCTGAATACGTTTTGGTTCGGGAGCGAAATCTGGTATTGTTTGGATACCAAGCGGATATGGTCACCCGAACCAAGCCCCAGGGACAGAATGCCCTCTCTGCCTAGATTTCCTCGGTACGGGCTTCCGTCGCTCACACATCGTCGAAGAGTAAGGAGATAAGGCGCAAATCGTGGTATTCCTAGGGGCCTGCCCAGGAGCAAGCTTGTCATGGTCTACCTAGGCCGAACCCCGTCTAACAGATATGTTGTTGTCAAACAACTCATAATTCTGGTTAGACTGAAAAAAGAAGGATGTTGAACGTATAGATCTTTTAAGCTGTTGGTAGTTCAAATCTTAAGAAGCTTTTTTTCGAGCTCTCATGAGGCTAAAAATTGTTCTGGTAGTGGTAGGAAGTAGAAGTACTACTCAAAAAAGATACTTCCAATTGGTATGCCATGATATCGTAAGTTCATGTACTCTATCTCTATCTTTGGAAATACTTCGTACCTAGTCTAAAGCACACCAACACGCCAAAGTGACCAGAGCGACCAATAGGAGTTGATGCTGTTTCCAAGATTAGCACTGAAAAAAACAAAGTGCCCCACTATGCTACCTAAAAGATACCTTCCCAGGTATATGCAGTGGTAAGGCTATCGCTATCTCCGAACTATAGCGCTAAATAGCCACAAAAGCGTTCGCTCTCCCCGCTATTACTCACTGCTAATTTCTGACAGGCTCGTTTTATTTAAATGCCCCTCGTCACCACGCAACTTTCTTACTTCTAACAAAAACAACGATCACCGATCAACAAACCACAACTTCCCCGGAACGCTTCTGCGACTACTATTGTCGCTCGTAATAAACTTACTTTCCATCTCATCTATCATCCTATCACTACTAGAATCAGCCTAGTCGACCGCCATCATGCCTAAGAACAAGGGAAAAGTACGTATAAATATTCGGCGTCAACCCCGCCACTGACAGCAATATTTGTTTTTTCAATCTTTGTGTGTGAGCGGCTTGTGAAATTTGGCTATGCGAAAAGGTGGCAATCCTGAGGGAAAAATCAACGCTCTTCAATTAGACATCGTCAGCTTGCTTACATCGGGTTGCAACGCATTGCATCAGTCGAGGAGATGATTTAAAACATCAGGCCATTTCACAAGCCAATCATTGTTTCACCATTAGCACAATGTTTCACCCGCCTTTCACCACTATTTTGCTAACGCTATGATAAATAGGGTGGTAAGAATCGTCGTCGTGGAAAGAACGAGAACGACAACGAGAAGCGCGAGTTGACCTTCAAGGAGGATGGACAAGGTACGTCACCTAACCACCGACATATTACTTCCAATATACCTTCGAGTCAAATTCCATATATATACCGCGAATGCATAGGGCAATGAAAAGGAATATACAATAACTAACATCTCTACAACAGAGTATGCCCAAGTCGTCAAGATGCTCGGCAACGGCCGTCTCGAGGCGCAGTGCTTCGACGGTGCTAAGCGACTAGCCCACATCCGAGGCAAGCTTCGTAAGAAAGTCTGGATCAACAACGGAGACATTATCCTGCTCTCCCTTCGCGACTACCAGGACGAGAAAGGCGACGTCATCCTGAAGTACTCAGCAGACGAGGCCCGTTCCCTCAAGGCCTACGGCGAACTTCCCGAAAGCGCCAAAATCAACGAAACCGATACCTACGGCCCCAACGATGAGGGCGAGTGTGGCTTCGAGTTCGACGAGGACCGTGACTCCGAGAGTGAGGGTGAAGCTGCCGCCGGTGGCAAGGAGGTCGATATTGACGACATCTAATCTGTTGTTTTCCCTTCGCCTTGGAGGGAAAATGGAAGTATTCGTCCACCTGGTCCGCCGGTTTACATCGTAACACTTTACAACCCAACAACCTCACGATAACCTTCTTCGGCCATGGAAAAAAACACTGTCTTCTCTCTCAAACCTAGATGTCTCGCGTCTACTACTATTCCGGGTTCCACGACAGTCGGACGATTGCAACTTTGACAGGCTAGTGGCAGGGTTTTACGGTGGGAGAGACGTCGTAGCCCCTTCGCCACTGGGCATTTCACGAGACTGCTTGCTTTTAACTTCACATTTGGCAAATTTCATACACTGCTATTGGCAAGGCATGGAGGAGGTCACGGCATAATGATAACGTAATGACACCCATCACGAACGTCCTTAGGTAGTCTGTTGCTGTTGGTTCTCAATACACACGCCTTTTCTTCAATACATATGCTCATATAACTACGTGCTTGACATGCCCTACTAAGGTGCTTAAGCACTCCTGTAATTTGACTTGACATGACTTAATCTCACGATCTCGTAGCATAACACGCTCATTCTTGAAACGAAAAAAAGTTTGTAATAATCGATTGATTGCCAATTCTCTAAACATCTTCTATCCCTAATCCAAAAGCACAGCCGTCCCCAAAGCTTCGAAAGCAAGTCTCGACAAAACACCGCTTTCCCCGATCAAAGTCTCAACAATAGGCCTGGGTGTTTGTTTGTTCGTTGTGATGCTGGAGTAAATCAATTGTCAACCCCAACCCGACCCGACCCGTCTTTGTCTAGCTAGCTTCGAATCCGACGAAGAGTGTCTTCGAACCTCTGATATTCTAGTAACACTTGCGATGGCAATGATGATAAATAAGTTCCTGGCATTCTAAGCTGCGTGGTCTGTTGTAGACTTGTTTCGATCAGGCTAGGCGAGGCTCTCCCCGAATATGCTACCTCGCGAAACTCCTTGCTCTGTGCTCTTTTCCACCCCCACCCCCTTCCCCCCCTCTCCTTTTACTATGCTTATTGTTAGGCAGGCGGTGCGTGAAATGTGGGCGAATGAGAATAAATCCTGCATCGCAGGCGTGTAGGCGCGGTGGCCGGTGTTGGTACAGCTACGGTGAGTAGGTAGAGTGCTGACCCCCAACCCGGTTTGCGCTCTTGTCTGGTGGTACATTGATGACTTTCAAGGCCTCGCATAGCATGCGTGGTTGGCTTGATTTAGTGGCTCTTGTAGGACTTATTCGAGATGGTTTATGTGATATTCCACTTAGAACAGAATTTTCATCGTTTGATGAATTTAGGGTCTCCCTGACTACAGCCTGGTTGACATGTGTAACGTAATTTTCCGACAGACTTCAACTTCCAAGTCCATTGTCGTATCCCCCCTCTTTAATGTTCGACCAATAGGGCCATTTGCTATGCATGAATTTCGAGAATGCGGCTCTACCACTCATCATCGCTCTTCTCATCATCTACAGAAATGTTAGTATCACTTTCCATGTCTAGTATTGATATTAGAGTAAATGAAAACTTACCACTATCACGAACTCTCTCCTTGCGCTTCTGCAATGCTGCAGCCAATGCATCGGCCATACCACCACCGCCACCGGGGGCGATACCGGCAGGCGGCAGTCCGCTACCGTGCGGTCCTGTATCCGATCCGCCCCCGACTGTAGCGCCACTCCTATCTCTGATCTGAGTCCTATCAACTTTCTTGAGCGACCCAATTCCACCAGCCTTCTGGATGCTGTCCAGCATTGCGGAACGACTATTGTCTGCTGATGGCGCAGCAGGAGCTGGCACTCCGGAAGAGTAACCCGAATCGCGATTCGGGGGTGGTGGTGGAGGAGCAGCTGGGATACCTCCTGGCGGGGGAGGTGGAGGAGGTGCTGGTATTCCTGTTGGGCCAGGTGGTGGTGGGGGAGGTGGGGGTGGAGGAGGAGCTCCGGCACCAGGTAAGGGAGGAGGAGATGGTGCGGAGGATTGGGGCAGCGGAGGCGGTAGTGGCGCAGAAGATGGAGGTAATGGAGGCGGAACTGGCGCACTTGATGCTGGAAGTGGTGGTACAAGTGGACTTCGCGCAGGAGGCGGAGGAGCAGCAACAGGAGGTGCGGGAGTAGGCCGAGTAGCGGCAGGGGGTAAAGGAGGTGCTGGCGGTGCTGGCGGCGGTGCGCTCGAGGTGGGCAGCTTCGGTGGCAGACTCGGTGGAGGTGGAGGTGCTGATGCTTGAGGCTGCTCTCGCGGAGGTGGAGGGGGCACCGGACCCCTGGCCGGTGGTGGTGGAGCGTTGTTCAGCCTCTGGCCAGTAAAAGCGGGAGGTACCCCGAACTTGTGTCCCTGCGGCTTCTCCTCCTGCTCTTCCATCGGCGTCTTAGGCGGTCGTGGAGGGGGTGCCGGTCCAGGAGGAGCTCGAGGCGCGGGATCACTATGAGCGTATTTACCAGCATCGGGCAGGGCAGGAGGTGCGTTAAATCGCGGTCGTGGGGGAATTGGCTCTTGCGGTGGTGTCGGCTCTCGGTGAACGAGTTCCATCTTGCCAGACCTACGAGGTGCAGGTGGAGGTGGAGGAAGACCACGACGGGAGCCTGATGATGATAGGCTTTCCGACGTTGAACGCGGGTTTCCCGATGGAGGAGGTGGAGGAGGAGGGGGCGCTCGACCATGACCGTGGCCGTGATTGTGGCTGTTACCGTTAAGTGACGAGTGACTACCTGACGGAGGTGGAGGCGGCGGCGGAGGTGCTGTCGCAGCTGGCATTCCATTATGAGTCCCCTGCTCTTTCAAAAATTCGACAATGAAATCTTGGTTCTCCCTTATGAATTCGTCCGTAAGCCCTTGCTCCGAAAGAAAATTCCCGAAGTTGTCTCGCCAGTTCGGATCATATGCCTCTAGCTTGGCGAATTTTGATGGCGGTTTTTGGAAACCGTTAACATTCGTTGTAGACATTCTCGCATCATGGAGTGTAGGTATAACACTATTACGAGGTGATTCGGGCGGCGTGGGTGCCGAGGAATGTCTATGTCCTCCGAAGATACTCCCAAAGAAGCCTTGCTTGACAGGTTGCTGTGATGGACCGCCGAAAGGTGTATTTTTCGTGGACTTCGACGCATTCTTTTCCCTCTCATCCATCTTCTTCTTAAATTGTTTAGCCTCCTTTTCATCGACAAAAGACAGCCCAGCTAAACAGTCCTCGAGTTCGAAGGAATGGAAAAAGGTTCGATCTTGATTATAGGACCAATTGTCAAATATTTCTTGGTCCCATATTACACCTCGAGCGGTAGGCTACGGATCATTAGGAATTAGTATATACTGGCAGGGCTTATGTACTACTAGATAGACAGGATAACTTACAGATACGTCGACAAGCTTCAACCAATACGTATTTCCTACTAGATCGTTGGAGAGAACGATAGCCCCTTGTAGGCCAGTGTACGTCCATTTTGAAGGATGTGGATAGGCGACATATAACCTCGCAACAGCTACGGCCTGTATCTTGTTTGTATGTTTTGGCACTACTCGCCTAACGGTTTCCTTATCTTCTTCGCTGAGTATGGACGGCATGGTGGTGGTTGTAACAAGGTCGTGTGATTTATTAAGGGGGGTAAAGAAAGGAGTATAGCAAATCGGTGGCTATCTCCAACGTAGGCGTGATTACTTCTAGGGCTCTACTGAGTAATCATTGAATTGAGGATACAATCGAATCGAATTCGAGAATTCGAATCTACGCCGAGCGGAATGGGATGCGATAGTTTAAAGGATGTAGTATTGTAGCGTACGCGGTCTATTCGCAGTATGGTACCTGAAGTTTAGTGTAGAGGTGGTCGATTGGAGAGCAGGCGAAGCGGCGGTTACGCAGGATTACCGAGTTGCCAAATAGCGGGCGGTTGGTTGGTTAGCTAGTTGGCTGGGACGTTGACAAGAGCCCTGTAAGATGATTGGGAGGCAGCCAAATGTCAGAGGCTGATCAAGCTGATCCTATTTCGCTATTTCGGTTGTACTTGTAGTAATATGTAATGTGGGAATAGTGGCCAAAAGGCCAAAGGTCGAAATATTGGAAATATGAACAATAGAAAAACAAGAAGTAAGCTGCTCAATTTTACATTCCTTTTTGCTGCAGCCTGTGTAGTAATTTCGGAAAAGACGTTTCGTGACTATGAAGGATAGATCCTTGCGATACCTTGCGGAAACCCGCCCGACATCATCAAGTTTGGCTGTGATTTGGCTGTGACCTAGAAACCGCTGACAAGAGATACCGGCCAATAGAATACGACGAAAAAATGAAGACGCCACATTTGAGCACCGCCACTTCGAACAATCTATCTTCCGCGCTATCCACCACAAGGAAAGAAGCCAACCAGGCGAACCTAAATTTCAAGGTTTTGTTAAGCCCCGCTACCGACCCGACCTTCGGGATGCCCCGCCCAAACCGCCGAGTTGTTAATCCCAATTTTATTGAAGACTGTGCACTGAAGAGAAAGCGGTCAGTTTAAATTCAAGACTCGGTGAGTTGGCGATAGGCTGTATCATTATGGACATTCCGACTGCCACTATCACTACTACAGCGTACTATATATCCATGCAATCCATGAATGGATGTTTATATCAAACGATAAGTTGCCGAACACTTCCAAGAAATCTTTAGTTTATCGCAGGGCTGCAATTGATAATTACGCCACTGCATATCACAAACGTACGTCATCCCGCCTTGCCGCCAGTCACCCAAGTTACAGCTCCGGTTGTTACGGATGGTCGAATAAGGCTGCCTAAACGCTCTAGACTTGATTCACTTTCAAACATGTACAGATTCACTGTATTTGAACGGTTGCCTATACTAGAGACAGGTTACAATAATCTCATTCATAATCATGTCTGTGCTATTACAATCATATTACATGAGGTGTACTGTATCCTCGTTTAAGTCTTGAGACCTCGGTTTTCGTTTCAGGATTTCTCCGTCCTATGCCATAGAATCATTCTGAGCCGTGACCACCTAAAACTTCAAACTACGTAATATTCCCAAGACTGTTTTTACGAACAGACTTATTTGTTCAACTCTTTAGCCTTTGCATTGCGCTCTTCCTTAGTCCCTTCTTGCTCTGGCATGTTCTGGGGAATAACAGGACCTGGATGCGCCTTATGGGCTGCGAAAGCAAACTGCTTTGCTCCCTGAGGCTGAGCTGCCTCGCTAGCAGGCTGAGCTTGAGAGTCGGCATCAATCTTGCCGGTCTGAGAGTAATGTTCGGTTAGCTAATACGTCCAATATCTCCCTATAAATTGTGTAAGTCTTAAGAGTCATACCTGAGGAGTAGGATAGGAAGTGTCGGGCATTTTGGTGGTTTGTTTAAGAGTTCTTGTTATTGATTTGGCTATTGTCAGTTTTGTCAAATTGAAAGAATTCGAGTCTAAGAAAAAAGGCTTCATAGAGATCACTACAAGCTACTTTTATGCGAACAATAGTATTCTTAGGTTCTACAGAGTACTTGACCATAACTACGTGGTGTAACATCTTTCGATGGGTGATGACGTATAGATTTGGACCTTCTAGAACCTTGGGACTCTTTAACTTGAGGATCCGCAATTGCCCGTGACCCGGCGTCACAGTGGCGGCAGGTGGTTTACAACCCCGGATTTGCAAGCGCGACTGCATACCAAGTAGCACTTAGCTTTCAATTAAACTGATGCCTACTAGGCATTCGACCTACAACTTCTACACATCTACATCATATGACATACGTACGCACTTACGTACTACCGATCTCGAACATTCGAATGGTACAACAGATAATACCATCTCAACTAATAGGATGATATCCTAACCGAACAAACAGAGCATGCGCGAGGATCCTTGACACCTTGTTGTCACGCTTCTGTCAAAGACGTGCCCCGCATGTCTACAAACAATGCTCCTCAGCCTGTGAAGCTTTCACTGCCTCTCGTACGACCTCCTAAACTTTGCAAATTTCGGATGCTAGTTTATGAGTTACCTACTAAATTTTGTATTATGTTGTCTAGGAATATCAGCAACACCTCTTTCAAGAACTTCGCGCCGAAGATGAACTCGTCGTTATTGCGAAAGGCCTCGGCCTCATGCGCCTCGTTACCAATCTACTACATAGCTACGATGCCGCCGGAAATAACTTGATAATAGTCGTGGGTGCCGAAGATAGGGAAAATGCATGGATGGGTGAAGCTCTCGCCGAGTCTGCTGCTATTAGTATGGCTCCCAAAGCAAGAGGCCTGACAATAGTGAACACCGACTTCACGAGCGTCGCAGCTAGAGAGAGGATGTATGCGAAAGGTGGAATATATAGCATTACATCACGAATCTTAGTCGTCGATCTATTGACGAGTCTTCTTCACCCAGAGACAATCACTGGTCTTATTGTGCTACACGCCGATAAGGTGATAGCAACCTCCCTCGAGGCCTTCATACTCCGAGTATATCGCCAAAAGAATAAGAACGGTTTCCTAAAGGCATTTTCTGATAATCCAGATCCATTTACCATCGGCTTCTCCCCATTAGCTACGATAATGAGGAACCTTTTCCTCCGAAAGACTTCTCTATGGCCCAGATTCCATGTGACGGTAGCTAGCTCACTCGAGGGCAAGAAGAAAGCGGAGGTTATCGAACTAGAAGTCACCATGACCGACGCGATGAGGGATATCCAAACAGCGATCATGGAATGCGTTGAAGTTAGTATACACGAGCTGAAGAAGAGTAATACGGGGTTGGAAATGGATGATTGGAACCTTGACAGCGCACTGCTAAAGAATTTTGATGTCATGGTCAGGCGACAATTGGATCCAAACTGGCACAGAGTTAGTTGGAAGACGAAGCAGATTGTTAGCGACTTGACAGTTCTCCGCAGTCTGTTGCACTCGGTCTTAGCCTTGGATAGTGTGACTTTCTTGCAGCATTTAGATACCATTCATGCCGCGCACTCCCCACAACCAGGGTCTACGAGACAATCGCAGTCTCCGTGGTTATTCCTCGATGCTGCGCATACAATCTTCGACACCGCCAAACGGAGAGTATACGCTAGCAATTCCAAAGCTAACGCGAAGTCTTCTCTTGAATCCCTGCGCCCGGTACTAGAGGAGCAGCCAAAGTGGGCTCTCCTCGCGGAGATTTTAGAGGAAATCGACAGGGACCTGTATTTTAATCCTCCGATGAGAGATGATTCTAATGGAACCATCCTTATCATGTGTTCTGATACAGCAACCACTCGCCAACTTCGAGATTATCTGCAGACGATGCATGTGGAACCTAAAGCTGAAAACGACGGGAAGCAAGGCAAGGAAGAGCATAAGACTTCGGGCGCATTTATGATGAGAAGAAGACTTCGAAGTTACCTCAATTGGAAGAGAGAATTTGCCCAGGTCAGCAATGCGCTGCTAACCGAAAACCAGAAAGCCCTCGAAGGAGCAGTTGACCCGCGAATAGCCCAAGGCTCATATAAAGGGAGAGCACCGGCGAACAAGAGACGACGAGTACGGGGAGGTGGCACTACAGGATCAGCACCGGGTAGAACTGCTAATGGCAGTGTGGCCCAGTACTTCGAAAAGCCTAGCGAGGTCGCCGAGCTCATGGATGAAGTGCAAATTACCGAAGAAGAGGCGAACCAGAAAGCAAATATCATAGATGATCCCCTAGAAGACATGGACGACTATTTCGAGCTTTATGAGATGCAGGATCTAGTCGTAGTACATGCTTATGAGGGCGATCAAGACGAGCATGTTCTTGAAGAGGTAAAGCCTCGGTACATAGTAATGTATGAACCAGATGCTTCTTTCATACGTCGGATTGAGGTTTATCGGTCATCACATAACGACAGAAATGTCCGGGTATATTTCATGTTCTATGGTGGGTCTGTTGAAGAGCAGCGGTACCTCGCTACAGTCCGACGAGAGAAGGACTCGTTTACCAAGCTTATTAAAGAGCGAGCTAGCATGTCTGTCGTCATGACAGTTGAGTCACAAGGTGTGGAGGATCCTCAAGAGGCATTTCTAAGGACGGTGAACACCCGAATAGCCGGAGGTGGCCGATTAGCAGCCACAGCGGAACCCCCCAGGGTTGTCGTCGACGTACGAGAGTTCCGCTCATCCCTCCCTTCCCTCTTGCATGGGCGCAACATGGTCATCGTTCCATGCATGCTCACAGTTGGGGATTACATCCTGTCGCCTAATATCTGTGTAGAACGTAAATCCATCAGCGATCTTATCGGCTCGTTCAAAGACGGTCGACTCTTCAGCCAAGCGGAGTCGATGTTCCAGCACTACAAGAACCCAATGCTGCTCATCGAGTTCGACCAGAACAAATCATTTACCCTCGAGCCTTTCGCCGATCTATCCGGTAACCTCAAGTCCGTCAACCCCAACGAGGTGCCCTCGGACCTGCAGTCCAAGATCGTCCTCCTCACCCTCGCCTTCCCGAGGCTAAGGGTCATCTGGAGCAGCAGCCCGTACCAGACCGCGGAGATCTTCGAAGGTCTGAAGACACAGCAGGACGAGCCGGACCCGGTTATGGCGGTGCGCGCGGGCTTGGATAAGGATGCAAAGGCGGAGGACCAGGCGTTTAATCTGGAGCCCCATGAGATGTTGGGGGTTGTGCCGGGTGTTACGCCGAAGAACTTGAAGAACCTGACGCTAGAGGCGGAGAATGTACGGGAGGTTGCGAATATGAGCGTGGAGGAGATGGACCCGCTTATTGGGAGGGAGGCGGCGAGACAGGTTCATGGGTTCTTTAATCGGAATCTTATTGATATTGATGATTGAGGTTATTTGTATGTATACACCCGTAGGTAGACTTGGATAGAGTATGTAGGTGTGTTTAATTACGAGGTCACGTTCACATGCATTAGGAGTATAAGGTTCAGTGAGGTTAGGAATAAAATTGTGTTATTCCTCTCTATCTTGAGGATGCTATGGCATGTCCATCGCGTCGTCTCGTCATTTCTTGGAAAAGCAAATGTCCTCAATTACAGTGGTTAAGAAAAGGGGGTATCGTAATATTCGTTCGTCAAGACCTCTTGTCTGATCTCGTCCATCTCATCGCTCGCATCTCCTTCGTAGCTCAGCACATCTTCCCTCCTCTCCTGTTTACTAGATGCGGCTCGTGGTAGTCACATGGCGACGCCGTCCCCAACCGCGCCGCGTCCCGGTCGTCGAGCCCATGCCGCCTCCTGTGCTGCGGTGGCGTCGCCCGCTGCTGCAGTAGCCGCAGGTCAGGAAGGAGACGATTATGCCGAAGAAGGTGACGATGCCGCTGATTATCGCTTGCAGGATGTTACCTACGCCGGCGACGATGGCCATGATCACGTTGCCGATCGTGCGGAAGATGGATTGGACCTGTTGGTTTGTGCGGTTAGTTGGGTGTGACGAGGCTAGGTTGGGGGTTTAGGGGGAGGGCTTACGCAAGATACTACGGCACCCATTTTGATGATTAGGTTTGGTAGGTTAAGTGGTTGGTAGGGTTTTCCTTGGTAATAGTGAAGCTGTCTTAGTCGTGAAGAGTTCGGGTGTTTAGAGATGGGATAGTTCAAAGTTTGTTTTCGGGTTGTTCAAGTTTGTTTAGTTTAACGGCCTAGATGCAACCGTGATAAAGGGAGGAGTCAAGGGACTTTATAGGACCAAGTCACGTCCACGTATAGACGGACTTGTTAGATGGCGAGATATGATCTTCCAGCCAAGCGATATCGCATATCACATTTCGATGTTCGAGAAGGAGCTACAGGAAGGTTAGGTCATAGAGTTACAAGCGAGACCCAATGAGATCATTACTCGAGGCGTTCCTTCCTTAGATGCGGCGACTTACAGGCCGCCAGCGCGCTAGGTATCGACCTACCTAATTGCCGGGTCTACAAAAGCAATTACTCGAGCTGTTCGGGTTACGGCACCTAAAATATTTGATTCGAACATGTACACATATTCTGAAATTAAAGTGATATGTCAGTCACATACAGTCTCCAATAATAATTACGTGCATTAGCCATCGGCCTTTGACGGTCTAGGTGGTAGTCGACCTCGTGGATGGTCTGTATAAAAGAAATTGACGTCATTACAGCATCGCAACAACCCCGTTGTGATAGCCCCACCTCTTGTCCGTCATCATGATCTAAAACTAAGAAGGGGGATCGCTCGAATCTGTCTGAGCAATTAACATTTTGATTCGTTCATGCCGTAATCGCGCGTCTGGGAGACCGAGCCGGTGTTAAAGCTCCGGTAGGGCTCAAGCCTTCTTTGCCCTTTTTGAAACCTCTGATAGACATACGGAGCCGAGATGCTCCAAAGTTGTGTCATAGATCAAAGATTTGTGGCTTTAATCTCAGTACACTTCCAGAATGGGAAGTCAAAACGCCACAGAAAGCGGGGTTATTGTCTTTTGAGGCGTCAGATATTGAAGCCGAAAAAACCTGTTTGTTCTCTTGAAATGGCATGGCTCGGTGGCTCCATACGCGGAATGACGTACGTGTGAGATGCGGCTAATGTGACTCAAATCCTTGCTTGGATCGATTCCCCGAACTATCATCCAATGGAAGATAGGATTACTGTTTGCTCGTCAGCAGGATACGAAAAATAGATTCCTCGTGTTGACACCCTGAAAATCCAGCTGTAGCGATCAGACTAGACAAACAACGTTTAGAACAAACGTTATCGAGATCGAACCTTGGAAGCTAACCCAGAGATTAACCCAGCTGTTCGGAAACACAAGCCTCAAATGTTATTATTATGGCTATTGGAAATTAGATTCGCCTAAATCTATAAAGTAAAAGCTTAATATGGTAAGATGAGCTGAGAAACAGGCTTGTTCCCGTCACACCTGACCCCCCTTGCTGCCCTAGCCTAATGTATAATTACGCCATACGTCCTGGGGATATTATATATTAGCTGATAGTCCCCTGTGGAATGTTACTCTTCCTTCTTTCTTCTTCGTGTTCTGCCGCGCAGGTGACTTCACCCCTATCTCTCCGTGAGATCGGGCAAGTCGTTGCCTCCCTTCATGGCCGGTTATGCCGCCTTGTTGGGATGGGTTCGAGTTGAAGACCTATGGCTTCCTCCATTCATGCTGACGAATGAGCATCCCGCTGACCACGGTTACCAGTCCATAATGTCCACTGATGCCCTTCCTCGATCGACATTATTTTGTCTCGAGGGAGGGTCTTCTCCATGACATTAACCATCGCTTGAGTGACGGAGTTGATTACCGGTAGAGTATCTAATCATACTCTCGGAATCCTCTGGCCGCTCGCGTGGTAGCGCATGAACAACCTCGACCACTCTGTTCGTCCGCACTTGACGAAATTGACCTTGGTCGATACGACTCCTCCAATCGAAGACACACCTAAGAGAGTTTCTCGAAGTTGTGCGTTGCTGTGCTGGACGACAACTTGATTCTCACGACACAAGCTCGAGCTCGCGCGATTTCTATCCACGGTCTTCCTGATCGAACCGGATTACCACCGTTTCCAGTTCTCGGTCGAATACTCGTTGTCGATCGACTTTAGCCGACTCGCTTACCGCGATCGAATCCTGCTGCTCTGCCGGCCCCCTTTGGTTGAGACCTCGTTGTCTCTTGGAGACGTCTGTCGTGTCCTGATGGACTACGACGTCGTGGGGATGGACGAGAAGAGACGGGGTTGTTCATTTTTTTGGGAGCGACCTTCACTTCTTCTGGAGCGTTTAACGGAGAATATGATAACAAATTTCTAATATCCGGTCCATTTCGATTCGTCGTTCCGATCATTGGACTCGCCGATTCTACTTTATTCCCGACAACAAATAAAAAATACCATTTCGAACAATTTGGTTATGGGAGATGGTTTGATGCTCGCGTTTATGAGGAACTAAATTGTCATGCGACTTACGAATTGACGACACTTGGGTAATAGATGTTATTATGTTAGCGTCGACTGGGTGGTACTTTTGACAATAAGGATCGCGAGGAGCTCGCTACATGCGCTTCGTGTGCTGCCGCCTATGGAAAGCGCTACAATATCGTACCCAGGGTATGAAGGTTTATGGATGAGTCATATTTCAACGTATTTCTTGGTAGATGCATGAGTTTGGAATATACTTATTTTTCTTCCATCTATTGTGCTTATACATGGACGCCCAGAACAGTGAGATGTTAACTTGTTAACCATTCACCGTGTATATCTATCATGGCATGGAAAATGATCACATGTAGAATGTACATCGTAGGTCCATAACTAAATATCAGGTAGCTCTAGCGTAAAGGTCAAAAGGGGGAGGATACAAGAAATGCTGAAACCAGAACGAATCCAAATCACAGGCCATATTTACATTAGTTCCAGAATCTCTTAGAATACGCCTGAACACTCCCGCAAGTTTCCGTACGAGTAAATATATACTCAAAAAATCCAAGCTCGAAAAACTCGGGAGATGGATTATTAGAACTCGAACAATTTTCCTGATTCGGCGTGATCTCGTAAGAGTTCGTCAAATGGAGAAAATGGTCGGATCTCTATCTGATTAACCAAATCGCTACATTACTGCAGTGCAGTACACACATTAACCAATCCATGGCGTGCAGTACGTCGTAGTGAAAGATATTGATCGTCTAGCTGATTTAGAAAGTGCTTCGGGCACCGCTCTTCTCGTCGATGTACCGGAATCGTTCCCGCTCCTTTCGGTCCTTGAGTAGGCAAGCGATAGCCATGATCAGTATTGTATCGATACCGACCATACCAAAGACAGCTGTGAAGATGTTGTCCACGAACGTGTTTCCGAATGAGGTGAGAGGGGTAGCGCAACCCCTCATAAGGGCGGCAGCAGCAGGACTAGGGCAGGTCGCATCGGTGATAAAAGCAGGAGAGCTACTGTTAAAAAAGCCACAGCAGCTGAACTATAGAGGGGTCAGATCCTACAAGGTAACGGCAGAGCAAGAATATAGTAATTATGACTTACAGCAGTCTGCATCAGCTCTTGAACATTGGACGGTTGGGAAAACCAGATTGATTGAAATTCGGCCTTCATCTTCAAAGTTATGATCCACAGATCCACGCCGATACCCAAGGTGAAGACAGCATCCACTACAATCATGTAGATAGCAAGCTTCAACCAGCTCCGGTTATTTGTCGCTAGCGAGGGGATCGTGACCAGGAAGGTTACCAATACAAAGATGGCGTTGACGATTCCGGCTAATAATTCATTAGCGATTTATGGTCCACCATCACTTCTATTTTATGTGCATATCACTTACCAGTGAAGGGAAATCTTTGGTATAGAAGATCGCGGGCTGCCTCATTTCCATCGGTCGGCGTATTGAAACAGGTTTGCTGGACGATGACGGAGAAACCCAACATAATAGCACCCATAGAGACGAATAATCCATCCGTGACCACGAAGGCCGCAAGCACCTTGTTAACCATCTTGACTTATTGTTATTGGATAGTTTCCTAGCTCTTGAAGTATATTTCTTCCTTCTATTCCTCCAGTACGTGAAATCGTATTTTTCGAAGCGTTAAATCGACGACCGGCGTCTTTCGTAAAAGGCTATCGCGGGCGGCGAAGAAAAATGGTAGTTTAAGGCGAATAACAGAGTAATAGCAAAAGGAACGGAAGGGCAGCGCGACAGCACCTACACCTCGACCTAAAGTCGAAAGGAAGGGAAGAGGGAATCACGAAGCGAAAAAAGTAAAGCAAATTAGAAAAGAAGGGAATAAAATCCTAAAGATGAATACGATGCATAGCACGATAAGAATCGGAAGGTCAATAAAGTCGACTGACTGGACGACAAGAAAGATGCAAGCGCCGGGCTGCCAGAAAGGAAAAACGCTACCTAAAACTTAACCGGACGCTGCCGAAATAGGTGACAAGTGCGAAATAGAACCAGCACACGAAGGGGGAATGGGAGAAAAGAATTACGACTACAGCAAAAGCAGGATGGCCTGACCAGAAGCAGAAACGAAGGTGAAAACGCTACACCAACCTGACCAGCTAGGGCTCCGCCAACTAACGAGTCCAGAAAGAGGGCAAGAAAGGATCGAGACCTGAGTGACGATGCGAGATCCCTCACGCTTGGTGTTTCAGGCCTTGTCAGGGATAGGAGGCGGACATGGGGTAGCCTGCGTTGAGGTGAGAGCACGTACCATATTCTGAGCGGTGCACCCAATTACACACGACTTGTCGGGGGATCAAATGGACTTTTATCCAATCAGATGAAAGAGTTCGTCAACACCAAACCAACTGAAGCAGTGAGGATAGCATCGCATGATAATCGGTCTGAGGCTCTGACAATAAACCATGATGTGAATCGTATGCCAAGCACTGTCAAGTACGTACTTGTATCTAGTAATATTCTAGTAGATTACTACGGTAGGATTCTTCAATTTCGTAGAGGATGGCCGTAAAGGGTTACAAGAGCCTCATTACTATTACCGTTGACATGTATCTAGATAAATTACTTCGTATGTGAAGTTAAATTCGAATCCTCAAATCTCACGAAAGACAACCACATCAGCTAGCCGCAGTCTCTTTCTAAATATTAATGATGATTTATAATACACATCCCCTTATCCGAGACTTTACCATGGCTTACCTCAACAGAAACATTCGCATTCGAAGATGAAGGAACATCAAGAAACTCAAACGTCCTACGAGTGAATGATCCATGCGTTTCGAGTTCTGATGCGGCTATGCCGCACGCACACCCTGCAGCACATCATCCGCTGTAACCCACAAAATTTCGATCAGATTGCAAAGGATCGTCGAGGCACGAACCAGCCACGATTCGGTTGTTAAAATAGAACACCACCATCTACAGAGCAGGACGTGCCGACGCCTTCTACATTGAGATAGAAGATCTCATAGGACAGGGGAGGTGATAATACGATTAATATGACCACGAACCCTTCAGGTCGGGTCAACCTGGTTTCGAAGCATGAAGGAAAGAGCCGGACGACGCAAAAAGGCGTCGTAATCCTTCGAGATTCAGATTCACACCCCTCCCGATTCGTTTGCCATATGGCTTTGCTGCTGCTAAGCCTCTCACGTGTGAACCATGGGAATACCTTGCCCCCCTAGGTATGTACCTACCTACTTACGGCATTCCTCGAGATGGCTATTAGGTATGTATGTAGGTGCCACAGGGCTGTACACCTCGGGAAGGGCGCCGAAGTCATGTGCGGCGGCCAGCGCAGCCACAGACTCTACGTATTGTACATACATACACGCCTAGCAACGGCGCCGCCGTCGTGTCGCCTGCCTACCTACTAGATACCTAGTATACCTGAGCAGGTAGGTAGAGCACCTAGGTACGTCTTCAATGACACCCCTCGGAAGCAGGCACGCCGGGATCCTCAATTGGCTCCTCACCACCACGATAGCGCTGCTTGTAGAATGGCTGACGGGGAGAGAGAGAGACAGCCCAACGGAACGGGCATTGGCTCGTGCCGCCCGCGAACGGCAGCTGGCATGTCGCCGGGATGGGAATGGGAATGCGTGTCGATCGGTGGCGTTCGGAAGATGGGGACCGCGACGCTGCTTTGCTTCTCTACTTGCCTACCTAGGTATTCTACCTTACTAACTTCTTACATACTTGCTTCACTAAGGTTGGGTAGGTATGTAGGTACGCACATACATGCCTCGTCCCGAGGACTCGGTACCTCGTACGGCGAGCACCGCGTTCTTTGTGCGAGGTTGCTGGGTCAGGCGCGTGAGACCTCGTAGACGGGCTGAGACACCGAGGTTTGGGGGGTATGTGTGTGTATATGTATGTATGTTTTGCTTTGGTCGAGCGGCGGCGCGGGTATTTACAAGAACACTTTTTCATGCTGTGCTAGGTGTCATGGCGATATTTCTTCCTGATATCATCGTCATGTACCTAGCGTACTAGTATGTATGTATGTGTGTACGTAGGTAAGCAAGTGGTAGGATATGAGGTACATGCTCGCCGCGCCGGCAACGCTGGTCCCGAGTGTTGCTGATGAGCTGCTGGGTAGTTCGCCCGGTGCCGTGGTCCGGTGTCTTTTTCGACTTTCAGGCGAGACAATGGACTCAGAGTGCCATCCGGGTGTGGGGATGGCGACCAATTGGTTTGTTATATTGTGGTTTGGTGGCGTTGACAGGTTGTATTGTTTTGATAGCCACGGCGCTTATGGGCTTGTATTGGCTGCGATACATAGCTGTATTCACTTCTAGGTAAGACGGAGTTGTGGGTAGTTACGGGTACGGCAGCTTTGCCGAGAAGCTTGTTCAACGTTTCTTTCATATCGAGATGTCTTCAAACGAATTTTACTGTTGTTTTCTTGGCCTTTTCTTAGGTAGGTAGCTACATACAAATTGTCTATGCAATATCACATAGATCATCGTTAACGATATGATGTGTCGACTTACATAGATCTCTTCAAAATTGGTGGCTTTGGCTCTCTGGAGTCTAGACAGGTTCTCTCATACCGCCATCCTTGCTGATCTGATTTCGTGAGCGCGTCGCGTTCGATCGAATAGCGCCACTAGAGGATCAGTAATTTCCTTTTTCGGTCCAATTTTCGAGAGCATGTCCGAGTTCCAATCAACCAGTCTTGCGTCGTATGTAGCATTCTAATATTCACTTACATACATAGCGCGTTCGCTACTACGTGGAGGGTATTGGCGGTGTTGGCGTATTAGCAGCTATGGATATGGGCAGCTATGGCATGGATAATGGAAGATCGGTCTTCTCCAATTTCTCATCGATCCTACGAAGCCATGCTGCGAACAAGGAAGTTTAGAACCCCAACCTCTCGAGAATATGGAGTGGCTTGAGTGGGACTACAGTACTACAGTACTACTACCTAGCTGCACTAGGTGTACCTAGGTATGATTTGCTTAAGGACCCTGGTAGACTCTTGCAAGTGTCTGCAAGCCTCCAAGCCTGCAAGCCTGAAAGCTTGGGGGTCAGGAGGGAAAAGGGAAAAGAAGATCGCGCCGAACCGCGCAAAAAAGGAAAAGTCTTTGTCCTACATACCGCGGGCCGCCTTCGAATCTGGACGCCTCGTGGGTTGGGAGATTGGCGCCTTTCCCTTTCTTGATCGACAGCAGCAATTGTTAATTGTCTAAACTGACGACATCTCATCTCGACCTGTTATCTGAAGATGTTGGTTATCCTCATCCTAACTGACTGACCAGTATTACGTATCATCGCCTAGATATTCGGAGACTTAAGTCTTCCCAGTCGTATGCTTGCCAACTTCTCATCTCGATAAACCCGAATTAAACGCCCGCTCCTGAATGGTCCGAAGGTAAGTAATACATAATACATTTGTTCCGAGGCTACTACCGTGTATGACTTCCTCTCGCGCTTTTTTTTCAGGGTCTGCTGCTCCATGTACTCTCCGCCCATTCGAACCATTCGAACCATTTGACGAGCAGAGCGAATTAAGACGGTATCATCGCCCCCGCTTTTCTACATCAACGTTACGGCCCTAGTGTTATAGCTCCATACGGGGCAAATGGTGCAATCGTGTTAGAGGCTAGCGAGGTTAGTCACTGGGTAGTCGAGCTTCCAAGTTCTCCGCGTATTATCTCGTGAGACAACGAGACAAAGGGACGAAGAAACAAAGAAATGACACCAATTCATCATCATATGAAGGGTGAGCTTAGTAGGAACTATGTATGAGCTAGGTGATAGTCAACTGGTCAACTTGTCGACTTCTTGGACCAATGTCCGAAGTTGGTCTTCATTTTTCGAAATGAAATCGAGTACGAGTGGATAGTGGATATCTTCGTCCTCGGCGGCCATCTGTGCTTTGTGAAGCGTCGAGTCTGTGCGAGGCACACGTCGGTAGGGTGCTTCCGTAGGCACATTGACAATTGAGTCTTTTGCTGGTACACCAAAGTAAATCGTCCAATCAACGCCATTTCGGCTTTAATGGCGATCCTCCTCGAAGGCGGTCTCTATTACTCATCCAGCTAAGCCGTCAACTCTTCCTGCCTGGTCGCAACATATGGGCATTTATAGGAGGATGGAGTCTGATGCTAAAGATAGTCTTGATGGCGTATGACTCGAAACACGATGACTCTTCTACATACATTATAGATTATATAAATGCATTACCTTACCTATTACATTCTAGGTAGGCTCATAAAGCTGGACGAGAGCTTGCTACCGTAATAAAGATGAAAACACACTACCAGCACTCTGGATTGATTCCCGATATGGTCAACTCCAAAATGGTCGAACGGCCTTCATTTCATTGGAACGGAGGCAAAAGGTGATTTATGACCCCTGCTCGCCCCCCCTCAAGGCTCATGCATGGGAGTGTGCCCGCATTGCTGCAACGAAAGAACCGTCCCCCTCAAAGACCAGTGAGACCTTGCACTGTGCGAGTCCCTTTTGCGATGAGAGTGGGGATTCTGCCAGGTGGCAAAGGCGAACAGGTACGATACAAACCGTAGGTGTGTGCTATTCTTGAGCGCTTCTGATGGATTTATTGACACCGCCGAAGTGTTCCAAAAAGCGCACGCATTCCATCCGGCATTAGCGAACATGTCAGTTCGAATCCTTCGGCAACTCACAAGGACCAGGTCCTGAATGATTTATGTATTTTATCTATAAAAACATTTACCTAGTATTTGCTTAAATAATCCAGGTATTTTCAGAAAACTAAAGAAAACGAATGGCTCGTCAAGGCTTAGTGTACTTAGGCCGTCCTCTCACCGAATTCCCTAGTTCGTATAAATAATGGTTTTGTAATAATATTGAGGCTAATTATTGATTCTTCATTGCACACCTAGCCCCCCAACGTAGAAATACACGTGCTGAGACTACTTGCGCAGCTTGTGGTGCTGCTTTTCCGCCCCGTAAGCACTAGGAGCTTGCCAATGCTGCTGTCGAGTTCCTGTCAGGTTGTCAGGCAGTTCAGGGTCCGTCGATGGGTCAGCGGGCTCCAGCTTGCTGACTCTCTTCGCCACCTTTTTTTTGTTTCGATATCAAAAAGTCCTTACTGTACCGTATGTGAATGCATCAACGGATAGTAATGAGAACCTTGAAAGCTACCGTGCTCTCTCGTCCAGTTACTTATCTGTATGTATGGTAATCATTAACATACTATCGGCTGGTTTGCTGCGCCGCTGACGCAGATGACGAACCAACTAGCTAGCTCATCATGGTCATGGAATTCTTGGGGGTCGACGGAATTACGCCGGCATAAACGAGGGATACATCCATTGAAGACTTCCCCTCCAGCCTTCCAGGGGTATGATGGATATTGGGATGACCTGCACATGGCGTGTCTAGCGTCAATGGAACGTCTGCAGGCTATGGTGATGCTAGGTGATGCAGTGCAACATGTATTGAGTAGGGTCCTTGTGTAGTGCCTGTCTGCCGCCTGTGTGAGTAACAAGCTTGGAACAATCTATACGCGAGCGCATTCGCACTGTCGAGAACCGGCGTATTGGATTTTGCAAATCTCGAAGACGTTCTGTGACCTGTGCCATACATATTCTACATACATATTCTACATACAGCGTACATTATCTACCACCACATCCGGGAATTGATATGCCTATAGCAGACGACCTTTAAAAGCTTATTTTCACTTGTAACCTACCTTCCAAATCCCGAGAGCGTGACTTGGAGGCTGAATTTCGGTATTCATGTAGACATTGCTTACTAGAGAAAATACTGGCCATTGACCGTGCTAATAAGTCACTTAGCGATCGCCGATTACTAGCCTCAATATGCAGCAATAATATGTGTCTCGTAAGGACAGCCAAACTACAATACACTGCCGAGATAAATCTCAGGTTATGGTAGCCACAGTCTCAATGGTGAAGATACCTATAGTCTATGCGAATAAGCAAATCTACAACAACTGGCAACCTATCATACTTAACAGTGTACAATAAATATGACTCCTCGGTGGCTAAATTACGTAGGCGCATGTTATTATGATTGTAAAACTTACCGGTATTAGAACAACTACCGCGAATTCAAAACACTTGTAGACTGTTGTGAGGACCTTGCGGCTCAAGTTCTTCAATGGCTGCTAAGCCTAAAGTAGAGTCCCCAGATCGAACAGGCTCGATTCGGAAAGGGAGATTGATGAGGCTATCAACTACATGCGTTCAATTACGACATTGTCATTAGTGTAATCTTTAAACTGGTGAATTCCAAACTGTTACTTGTAGCATAATACTACGCCACCTGGACTTGAGAATATATAAATTAAATGTGTATATTTACGAAGTATATCATCACTTAATTCTAGTCACCGTATCATACACTACCTACTAGGTAAATACCCCTGATGCTTGTGCTACCTTGCTAGTAATAGGAGGGTAAGCTTGAAGATTCTCACCTAGGGCGACTAGTTTGTATACATTTCCCACACCGTCGTCTACGACTTATCATAGTATTGCCATCATGTCTTCAGGTCATACCCTTAGCTTTACATACTTCAACCCAATTCACCTTGGCAGGTTCGTATTACCTTTAAACTGTATTTTAGGAGTAGTCGTCATACGTTTTAGTAACACATTTCCTAAAAGTCTTATTTTACGAACTTGGCTGTTAAGTATATATACCCCGCAACCTCATCCTTTTAGCTTGAACATCACCATCGTGGACATAATCCATACCTAGTAATACCTACTAGGCAGGTAGGTAAGTACTCCGGTGATTGCTGTGCAAATAGTGAACTAGAATTGTTACACATGATTGCTGTAACGTGTCGATGGTATACATACCTAGGTAGTTTGAACGCGATCTCTGATCTCTTCATTTCTGTATTACCAGACTCTTGCCCTTGCGTTTCGCCTCGGATGAACTACCATATCTTGTAACACACAATAACCTCCAAATCGGCAGGACAAGCAAACAATGTATGCCTTCAACCGTTCGCATTTTCGGACAAGTATATGTGTTTAATATCGAAGATGTGAGTAGGTATGCAACGATGTCTTCTCAGCATACCACTCCCAACAGTCTGACAGTGCCACCACTAGGTATTTGCTGCTTACACACAACATCATAAACACGTGTTCAACCGGACTGGATATCTCGATAGATACTGCTCTTTGGCGGTTAATTAACAGTCGTGATATACAGTGTTCAATATAGGTTCTACCAATACAAACTGACTATATAGTAGAAGTTTTTGAGATTGATGAATAGGGTCCATTTTGATATTAACATCTCGGGTTTTCTGGTAGTATCGCCGACAGCTGACAGCATCTTAGCGAGATGACGGAATGGACCATTAATGCTATTATCTTATGTTGAAGTTAACTTATTTTAGCTCCTACTAGGCACACTAGAATGAAGTCTAAAGACTTGAGATTGTTCGATATACTGATGATAATCTCGTGTAAAACATTACTTATTAGACTGGGCATTGTAGTTCCTAGTTCCAAGTTCACTTACACAATTTCATAAAGCCGATCAGCGTCAACGCTTCCTAGAACTCCGGCTTGTTGTGAAAATGAAAAAAGAAATGGGGACATTTCTCAAGGTCGAATAAGACAACGCGCACAGTGCCGAATACGGCAAGTACCTAATTTGGTCTTGTGGACCCTGGGTGGTTTTAGCAGATGGCAGGTGGCAGATAGCCTTGATGTGGGGCAGTTGCCAGGATAGCCGTGCACAGGTGCATTTACTAAAGATCACTAATAACGCCGCACGGAGCATTTCGGTACGTACAATCGCCCTAACTCCAGCAGACTCCAGTCCTCCAGCACTAAGCAGTGGACCCAAACGTTTTGCGGAAATTTCTGCACCGTTATTTTAGAAGCAGCTACTGCATGCGTTCCCCCCTTCGGTAAGCCATGTCACCAGCCTGACAATTTCATTGGTCGAACGCTACATCCTTTACCTCAGTATTTTATTCTCTCCCAAGTTCGCAAAAAGCCTGGTCTCCACCTTCTTATCCAATACTTACATGTATTTAGGTATCTAACTCGACCGCCTTCAATCTGATTGTTCAGTACCTAGTACCAGGTTCCGTCGTACCAGAAGACTCGAATACCAAGCACCGAAGCACCTTTCACGCGCTCATCATTACGTACTTCCAATACCTGCCTACTCGATTCGTATCCCGAGAAGCACTCGAAGCGTGCATGCAAAGTCAAGCAATCAATCAGTCGCGCGGCACTGCGTTTCTTCGTCCTAAGGCGTATCAAACGCCCTAATACTTACTACTACCTCAGTCCACCGAGGGTCGTTGTTACTTCGTCAAAAGTGGTATTACTACGAGAGCTAGCTCTGCACTAGAGCACAGAGGCAGCTTAGCTCGCCCGCTAACAAGGTACGTGATTGGAGAGATTGGGAAACCGCCTCCACGATTAGATAGAGCTAGTAGGGGATGTATTAGGCTTGGGGCTGGGGGTGTGCGAGCAGGGGAAGGTGGGAGAGGGGAGTACCAACTAGATTCCTGGCTCGCATACTCGTCTAATCGCCTCCAGGGCTTGTTGTTGCTACCAAGCACTGCTTGCACCTGCTGCTGGGCTCATCAGAAGGGGAAAAAAAGAGTGGGAAGTCATGACCCGCCACTTAGTTTGGCCCACTCCGCTTGCTTAATGCCTGCCAGACCAGCAGACCAGCGCCTGCTTCTCTCGAGTCTGTGCCTCTTTAAACCTAGCACGCAGCTGGCTCAAGCGCGTCCAGGTCTGCCAGGTGCCTGCTATTTTGCTAGTCCATGTCTGTCTATTCCCTGCGTCCACGCCCCCGCAGCTCCTGCCTTTTTTTCTTTTTAAACTGGCGCGGCCATGACCACGCAAAAGCCCGTGTGCTACCACCTCGCTATCCTCTTTTCAACCATCCCGCATTCGCCTTTCCTGATCTATCAATCAAACCGAGTTTGATACTGACGACGTTTTGATCTTTTCTTCTCACAGGGGAAGTCTAACTCCAAAAGCGTACTGTTTGACAACCGCCGAGACTCCCTTTTGAGAATATCCCCTTGACTTTATTTGCACATCCGAAGCAAAAAAAGCACCGACCATCTCAAAGAGTGCAGTGCAAGTGTCAAGTTCGTCAATCATTTTTTATTATTATTCTGGTATTATTTTTTTTTTTTTCGAGGTTCGCGCCAATTGAGTTTTATTATTATTATTATTCTTGTACTATTTTTTATCTGATTTTCCCTATTTTGTTTTTGGCAATTGACTGACATTTCCACCTACCCTTTTCAGGACAAACATAACACAACCAAGAGAGTTGATTGACCGAACCTATCTGACGAATCCCAAGCTACAAGCTAACTTACAACCTACCACCACCACCTTACCACACTCAACCGTCTACTACCTACCACCCGACCGGTGCACCGAGAGACACTCAGTACTCAGTACCCTCAATACTTACCTACCTAGCCTACCTACCACCTATCTACCTACTCACTCACTACCCATCCATTATCTCCACTATCCTTCTAAATCTTAAAACAAACCAGACAATTTTTTATTTTTAATTTTCTTATTTTCCCTTTTCTCTCATTTTTTCGAGAGTAAGACGAAAATTAATAATAATAATTTCCACTACTGGAAACTGAAATTCCTCGGCCTGAACCTCCCACTTTATTCCGGCCAGTGTCCGCGCACCAAAGAGAAGCGCACCAGACTCGATACAGCAGGCGCCCCAACCAGGTTTCTGCGACAGAATTTACAGCCTACTACAGCCTACTACAACCCAGAGCCTCTCCGCTCAACGCCAGATCAAGTATAGGTCGTCGGCACCACGACCAAAACAGTATCTCCACCATTTTTGCCTTTTTTGTTCGTGATACAATCGTCGTACCTCGACAAAAATGGCCGACATCACAGACCAACACGAACAGACCTCGCCAACCGAACTCGATGAATCACACGTCGGCAATGGCAACCAAGGTCCCGCAGAGAGTCGAGGCATCAAGCGTCAGCGCGCTAGCATTGCCGACGACGATGATGATGACGACGAGAAGGGAGGTCGCGAACGTCGCAAGATTGAGATCAAGTTTATTAGTGATAAGTCGCGTCGCCACATCACATTCTCCAAGCGCAAGGCCGGTATTATGAAGAAGGTACGTCTGACGCTTCTCAACCTCGCTCCAAATAACAATCTAAATCGACCACCACCTAAAGATTTACCTTTACTTTTTCTATCCATCGCGTTATACGCGTTACTTGTTTTGATTTTGAGTTTCCCACGATATCAAATCGGTACTAACGTCTAAATCTTTCCAGGCCTACGAATTGTCTGTTCTGACCGGCACGCAAGTTCTACTGCTAGTCGTCTCGGAGACCGGTTTAGTGTACACATTCACCACTCCTAAGCTCCAACCCTTAGTCACCAAGGCAGAGGGCAAGAACTTAATCCAGGTTCGTATTTCGCGAAAACACCTTTCGACGCGACTTTCGATCATGAACTAACTGATGCGTGCCTAGGCCTGCCTGAACGCGCCCGAACCTACTCAGGGCAACGAGAACGGTGTGGACGATTCCAACCAAGTCGAGTCACCCGAAGAACCGACCAATTCCCACCTGCCTCCTCAAACGAGCCGGCCGGGAATGCCTTCGCACATGCCTCCTAACTACGTACCCAACGTCCCAATGGACCCGCAACAAGCTATGGCGTATCAAAGCTATATGCAACACCAACAGCGCGGTCAATTCGGTCTGCCACCTCAGTCTGGCATGCCGCAACACACCTCACACCAATCCTGATCGTCGTCTTTTCGGCGATGAAATTGCCTTGCGCCTGATACCCCGAATTTAATGCATTCATGAGGTTCTCTTTTCATTCGAGGCATTCCGCACACAATTATAATTGCAAGGCCTCGGCTTCGGTGGTCCGGCGTTGTTGGGTCATCGTGACTTATTTTTTCTTTGCTCTGCACAATACGACTTTGATCCCATCCTCTTTTTTTCAGTCTTTCCAATTAAAATACCTATCGCTTGTTAAAATGGTGATAAGGCGATGTGATCATCGCGCCCGATTTGCCATCTATTAATTCTCGTTTTCATCGTTTCATCCTAAAGAACGAATAGAGGCTGGTTACGAACTCGACGTCTCACCTCGCCGATTCCCCGCCGACTTTTTAAATCTTCCAAGGTGGTTGAACACGACGAGTAAGGAATTATCGCACAACATCTCAACGCCTTTAGAAACATACCTCGAACCCCTTTCGACGATGGTCTATCTGCCTAGATATCTAGTCTAATATACCTCCGACATCAACGTACTTGAGTTTCCTAAACTCATGCTCGTCCTCGCCTATCGAAACGCCTATGCATACGGAATTGAAGGGGGGGCATTAATCATTTTCGATGGTATCTGCATCGTCGCGATCTTGACGAAAGGATGAAGATGCAATATATAGCTCCATTACAACCAAGACTGGTTCTCTAACCAGATCGATCGTTCTTTAGTTTGACAAGGAAACGGTGGCAATGATTTACGAATCATGGCTGATGAATACATGAATGAAACCGACGGATTGAAATCGATTACGTGACGTGGTCGATCGATTCTTGGGACGGATGAGATTCCATTAGGTCTTAGCCGACATTTCAACTTCATTCTATTATCCAAACGAAAAGTCCTTGGCGACCAAAGATTTTTGCGGGTAGGATGACAACAATTCTCAACAAAGTTCAGTTCATGGATCCTTGAGGGTTTATGTCATCTTGCGTATCGACCTTGAACTCGCATCCGCACGGTCTTGGGCACGTGCCTTTCGACTTCCAGTCCGATCATATCATTCATCTGAAGTCATTCTCTCTGGGCACTGGGCTACGATGAGGGGTGGTGGGTGGATGGAATGGTGAGACGCTCTACAACGTCTAGAGACGCATTTGTATGATAGGAATTACCCCGAAGGAATCATCTAACCCGTAGATTCCAAAGATCTTAGCATCTAGCAATTAACTCTTTCAAACTGCTTCATGCTACGATCTGCTTACTTTTTTCCATAGCTGCAGATATCCCCCCAAGTTTTACTCGTAAATTACCTCCGACCTCTGTGCTTTTCCGGGATTGAATAGTTCATGGTTTCGTGCAGATCGCGTTTATAGATCTTCATGACTAACTTACCTCGGATGGATATTTTTAGAATGTAGGATCCTTGAGGATTCGTACCTTAATATACGCGTCTTGGAATTACAGGTGTTACTGCCGGGAATACCATGAGACGACACACCGTATACATTCAGATCGCGACTTAGTCTGGTCTTGTCTCATATAGCTTTTGCGAGAGGACGCGTGATAACCTCAGGTTGTAGGTTGTAGTAGTAACTCGGCTGTTCTACGTTTGCGCGGGAGATACGTAGGTGAAGGTGTAGTTACTGGGTGGTTTATGCGGCTGTTGCTGATATTACGTTGCTTCGCGTTATACTCACTCACCTACCCGCCCATCTCTCACTTCCCGACGTACTACTAGGTAGATTCGCAACTGTGCCTACTTCTATTATATAGGCTATTTTTTCAGTTGATAGAGCCGTGCATTTACGTAGCAAAGTTAAAGTTTGAAGCTTGTAGCTTGCAGGGAAAAGGGGGGGTTCGTGCTCATTGGCTGAGAGCTATCCCGCGACGATAGATCGGGAAAGAGGCCGTTGGAGCTTGTGTAACTTCGCTGATAGGCTCATGCTTCTTGTGCTTGATTAGGTTAGGGGATGTCGGTTTAGTGTTTTTAATGTTAGGTTTAGGTTCTTCGGTAGGTACTAGGTAGGTTGATGGGTTCTAAGGTTGGTATTGGTCAGAGAAGGGGAAAAGCAAACTTCTAGATAGATAGGTTGGTATGGAGAAATTTGTGCTGCGGCGTATGTGGTGGCTGCTCCTTGGCTTCTGGGCGGTTCTTCACCGACAGGGGTGTTTGTGAGCGGCTTGGGCTCTGGGCTCGTGTCTTGGCTGAGGTTTGGTTGTTTGCGGGTTGTGGATTTTGTGATGGTTGGATTTGGAAGCCGAGGACAGCATGATACGATAGTTTCTGTGTTTCTGCGGGTTTGTTGTTGGTTGTGGGTGGAGGCTGGTTGTTCGGTTGGTGATAACTCATGAGTACATCGCGATGATCGGAGTAGAAGTCCGGATGGCTTGCATGAGGCGTATATTGCTATTTTACATTTTACAAGTGGCGGTTTCTGCGTGCAGGATCTTATACATGCGTGCAGGAACTATAGTTTCTAGATAAATGACGGGAGAAGCTTCATTTTATCGGAAGGGTCAGATAGGACAACTTCATATTTTGGGGCTTCTCCCTTTCCACCAGTTGTCTTCGTCTGTTTATTCACTTGTGAAGAACCCTGCTCTTTTGAAGTTAGGTACATTACGTATGATGTATCACCAGAAAAAGTTCTGCTCTGTATAGTTGTCGTAGGGGTTAGGAATAAGAACTTGCTTATATATTGGAGAAATCGCCGTGATGATAATAAATTGCCTACCTATTAACGCTCAATCCAAGTTGAACAAGTTATTTTACATACCTAGGTATATTTCACGAAGTCCTTGGAGCAGAGGTTTTAGACTCGGTCGGGTGTACAAGAGCTACTCCAAATGGTGGCGTTGTCGTATATCAATGCCCCTGAAATCTCCCAGCTACCACAAGACAACTCGTAGAAACTTAAGAACCGAACTCTCTTAAGTCTTCACTCTAATAATTAAGATAGGAGGGAGTTTTCACCAAGGTGTTTCGCAATTCATCGCCAACATGATTCAATCACTTAAAGATTCCACTTGGATGTCATCTTGTAGGTGGGCTTGCAACGATGTACTCAAGACCGTGCTACCCAACGAAACCAGGCTATGCGGCATGCAATAATGTAAAAACCTAGAATGCCATAAATGGCATGTAGCCTGAGAGAAGTCATTATACTCTGAGCCACATGCGAGCTCCAGAAAGAGGGGCGCGGGTATTCTAGTCTTGTCTTGCTATTTAGCAAAGAATACTCCTGTAAATAGGGGATCTGATTAATAAGGGCTTAAGCCATCCTCCAGTACTGGAGGAGTCTCTCTGGATGTCATATATTGCTTCATCACAAATTTCAACTCCGTCATTGGCTTAGAGACATACGACTATTATACTATTAGTCTTTGTGTATCGCGTCTTTTGTAATCCTATATGACCAAGTGATGTCGGGTTTTAATATCTTGTAGTCATACAACGGGGAAGTATGCTTTCGTATATATTTAGGGGTATGTATACCACACCTAGGTGAAATGTTGGAAGCTCCATACTATTAGGAATGATTAACGGGAGATACTGATAGGGTAGTATGAAGTCAACCCAACGCACGTGAGGAGATCTCGACCGAGTCTCGGACCCGGAACTTTGGAAGAAGGGACTGGGGTCCCGAAACGGGTCAAGCTGAACAGCAATGGACAGATGCGGAGGGAACGTGGGGGCACGGCAGGGGGCTGTCTTCCCGATTCGACGAGCGGGTTTGAGGGGGTTTCTGCATCTGGCATTGGTGGTAGGTAGTATTGGTACATAATCGTAGATATTATACCTAGGTACATACCTTCTACAGTGGACCTCGATCTCTTCAACTGGCTCGTTGAATATATCACTGTGGATTCTTTATCAAGTCAGCGAAAATTTCCCTACATTATCTCGTCTGTTTAACAAATGCCAGTGGGCTTGCGTGCCCTCCTAAACGCCTTGCTCTGAATTGCAATGATGACTGATATAAGGGGTGCCCCTCCCTTCCGTTTACAGGCTGATATCAACAGCCTAGAACAACCGAATGCATACCGTCCTTAAAACTCGCAAACCGCGACTCATGCTGGTGCCGTCGTTTCGTGCGTGGGAAATTAATGTAAGTCGTCTTGGCAACTCGAAAATCCGGCAATCGTTCCTCCTTTCCATGAGATCATGCGTTTTAATGCTCGGCGCTGTAGAATCGGCCGACGAGTAGGCTACCCACGAATGTGCCCGCGAGTACGGCTAGGAAGTAGCCGACGTTCATTGTCATGACTGCCAACATCCTGTGCCTTGGTCAGAAACTATTAAATTGACAAGGTACTAGTGTTAGATGATATCAACTTACAGTAGGTAGCTGACACCGGCGATGCAGGTGTCTAGGACTGCTCGCACAGGGTCAACTGACATGCGCCAGGGACGGAGATGGGTAGTCTTCTTCTGAACTACGATAACCTCTTCTTCTACACCATTCTCGGTGAGGGTCATCTTCTTGCCGAGACTGTCGGTAGACACCTGTTCCGCAACTGGGATTTTTCCCTGTACAACAACATATCTTCGCTTCATCTCGGTATCTAGCCATCGCTCTTCCGTAATTGCCTTGCCTGCAAGCAGTAGTCGAAATACAACACCGAGGATGATCAAGAAGATGATGGTTCCAGCATAGGCGCCCGTGGTGTTTGGTTCCCAGGAATCAGAGTAGAGAGGTGTGTTCATGCTGTTCCGAAAGACCATGTGCATGCCAGTCGAATGCGGCATATCCATACCATCCATATTGCCCATGTCTCCCATATCCATATTGTGGTGTGTTGCGGCCATTATTATGGTGTCTCGATTCTATTTACGTATTCGTAAATATTAGGCAAATTAATAGCGACGAGAAATGTGCTGTAAAATCGTTGCTGTGCGACGTTAAGTGAAAGCGGGTGTTAGGTGGTGGGTTGAAAATTGACGAAGGGATAAGGGGAAGAAGCGTTGGTAGTGGTGGTTATATGTTGAACGGAGGGAGGTACGTGATTATTCGTGCAACGGTTTGTTGACCACGATGGACGTACAATCACAAAATTGTACGAGTGATTAATTTTGTGATATGTCAAATCGAACTTGAAAAGACGAGATTCCTCGATTTACTTTGGTGTTCAGTTCAAGGTCATGAATCGTCAAAAGCCGTGCAAGTTATTCGTAAAGACCGTCGTGCAAAGGAGTGAGAGATGAGACCTGTATTCTGATGGTGACCTTCGATTGATGGGTAGGTATCACCTTGTACCGATGAACGATTTGACACCAAACAAATAGGAAATTCTAGGTCCACTTCCAACTTGAACGAAGTGAGGGAGGAAGAAAGTAAAAATCGGTAGAAATTCGACGTGGGATCGAGTTGCTTTTCTTTGTCGAGGGGGTTCCAACAGCAGGTACCACAAGCTACGCCGTAAAGTTTCTTCAGGGCAGTCTCACTAGGTATTACAGTGGTTACAGAGGTACCTAATTTACGGCCTTAAAAAAGAGCCATGGAACGGTGGCTACGATCTACTTGGTACAGTGATAGCCTCCACTATCAAACCTTGGTAGGTACGATGAACAAAGATGCCCCCAAAAATACATGCAGTAACGATTGTTCAAATATTTACAACAATGCACCCTCCCTTTCAATATTGTATGCTTCTTGTCATTTCCCCGGCTACCCATATCTGTGCCAAGCCGGATTAGTACATGTGAGCCTGATCTGCGCATTTTTATTGGCTTAAGCAAGGGACCTATGCATATGCCGTCTGCATAGCCTGCAAGGTACATCTGAACTTGTACCGTCGCATCTCATCTACAACCACGACCTAATACATATCTAGCCCTACCAATCACCTTGTATGTACGCCCGTCGCCTTGTCCGTTAGGCGGCGTCAGATCAAGCCCAATAAATACCGAGACCATCGAGCGTTTGGGGATCCAATCATATCCATGTGCTCTCATGCTATCCTGAGGCTTAAATCCGATTCTGAGAGGTAACCCGGAGGGAACCTACAGCTGCTTCAGGCGCAGACAAGCTTTTCGACCGTTACATGAGGCATTGCGATGCTTTTTCTGTAATAGGTAACAACGGAATATCCTCTTCTTGATACTGACGTCGAGAATACTAGTCTCACACGTGGTTATCGTCTTTGCCCCTTAACAAGTCTGATAACGTTCCCTCATACCGTCACATTTCCCATCAACACACCAAGGTAGATGGTTAACGGTAGTATGCGGGCCGTCTCAAGGCAGGGTCAAGTGGCTAGTAATGTTCAGCTTATATCAATCATCTAGAGAAGCATTGTGTTTAGAATTGATGCCGTAGTTGGTAGGCCCCCTTGTATCCAGAAAACGAAGGTCTGAATTTGGCCAGAGATTTAGAGATACTGGTTTCAACAAGCACGTTTATCTGATATGTTTCAGGTCATTATGAGTATACCTAGGTATTGTTTAATTGGTTTAGCATCCTGGGACTCGTATCGGTAAGTCTACCTATGCAATGGCACTCTACCTACTCGTGTGGGGCGAGTGACTCGGACTGACCTAGGTGTTGCTGGATCGTTGACAAGGTATAGGAGGTACGTACCTGCATACGTCAAGACAATAACAATGCTTAAAATAACATTTTATCGAAAATCTGCGCCTTCATGGATTTGGGAAACCAAGAACTTCTAACTAAAAAAGAAAATTCGTCTATACCTAGGTATGATAGGTAAAATATCTTGCCACGCCCCGTAATTGTTTGTCCTAGCCTATCATTCACGACGTGAAGGACGGTCACAACCCTACCATTGGATTATTTAGGTAAGTAGGCCCTGTGAAGATCTTGTAGGTTAGGGGACTCTATGTTAGAAGACCCCTAACCGTGATTCATGGTTATAGGTGACTCCGGGTTTGCGGGACGACCCGATACCCCATGATTGTATAACGCGTAATGATGGACTATAAACGGCCATACAGTAGCGCCGAATGAATTACTCAAAACAGATTATGCTATAAATACTTTGACATGTCCTTATATGTCCTTGGAAGCCAAGTAATTTCGGAAAACGGTTGTAATTGGAAGTACCGAACCGGAAGATTCTCCAATCAACGTGATATACCATGCTTCTCGGGGATACTATTCGAATCGAACCCTGGCTCTTTATAGTTCTTACGTGAGGCCGTCCATCACACAAGGACATAGTGGTGAATTAATCTTTTATAGGTCTTTAATGTGATAAAAAGCTTTTCTCACTTAACAAACGTGGAAATAATCGATAGGTATCTACCTACATAAATTTTGTAATCAACTTGGCAGATACTCAGGGGTAAAGGGTGTAGTGTAGCTATTTGTTTGTCCCTTTCTGAAAGATATGTTCTTTAAGCGTACATAGGTAGAATTCATTCTTCATACCTCTAAATATTCTAACTTGGTTTTCAAAAGAAGGTTCTCATGAGATTAGACTATACGACGATTCTAATCAATACTTTTGGTTTGTTTTGCAAGGACTATGGCTATGTCGACAAGATTGTCGACTCTTGCGAAGATAAGAAGTGCATAGAGCCAATAGTCGAAGTGCTTGACGTAACATTTAGGTAGGTAAATACGGATAGGGGTTAGAGTGATCGTCTACATTGCCCTTAACATAATATCACTCTCTAAACTCTCTTGGGGACTTTGGGGCCAAACTACACCGCTGGAATCAAGTAGCCATCCTTCGGGAAACGCGGCATCATCATCGTCTTATCTTTCTCTTTTCGAGATAGGCAAGGCGGTCATTGCCTCTATGCAGTGCTACTTCTCCGTTGATCATATGAACTTGTTTACGACGTACTATTCGAGAAATAGGGCGCGGACTGGCAACGTAGCAAGAGCCGCAAGGTGCTTCCTTTGATAGCCATTTCTAAAGGGGTAGATGGGACAACCATGAGGTATGTTTTCAAGTATGAGGCCGATATAAAGGGGGTCATCATACTCTTTCCTGGTGGACGAGAAGATTAGAGATCACACAAATCATCTTGTACACTCTGCTATTGTTTCTCTAGGAGACTATTTCGTTGTCTAGTACTTTTAGCAGTCGTCGTTTCACAACCATGACTCCTACCCAAGGCCAGCAGATCAACGGCGGAAAGCCAAAACACCTATATTACTCCCTGGACCCAGAAGACCCACATATCCGACTCGTTACGATCCAGCCCGGCCTTTGGTCCGACGAGATCCATTGTATCATCGACGTCGTGCCATTCGACTTCCAACAGAAGTACGAGGCGCTCTCCTACGTGTGGGGAGACCGACAGAACAAGAAGTTCATCCAGCTCGACGGCCAAGCCTTCGAAGTCACCGATAACCTATGGCTAGCAATGCGACGCCTCCGACAGCCCTCGACCCCTCGCGTGCTATGGATCGATGCTCTGTGCATTAACCAAGACGACAATGTCGAGAAGTCCCACCAGGTCGGGATGATGGGCGATATATACAGGAGCTGTACCAACTGCGTCATCTGGCTAGGGGAAAGTACTGAAAAGCCCAAGGCAGACGTTCGATCCACAACCGCCGTCCGAGCTATCGAACTGCTAGGCCTGTTGTCTTCCGACAAGCACCTGCCAGACCTCCCGTGCTTCAAGGCAGTTAAGGGCCAGCGAACAGCTATTGTGAAGAAGTACGAAGCCCACTTCGAAGCCCTAGGACAGCTCCTCGATCTTCCTTGGTGGAGACGTATCTGGGTCATCCAAGAGTTGGTCCTGCCTAGCAAGGTCACCTTCCTCTATGCCTCCGAGCAACTGCCCTACCAGGCTCTCGTGGGAGCGGTAGGGATGCTCAACACACATGCTGCGACCTGTTGCAAGTCACACCGGATGACGCTAAGAGCGTTGGGCTTTGATCCTCTCGTAGTTATCCAGGAGCAAGTCGATCCGATCGTCTCCACGCGAGAGAAATGGGCAAACCACGAGTCGACGACCCTGTCCCAACTGCGAAGACAGTTCTACGCGTTCCAGGCGACGGAGAAGAGGGACTTGTTTTACGGACTCCTTGGTCTCGTCAACGATTGGGGTTCTGCCGGTCCGTTGATTCCTAACTATGGTAGCCCTCCACATGTCGCCATCACGGAGGCTGTCTTCAAGTGCATATCGGAGCAAGCGGGCATGGAATTTCTCCTTGGAGAGAGGTTGTTTCGTACTTCAGATCCGGAGAACACCCCAGACTTGCCTTCGTGGGTCCCCGATGCGTACTTCTGCTCGCTGCCGTCGCAGTGCGTGATAATTGAGCAGCGGAGACTCATCATGTCCTCATCTTTTGCTGCCTCAGGGCCGTACTGCCAAGACCCTTCGGAGTTGACTTTGGGAAAGGATGGGGTTCTCCTTGCGCAATCCCTCATGGTCGATAAGGTCGCCAGAGTTGGAACCGTGTGTGAAGTCCTTGATAAGTGGGAGAAGACGCCTGGTGTCTTCAAACAGTGGCTCGATATGGCTGGGCTCAGTCCTAAAGATTGGCCGGAGCAGCCTCCCGAAGAAGGCACGCTAAAGGATGTCTTTTGGAGAACCATCCTTAACAACTGCGCCGAAGACGATGTGCCAGGTCTCTCCTACCGAAAGCTTAGGACAGAGGACTACACCGAATTGCGAAAGCTGTGGTTCTGGTTTCGGATGATCGGGCCTCTCCTTAGCCTTGCATCGCACGACATACTTCAGTCTATGGCTTCGAAGACGGTATACCATATCGTCGTGTGCCTATGGCAACGTCGGCTGATCATCACGGAGGGTGGTATGGTTGGACTGGGACCCCGAGATGCGGATGTTGGTGACGAGATTCATGTTGTGTTGGGCTCACCATCGCCTTTCTTCTTGAGACCTATTAAAGAACCCACTAAGGTTGGGGATAGGCTAGAATCCCTTTCTTCTTACACTGTCATTGGAAACGGATATGTCCATGATATCATGTTTGGAAATGTAGTGGATGATGAGACTCTGGGGGATGCTAAAACTATCGCGATCTATTAGTTTCGAGATTGCCTAAATCCCATTTGCAAGAAAAGGGGATGAGAGTGTTGAACTATGGTTGACCTAAAAGATAGGATTTCATGGCTTGGATGTCGCAAGGACGTTTAGGTTAGTGGGACATTCTGGTTAGCAAATTCTCTTTTATCCTTTCCTATTCATGAGTTAGTCAACATGTCAAATTGAGGTTATGGAGTTGGCTGTGCCTTCGCTCCTGAGAGTCTACATATATAAGCTCGCGGTGGCCTTAAAGGTTCCAAGGTTCTCAATCTCCCTCAGTGCCAAGAGACTGGAGTTTGGTCGAATAGGGGTATAAATCTAGACCTATCAACTTTAGACCTGCGAGTTCGAATCACGCTAAAAACTTACTTAACTTAGAGAGATGTAACGCTATCACAGCTCCTTTTAGCATTTTTCACTTCCCACTCAAATTCTTCCAATGCCGCCGTTTCAGTAGGATAGAGGGATATGCCGGCCCAGGCATCAACAGCAGCGCAAGCTGATGCCAGAGCCCCGGCAAGAGCAAGTAGAAAACGAGCCCAGCCAGGTACACCAACTACCCAGACTCCCACTAGCGACCCTGCTAACACAATTCCCGCAACACCCAGTCTGGCCCTTCTCCACCAAGAGCGCTGTTGAAGTATCTTACTATTCTCTCCCAGAACATGGATAATCTCGTCAAGAAGCTCAATGGTATTTGGCTCGCCAGGCAACTCCCCCAATTCCAGAGCTCCTTGTAGCTCTTGAACATGAGTCTCACTGCCTGCGTCTTCCTTTAGCCCTGTGAAGGCCCTGTGATCAGCACCGCGGGGCTCATTCGATAGTTGACGACTTATCGGGACCCCCTTTCCTATCTTCTGAAACGCAAGAGTCGTCTCGACGCTGAAATGATCGCTTAACGAGCAGCCTAGCACTGGATGTCGATCGACCATACCCACTTTCGCGGATTTCACCGTCCACACGCCACGGCCCTGGTCGACTTTACTAGTACCCCCGGTGTCTTTCCCGCTTCCAAACCTATCTGTGTATGGACCAATCTCAATATCCTTGAGATATCGGGGAGTTACGTTCGCTAGCACGTAGTCTATACGCATAACCTGCTCTCGTCCGACCCCCGCCGGGAAACCCAATTCGCTAACCGGAGCTCCCGGTTGTCTCAGATACCGGGCCCGTTGGGCGCGAGTCCACATCCACGTGTTATACGGCGACCCATATGTAACTCCACTTTGGACATTGGTATCATCTTCCCGCGTATTACTACCTCCCTGACTGCCTTTTGGAGGTTTCTTGTGCCGAAGAGAATGCTGGAGCCAAGTATCGTGGATATCGGGGACGAAGTGCCTCAAAATGCGGTACGGAAGAGATGTTGGCTCGGCGTTAAGGTCGCCGAGGAGAACGACCAGAGCCCTATCGTGACGGCGTTGCGAGGCACCCCGTAGGAACTTGGACAGTTCCCAGGCTTGGCTTACTCGGTGACAGAGGTACTCGTGGCCGGGGTAGAAAGCATGCAGCTGCGAATAGGAGATCGTGTTAGGGAATTCAAGCAAGACGACTGGGACCGATATTACTTAATGATGGTGGTTTTGAGGTTGTCAAAATGCCTAGTAGCGGGTTAAAGGCTTACGTGCGTGTTGAAGACATCAATTATGTTGTCCGGCTCCTTGCCGTATCGGACTTTGGCGTAGGCAACGCCTTTACCCGCGTACCAGTCACCATGGAAGAGAGCTGTCGGAGAGCCATTCAGGGGGTATCGAGTTATCGAGATTTCTTCAATGGGCCATCGTGATAGAAGAGCCAGCCCTGTCCCGAGCGGTCCGGCGAAGTATTGCTTAGAGTATGGCAAGATGCTGCGTGTCTCTTGCTGGATATGCTCGAAATCTGTCTTGGAGATGCATTCTTGTAGGCCAACGATATGCGGCTGGGGGTTACTCTTAACAATACGTCGCCCGATTTCCTCGAGACGATCAGATCGATTTGGGCACACGTATGGGATGCCCCAGCAGTTCAAGGTGAGAACGTTGATTTCTTCGGGGAGGCAATCGACGCCAGCCATCTCGAAGCAGACAGGGAGAAATTTGCCTGCTCCATTATTTGGCGGCTGAATCGTAGGCGCTGGTATACAGGGGAAATGAGAGCTGAACCTGCCTGATCCCCGCCTACCCCATGTACCTAGTAGGAAAAACTTTGCGATTGGATTTGCCTAAACTGCTTTAGCAGGTCTCGTTATAGTCTTCTACATAGGTCAATTCAGTCCAAAATTCGAGTTACTTTTACTTCTCGAATCCGAATTGAGCATAGACAACTGGTAATCTACTTGAATCTACACAATTCGGCTTGATCTAGCCATCACTCTTGACTCTCCAGACTGTGGAAATAGGGGCATATGGTGTGGAGCCGAAAAACTTCACAAGAGGAGATCCACCCTGGTTAAATTTAAGGGACGTGTTCGACATAGTCAAATCCTCAAAAGTTCCCAACCTGATCAAGCGAATTCGGGTCAAACCATTCAACCTCTACGATGTCTATCGTGGAAGCCATCTTACTACCTAGGTACCCTAGTTGGCTTGAGGGAGAGCAGATGGCATCGTGCACTTTCTCAATTAGATGTGCCTCGATTATACCTGATACAGCGAGTGATTATAATGATCATCAATCTTCCGATCGGCCGAATTATTCTCGTTCTCGCACGAGAGACACCAAGACCAGCAACCAAATAGGCATCTGGTAAGGATGATATGATAATATGATGATATACGGCTCACTCTACTGTCTCGATGTCATGAAGCAATGCCGACCTTGCAAGGTCTACTACCAAGCATCTCGTATATACCTAGTATTGAACTGAAGGCTTCGGGAAGGAGTATCCGAGGTTAGATATCCGGAGGCTTCCGATATAGAGAAGTCTTCGTGATCGCGCGGTGCGAAAAGCAGCGGAGACGACCGCCCGCATGTTGGGGGCCAAAAACGGAAAGCCGTGGATATCACGAACCAGCTTACTAATTGATCTCTGAATAACTGCATTAGCCCCCTTTATCAGATTGTTGAGTGTAAGAAATAGAAAGGTGACAGATGTCTGGGTTCCGAAGAAGGAATGACACAATTAACATCAAACTCGAACTCGATATAATGTGATCATCACGGCGCTGATCTAGAAGCAGGCAGATAGCTAGAACATGCCTAAATAGGAAATGTGGTCGAATTTCCCAGCGGTGGAGTTTCCGCGGCTGCAGAGTGGAAGACAAGTGCGGTATAAGAACGAACTACTGCAGTGGAATCTGATTATATGCCGTATCGTGGACTCGGGGTCATACCGCATCAAAATCACGGGCCGCGTAAATGGCTAGCATCCACCATCACTGAATCTGTCACATACCTAGAGGCTCTTCTATGCAACTAGAAGGGTTAATCGACAGCAAGTATGACATGCCATCAAATCAATCCCCCACGGCGATACATCTCGGCCTCGCAAGTAACCCGCGCCGAACCATCTCGGCGAACGTTGAAGATGGCGTAGTTGCCAACCCTTCAAGCCGCTGTCGTGACACCAGCCGCCACATTGCCGAGCCTCCACCGTAAGTGTTTCGTGCGCGCTGAGAGTTGTGGTTCCTGGAAGAAATATCATCCTTCGGAAGTGATGCGCGAGTGCTCGCCACGATCTGCTTACCTTTACCGGTATCGTAGGACGACGCAGAGCCGCCCCTATGCGCGTTGAAGAATAGAACAGAGACATACATTACCTGCCTGCCTAGTCGCGCACCTTTAGGAACTCGATACTCCACACGCACAGCAGTGAAATCTCCAACTAGACGAGAGACATACCTAACGATATTGGAAGACCGCGTCACCACCTCCCCACGAGACCGACGATGTACGGGGGGACGGTAACATGAGATTAGTGCCTTAGGTAGGTACATCAGATGCCTAGCTCTTCACAAGCATCACGAGCATCTCACGCGCGCACCGATCGCACGCCCCCTACGCCGCCGCCGAAGTGAAAGCGTGAACCAAAAAAAAAAAAAAGATCCCTACAACTTACCGAGCTGCAAGCTCCCGTGCTCGGCGCCCTGCTCTCCACCACGCCCCCTACGCCGCCTCCAATCATTGCAGAACGCCCTAACGCAGAAAGGATCGACGAGCTTTCGGTACGCGCAGTACCCATCGTCGGCCTCGCGCCAAACCCACCCCCAAAGAAAAAACAACACTTCACGCGCACCAAAAAAAAGACCCAATCTTGTGTTTCCCAACTCTTCCTGTCATACTTACTTTTAGCTAGGTACATACAAGCCTCCCCAACCAGCGCCGACATAAGCCAAGCTAAGCCGCGCACCAGAAGCAGACATCATCTCAACAGAGGTCGGACAAGTAAGGCGCGTTTCCCACACCTGTCGTGCGCAGCGGATTGTCTCTCGGCGATTATTTTCCTCTGCTCCCCCCTCTGGTCTTTGTACTTGTGTTCGATGAACCGGTACCGGTATCATACCCGTAACCCGTGTACATACATAAGTACCTACATACTTATATAGGTACCTATCTTTGGTATACATAGGTACTAGGTAGGTAGGTGTATATGTCCTGCGCTGCGGGATCCCGCCTCCAAGGCGAGACACAAAACACAGAAACCTTTTTTTTCTCTTGCTGCTGCTGCTGCGGCTGTCAGGGATAGGGGGGTTGAGCGGACGGGACGTGTGACGACGGGTGTTGTGCGAACCGTCGGCGTTTCGCCCTAGGTTCGCCCGCGACGGGATTGTCTAGGAGGTAGGTACCTGCTAGGTAGGTTTGTAAGCAAGTAAATAGATAGCGATTGTCCTAGCCTACAACACATGTTAAGTCGAGTTAGGTTGGTTGTCTTGGTTTGCGGATGCGTGCATACATTCATTGCATCCATCTCATCTGATATGATATGATCTGATATGTACTCTACCTGACCCTAGGTATCCCCTTAAGTTGCGGGTTGCGAATACCCCGCGTTCCCGAGCCGTTTCGGCGCGACGGCTCGGTACATATGGATGTCCTTGTCGGTTACCAGTCTACCAAGCTTGGGTCTGACAGCAACGAAGCGCACCCGTCCGAGAGAGCCGAGGGGAGCCGGGATGGGGTCGCGCGACGAGAACGGGACACCCGAGTCTAATTTAACGACACCTCGAGCCCAGCGCTCTCTGGATCTGGTTGGCAGGAAACCGAGGCCCGGTTTCTCATCGCTGCGCTCGTCTCACTTGAAACCGTACTCTGCCCAGTGAGAAATTTCTCCGTACCTAGTCCCCGGAGAGAGCCTCCTCAGGGGCACAGCGGTTTTGATATATTGGTTTCTAGTTGATCGTCATGGATGTGTGAGTAAAAGGAAATCTGATGATGAACGGTATGAAATTGATGATGATGATACTAGGCAGCTAGGTAATGATGGTAGGTAGCAACAGATCTCATCGGTGACCGGGTTACTGCGAGACCTGCTTTGCGGTAATCCATGGATGCGATATAACGTCACCGCGATTCGCCGTTCTCGCGGACATGGCTCCCCGAATGGGAAACGCCGTGCCGGCAGACGGAAGCCACCCTCTTCTTTTAGGTAAGGCGGGACGATGCGTTCATCTCACGGACGTTGATCGAACTACCCCTTCTAGGAAGGTGAGGCGTTCCCCCGCGGCTACATAATACAACGTAACGGGGATTGTGCGAATGGAACTCCAGATTCCAAGATTTGCGATTTGAGATTTGAGATTTAGATTCAGCCCCTTTCTCTTTCCCCTCCCCTATTTTGACCCTGAAAGCTTAAGCTTATTCTCCAACATTTCTCCAATCCCGTCCTCCGTAGCGCGCGGGCGGAATCAAGCGGGACAGGCCTGACCCCTGCATACCCCGTCGATAGTCTCGGGCGCTAATAATATTTATCACGAATATAAGTACCTCGTACCTTTGTATTTATTCAATTAAAATATTACATTTTTAACTGCTACCTCATAATTGAAAACTTATGTAATTATCAATCAATCTGCGATGGGGACCCAATCAGCGCTAACAATAGCTAAGGTGGGGGTCAAAAGGGGGTCAGAATCCTTGACGCTATTTTTACAATACCTTGTACGTCTTGCATAAGGCTCTCTCGTGTTTTAGAAGCAAAAGTTTCAATGGACCGGATCGGATATCGAAATTTGCACATTATAGCTTTTGCATGGCATTATGAATCACTATTGGTATATTTTTTTAATACTTATGCAATCCGTATTTCGTATTTGTCACGATTATCTGGAATTATCGAATCTTGTCTCCTCTAAGGATCGGCCATCGCGGGCGCTCAGATCCTAGATCCTGCGTGACAGGATGACAGAAATAGGAGGGAAACGCGAAGCTTCGCGTTACACGAACCTAATTTGGTCGGCGATAACGCTGGGAGATATAACCCTCGGCGTAAGCAAGATACAAGATGAAGGTGAAGTTCAAGACAGGCGCAATCTCATTGCATACTTACCTGCTCTACCTGTATGTAGATATATGTCATCTTGCTTCGGTGTGAAAATGCAGTTTCACTTTACGGGGCGCATACTTGAAGTAGATGTTGAGAAATACGATGATAAGTATGGCAAAGAGGGAAGACCGAGATGAAGAAACTTATCTGTGTAACAAACAGCTCCTAAGAACGGCACGAGCTCCCTAGGTCTTCGAATACCCATCTATCTCCTAAAGATCCCCATTTCCGCGACATCCAATTGTAGATGGTATCGTGTATCATGCGTCGTGCGGTACTTTGAAATATGATCAGTCATGTAATATTAGCTGTGGCCGTTGTTCCTGCGCCATCTCATTGGGCATGAAAAGAAAGTGCAGTTAAAGCTATTACCTGGTTCTTTACCTACGCAGTAGCTGCCTAGTTCCTCCATCACTTAGAAGGTCCTAGGACGGCGGAATAATCCATCCAATCGTGCTTGATAGATGCGATCTCTTGGATCCATTGGACCCAGTGGGAATTTGCTTTTTTTTTTTTGGTCAGCATCCTGGCGTCGGACTTCATGTCAGGGTTTCACAACTCTACCTAACAAGAAAAAATGACAACTAAGACAAGGTAAAATAACACACGCTTTATGTAATGGATATTGATATGTTATGGTCAGGAATAGTGGGAACTGTTGAATGATTGGAATGGAAATTGTCGTAAGGGAGATTAGATTCTCGTTTTCAATACTGTTTTTTTACTCGGGAGAATTAAAGGGAAAGAGCGAGATTTTGACGCCTTAATTTATTTGGAAGTTTACCTGTTTGTTTGTTTACCATAAAAGCCTATACACCTATCTACTTCCAGATTGATATGATGTAGAGATTAAATCATACCTACCTAAATAGATCAGTCACATAATCAGATTTAGGGGGTAAGCCTCTGCTAGTGAGAGACATTGACCAGCATCTTCAGCCTTACCATGTGGCCACCACAAACATTTCAGGTGATCGAGTCCGGGGAGGGGGGAGCTACATGCTAACAGTAGTTCGTCGTGGTCGTTCGGAGCCGACGGCAATATGACCTACGTGTAGGACTTGATAGGTACCTAGCGGCCTAGTAGTCAGGCTCGCTGGCTCACTAAGAGCCAGAGCTGCTATAAAATGCTTACGTGCGTATTTAGCGCGTATGGCTTATATAGCGTGCAGAGGGTAGGAAGCCACTGAGCTGCTTCTGGACTGTCTTCAACCAAGGAAGCAGTCCTACCCGGTCCCAGCCTCTCATAGGCTTCAGATCGGCATGTTCGATCCATCGTGGTGCGAGGACGGGAATGGCTGACTGGTTGAAGTGGGCTCTAGCTTATCTTGTGTCTCTGTGACATAGCCCGTTGGATCGGCCGGGGAAGCCACGAGAAAACGAACTTCGAGAAACACGGGACGTGCTAGTTTCTTAGCGTGTTGTTCTGCTACTGCAAGTACGTGTACCTAGCAGACTAGGTATGTATCTACTATAGGTACAGTTGATATTCAAGGAAGCTGAGATGCGACACATTCCTTGGCTGGGCTTGGATCGAGATTCGAAGGCCCAGGCCCGGGGTGTCCCGAAACGTTCTCCCCCTTTTCGGGCCACTTTTGGGGGCTGTTGACTCGTGTATGTACATGTCTTCAGTTCCGTCTCCCCTATCAGGTTGGGTTCTATATTTTCGTGTATGTATTGTTTCCTAATGTCGACTTGCTCGTGACCATTCCAGGTACTCTACCTCAGGGTCATGGTAAGATTCAATAAAGCAGTTTAGGCTTTTTGGGTACTTACTGGGTAGGTAGGTACTTAGTGAGAAGGGGGGCCATGTGGTGAACTGGTCTCAAGTACCCAAGGATTAGCATCGTTGTACAACTTACTAGTAGAGTCTATATGCATCTCTTCATTTTGTAATCGTGTATGATGTATTTCAGTATCCAAATCGGTAGCTTGAAACCAATAGTCAGTTTGGTTAGGTCCCGGTAGCCAAACCCTACAAGCCACATATGTAAAGTTATGAAGTAAAATACCTATAGTTAGGTACCTAGATAGTACCCAATAGGGTATTAACGTTCAAGCTTAATAATTAAGGTTAAGGTTAATGGCAGGCATAATGTAGATTGCCATGTGGCTAAATAGTTTTTGGGGTCTCGTGAATTATTAAACTATCAAACTATTAAAGTATATTTTATGCTATTAACACTTGCACGTTAACAAGATCCATGATGTTACATCGTTGCCGTGAATTGGGCAATTTAGTCTTTCCAGCCAAATGCCACGTTTTCGTCGAAGTAGCTAGGCTGTTCCCCCCTAAAAAGCTTCGAAAATGGGTATTTTATAAAGTGATTATGCACCTCACGATGCAACTGCAAGCAACTCCCCTATCAAATTTAATGTTGAATAATGACGCGATAACGAAATTATAACGGCGGTATTTACATGTAGTATGCCCAGTATAAATTTCATCCAATAGTATCGAACAAATCATAGGAATATATGGCATAGAGAAAACGATCTTATGGCTACCCCTGAATGGGGAAACGGACTTGTGATGTCTACCGCTAGTGCTGTCTGCTATTGCGACATTTCACGTTGCCTACGCGAAAAAAAGAAACAAGCTACATAAAGTGCGCGCGTACGGGGGTATCAACATGATAAAAAAGGTAGGAGGACCTAGAAACAATTGACCTCTTTGCCCCGACAAGAATACCTAAGTAAACAACCTTAACAGGAGAATTCTCAATCACAATTCCAACCCGTAAAGCAACCGTAGTCTATCTTGTCCATGTATCATACACCACTCCCCGTTCGCCAAATATACAGAATTGCTTGTCGTGAATTCAACGCACGTCATCCCTGCTGTTGTTGCTAGGGAGTTAGTCCGAGTGATTTCCCAATTTGCCAAAAGCCCTTTCATGACAGAGTATCCGCCCAATGATTGTTCCTGGGGAATGCTGTCCTAACCGTATAACCCTCCCATCAGCTCGTCTCGGCTCGTAGGGATGCGTATTCGATGCTTATCCATCTAACCCACCAACCGAAGGCAATATATCCCGCCCAGGCCGGTCCGAGAAACAAAAGAAATAACAGAAACACAATATAGTCCTCTTCGTTGTCAACCAGCCGTGTAGACCAAACTGGCCGGTAGTGGGTATTCCCCCGATGTTGCGAGGATGGATTCGAGAATAACCACAACGTCGACAGAAAGAAACAGCATAAAAAAACCCGAATTGCCAAACCCGCCTATATAACCTAGTGGGGACTATGCCGTGACTTTGGTATCGTGGAGCATTAGTCGTGCCCGTCCGCAAAATCCATAACCGTTGACTCCGAGGACCTATTCTTTTCCCGTATCCTGCCATTTTCGCTCGTTATAAAAATATCCTGTCGTAGATGCAATGTGCAATGACCACCATTCGTGAAGTACCCCTGTACCCTTCCAATTTCAACGTAGCATTTGTTCGGTGACTTCGCTCGGGACAACGCGTCAACCGTAATAAGACGTTATTAACGTAGGGTTTCATGCCGGTTCCTCCTTAATTAATTCTGAACTCGGAGGGTCAGTGGGTCCGACGTTCGGATCATCTGAAGGGGATTTATTGTTTCCATCGCCGGGAGAATCAGTTCCGCCTCCGCAACCTTTAACGAGTCTATGCCGCTATTAAATATTAGCATGACCTCCACTTGATTCGGGCAAATCACAGAAAACGGGGGGATTTGACCAACCTTGAGGGCATCTTTTCTCGAGAAGCTCTTGTCACAGAAGGTACAAGGAAAGGGTTTGATTGCAAGGTGGATCTTCTTATGCCTCTTCAAGTCGTGGTTGCGGTTAAATTGCGTGGGGCATTCGTCGCACTTGAAGGGTCGCTCTTGTTGTTGAACGGTCTGTCTAGAATACATTGAATGCGCTCCCATCAACTGTCCCTGTGGTTGGTAATGGTGCCCCGATAACATAGGACCTACGATCCGCATACGCCCTCCAGGGTTCGTCATGTTTGTTAAGACTGGGCCTCCTGAATATGGGTATTGCCCTGGATAGGGCGGTGCTTGCATTGGAGAATGATGCGCTGTCAGGCTTCTTGGCAAGGCTCCCGCCGTTGTCGGGGACGTCTGTGACGAGGAGGCGTGGGTAGACGTAAAGGAGGGGAAAGAGGATTGGTGAGCTGTAGATGACGACGGCGCTGAGTAGTAACTAGAACCCGACTGCGATCGCGCGTAACTGTCTGGAGCAGCTGTCGTCGAGGGAGTAGAGGGGTGGGATCCTTGCGAATGGCTGGTCATCATCGGATTCTGCAACGCGGTTTGGTTTGAAGGTTGGGAAAGCAGATTAGAGTAACCAGCTCCACTTCCTGGAACAGGAAGAGAATAGGCTGGAGAACCACTTTCAAATGGGGCCGGTAGCCCGTCTGCTGGAGATTGAGAACTTCGAGGATACGCGGGGCTAGCAGAAGAGTAGGTTGACGAGCGGCCGTAGTTTGACTGCATCAGTCCTCCCGGATTCATCAAATTTTGCGAATAAGACGAAGATACCGGTAAAGATGCCCAGGTGCTGGCTTGAGGACTGTAAATTGGGCCTGACGGAGAAGAATTCTGGGAGTTACCGCTGTAGACTCCCGACGAAGGACTTTGGGTGCCACTGCTAGGCACTCCTGCGTAGCTGGTTAGAAAGTTGAAGTCAGAGAAGTATGGCTCTTCGGAGGAAGTGTAATATGTCTCTATAATAGGCTCAAAGGGACTATTAAGCTGGTGTTCGGGTGGAGGGGAATCACTATCGGGGGTATCACCACCATTGGAAGGAGGAGAGGACGACGAATCGGGGAGATAATTAAAATTGAAACCCATACTGGCTAGTCCAATATCTAATAAAGACGTTGGAGTTGGAAGATGAAATTGAGGAAGTGCGTGTGTTGCTATTCTACGAGAAGAAAAGCTAGTCGAGACGGCTTCCATTCTTTAAAGATAGCGAGGTTGGGAATTGGAGATAGAAGACGTTGGCCTTCCAACGCATCTGCCAATTCCGGTAGAAGGTAGAATCCTATTAACTACCTCTATATCGTAAACTATGAATTAAGCCTTGAGATTGAGATTGAGATAATTTGGAACCAGTAGAGCTTATCGCAGTTAGGTCGAGAATCGTAAACAGAAGTTAGCCTTGGGGGGTGAAGTTACCATAAGATCAGGATTCACAGGTAGTTAGGCTCGTCCTGATATTCGGTTTTAATGACAATTAGGGCCGTTTAGTTTTGTTTTGTGTGGTTTTGTGTAGATTCGTATTGTACGTTAAATCGTCTGTTAACTCGGTACTGGGATTTGCTATTGCCGTGATAGAGTTAGCGGTTAGGGAAAACTAGAGCGCCACTGCCGTCGAATATTATGGTTTGGGGACGAAAAACCCCAGACCAAAGTTCTGACAGGCACTTCTGAAGTCTTAAGACTTGGAGGTAAAGTAGGTAATAAACTTAAGCTCTAGGTTGGATTACCTTAAAGATGTGGAGGAAGGAGGTCCCTTGATAGGTAAATAAGCTCGCGCCAGCTTGTATGGGGAGGTTAGAAGTGGAGACGTCGATCATAGAATGGCTTGCCGGGAGGCGCCCTTCGAATTATATACTCTATTGGATGAATTGGCCAAACCCTTGCTTAGGATGCTTAGGACGCTTAGGAAGAGGTAACCGTTCCTAGGTCGGATTTTAGCTTCTTGGGGGAGAGGACAGCTTTTAATCGATTCTGATTTTGATTCTGATTTTTCTTTTCTTTTCGGCTGGCCCTTCATGGGTTGTCTGTCTCTTGTGGTTTTGGTTGGGGCTAGAGCTATTTCTTATTTTAAGTCTCTATCGTTTTATTTATTTCTAGCGAGGAGGGATCTTGTTGTAGTAAGTTAAGAAGATGTAGGTAGGGACCGGGGGTTTGCTAGTACGTACAGCGTATCAATCCATCACCCCAGACTAGCTCCATGGGCTGAACCTGCTACCCGGTTGTGCATATATGCAGTTTAGGAGTGTAAAGCTGATAGAGAGGGGCAAGAAAGACGGAAGAGGCGCGTGGGTTTACATTAGTATGTACCTAGGTTCCCAAGTTCTCAAGTTCCTACCCTAAGTAAATTATTCCATGTGGACTGGAGAGTTTCAGCGGAAACTTTGCTTAAGTGTTGGTTTCGTCCCAGTTGAAGGCGCTCTGGCTCCGGTACATGGATACTTGAATACTACCATTCACCACATGCTACATACCACGTAAATTGTACACGCGTAAGTATCTACATGTGTAGTTTAGTTTATCCTGGTAGTTTATTCGTGCCTTAGAGCAGCCAAATCTTAGGTATTGTACGGTGAATTGGTTTTTGACTTCAACGTTGCCGATATTGTTGATCCGGTACTCGAGACTTGTGTTGTCAACCGTTAAAGAAACTACCAGAGGGATAACGAAGCGTTCGTCGACTACGGACGGTGGCTTGCTCGATCTGGGGCAGTACTAAATAAACCAGAGCACTAAGCACGTGGGCTAAAAGAGTAATAAGTCTGCTACGCAGGTGACCTAGATGACCTAGATTACCAACGCATATGCACAATGGCTGTGCTAATGCCGACATCTATGTAGGATCTTGACTTCCAATGGCCGGGGCGTTTCGACGCAAGAGAGCATACATACCCTATGTACATTTATCTTATTTGGTAGGTATGCCCCTAGGAGTAATCTTAGTGAGAAGGAAAGAGTGAACTTTGGTCACCAATTGGGGATGAAAGAAGTCACAGAGTCAGAATAGAAAAGAGCTGTAAAGGAAGGTACAATAAAATAAAATATGTACTGTGTCTTTGGGAAAGTGTGGCCTCTGGGGTGTTCCTTTACCAAAGTAATGAAAGGAGGATGTTCGAGTTCAAGGGGGAATACAGCTACAAAGTGTAAGTACCCAAGTACTTAGCTAGATTTATGTAGGGAAAGACAATTAGAGGCCAGAACCTTGCAACTTTACAACCTCGCAACCTGGCTCCCTGTTCAGCATTTACGATTTTGAACTTAGCACCCGCTCTTCGCCCCTCTAAAAGCTCCATGCACCCAAGATCCCGGGATGCTCTTAATGCCCGGGTCGTCATTACTGCCTACCTATATTACGATTAATTTATTGGCCCTTCTAGCTAGTTTGGACATCGGTCCATTACGAAGTTATGTCCAATGTCACATGTAGATATCGGGGTAAACACTTTGTTACTGTCAGGTGCTATTGTTACCGCATGTAGGTACCTAATGTACATGGAAAGGGTGTGTTACTAGGTACCTAGATATCTACATAAGGTCGAGATATGTATTTATCAGGGTTACTATAGTATACGATAGAAAAGTACTATGTACCTAGTATTTGAAGTACCTAACCTAATCCTGTCATCAAGTCGTCCGACTTCCCGCGTTTCCTAGCTCAGCTAGACCAAGCTAAACTACTTAGTAAACTAGAGACACGGAATAATGTTTTATTGATTTTAAAAAAGCCCCCCATCTTCACCGGTACTCTATCTTATTATACCTTCTAAACTCAGTAATTGAGAAATGTTCCCGTGCTTACGGGAAATACAGCTGAACACTAAGAAGACCTGAAAAAGCTCAGCTCCTGGCCGATTGTAGTGATGGACATGACGAGATGGGGCAGATGGGGTTAGAATTGGGGTTCTAAATGATGTACAGGGGGGCAACCCTTCCGCTATCCCCTGTTGCCGTTCTTGCGCTAATGCATTCCATGACAGGGACTCTCAGAGTGCTGATCTCGGCCGTGTGTCCACGACTAGGGTCTTCCGTTAACGTGGTAGGCCTAGTAGGCCTCGCGTGCTTTCTTTACTTCTCACCGGCCCGGCCTATGGTGAATACTTAGACACGAAGGTCTAAACGCATAGGACCTATGTTTGGTCGATCACGTTTTGAATCTCATTATCCCCTGCGAGGACCAGACCTAAGAAGAGATTGGGAAAAAGGGGTATGTCCAGTGGTATTCGGGATGATGAATACCTAACTAGATATAGGTAGCGTTGCTTATCATTACTTCCATGGTTCAGTCATTTCCATCAATAATGTACATGGTAGCATGACAGGTAAAGTTACACGCATAAGCTTACCGCTACCGACATGCGCGACGGTTTGCCAATGTGAGTATCGCGAAGTAGGCATATTGGTACCTAGTAGTATAGAAAGATATAAAAGTAAAAGATTACCTATTGAAACGGATGAATAGGTATAATTACCGTCCCAAGCATTTCGCCGTCTTCTGAATTGCTCAGCTCGCTTCAAACTTATTGTCTTGGCACATATTCGATGATGGTGTACCTAATAATCAATCTTCAGCTGTCTATTTGATGCTACTAGACTTTTACGCGCGCGCAAAACGGGAATAAAGTTATGAGGCTGCTGTTACTTTGGAGTTAAATACTACCTACCTATCTCCCTACGCGGTAGTCGATCTAGTCATCCCATCTTCCCGGGTTATATAGAGATCTAGATATAGAAGATTGCCTTTCGTATGAATGGTCGGCGACACTAGCGGCTTGGTGCAAATTTAAGCCGGTAAGCTGGCCAGTCTGTACTACTTTCTCTCTGGTGCCCCACGTGAATTGAAGGAGAGAACCCTTATGTCTATAGCGTCCAAGCCTTAATTGTAAATACGCAGGTTGATAACGACGTTCGAATTGGTGGAATAAGACAATGGTTGAGGACAATCCATGATGTGATCTTCTATACGTAGGCTGCTAGGTAGGGACTCTCCCCCAACATCGATCGGACGACTGCGAGTCTACCATGTACATACTTGGCAATGCATGTGCTCCGCGCTGGCATTACTGCAGACTGCGTGGCACTTGAATGGTGTCAATGCAAGCCACCTCTTCTTCGCCAGATGATCTTATAAAATTACGGACATGTACGCAAGTGTGCGTATATGAAAGAAGCACGTAATATTCCTAGCATAGGGTAGGATTGCCATGCCGAAAGAGCCTCATCGGTAACATATCGACGATATCAACGATTTGGGATATAGCGGCCCGCTTGGGCTCGTGACGTCTAAAGGGGGGCTGAAGGGAGAAACGACAGGATCCCGTTCAATCCTCTACCTGCATCGAATGTCATCGGGGCGATCTGTTAGGTTCGATCATTTATCCCAATAAATGCTTGCGTATGCCGTTGTTGCAGGGAAAGTCCCTGGAACCAGAAGCAATTAGGTTACACCCCGTTGTTGGAGGCTAACGCTGCCGTGTGCGAATTTGCATTGGCATTAGCATTGGCATAGGAGAGTAGGTACAAGGCGTCGAGGCGCGCGAGAACCAGGGTCAGTCGTTCGCTGGGATTTCTTCGATTAAGGAAAACCCCGCAATCGCCGCAACCAGGGTGTATTATACTACCTAGTATTCCATTTTAGATCCATGGATACTAGGTAGTATTGTATGTATGTATATCCACCTCGGAATTCTGTTGTGTTGCGGTAAAGCATACTTACGTCGCTCATTCATATGAGATATTCTTGGTAATAATAGAGAGCTTACAACTTTTGCTTTTTCTGTCTCTCGAGGGGTAAACGCTTACCCTGCGCCTTAAGCCAGGATTTAACCCCCCACAACACGTTACAGGACGTGCCCAACTAAGAGGTACCTACTAGGTAGGTAGGTACTAGACCAGTAGGCCAGTAAACACGTAGTAGAAAAGATCAGGTATTGTGTCGTTAGAGCCTTGCCTGGTTCAGGGAATTTTTGACGAGAATCGTGCGTTTCTTTCCTTACTCTCCCAAAAGTTCTTCTTAAACTTACATCCCTTTCGGAGCTCACCGTGTAAACAGATAAAATCGACAGAGCTTACCAGATTGTAATCCGTACTTCGCGCGCAGCGCTTAGGTAGCTGGGCAGGTAGGTACAAATCTGAATCTGACTTACTAGGTTGGCATAGTACGGGCCAATCTCCCAGATGTGGTATCAGAGCCTCTCTCTCTCTAAGACACAAACTCGGTGCTCGGGTGGTTTGTATGTGCATGATCTGGATGGCACGGTAATACCTGGAATCTAATCCATTTTTAGCAATTCCTCTTGTTCTGATAGTTAGGATGGTAATCGACGGATTCTTCTCGTGTCACCACCTACTTAGGTACCTACCTAGACATATTCCGCTGCCATTCATCGAGGGTCTGACCTCACCATGCCGACCGCGACGGTACTGGAGACTGGAGTTGCAGAGCTGAAATATGTACCTAGGTAATCCTGATTGGTCAGCATTCTTAGGGATGATAACCCTGCCATTCGACTAAATATGGGCGAGTCGGGACCGATGCGAACCCCGAATGTCATTCGCCTGAATTGGGTTTCAAGCTTCGAGGGTATTGCCAATCCTAAGGGATAGATGAGCGGTTCCCAACTTCCCTCTCCCTTGACATTCGAATCTTTGTATGAAAATGGAACCGCAGCAACCGGGTAGGGCCGGTGGCGCGAACTCAGAAGCAGAAACCAAATCCTTTCGGCAGCTGCTGCATACCGTACACAAGATGGGACCGCATCTCATCTCATCTAGATATGAATTTCTCGTCTAGTCGACGTGTGCGAAGCCTTGCGAATAACGTCCGGGGCCGGGGTATCGTTCCGGAGCATAGGTTTCCTCCTTGGATGAGACCTCCAAGCCTCAAGGTAATCAATAGGTATCCAGACGACCTGGGAGATTGGATGGGGTGGTGAATGTTCATTGGGATTCGTCTGGTTGGATTCCAATCAAGTTTCAAGTCTAAGTACTTGCCTACATACCTAGTACGTAGCGGCAGGACAGGTATGGGTAGGTAGGCAGGTAGGTAGGCAAATAGGTAGATTTTTTGTGCCTGTGTAACCCGTCATCCAGCAGTTCCTTAAGCTTGGACCCGTTTATTGAAATTCTCTCGTGTTGTATCGGGATGCCGGTGAGTCGCTCGATGTGAGCCGGGGCCAGCACAGAGCACCTGGGCAGTTAATAGTAGGGACGGATGTAAGAAGTCTCCGAAAGACATACTACGTCGGTAACAAGTAGCATGCAGTGAAACCAAAAACGTCCAGACCACTAAGATGAAGGCCGGTACCTTATCAAGTAAGTTTAAAGGTCGAGTGCGGTTTTTCTTTTTTTTTGGTGATGTGACATTGAAACCGATTTAAGTGAAGAACGGCCAACTGCTTCCAAGATACGAGATACGATTATGCAACATGCAACATGCAACAAACCATCCCGATTATCACGCTATGCATCCCCATTGTTGAATAAGAACTGCTTAAATACATATATATGTAGTTTAGCTATTCAAGCACCCACCTTTTCGGCAGAAGTATGGATCATTTCGTTTCATCTCATTCTTTTACAAATTCTTAACCAATTCAATTACCTGGTTATATTTATTATGATATGTTCAGTATTCCGGAAAAGTTAAAAGTATGGAAAGGATTATACTTTTCATCATGGGTTTTCTGAGATTCTCCGTTTAAAGGTCTAATGAGCCTGTGAGCTTGAAATCTAGATTCTGGACTTTGTCTAGGCTCTGATCTATTGATCTACACTACTCCTCCACTTCATTGCGAGCTGTCGCGGCTCACCGGTGACCGGTCAGCTACGAACTACATATCCGCATTAGCGTGATTGCTATCATCTGACGCCCTTCATTTCCTAAGAACCCAATTACACCTGGGCATCTATCATTAAACATTAAACAGAGAACGGCTTTACATATGCGTATCGTTAAAACTACTCAAACACGACCACTCTCACAGTTCCTGGCTTTGGAAATGAAGGCCAACAATCGGTTTTGTCTTGAAGCCCTAGTTAGCGGTCACGAGCCACAGTGCTAGTTACGCGGGGGCTATGCCGCGGTGTGGTAATTCTGTGCTTCTGGCATACGAGGGTGTCTACAGCCTATCGCATCTTTGCCCACGTCAATCCCGACAACTATTGTGCTACATTAATAGTCCCACGCGTCACTTCCCCGAACCGGCTGGTTTCCCGAATTCGGTTCTTCAACCGAGGAAAAAGGACTCGTAAGTCTCGATTTATGACAGACATAGCAACAACACCTATTGCCCTATGACCTTTTGACCTTTTGGCCTTTTGGCATCTATGAGCGGAAGTTAGTTAAGGCAATGTTACCAGCGGATCAATATGGAATTTCATCAGATTCATAGCCCCATCTCGCCCAATTTTTCTTCTGCGAGACGACGAATATGGTATAGCTACATTCACCAAGCTGATAGGTTCGATTGAACCCCCCACCCCTAAGTTGGCGTTGTGCTGTTGTGCTGTTGTACTTCAACCATTCGCCTTGGAGGATTTCTATGCAATTCTCAAGCCGGTCTGGATTGACGCGCTCGTCTCCTTTTACGATTTTCAGCTGGCATCATACCTGAACACTTGCCTCCGTTCGGAAAGAATGCGAGACAGAATCGATTTCCTCGTAGGACGGGCCGTTTCCCCCCATCTTCCGCGCTCTAGAATAACCTTGGAACCAGGCACAAAGTCGCACGAGCGGGGTTTAGGGAGGATTCCCTTAAAAGGATGGAGGGGGAATCCCGCGCGCAATATTTGGATTTTCCACTCAAACAAGCGGGAGTGTGCATTTCTTAGCTCCTTAGCGATTTCACTGCTACCGAAGACAGGGTAAGCGCCGTGAATCCATCCACGGCTCTGGGTCAATTCGGTTGGCGCACCGCATGAGCCCTGGACTCCTTGAGCCGCCACAGGCTCCTCCCAGACACACGGATGAGCCTCATTGAGGAAATACGCCCATCCACCAGAACGGTTTGGCTGCTTATGGCTTCGGCAAGGTTCCGAAGAGTCAAAGATCTTATGTCTCCACACCAATTGACCCACAAAGTCGTCGATGAAGTTGGGGGAAAACTTCCTCTTTCGTCGATAAGGTGGATAACAATTCGATAATATGTATGCGATGATTATCCCGAACTTCCTATTCATTGAGATGGGTCGCCGGTCTGTATGAAATATCACAGCTCCGAAAATGAGCCCGGAGGGTGTTGAAGGCCCGCCATTGGACATTTAAACGGCGAACACGGAATACCTGACGGTTGCGAAGGCCAATCCGCCGCCGCATCTAATACCTTTTCTCATTTCGCAACTCCGGGTCTTGCTTTCCATGATATCCGGTTGCAAGTTGAATGAATTGATAATGCCGATTGGAAGTTCCCTGTTTTCCGCGCCACCACCCTTGTACGGAAATCAACATGCTGCAATGTCATCAAAATACTAACAAATAGGTACTAGGTGGGTAAGTGGGTAGGCGGGTAGGTAGGTGCCTACCGACCTAAAAATTATCGTCAGAGTCACAGAGTTTACGCCGACCATCAACTACCCCTAGTACGCATACGCGAGTAATCATCGCTCGTCTTCCTGCCCGATCCAATATAAGCAGATTTTGTAGTCTATTTGGGATTATTCCATCCCGGGATTAATCTTTTAATGACGTTTGTTTATCTGGATAAATCCAATGAAAATCAATGAACGCAGCAGCAAAATCAACATTATAAACATTATAATTAACCGTATCTCCGAATATGGCCGACATGGATAATCATTCTGCCTTTGACAGTCGCGCGGATAAGTCAGATCAATAAGAGTAGACCTCGGTACCCCTACGAGCAGCGTACTGTAACACATTAGCCGGTCTCCTCGATTGCCGACCTAATTGAGTCATTACTAAGATCTCGGGCTCTGGAGGATAGCCGTAGATCCAACCTGCCTACGCGTATGCAGTCATCAAGTTCCGCTCGTCGTCAGCTGTAATGAAGCTTGCTTATCTACAACCTAGATATATTAAACTTGCCAGATCTCTCGTCAGCACGAGTTGAATGTTACCCACCTTCTATGTACATCGACCTTTTGCGGTTACATGTATTAATTAGACCCGATGGTCAGGTACCTGCTCTCTATTATCCCCTCCTCCTACCAAAAGATTTGTCTAAAACACCCTGTTGATTTTCACAGTTTTAATATAACAATACCTCATGTAGTTCTACCTAAAATCAGGACTATCTATCCGTATGAACACGGAACAAAACGTCAAACAACTAACTTCTTCATAATACTACAATCCCTCTTATGAAGAAGGTCGTTACTCAGCTACCCAGCTACCCGGGTATCCAAAACTCGTTTCATATTCAGCATCTTGGTAAGTTGTAGACAGGACACACCGCTCAAAAACCTGGCAGCTCGTGATGCATTCAGGTTTTCAACAGTGGCAAAGTAATATCAGCTCCTGCATGTACTAGCCAGGCGAGCCGTATCAGGGACCGCAGGAACATATTGTAGTAAGGTAGGTATGAACCCATCTCTCAGCTAAACAGCTTGTGAGGCTAGCGCGTCTTAAAGTAGTATATTCGTTATGATTAGTACAACTACGTTCGATACCTACCTACCTACCTAAGCAAATGTGTCAAGGCCAAGAGTGAAGGTCTCAAGTACGGTCAATATCTAGCCTTGTCTAGCCGCCTGGTATATCGCGATATAAGCATAGAAAGTGACTCGGAGGCTGGCAGCGACGTCAAATAGAAAATGGGATCGTGGGTATCCTGCACCCATGGCAGCGCCACTAAAGATTTCCAAGTTGAAGGCGTGATTTAGTTGGATGGCATCCAAACCACTCAATCCACCAGATGACCAAATTATCAGCCACAAACTATATCCAAAGCAATAATTTGGGTGAAACATTGAAAGAAGGAAGTTGAAGGGGGGCCAAAGATTTGGCCTGAGATCGATCGTGGGAGTTGTAGGTAAGGATTCTTCCAAGGCTCTATTGAGTGATCAGCAAGGTCAACATCGTGCTGGGGCTTGATTTGCTGAAGAAAGGTGTTCGAAGATGATCAGGGTCCCCGGAACTCCAGCCCGTCCACACACACAGCAGCAAGGCTTGCATACGAACTCGTTATCAATCCTTCGGGCACCTATGTTCTTCGTTTAAGTCGCATGCTATCAAGCCTGGGCGCCGCCACCCCCTACTCTGATGTATCGCTCACCAAGCCACGATTAGCACTAGAGATATTGACACTTGTCGTCCACAACACGACCTGCATGTAATGGTCTTTTCTGAGACTTCTGTGTCCGCTCTATACATAGACGGCTCACCATTGTCAATCAAAACATTCTGTGACTCGAGTACAACTCTCGACACGCTTTAGATCCAAGTACCATCGCTATACCGCGATTCAATGCACCTAGATACGAGCTTACCCCGAGTTTAATCCCGTTCCATCCATGCCATACTATGCAGACTATGTTATTCTCTGCAGTGTGAAGTGAGACGTCATTCAGCTACTAAACCGGCGACCTCCCTGGGGCACAATGATCATCATGCGCCTGCAGGTGGACGACCAATCGGAGTAGGCACGATCGACACTGGCTGGGCGCGCTATCAGCTAGCTCTAGACAATCCTAAACTCCGTAGCTAAGGGAGTCCGAATAGATCTGCAACTGCCTCAAGACACAGCTATTTTACGCTATCGAATTCTTTCTTTTGCAACGACTGATACATCCCCGCGTATCTATTATTGTGGTAATACGTCGTTGAAGAAACTCGCGTGGAGTCGGGTTTCATGTTGATAGGCCATGGGAAGGTTAGTCTCCGGACCACCCTTCTGGATTCTCTTTAGAATCACTGGGGTAATCGCCTACGCTAAAGGTGTCACGCATCTCCTATAACACGAGGGAATAGACTGAGACGAAATGCCCTACTTACGGCCATTAAACCTTAATGATCAACTTGGCTTGGAAATGATATTCGTGTGAACCGTGTCTTAAGGGCTGTGACTTTCAAAGACGCGTAATCCCCTGTGTACCACATGAACTTCTTCGAGTAGAGATGCCGTTTTCGGGAACTCGGGACGTAATCTTCGCGGATTTGTGCCTCAGCCTAGCGAAGCTATCCAGCGATCTTGGCAATGCAATTAGGACATGGGATTAGACTTGTATCATCGACGACCTAATTTATCTGAATAATTGTGTCTCACTATTAATAATTTCATCTAGAGTTAAGAATAGCCCGATCATATCAGCAATGTGAAGTGGCTTGTAGTTCAAATGAACATCAGCATATGTGCTTCCCATCTCAAGCCCCTAAGATGCGGTACCTGCGTCAGCATCGTAAGGTAGAAGTCCAGGCCTACTCTGACAGCGATGTCTTCAGAAAGAGAAGGCATATACCTACCATAGCCCTACCAAATATAAGCATTGGGCGTAAGACAGGCGGTACCCATGCCATCGGCTCCTGCACCTTGTCTTAGCAGATACCTAAGTAATTAGGGGACAAGTTTACATTCCGGCCTGAAGCGGGGCACGCGAACTATGGGCTCACTTTGCGGACTTCGAAACACGGCAGGCTAGCTACTGTGTGTTCTAGAAGCTAGGATACTGTCTCTATGTGGGACAAAATTGGCCGGGAGTCTGGGGCGATCTAAAAGTAGTATCTATCGGAGTACAAGCATGTGTACCTAGTCTTCTCTGAGGACATCGTATGGTTTGACGGACTTGGTTCCGCAGGTACCTGTCTGCCTTGTGAGAACGGTGATTAGTAAGTGCTGTAAAAAGGGGGTTTCTCTGCTCCTATAGCGAAGAGAAGTAATAAGATTTTTTTATTGATCATTGTTCAAGGTATGATCTTGGCATTGGATCTGAATATTATCAATAGTGGCTGGTTTAGGAAGCCTAATGCTAAGATACGTGGTCGACACATGGAAAAGGGGGGACTCGGCCTTGTCGTACGACTTTCTCGGGAATATTAAAATAGCCGTTTAAAGTAAACTCTACATGATATTATACCTGAGTTTTCAAGAATAGGAGTAAAGTTTAATGTCGGTACGATTGATTAACCATTTCATTGATCTTTTCTTTTCTAATTGAATGGCAGATTCCCTGGTGAAGACTGTCATGCCATGGGACTAAGCCTTAGGTTTAGTGGTTCATGCCTGCCAATTGAGCCAAACCACCAAAGGACGACAATCACAAGTCGGACAACTTGCGATCTATTACAGGTATTAAAGGCCAGTCCGTAACAAAGACTCGGAAGGGGCTCAGGGGTCCCAAACTCATAGTTACATGCATAGTAGCAAACGTCCGATTGCAAATTACACACAGGCTTTCTTAAAAGGGGCATTTTACACTTTTTCATTGAAGTTATCTCTGTGATTAATTCAAATAATAATAATGATATGGTATATTAACTATAAGAGGTAGGTACCTATTGTTTACCATAACCTAATGCTATCAGCATCCGCCTTAACAAGACATTCACACTAAGGTCCTAGTTAGATTATATCTATAGGAGATATATTGGTAGTTGGCCTTAGAACGACGTTAGTAAAGAACATTGGCTATATGCATATCACGACGATACCTAAAGCTACCTAGATGCCTAATTTGTTCATGGTTTAAAGTTCTACTCAAAATAATCCTAAGTCTCCCAGTTTACATATCTCAGTCGCATGACTTTAAGGTTGATATTCAATAGGGTTGAAACCAATGATATATCACAATAACTGTAGGATACCTATTGAAGAGATACAAAAGCTTTAACTCTGTAGTAGGTATCTCTATTGTAGGTGGTTATTATCTTTGGAATGGGTTTCATTAGAATCATCACTACCTAGGTATATTGAGTGTTGTTGAGAGATATACCTTGAGATAACATTTAAATAGGTACTTGAAACAATTATCAGCGACAGAATATGTCTGTGGTTCTTGCAAATTCACTAGAGTTTAGGCATCATGATACCTGGGGCCTGGGTTCCTTTCTTTATACCCAAATTAAATATAAAGACATTTACTTTAACACACACTTAACTACTAGGTACCTAAGTACTTACTTGATGGTTTATCTCTAATTCAGTATGGAAAACGTATTTCTTATATAGTATGTTCAATCATCATGAAAAGGAGTTCCTGAATATATCTTTAACTACTTACCTACCAGAATGAATAGGTAAGCAAATATACAGTGATATACATGATAATACGAACACGTTATGAAACTAAGTAAGTATAATTCGAAGACAGCTATCTTAGTAAAATCATAACAAAATCTTAACTGATATAGTCTCTTTAGATAGAACTCTCAAAGAATGCCGGTCAGTATTTAGTTGCTAGGTTCTATTAACTCCTCAACTTACGTCAAAATTAGTTTGCCGCCAGATCCAATACGAGCTTCCTGCAAGAACTTGCCATCGCCCCAAAGGATGATTCTTACAAGCGCTGGCTTCCTATATTTCCTGTTATGAGGCAGAACCAAAAGGCATGGGAACGGTAACGTTGCTGCGCGAAGATCTCTAATCTCCTTACTCCCTCCAAGGGAGCGTGGTATATATAGAAAAGGCCCTTCGTCTACTCTGTCTCTAGTACAAGCACCTAGTATGTCTACCTAAGCATTCCTCATAGACTTCAAGGTTATTAGCGGGCCGAGTCCCGGTCCTACTAGACCTCTAGCTACAAGTCCTCCTACAGACCAGACTTCTGAAACTTCTCTCTTAATTGTGTTTTTCTTGTATTGATTCAGAATAGGTACTATTAAAACTTGAATTTGGGTAGGTTTCGTATCCCATGCTTGAAGGTGCTCCTTTGAGCAAGGACGTGGTGCAATTATCCACGATTAAGACTTGATAGGTAGGTATGTAGAAACTTATTCACAGCTTGGTCCAAAAACACTCCCCATTGATCAAAATCAAGATGTCATGAGGACTGAGCAGAGACTATTTATATTTAGATGGGCAAATGTTCGTCTCCTATGCACTATCAACCAAATGGGCGCCCCCTACAATATCACGGATTCTCATAAATCATGCAAAGAATCCTTTATCAACCTGACAAATAGCTACCTCAAACATAGAAATCTTGTAATATTTTGGATTATAGTATGTCAATCATGAGGTACCCATGTATAGGATTTATATACTTGGGAATTCAGGGGTTGATTAGTAATCCGGAACAACGCTTGGTGCGATCATTTAACCCATTGAGAAATATTATACAGGATTTGGGGAGAGGTTTTAAGGTGAAAGATAAACCTTGATTTCTGATTTCTATAATTGAATTAATGTCTACTATGTTTCCACTAAATCATACACACAATCATAAACTGATGCTTTTCAGCTGATACCCCTATCAGATATTCCGACTACAGCATCTAGAAAGAACTACACGTTGGTACAGCTGCAAACATAGTTTGAATTACCAAGGTGTATTGCTTAGGTTAACATGCTGTTAATTTCTATGAGAATGTGATGTTACACGTACCTATTATGTGGCATTCAGCTTCTGTTAAGTCGCCGTAGGGCCTAGATTTACAAAGAACACCCCTACTAAGGTACCCAAGTACCCTTTCTAAAGAACCCATCAAATAGGTACCTAGGTATATCGCGGAAGACACACCTGTGCTCCTTAATTTCACCTTGCCACAGCCTTTCTCCCCGTTCGATATACAATTTTATATGATATGTAGAAGTGAGGATGGCCCCATACGTCCCTAGGTCTGATAGGCATGATATATTGTCGTTGCATTCAATGTTGCCGAGAAATGTACCTACCCAAGCAGTGCCTATCACATTCACTATTATCGTTGCATTGGTGCAACAGGGGAGAAAAAGCATATACTTTTCGGTGAAAGCCCCATTTCGGTCTTTTCGAGCAATTATAACGCCTATTTGTAGACCAAGTAACATTTCCCCTCATTTTCTATGCGGTCATTTATGCATAAGTGAGACATAAGTTGGATTTTTTTTTCGAGGAGAGGGGGTTGGGGCTGGCTTGAATATCTTATGATATAGGATATCAGCGTCAGTCTTCATCTACTGACATAATTCAAAAGTGATCTTGAAGCTCTATGCGCGATATCCACCTACTAGCCAACGGAACTCTTACTAGTCATGTTGCTGTGTGGGAGCGGCCGATTTCGTTTCTATACCTAAGAGTACCCAATCCTCAGCCTATAATTGTTTCAACCTGTCAGCACTACGTAATCATAGATAGCCCCCCTCCCTCTAAAGATTACCACTTTATATAGGTATAAATCTGTGCAATAGGCGTACCTAGAAGGTATTTTTGGTCCGGACCCCATCGGACCCCATGTCTCGTCATGCTCAGGTGGCTAGCTAAAATTATCAGATGATTGAGGATATGGGCGACTATATATCTCTTGAAGTCTTGATATCAGATCCTACTGTCTTATATCTTCAAGTCTTCTCTTCAATCAATTTTCTTTTCCCAAAGTCATCTCCTTTCTTTTGTATCGGGCTGGGGAATGTACGGTGACCCCCGTGGCAAGGCTGTTCCCCGTCATTAATTCTGCAGGGCATATTTCCTTATTGACAAGGCAAACAAAATACCAACATGTCTTCGGCAAAGGAACCCATATTGAGAGCCAATTGACTTTATAGAAGTTATCGGCTGGCAATATATTAGTTCAAGTGACCTTAGGGAGTTCCTAGAAGTCTGTGTCTTGACTTCTTGAGAGAAGGCTACCGTTGTTTGAGATGGGTCGCAGACCAAGGTACTTCCTCAGGCAAACACATGTCCCTACGTTTTTAGTCCCTTCGTTGCCTTTTCTACACTTCGCCCATGTACCTCGCATGACTTATGGGCAAAGCACTAATTCGTTATTGATTCCCAGACCGAAAGTTGCCAACAAGGCATGCTTAATACCTACCTAGCATCCAAGGACCCTGCAGTTCTGTCCGGCACCACACCAAGAGATTCCCTATCAATAATTCCGATCCCCCGAGCTTAGATTTGGAACAGCGGTATAGCAGCAGTGCAGGAGAACGCAACAAGTTGCGGGCATTTCCATCAAAATGCAGAAGGTTCCTGAGTTCCGCACAGATGTGTACCTAGAGCTTGATATCCTTAGCAGCGCATTCCCTCAATATCCGAAGGTCCCTTTGAAAGAGAGGAGAACTAGACAGAATGGATGTCTCGTACGTCTGCCCAATGTTGAGAGAGCTATTGCACCACTATTATAAGAGGACTTTAAACCACAAACTAAATCCGCCTTGTATTTTTTTTACTCTCCAACAAAGCTTAACTTTATTATATCCTACCATGAGTATGTTCTCCCATGTAGGCACTGATGATGTGTCACAAGTAACGAGCAGCGTTACAAGCAAGACCGAAATCAACTATGAGTACCACCAACAAGAAAGTGCTTTTCAGCAGTCTCTTACGTCCAGGGAGCTCATTGATGAAAGCGGCATGGGCCAGGATTGCTTGTTAGTTTTGTCTTTCTACTAAGCCTTTCCTTATTGCCGCCTCACTAAGCTGACACATGTATAAAGATTTTTCAAAGGCGTATTAGATGACTGCTACCAAAGCCGCCTCTATGCTCGCGTGCTCGAATTTTATTTCATTGAAAATCATCCTAAGCACGGACCGTATCGCTGTCCAATGGAAAATTGCAAGATAGACGAATTCGATGACCTCAAGCAGATGATTCTACATCTCAAAGGCTGCAAGTACTTCAAGCAAGGCTACATTCGATGTCCAGGATGCAATAACGTTGAGAGATTTCGGAAAACCTCTAACAAAGGTTGTTCTTGGAATAGACCTAGTCTCAAGCATAGAATTCAAAAGAAACTCGAAGCTGCATTGGATATTATCAAAAGAATTGCTAGTTGTCAGGCAGAGTCAACCATGGTGTTGGGTCTGTGTCAGAACTGTGGCCATCCAATAACACCGAATGGGTTGGACAAAACTCCCCAATTGCTTCACAGCCATTCTCCAACCGGTTCAATCTCCAACACCTCATCGACCACAGACCACTGTCAAGACGATCTAGGAAAACACTGTTGCTATGAAGTTCTAGGCAAAGAGCTCTATGATATTACATGCATGAGACCCTGCGAAGCTCCTAACACCTATTTACCTTGTGAAGCTCCTAACGACTACCTACTCTACGAAGCTCCTGGCGACAACTCACTCTGTGAAGCTCTTGGCTTGAGACACCGCGAAGATCTCAGTAAGCAACACCTTGAACTCATCGATTCGCAAGGCCACACACCAGAGTTGCCAACCTATGATAAGATACAGTTACATGTCCCACATGATACATTCACCTCAGGCCAGCCGTCTGTATATAACCTACCATCGGAATTGGGCTCATCTCCAGTCAATCCTGGGGCTATATCTTCCACAGGCGTGTCACCTCTGTTCGCTGCAACATTAACAACCACATCTACAGAGAACTCTCAATGCCAAAGCTCATTGACGAGCCATCAATACTCTGGAAGTTCATCTGATCATGAGATAATCTCAAACAAAGGCCATAACATGGATGAAATGCGAAACAATTGGCAGGGATCCCGATTAACACGACTCTATGATCCGGCGTCTACGCGCGACCTAGTAGATCTAGAGTCGTCTTTTGGGCAACCACTTTCAATACAAACGGGATATGATGAACCTGATGTGAATTATCTATTATGGGATAATTCCACCTTTTATCAAGGTCCTCTAGGTCCTGTGAATAGTACGGGACACTTAAGGGACATACCGTCTGTACCCATGATGGAAACATCTTTGTCTGATGCTGGAGCTTTTGCTGGCCCGTCCGTCCAAATTGCAGATGGCAATATCGCTACGAATATCGGACCAATTTCTCCCTCTTCTCCCCTCGGTTCGACAATACCATCTTCGAACTCTGATCAACCTCCTGAATCGGAATTATCAGAAAACGAATTGACCTGTTCCTCTTGTGGATTTAGACCTTCAGGAAAGGAAGCAAATCGCAGGGCATATCTCCGAAAGCATGAAACGATCCACCAGAAGCCCACGTTTCCATGTGATCACTGCGGCAAACCCTATACTCGGCGAGATAACATGGTTGTCCATCGTGACAAATCTCATCCCAGCCCCAGTGATCGCAAGAAACGCCGAGATAACTCAGTTGATATTGGCATGGGGAACCAAAGGAAAAAGAGGTTTTCGGTAAGTTAGGCTAAGAAACGATCGGCTGGGGCTGAATAGGATATCTTTGTGTTGTTTCATAAACGTACACGGGAATAATGCTGTCGAAATCGAATGGGATTCGATATTAGTTCGTGTAGTGGCTTTCATTACCTATTTATGAGTGTCTATCTCCTTAACTCATTTCATAGCCTTCTTACCACCCGGCCAAGCCCATCAATAATAATAAATTCATGAGTAAATTGCAGTGGCCACCATTTTTAGAGCCGTGAACGTACATACATAGTAATTACACCCAATAATCAAGTAAAGTTGAGATAAAAGAGTAATAACGCCAATACCCCATGAATGAATAGGGCAGGGGACATCACAACCTTCACTCCAGGTGTGCCCGTTAGTATCAGAGCCCGATCAAAGAGACGAGCAACTAATTCCCTTTCTATCCTAGTTATGACATTTACACGAATAATTCTAGATTATTCCGCGTTGATGGGTATGATGATAGCTCATTGCCCACGACATAGTGATTAGGCATAGTTGCCATAAGGGAAAACGTAAATCAGGGAGAATTCAAGTAATTTATCTGCATAGTGCTTGGTGACGTTAGGGCGCTGCCACGAACCTAAACGAACATCACATTCCCGTGAGGCGGAGCGAATTTCCGAGCTTCTACTGTTTCCCCATGGGACGTAGCAACACTCACTTTGCAAGTGTGTAAGACTTTGTGGTGTTAATTTCCCCGGCCAATTCACCCTGAAAACATCCAGATATTAGGTCTTCCCATTTGCGATTCCTCTCAAAGGATCCAGGCGTGATAGTGATTGCATCAAGTCTCAGGGTGGACTGGTTCTAGGTAGAACACTGAAAAATTAAGGATTTGGCTAAACCGGAGAGGGATACGCTGGCAGTTGCGGCTCTTAAAATCCTTGATCATTATTCGATCGGTGGTAGGTAATCTTACCCCTCCGAAAGGGAGTTACGACTTCGTAAGGCGGCAACACCCTGAGATACCTACAGAAGGGACGCTTCACTTTAGTTGTTGCGAACCAAGCTGCAAAGAAGTCCCCTGTTAAGGGCCAACATCCAAACTCCGAAGCAAATCGTCTCTTGGCTGTCAAATACACTAGGCACAAGACTCAATGATATAAAAGGAGTCTTGTAACTTCTGTAGGAGATGATTTCGAAATGCATCCTAACCTGCAACATAAACAAAACATCTCATCAGATTTTGTGACTTACCACAATTTCACCAACCCAAATTCACACATCCTTTCAAAACAGAACCATCAAAAAATAACCATCAAAACAATGGATAAGTCTAGGTAAGTCATATACTACCTCTTGATCAATAAATCAGCTCCATGGAAAAAATACTGACCAGAATTCGCAGCGCCAACACCACCAACCCTTCCAAGGCGAAGGAAACCGAGCCTACGGCTCGTGACCAGCCTTCCAAAGACAACTCACTCCCCATCGATCGTTATCTAAACGAGGACAATCGCTACGAGAAACTCGCCGTTGGCGAACCATCGAGCAAACGGGATGCCGAAGAGAAGCTACGAGCTTTTGACAAGATGTGGGAGGCAGCAGGTGGACAGAAGAGCTGAATTGGCCATATGATGGGAATAAGCATGGTCAGGTATCAACCGATATGATGAAGGACGGGCATTTCATGTCGATTGATTGATTTCAAAAGCTGGCTCTGAGAATTTCGTTCGAGTGGAGGGTATCTGGGGAAGTTGTCTAGGGACCCTTTAAATTCAATCCATTCTCTCGTTACTGCCCACATATCTTAAACCAATGCGATCGTGACCTCGTAGAGATACGTGAAATGTACCACAAAACACCAATAAAGCTAGTTTATAAAATAAAAAGTAGAGAAAAGGATTTTTTGGATGAACGTAGGTAGTCATCTTACTCCAAGTCGTCCCACGCAGCGTCACCCCCTTTTTAACGCCAAGCCACAATACCAACGCCACAAATACCTACATAAGCCACTCAAAAAAGGGGTCAGACCGATAAACATACAATTTTCACTTTAACTAGACGCGGAGCACAACTCCAGCAGCAGTTTACCATATGAATTTTCCAAGTTAACATCGCTACCGAGCCTAAACGCTATCTATATACAAAGCAACTCGCTCGTCGGCTCTCTTCTATCACCACAAACCAATTCATTCGTCGTCCCAGAGTCTTCTACTAATAATGATAGGCCTAGCCTGGTCCCAAGGTCCGTTGATAGCGTTCTTATACTTCTGGAGGCCAATAAGCCACCAGCTGCAGCCGCCCATGGCGACGACGGCAATGACAGTCGCTACTAAAACCCCCAAGAGCCCGCTTTTCCACGGCCACACGTCGTCCCTATCTCCGCCTAGTATCAGGCCGACTCCGCCCCCAGCGCCGATCACGAGTAGCGCAGAGAGAGCGACGTGGTATTTCCAACTGTGGTGGCGGGCATAGCGTCTAAAGACGGGGAAAAGGCCAAACACTTCGATGCTGAATAACGTGAGGCTAAAAACTTGTCCCGTGGAGGGCAGCCGCGAGGCGAGCACCGTAGACGCCATTAACGCCGCGTTTGTAGAGAGTGATGCCGGGAATTTAACGGGTCCCGAGGAGTAATCGTAGAAAAAGATATTTAGCGCTAATAACCAAAATGACATAGCCCAGATGCTATCGGATGAAGTAGATCGAGTTAGAGATTTTAGGATAGGTGATAATCCAAGGAGGGTAAAATATATAAGAATAGCGGATTTGATCGTGCTGAGGCGGAGATTGGCCCTGCCATTACGTAGCGGAGAAGATGGACGATGGGTCGGCACTTCCATAGACTCGGATGACCGTCGGCCTTGCGATGCGTTGGACTGGAGAGATGTGGCCGATGCGGAGTGGGACTGTCGCGTAGCCACTAGACTTCCTTGTGGATATGTCCGTTCCGTCGCTGCTAGATTGGTTACCGAACTTCCGGCAGACGGCGTACCTCCTCCCGCGGCATTAAACCGGCCTCTCCTACTCTGGTCTCTTGTTGATCGGCTGCGGTTACTACGGCGCCTCTGCAAAGCCTCGTCTTCGTCTTCCTGACCAACCCACCAATCCCACAACAACCATCCCACAAATGTCGCGAAGCTGCCCCAGCTCACAACGGCCACAGGGGACACGCGCTCTTGGAATATCCCGACAAAACACACGACGAATATGGTAACGGAACACACTTGCTGTAGGATCACGGTCGAGTCGGCTACGAGAGGCCAGAATTCGTATGGTTGGAGACGCGGGTTGCGCTGGAGGTTCTCGAGGAAGGTGGCTTGGTCTGTATAGTTATCCGGGTCTAGAGGTAGCTGTTAATACCGACGTTGTAGATGCTATACGGGGTGGTAGTCGGTACAAGATTGTTTCACCCAGAGTAGTTTCTTCCAATTGCGTCGCCGGCGACGGCTCCTGCTCCGACTGCCAAGCTTCGAGCTCATCTTCCGCGACCGCGACTCACCGCGGCTGTCGTTGATGCCGTTGGGTTCGAAACCCGATTGTCGCCGCGAGAGCGGTGCTGTATTGAAGGCATCTTCGGGCGCAAGGTGGGATCGGGCGGTTCGCGGCGAATGTAACTCGATGGGTAGAGTGGCCGCACGCGTTATTCCGGGTTGCGGTGGTGGTAATGGTGGTGATGGTCCATCGCACATAGGTTTTGATGCCGCGGTTGTCGCCGAGGAGCCAAGGCTAGAAGTAGACATTTCTAGCTTCGTATCCGGTCGGTCATCGAAATTGGGTCTGGCGGCCGAGGTCTGGGGTGGGCTGCTCTACAGCCTTGTGATGATATGCATGTCGGACAATGCGTAGCGGGTGATGGAGAATGGAGAATGATGAATTGAATTGGTTCTAGACCCCTGAACTTTGAAGGGCTGAGCCTTTGAAGTTGAAATTTTGGTGGGGGTGAATGGCGCTCTGTCCCCAGGCCTTAAGATTCAATTGTTAAGCCTGGGGCCCCACTCGACTTAACCTTAGATGGCCTTTAGCTAACGTCAGCCACATAACCAAGCCGTCGGAAAATTCCATTTCCAAGGTACGCGTACGGGAAGGAACAGCTGAAAGTCTTGGCAAAGTTATCATTATGCGATGCATTAAGTTATTAGAACAGAGTTTAAAAGCTATAGCTCCATTGGTTTTAACTGGTCTCAGTTGGCCGCGACTGTTTACCCTTAGGTCGGTGGCCCCATGACTAATAGATACGAACTTTTATGCCGAATTACAAGGATTTAAAACTTTAGTTAAGGGGGTCGAAAGGTCGCGATCCCATTTGGTATAGCGAGATCTAAACCTCATTATACCAATAGGCTATCTCTTCCACGCTACTGCCCGTTATATGGCTGCCTACAGAAGGCAGTCCGAGCTGGCCTAGCTTCCAGGCAGATATCCCGTGCGATGCTACATTTTGACGTCACTGTTAATGTTCGACTTCACCGCAAAGAAATCTGCCTATTTTGAATGGGTAGTACTTGGGTAGCTGGATATATAGATATTAAGGTATGTAGGTAGCACCTATTTATCACACGTGGGAGAGTTAATTAAATATCAATTTAACTTGACGAAAACCACTATCTATATGTTGCACCGTGGCGTCGATGTTTGTCTCAGTGTCGGTGCAGGTCGAGATTCTCGGATTGAAAGACACACAAAGGTTCAGAAGCTTGTTTTATTGTAATTACTATGCTATTGTACGCATGGTATCGACGACTTCGGTCAACCTAGTCGAGTCAAGCTTTTATTTCATAAGCCGAAAGTCTAGACAGGTCTAAAAATGGAAAGCAACTCTTGGCAATTAGACCCTAGGTCCTTGCCAGATTCGGATGATGGTAGAAGGTTATTGGATGCTGAGCGGTTGGTTTAAATAAGGTGGATAACATGGGGATGCGATTTGGCTCCTCATAGGGGAGTTACGGTGCAGCTACACTGCTAGTGTCTACCAATGTAGGGCAACCACGGAAAGCCCGGCACCTATGACCCTTACCAAGTATCAATTAATCCTGTCCTTACTTCACAATCTGAAATCGCGGCCCCTTCATCCATGGCAGCCATGGATCACACCAAACCATTTCAACATTTTTCAAAAGGTACGTACGAAGGAAGAAAAACACCAAAACTTCAATGATGTGCAACGGTTGGGCTTTATGTTTGGTATTGGGATTTGATGAAAGGAATTATCTCAGCTTCCTTATATGTCGTTGGTGAATATTTAGCGAGGCGCAGCTTCTGACTGTCACGGCTGGTGCCATTACATTTCGTCATATTACGATCCAAATGCTGATCCTCAAATGATAGACCTTCGGTTTTTAGTCTTTTTCAGTTACATGTAAAAGGTCCGGTCACAAGTGATCCGAAAAAATCAACGAGAAGGATTCGGTACCGGATGGTGCATGGTACGGTGCACGCAGCAACAAACTTCAGGTATGTAGATATTTTCATATAATACTCCCGCTTCGTCCCGCGGAATAATAGGTAATAGGTAGAGGTGATGGAATGTCTTAGTGGAGGTTTGCACGTTCCCCATTTTAACCGCATATTAATAAACGCGATCTACAGTGGTGTTAGTCGCTCCCCACTAGTCGCTACCCACCGGTTGCTCCCTACTAAGTTGGACCGAATCACTGACCCCAAAGTCCTAGGTAGTAGCCCAGCCAGCCCAAGCTTTTAAACATAGCAGCCTAGTTTCTCAATGCTTAGTGCATTTACATTGAATCGGCGAGCTCAAATAGGCACTTGTTCATGCAGCTCTGCCAATTCGCATCAACTCCCGTCAACTCCCCCGAATAAATAAAAAGAACTCGGGTCGTCCAGGTTGTCCAAGTCAACCAAATCAACCAGGTCAACCAGGTCCGTCCAACAAAGTCGGCCTAATCTTCCTCATTCGAAACCGTGTTACTTCAAAGGTTTCTCTCATTTATCTCCTCTATTTGAACAACATTCCGATTCATTTACCGTGTGACCAACCCGTCAACCATACATATCACATGGACATTGGAATTCTAGAAAAATATTCACTTGGCGACATCGCGTTGTAAAATCAATTTCACTTCCTCACGTTCTTGTCTTCCTTTATTTTCTTGAAATCACCCCACAGAGCCACAGAGACAAGGGCGCATTTCGTCCACCCATAATCCCATAATCCCAATTTCTCCCAATCAAACGATTCTTACCTAATAATATCCTCAGCCTGTCCGCTCGTCAGCACCGCGTACCTGACAGGCTTGGTTCAACTTGAATCGATCGCCAAGAGTTTAGGGGACCGTTTAAACCCACACAATCCCTACGACAATTCTCCCGATTCTATCACTACTACAACATTAACCCTCTCGTTCAGTTTCGACTGTTACAGAACTTGGTTTGAACGCCGAGAGATATCCATAATCATCCTAGGGCCTTGTCGCCGCTCACGTTTGAGGCCATTTTTCGCAGAATACTTGTTCTCGTCCAAATCCTACAAATTCCTTCCAATCCCTCATATCGAAGTCATTTCTTTTTTTAAAGGTGCACATTGCACAACCACTCAAATCTTATCTTTCAATTAAGCAACAGATCAGTAACAGATCAACAACCGACAATCATTTCGTCATGAAGACCTTAACAGCCATCTTATGCACCCTCGTGGTCGCGCCCCTAGGTCTTGCAGCTCCTATCGTTACACACGATAAAACTCCGAGCCACTTCAACGATGCATCGTCGCATATGCAACAAACAACACAATCGGTGGAACTACACCAGACCAGACCCTACTTACTCCCTTTCTTCGCGACGTCACGAGTACCAGCAGAGAAGCGTCCCAAGGTTATTATCACAGAAGATGGCCAACGTATGCAAGTACCAGACAACCTTGCAGGCGCTAGATCTTGGGAAACACCTAATGTTCTTCACTTCCTCTCCTCGCTAGCTCACCCGAAGAAGCTATCGCCATTCCCCGAATCCAGCATCATGAGAGAGGAGACGCGTGCGAACAACGCCGAGATCGAACCACAGTTAACTATTGTGGAGTTGGAGACTAAGGCAGAGCGCGAGTCCTGGACCTATCTACCTTATGTCACTGAAGACAATGTTCTGCATTTCAAGTGTGTGCATAAGGTCACCGATAAGAGCGTGCTCCTTCCCTTGATTGCAGTCCCTATGCTCCTTATTGGCATAATTCTCGTCACGTTATTAAGCGTACTTCGTCATTTGTAAGTATTGATTCTATTCAAACTATTATTACTATTTTTGGCTGACTTTATTTTAGATATCGCTCTGTTTGTTCTGCCGAGCGTGGGGCAATTCGCCTTGGTGACGAGGAGACCGCGACGCCCAGCCGTTCGCTAAAAATTGCCTGTCCACCTCAGGAGCCTCAAGTTCTCAAACCTGATTTGGAGGTGGATTCTTTAAATGACTGCGCTATCGACGAGAAAAGTTATAAGTCGTGACGATCCGGGGGGTCTTTTCCATTATGATACCAAAAAATCGGTCTTGGCGTTTGGGATCCGAGCTGGCATTGCTCGAGGGCAAGCATTGAAATTTTGTTTCACCAGAAAAAAAGCAACGCACTATCGCCGAGGCTATGCAACATCAATTGATTCACGCTAGGAACGAGTGAATTACGATCTAAAAAATCCAGAGTGGTAAAACGAGTTGCAGTCTTGGCATTGCAACTCGACGATAGCAAATGATCGTGGGAAACATCACCAGGGATAGGGACACCTTAGCACTCTAGGAAGACCCCACAAGGTCACCCACAAGGTCAGCTATCAGGTAGCTTTAGGTAGCTATCTAGACCTCGATCTGAACGAGGCATATCGATCGAATAAGACAAATTCAAAACAACAAATATGCATCGTCGCCTTGTGGATACGAAGTGAGTGATTGTGGTACATACATACATACGACCGATTCCATCGTAACCTAATCTCTGCATACTAGGCAGATATGTATGCACCTAATGATACGAGACATTAGCATATGTGCTAGTTCTGCGCGTCGTGGGCGAATATTGAACACGTGCCACTCATTCCAAAAGTCTAGAATTATTAACATGAGATGCTTATACACGCTGTCAATTCCATTCCATAGTATATGTTCGGTAAGATGTATGAGCCCACAGAATAGGTAAGGTGAATAAACCATCATCAGTCAATTCCCGATCCATCTGACCTTTACTTACCGATTTGTACACGTGCATTGCTTCTGATAGACTTGTCTCTGCGAGATAACTGGACACTCGCCGTGTAGAAGTTCGCAATGGTTCTTGCGGGTATCTGCACGCAAGCGTGAGGCTGCCCAATTGGCATCCCCGACAATGCTACGGACCTGATCTCGAAAGGCTATAGGTGGAGCTATGGCTAGAGGAGTCTAAGCCATCACATCGGAGAATTTTGATTGGGTAGCTCTGCGTTTCTTCCAATCCACGGACGCATTAACATCATCAATGCCTAGCTGCTACTACATGAGAACCAAGCCATGCATCGATCAACGACACACAGCAGAGACAGTAACCCACACTAACGGCAAGTGGTTCAAGGTGAAGAATTCTCTTTCTTTCGCCTCCGTGTCACTCATCTACTGCAGAAGCTGCGGAAGCTGAGGTCAGATATGAGGGAATAGGAATGCCACGCGACTCATTTTGCCTCTACGGCTATTACATCCATTGGACAATTTTACTGCGTTGTATTGGTCGATTAAATGAAGAGCTGAGACCGCCACTTTGAAACATCGATTGTGATTGCGCGGGCTCCTCCGCTCCCAAGCTGCAGAGCCCCAATCTTTGCAACTGCTGCAACCTCTACAACTTTTTTCTTGCTTTGCTGTACATGTTGTATGTACGTATGCCTGCCTATCTGTACGTCTTTCTGTGGCCTGTATGTATGTCTGTACAAGTATCGTACATCCGAATCTTTTAGCGATGCTGCAATCGAAAGTGAGGCGCATGAAGACGCCCGCAGTTGAAAAACTTCGGTCAAAATCGAAAATCACACATAATATGGATGTCGACTCCTTGACTCGCCTATCTACGTTGCCCGACTGCTACATCAAGTACTGTATGTCTGGCCACTTTAGTAATAATGCAACTTGTCAAGTTGGCAAAAGTGTGCAGAGCTCGGAAAGTTGACAACTTCAAGATCTTTCATTGGACGGAGAATTTACGAATTTGTAAGTTTTCAATATTTCGGCCCCCAAGAAAATGAGAATAATATTGGATCTACCAAACTTGGCGAGAGCAGCCAGCCGTTGGAAGTGACGCTAGTCCAGCCTACCTAGCCTACCTAGGGCAGCTACTAGGGCTGTTGTTTGAGAAACTGCAGTGCAAGAACCGGTTAACCCCTCCAAGTGGAAGCCATTCCTGGAATAAACACCTGGGCAGTTTCCCTCCCAGCTGCATCCTCTTCCTTCCCTACACTGCCTACGTACACCTACGTGTACTTGCAAGGTATCTTGTCGCTAGCAATAGGCCGCATATGTACGCGCCGAGTACTAAATCAATACTAACCCGATACTAACGACGCCTTCGAAGCAGGTACCACTCTTCATCACATTCAGACAGTCACGCAGTCACCCACCATTTCTCACTAGTCATATTAAAGAATGGCATTTTGTCTCAGCTCTTCTTCCCAAATCTTCTCCTCTTCCCTCCCCTGTCTTCGCGAAATACCCAGACTTTCTCTAGTCTCTTAGCAAGAAACAAAACAAGTTCAACCTAGAGTTGACACTACCACTCTCTTAAAAAGGGTTATCAATCATTAATATATTGGGACTTAATACCTAAAATAAACTTATCTTAGCTCCAACCCCTCTCCAAAAGGGTTTATTGCGACTCTATATAATACACTTGCGGTTGTACCTAGATATACCCCGCAGCCTTATCGCAGGCCGCGGATCGCGAGTTTGGGGAACTCCGCTTAATCTTTGACGACGCGCTCCAAGTTACTTCGGTTCAGGTACCTGTCTAAGCGTTAGAAGCTTTGTTAAGTTTGCGCTTGCAACCCTCGGCTCCCGAAATGTCTCTCCACGCTGATGATTCCGTGCGGCGGGGTCGCGACCCGAGCAGCGACCGGCGGCGGTCCGCGCGTGGTAGCAGCCCCTCGCTGCTCGACGCCGTGCGCATGCCCTCCCCGCCGGCTGGTTTCAGCTACGACGACTCGGCGCCACGTCGCGATCGTGAACGCGCTGTTTCGTACCGCGTCGGCTCTCCTACCGAAGAGTCGAGCTACTACTCAGACCCGCGCCGCAAGAGCGTAGAGCGTGTGTCGCGCGGGGATAAGGACATGGTTGAAGCGGCGCAGGATGCTTTGCGCCGTGGCGCTGACGCCTTTCTGCCCTCTAAGTATGCGAGCAAGTTTAAGGAAACAGAGGATGAGAAGGCGATGAAGAAGGAACGTAAAAAGGAGAAGCTAGAAGATGATTTGGCTTATGGAAGTGCGGTGGTGAGCGTCCCGACTCCACCATCGGGAAAGTACCAGTCGCCGACTTCGTCATCGGGTAGAGTGCATTACTCCATGCCTGGCGGTTGGGACGATGAGAAGGAGAAGTTGAGATACCCACGCGTGGACGCGTCGTATGTGCCTGCGCCAGATAGACCTGGGAACCGCGATTCTTATGGGAGAGATCCGAGGGCTTCGGGTTTGACGCCGGGCTATGGAGGGAGGAGAGAGCACTCGCCTTTGCCGCCTACTGGGCGGATGTCCTCGTTAACTGTGAATACGGGACACCACACTGCTTCGATGTCCCTATCAAGCGCACCCCCTTCCCCACTCCTAGAATCATACTATGGCACTTACCAATCTATGTCGCCAATGCCATCACCGTTGCTCCTCGCTCAGAGCCCTAGAAACTCGGACGTAATTGAACCACTCTCGCCTAGTCTCTCCGATGGCGAGAGCAATAACGGTGAAAAGAAGAGGCGTCGCGCTCGTTTCCATGACCCAGTTGACGATGCAGCGCGCCTAGCAAAAGCGCTCAAGGGGGAACACTCTCCTCCAAACACTGAGCCTCTGATAGAAATTCTCCCCGGAATGACACATGACCAGGTCATGGAGCTGCGCGTCGAGTACAAGCGGCTCGTCAAAACCGGCGCCGAGCGCAAAGGCGTCAATGTCGCGAAACATATCCGAGCCCGCCTAAAGGACGAAGAACCCACTCTTATGAAAGCGTGCTATACTGTCGCCCTTGGAAAGTGGGAGTCGGAAGCGTACTGGGCTAATTTCTGGTACCACGGCGACAAAACCCGACGAGAGCTATTAATCGAGAGCTTGATGGGACGCCCTAACCGCGAGATCGCGCAGATCAAGGAAGCCTTCTCCGACAAAAAGTACCGCGACTCTCTAACCCTGTGTATGAAGACCGAGCTCAAGGAGGACAAGTTCAAACGCGCGGTGCTCATGGTGCTCGAGGAAAAGCGTATGGAGGACGTCGACGAGTATGGGAGGCTACTTCCAATCGATCGCGAACTCGTGCAGGACGATGTCGAGACCCTATATAAGGCCGTGCGAAGCGATAAGGGAGGCGAGTCGGCTATGATACAGATTGTCGTCTTGCGTAGCTCACACCATATGAAAGAGGTTCTGAGGTTGTATGAGAAGGTGTCCCAAAGTAATTTCGCTCGCGATGCGCTGAAGAAGAGTGGGAACCTAGTCGTAAGTACCTATTTCCCTCCATATCTTATACCATATCTAGATTTGGAAATATGTCGCTAACTTACTATAATAGGGTGAGCTCTTGGCACATATCCTCAACGGCATAATTAATAAGCCGGTACGCGACGCGCTGCTTCTGCACCATGCGCTCACGGCTAGCCGGAAAGACCACCTGAGACGCGAACTTCTTATCTCAAGACTGGTGCGGTTCCATTGGGATAGACATCATATGGCGGCGATCAAGCGAGCGTATCGCGAGCGCTACGGCGAAGAACTAGCGGAAGCGGTGAAGGAGGGGACCAGTGGCGAGTGGGGCCTGTTCTGCGAGCAGCTGGTCGTCACACGCATGCCGGACGATGTCAAGAGCTTCGAGAAAGTAGACGCAGTCCACGAGATCAGACGCTCGGAAGAGAGGGAGCGCGAGCGCGAAAGAGAAGAGAGGCTTAGAGAGCGGGAACGAGAGATGGACCGTGAGAGCGAGAAGGAGAGGGAAAGAGAAGAGAGGCACAGGCGTAGAAAGGAAGAGAGAGAAGACAAGGATAGGAAGGATAAGAAGGAGAGGAGAAGAGAGAAAGAGAGGAGTGAGGGGTTGCTTGTTGTTAAGGATTCCAAGCATCGCGATCGCAGTCACAGTCGGGAGAGGAGTAGGAGTCAGAGACGGGAGTAATTGGATTTGGTATGATGAGTTTTGGTATGGAAGTGTGTTCGATTTTCGATAAGTGAGGATTAAGTAGGGAGGGGGGAGGGTATAGGAAGGTCATATTTACCCATAACGAGCTCTAAAAATTTGATAAATTTTCCATTTACACCGTGGCGACGATATAGGTTGCGTTTCTGTCCGTATTCCTGCGCTCGTCTACCTGGGCAGGTAGACAGGAGGAGAGATTCCTCGCAAACGACAAAAATGCACGAATTGGGCATGATAAGGCTATATATTCATTCGAGCCTTACCCTAGTGGCCCCCCGTCGTATGAGGTGGCTTAGGTATTGCGTAACGTAGAGCGCCGGACGGACTTTGGGTGCGTCATACAGCAGCGTCGTAGAGCCAATGGGAACGGCTTTGGAAGAGATTGGGGAAATTATTCGCCAATCGGGCGCGTTTCCAGGGGTAGATCTTTGCGGGAAGGATTGTACGGCGTTTTTGGCGAATGATCGCCTTTTGATGCCCGATTGGAAGCTTACCTACCTTGCTTTTTGAAGGGTTTGGGGAGCTGGGTTTTGGATCGTGAGATGTGGTTGGGAATGTCGGGGATAAGAATCCTCATTTGAAAGGAACAGGACGATGTTTTCTAGTGCGCCTACGGTCATGTTTAAGTACTATATACCCTACCTATAAAACATTGGATGAATGAAAACTCGGTATTTATACAAAATCCTAAGGGGGCCGAGTATTCTCGCTAATGCGGCTTGTGGTTACACAACCGAAAAGGGGTAGCATCGCACACCGAATTTATATAGATGAGGACAATAGAGGTTGGAGAAGAATAAATTAATTCAGCTTTAGCCCCTCAAGTGTCCTTATCTCTTTATAGACGAGAACATCCAATTATTTTTCAACATAAATTATTAACGTTGTCCAAGACAAAGACATCTAATATCGCAACATCAACGCCAACACCAAAACCAACAACGAACACACTACCACGACCGATACAACCGACGACGGCCTCTCAATCTTATCCAACGTCCCCAATTCCCCTCTCTTCCTCCCCACCCCCTCATCCCCTCTCCCCCGCCACGGAACGTCCATCCCAAAATCCCCCAATATCTGCTCTGCCGTGATCTTAGCCCCGGCAAGCACAATCGGGACCCCAGTCCCGGGATGCGTGCTCGCGCCGACGAAATACGCATTCTTCAACCCCCGCGCCCGCGTGCTAGGTCGGAATGACAAGACGTTGAAAAACCCGTGCCCGAGACCCAGGATCGATCCTTTGTCTAGGTTGAACCGCGCTTCCCAGGTTAATGGGTCGTTGACGCTTTCGTGGATTATGGAGGCTTGGAGTGGTGCGCAACCTGTTCGTGCGGAGATGGTGGAGAGGACGGCGGTGCGCGCTTGCGAGATTAGGGCTGGCCAGTCTTGGTTTCGGGGGAGGCCGGTTTTGGGGTTTGTGGATTGTAGGAGGTGTCCTGTGGGCACGAGCACGATGATCGCGTCGCACCCCTCCGGGGCCGCGCTCGGGTCTACGCGGCTGGGGACGTTGACGTAGAAGCTCGGTTCCTTTGGGAGCTCTTTTCTATCGAAAATAGCGTCGAAGGACTCGCGGTACTCGTCTGCGAGGAAAATGTTGTGGGTTTGTAACTCGGGGACCTTACGGTCTAGGGCCCAGTAGAACGAGATCGAGCTACAGGAGCTGTCGCGTTTTTGGAGGGACTTCGCATACCGCTGCGTGGAAGGTGTCTGCGGGAACAAATTCGAGTACGCGTAGACGAGGTCCGCATTCACAACCACCACATCCGCATCCAGCGTCTCCCCAGACTCCAACTCCACCCCCTTCGCCGTCCGCCCATCCCCACTTGTAAGAATCCGTTTCACAGCCGTACCCAACCGAAACTCCACCCCCTCCCTCCTCCCAACCCGCACCAGCGCCTCCAGAACGCTATGAAACCCACCCTTGGGATACCAAATCCCCTCCGCGAGCTCCGAGTACTGCAGCAGGGAATACGTAGCCGGCGCATCGAACGGGGACATCCCCATATACATAGTCGCGAACGTAAACACTCTCCTCAACCGCTCCGTCCAGAAATACTTACTCGCGCGTCCCCAGATGCTGTGCAGCGGGTGTATCTTCAGCCCCGTCCACACAAACCCGGGACTCAGCAGGTCCCAGAACGACGTGAAGTTCCGGTGCAGCACCTCCGACACGCTGAGCTCGTAATGGTCGTGCGCTTCGCGCAGCCAGGAAAGATACCGCTTAAACCCGTCTACGCCTTCATAACGCTCGATCTGCGTCTTCATGCGCGCCAGGTCCGGGGTGAGTTCGAAGGGCGCGCCGTCGGCGAACCAGACGGAGTAGTTTGACGGGCAGCGGAGGAGCTCCACGCCTTCTTTCTCGAGGGAGGTGTCCAAATCATGGAAGGTTTCGTGGAAGAGCTTGGGCAGGAGAAGCAGCGAGGGCCCTTGGTCGAAGCGGTAGCCCGCGTGCTGGATTATGCTGCAGCGTCCGCCGGTGAAGGGGTTCTTCTCGACCACAGTTACGGAGAATCCGGATTGAGCGAGGCGCGCTGCGGTGGCGATGCCGCCGGCGCCGGCGCCTGGAGTTCGTTAGTGCGTGATGTGAGGGGGAAGGTGGGTGGCGTTGCTTACCGATGACTATGGCTTTTTTACGGGTTATCTTGGTCATTCCTCTGATCCTTGACGTAAGTAATCCGCCAAATTGACAGTGTTATGAGGCTGAATATCTATAATATAGGCTGTTACAGAGATATCATTCGGGAAAAGTCAGATATATGTTGTTCTTCCACCTAATCAGTATGCCGGCGAGACAGATTTGTCGAATTGGTTCCGAACTTGGATAGTGTCAACGCTCAAATACCATGTGTTCAGTTGGATAGGAAACTCATACTCATATGAAAACTTACTTATATAGATGAGATGGTGAAAGCCCTGTACAGAATGTAATTAAAATATCTCATATCACAGCCTGGTCGCCCAAGAATGAACGGCTTCTATAAGAAACTTGCCTGGCGACCTAGGAAGATAAGGATTCCAACAAATCAATAGCTGGGATGGCTTGCGATCGGGGATCGTTCTTGGTGGCGCTCCCATCGACCCGGGAAATACATATTGCGCTAAGAAAGGAATTAGGTGCTGTTTTTCATACGTTCATGCCTTTCCGAATCCGACTTGATGATTCATCACTAGAATCTGCAAGTGCTAAGTTAATAAAATGCCCCCTACTTTGGCCAGCAAAAGCACAACCTACACATTGTATACGCTCGCTATCACTTGGAGATTTGAGTTTCTCGTAGAAGATGTAAGGATCGAGAGATATTGAATCATCTTTCTACCTAGGTAGTCAATAGTAAATTTATCGTCGGCCTAGTTAATCTATAATTATACGTAAATTATGATATGAAATCTGGACTTGGGATTGCTATCCGGCTCACACCCAAAAGAAGGACGTAGATAACGCTTCTAGTCAATACAAAATTTATCGTAGCTTCATACATGTCGTAAATCACTTTTCAGCCAAGAGAGTTCTCCACACAACCCATAAACGTCTCCATAGAGGAACTGTTGCCCGTCCTCTTTGAATTTGAACACCGGCCCCTTTTCCTTCTCGTAACACCCGCCCTATCTCCATATAACTTTCAACAGCTATTATCATAGGAGCTCGAACTTCGTGGGGAAGCAAGTTCATCACTTTCCGAGATTGGTCGTATTCCTTGAATGCCAGCTCAAGCAACCTCTGTCTGAGATTTTCTACCTTTGGCTGGTTCGGATCTCTGAGGATGTCCTCGGGCGTAATGATCTCTTCCTTCAGCCAATTCGACGGTAGGTAAACACGGCCCATCTCCGCGTCTATTGCGATGTCGCGAGCGATGTTTACATACTGTAATGCATGTCCCATCGTTCGGGCAGCATTTATGAGCTCTGACTTACTACGGCTTGAAAGTTCCGTCTCGCTATGGTGAAAAACAAGCCTCAGACATAATTCCCCAACAGAACTTGCGACACACTGAGCATAAAGCTCTAAGTCTGCCTCGTCCTTAATAGGAAACCGAATATTCCGTTTTTCTGGATAAGTCCATCTAAAAGCGAGGTCCGTCTTGAAACCTTGCAAGAGCTCCGTGAACGGTTGCCTGGGTAGAAACTTAACCGGCAGGAATTCTAGCGCTGACCAAGCCTCCTCTGGGAAAGTACTTTCCACATAAACACTAGCATGATGTGTTGATGGGGATTGACCATCCGAAGAGGGGGCATAAACTAGGTCAAGGTATTTAGAAAATTGAGAAATCCATGAATGAGCCCCGCCTTGTGTACTAGATTCGTCTACTAAGTCATCTGCGACTCTGCAAAACGAGTACCTAGAAATGTTAGTATGCGAAATGAGATGTGGTATTGATATTACATACAGAAGGATTAGGTCGATACGAAGACGTCCAGGAAACGTGGAACTAGCTAAGTAAAAGCTTCTGCTTTTTCGCCGCAACGTTTCTATGGCTTCCCTTATACCCTTCACCCGTGTCATGTCGTATGTTGCTGGATCGAGAAGGACGGCCTTGGCAAGGAGGCCGAGGGGAGATAGATTTGGCACATCGGGAAATAGGTTAGAAAAGGTGTAAAGGACTGCCAGCGCTCGATCAAATGCGACCATACCGAAAACAACTAGAGCATTCGTAGCAAGGAAGAAGATAGCCTCTTCCAACTCGAGACTACCCCATACGCACCAGCCTAGTTTGGTTCCAGATTCAATGGACCAGGTGCCCCGTCCCAAAGCCAACTCGTCTACAACCCATAGATACACCGTCGGGATTATGATTGGTGTCGCGACGTTAACCAGAGGAAGTCTGATTATAAAGTAGCCAGAGAGTGACCACGTGAAGAGAGCGAATGGGCAAGCCCATATCAATATGAGTCCGAGGTAAGTTCCCTCACCTCCTCTTTTCACAAGATAAGCACCACCAACAATAGAACCGACCAAGAGGATTTGCCCTAGTATTTTTATCCATCGCGACTTGGTAGAGGAGTCATTCTTATTCGTGAGGAATTGGGCGTGAAGAATAGGCTTATTTAGTAATGTGTATAACATCGATGTGATGTAAGTCTGAATGACGAAGAAGAATAACTCCTCAGCCGGAACGCTAAAGAGCCGTAATCCGACGATCGCGTCAGGGGGGTATGTCCAGATGCCATGGCGCACTAGATAAGAGTCCCATGGCAGTGTTGCAAAGAAGGCTATGAATATTAAGGTGTATGTCTTGTATAAGTCGAGCTTTGTGAGAAGAGGTCTCGAAATGAAGGTGAGAAGTCCGGCTAGAGGGATGGTATACTTGAGATGCCTGTTCAATGAATTAGCTCAACATCTTTCTGTTAACCGCCAAGGAGACCTGTTTTGTAGAGTGGAGAATAACTTACACAATGGCATAATCATAGGCCATAGTGGATGTCAGATCTCACCAGCGCGGCGAGTTTCGTAGACATACACATTCACCTCACAGTACGGCGAGAGAATAAGGTTCACTTATGAGATCAAAAGACCAGCAAACTTAGAGTAGATAACATAACGCCTCATCGGAAATCGTTTCAACCGGTGAAAAAAGGGTAGCTATCCATATTGACTTCGGACTTCGGTTTTATTAGCATCAGCGCCAGGTGTAGCACAAGGCTTAGTTCTACAGCTGGAAGGATGTGAGACAGCCATGATGATTCGTCGTTTTCAACAAATGCCTACGTCATGAGATCATAGAAACGCCTCTCTGAAGCCAGGAATGAGATAGGTACGTAGGTAGTGTGTAAAAGCAAAGAGTACCAAGTACAGGGAATCCTTATTGAGAAGCGCTACCGACGCCAAACCCGTTAGTTAGGGAATACTGCTTCCGGAATTAAAGTTCGCGCTAATCTATGCAAGATCGCAAGATATCGATTAAACGGTGCATTGTAAATTTAACATTTCCCTCGACCAATCAAGTGTCGCACCCGTCTCATCGGGATTGGGATGGTCACGGTTACATTCAACCAAGATCTGTCTCACTTCGACACCTAAGAGCCTCAACCCCGGGAAACCGTAAAAACGTAACCTGACCGCATTTGACTTTTCCATCCTCGTCGCTGTTGGGAAGGAGAGCAATCGAATAATGCTGGCTGCCGGTCACCGAGCCGCGCAGGTGTGTCTGCGATCGGCACGACTCCCTCTCCCCTCGAGATTCATCCACCCAAATCCCACGATACGAATCTCCCGCAGCTCCCCAGTCCTCTCACAGCTCAGACTATTCACACAAACACGCCATCTCTCAACCGACCAATCCACCAACCAATCCCGAACCCCCGACGCGATCCTCTCCCCCGAAACAACCAGCCCCCGCCCCCCTCGCCGCCGCCGCTGGCGCTCAAGCCTAATCTTCCTAATCCTCGGGATCTCCCTCGGCACCGCCCTGCGCTTCACCCTCTCCCCACCAACCCCGCCCGCTCCAGGCTCCGACGAAGACGAATACCTAACCACGCAAATCCGCACGCAAGGCGCCTCCCTCGCACTCGTACAATCCCTCTCCCAAGACCCAAACTACATATCCTGGGACGCCTACTCCGGGTTCTCCTCGCCTCCAACCCACACCTCCAAACCCAACCACACAACCGTCGTGCAATCGCGAATAACCAGCGGTCCGCTCTCCGGCTCCCGCGGACTCCCCTTCCAACGAATCTTCCACAACCCCTCTTCAGGCGAAATAATCTCAATCCTGTACTTCGGCTCCGGAACCAGCGGATGGCCGGGCGTAGTCCACGGCGGTGCTCTCGCAACGCTGCTCGACGAATCTCTAGGTCGGTGCGCGATTCTCCAGTTCCCGTCGCGCACGGGCGTGACCGCGCGCTTGGAGCTGCAGTACCGCCAGCCGACGCTGACGTCGGGGTTCTACGTGATCCGGGCGCGGCCGATGGCGGACGAGCGGGACGGGCCCGAGAAGCGGGAGCGGAAGATGTGGGTCGAGGGCACGTTGGAGACCATGAGTGGGAAGACTTGTGTCGAGGCTAAGGCGCTGTTTGTTGTGCCCAAGGGGGTTACGCTGAAGCCGCTTGTGGAGGGGTTTTAGGGGGTGGGATGCTAGGGTTTTATGGGATGAGATGGAGTGAGGATGGGACTTGTGTATAAGACAGATCTGGCATTATCGCATGGACAGGCGTTACGGCGCCGACGGCGAATGTAAAAAAGGATACCAAGTAAAATACAGAGCAATAGGTCATATTCTCGTGGTCTACCTAAACATACGACAGCTATGGTGATAGTGACAGCAAACAATAAGCGAGATTCGTTAAGATGCCGATACCGCCATCATTCTCACAAACCAGCCATCTATTCTAGTATAACGATACGGGTGAAGAGACTGGCAACCAACAAATTTTAGTTGAGGCTAATATACTCGACGTAGAATCGACCTTTCTCATCAACAATCCTCTAGAGGGAATGTGGCCGTGGGAGAGGTTCAAGAGCCCGTAATAGTCGGGTATTTGACTGTGGCGATAACTCCCTGCTTCTGAGCTGTATATAGGGGAGTGGAGATTGAAGGAAAGTGGTGGGGTGGGAATATGCGTCCACGTGAGACCTAGCAATCGTTACAAGCCCCGGCGCCGGCAAATCAAGCGGGTTGGGGTAGCGGTAGCCCGGCACACGATAAAGCGAATCCTATTGCGCTTGTTCGGTCGGAGCCAACGTTTGCATCGGTGCTGGGGGTTGACTGTAGTTTGCTGCCGGACCACGGCCTCCGCGATACCCTCCTCTGAATCCACGATAACCGCGGGTTTGGTAACCTCTGCCGTAACCTCGCCCACCACGGAATGACCCACGAGGATTGTCAGTTGAGACTTGCTGATTGCCTTGGTTACCTTGATTGTTACGCTGTCTATTAGCTGTTCTCCCATTTTCATTCTGCCCATTAGGGTTACTAGGACCAGTTGGTGGTTGCGGAGTTGTAGATGGTTGTGGCGTTCGACCGCTTCCCCCACGTCCAGGACCGCGTCGGCGGACAAAAGGTCGCCTGGAGGCCTTAGGTTTTCCTTCAACCGAGAATTCGATCTTCTTTATCGGATTCTCGGCCATTGCAAGACCTGTTAGACCGAGACGGTCCCAATCCTCTTTTGGTGTAGTCCAAGCTTGAAAGACATTTTCTAACTTCTCGAGCTTTTGCACTTCTGGTAGCCAACAGCGCACGTACTCCCCATCCTTATCGTAATCGAAAGCTTGCTTGACGGGATTGAAAATGCGTGCTTCGCCTCGCGGGTCATTCCCCACTCCGGATACGTATTGCCAGTTTGCCCAGTTAGATGAGACGTCGTAATCGACTAACAACATCTCATACCATTCAGCACCATAGCGCCAATCGATGCTCAGGTGTTTTGCAAGAAAACTAGCGACATTCTGACGGGCACGGTTCGACGTGTAACCGGTGTGCAACAACTCCCTCTGAGATGCATCAATCAACCCCATCCCGGTAGTACCATCAAATACTCTTCGTATTGTTTCAGCAACCTCACCCACCGACCGCTGTTCACCGTCTACTTCTTCTTTCTCGACCGATTTCCACTTATTAGCATGGTCATCTCGGAATCCAGAGCGTAAGAAGAGCTTCTCCTTAAACTTCCTGTTGCAGAGCCTCATATAATCGCGCCAAAGCAACTCGAACCGTATGGCTTTTGTTCCTTCGTTTTCTCCCTCCCCGTATCCCTGCGACTCGGATAATGACTCGTCTTTTCCATCTTCGTATGCCATAAGTCTATCGTGGACCTGACGGGCAGTGATGCATCCTTGCGCAAGATAGGCCGACAGCTTCGTACTGAAGTCGCTTCCCAGTAGCCCGTTTCGTGAATCCTTATACAAGTATGCGCTTCCTGATTTGATCAGGTACTCCAATCTCTCGTGGGCGCTTTCCTCGCCACCTTTGAAAGGGTGTGCTGACTTAGCCCCTTCGGGAAATGGTGGGACGCCGGACAGAACCTCATTTATAGGACGCAAGAGCGATTCCTCGAATTTTTCGTACGACGAAGGGATTTCGAAAGGCGAATCTTGATGCGGAATCTTAGATTTTTCGATAGGTTTTGGTAGATCATCTTTTGAGGGAGTAGGTAGAACCGTGCTAGGCTTCTCTCGGAGGGGTTCCATCATTTTCCTGTAAGTCGTGAATACATCGGGGAGGTCTTGAGATGCGTCGAGTTTTACATTTTGGCTAGAGACGTAAGTAACCAGCGAATTCGTGCGCCAAACTATGATCGCAACTTACTCGTCGATGAAGTATTTCTCGTCGATCCATGTTCGGAAGTCGACACCTAGACTAGAACATGTCTCCGATATGGCTGTTTCGTCTCGTTTCTCCTCAGTACCTTCTTCTCCTATTGTCCATACGCCCCCTACAGTGAGCTCATTCTGTCGTAGACCTTCAATCAGCGTCTTCAATACCTCATCATATGGCCCTATCCTAATCGTCAAGTCGTTGCCTAATTTTTCGAGATTGTCTTTCAAATTCCAAAACGATTGGGCGATGAACCTAGCTCGGTGCGGCCCGCATCTCCAGTAACGACCAACATCACTTTTAGCTTCGGGAAAAGGCGACTTGATCCCTTGCTTCAGAAACCCTGAAACCTCAATCTGATGCGGAAGCAAGACGCAGAGAGGGAGAATATGCGTAAATCCATGATCAGATGTAGAAGCGAGATGATGTAGAATAGGATTGTCAGAGACGCGCAGGTCGTGGCGTACGACGTAGACGAGAATATTGCTCGTCGACATATTCGTTGGGGAAGAAGAGATGTGGAGAGATGTGCCAAATAGTCGATTATAGCTGGGCCTTGAAGCTGTAGCTCCGTATCAGTTAGATTGGGCGAGAATAGCTGGCATGAATAGCTACGAGTCAAGGTAATAAACACGTTTCTAAAAAGGGTCTACTAACTAATAAGGAACCGAAATTCAGTGGATCTGGCACAGCTCCGGCGAAATATAGCTAGTCGACAGACACTTGACGTCTTTGATAGCTTGATCGTGCTCATGCTCAATCCCAAGCTTGAGAAGACCCTATGCGCCTAGATCGACGCTAGCGAGGCAGCATGGGGCGATGCCTGTTAAGGGAAAGCAGTCTGGGCTCCAAGGTCAGATTCTGGGCCAGCACGGCTGAAAATAAATCAGATCCTCACATTTTTGATCGCTTCGGCCGACGTATAATAGGTACAGCAAGGCTTAGCCCACTTATGCCTGATAGGCTGGTAGGGACCAACTGGGGTATTGGTGTCTAGGGTCGAGCTAGAGGTAGACCGGCTTTGCTGAAAATGGCAAAAGCAGTTCCAGATCAAGGTGTTATGCCCTAGGTTAGGTTGCCACGCTAATGTACGGAGCGGCTCAATAACACACTGGGTGTAGATGAAAGTGAGATATCCGAGAACAGGTGCCGAGAAGCCCGCCTCGAAGGCCGCATCTGCTGGATGTAGGGGTCTGCTCCACGGTGTGCTTGATGTAGCCTTGAAGCTTGCCAGATCTGATGTGGCGTTCTGCAAGAAAGTAATTGGACCGTAGCTTAGGCTCGTGAGAGTCGTTGTATTGTTGTATATGCGTATGAAAGTGGAGAACAGAGTCGGAGCAACACGATATGAAGTGAGACTCCCCCCAGAGTGCTAGACGCTGTAGCAACTCAAGAATCTCGGTCAAGAATGAGACTAGAATCGTGAAAAGATCCACCTGCTTATAGGGGTATCTCACGATGGCCAGGGATGGAAATTTTTGGGATCCAGATATGTTACCCTGGACCTGGTCCTCGGGCGAGATGGATCCAATAGAGCAAACAGGGATAAAAGGTGAGATGTCAATAGAAGAAGACAAAGACAAAGACCATCGTAGAAGAGATGGGATTTGAAAATTGATCGAATTAAAGCCATGGTGCTGGTGCTGGCTGTGTCCGCAAATCGATCCATGACTATGGTGGGTGGGAAAAGGTAATTGGAAAGAATGCACAAGACTTGTTTCCATGATGCTCAGATTTGTGTCCGGGGTCTAGAGATCGGGAACCCGTAAAATAAGATTTTTGGGGACCCAGTAAACAGGGGCTATCGTCCGGAACCCTTAGCCCTGGAAAGAGGTAGGGAGTTAGGCTTACGTACATTTGCGGAGCATCTTTTCCATCGATCGTATTGGCTGGTCACACTGGCCACACTGGCACTTACCGTCGGAAGGAGCGAACGCTTGAGAATCCCCTGAGCCCTGACATTATCCTTCGAGGTTAGGCGTTTCGATAGGTACTTTAGCTGCTTACATGTAGGTACTTTTGGGTGCCACTATCCACGAAGTACGTATAAATTTATGTATATTTACAAGAGAGATGTATCACCTCAACCTTGAACTCAAATGGCTAGGTAGTAAAACATATAGGTACATGATTGATATGTATCCTTTATTCAAGCTTCTTATTTATATTTATTCTTGATTACAGACACAAGTAACCCGGATATGAGGATTGATATGTCCAAACACCATTCAAACGTACTTGGAATATTAAAGTGCATCTTATAACGGGCAAGGACTAAGCGATTAGAAATCCATGGATGCTAGTCTAAAAGAACCGATCATCTAAGATCTGCAAGACCATAACGTTCGTGTCCGTGCCCGTGCTCGTGGCTTATTGCAGACAGTTTGGCTTGAGTTTGGCTTAGGGGTTTCTGGGGTTTGACTTAGCTTCCCGGGGAACTTGAAACTTTCCCATACGAACTGATCGAAAACCACCTGGCAGTGTGTAATGCAGTAATGCAGCTAATCATGATGTGGGAAAAGAACAAGAGCCAGTGAAGAGGGGGTTTTGTTCTGAAGCTTGCGGCCGTACCCATTATCTGGTATGCGTCTCAAGATAGGTATTGCATGATAGGTACCTCGCATGCTAATAGGGTACATACATACATCCTATATGTAACTACAATATAGGTGACTGAATGCTAAAGATTCCGATTTGACGCGGGAAAATTAAACCTGCACAACAGGTTCGTTAGCACAGAAATCGACCGGTTGATTGCATCTATGAAATCGGTAAAAATGATCCCAGTGTCATATCCATTCGGTGTTCTAAAAATCCAAGATAATCGCATGATTGCCCAAAATCCAGGTAGACGGTTCTAGCCCTCTCGCCCTGTCCAGAATGGTTATATCCGATCCATCTATGTACGCCCAGGCCATAGGTTTAGCCCCCATCCCTTTGGGGAAGCCTTGATCGACGCCCAGAAAGTGATATATGACAGGTCGCCTTACCTGGATGACGCCCCCAGCAGTCAACTGAACCGGCAGAACCGGTTACAGTTCACATCAATTTGTACCTACATATCATATGCATTGTAATTACATCTACGACTCAGCTGTATCCTCCTACGAGACATTATAGCCGCACGATGTGGAATCGGCATCTTGATTCTATAATCGAAGCTCGCATACCTAAAAAGATATTGAATCACAAATCTTGTCGACCAATGATTTATGTGATAGGGGCTCAGATCTCGTAGTTAATTTGTGTTTATTTCAATCGCGAGGTCCCCTGAGCTGTAGAACGTCGATCGAGGATAAGAATCTTCAAAATTCGCATCGATTCACTCTGCTTGGTCGTTAAGAATTGATAGCATGCATCGACAGTCTGCTGTGTACAGCGGTAATCTGATAGTATGTACCACCCCCCTAGTAAATATTAACTGTGTTACTACTAGGGTTCGCCGGCAATGTTTCCGTCTCCGATATAGAGTTACACGTGCTGAAGCTCTAAATGTGCCGTGTATTTGCCTTTGTGCCATAATAGGTACCTAACAACTAGGTACATACCAAGGGAAATATTTTATCATCGCAGTTCTTAGGTATTATCTTCCTAGAATGTCACTTAAAACTGTTTGAGCGATATTATGATAAATGCTGGTGTAATTCGAGTCGACCATGGTAGCTAGGTCCTAAAATGAGCGCTCATGTTCTGAATGCTGTGTGGGACGGATGCTTCTAGAAGATGATATGATCCAAGCAGCCAAGTAACTTTCAGGGGTTAGCTGACGATAAGGTTCGTTGTACGACGAGGAGTATAGCGGTTAGATGCGTGGTGACATCGTGTAACGTCTCACACTATTCACGACTGGGTCGCTGCTTCCAACACTACCTACCTAGGTAGTAGTATGTATACGGCATTCCATACCTAATACTCTACGTTTTCTCATTTTTGAACTTCAGCCTCATAACGGGCTAGTGATATGTAGGTAATCTTGGACATAGATGGTTATTGCAGTGAAAGGGAATGAATTGGCTCTTACTGTCGATTACTAAATATTAGGACTATCCGTGTAATCGAGAATCCAACATCTTAGGATCAAAGCTACCTGTTTAATCGATCTAGCCATGTTGTCACTCGACCTAAGAATCTACCTACTCTATTAAACTTTTCTTTTTCCACCCAGGCCCACGAAGGTTCTGGGACGACTTGGTTCGGTAGGTGATTCCTAGGACATCAATTCGCCTACAATCCCACTGACTATTCCTAGAAAGTAAGAATGAATTGAGAGGTAGGTTTAATGCTTCCACACGAACCGACACTCTGAACTGGGAATTTGGCTGTCTTGGCCTACAGCATAGTTGAGCTCGTTCTGGCCAAATGATATAAATGAGGCTTGCTGCACTATACATGGATATCCTGCACGTCTGTTTACGATCTAGGGTTTCCAGCACCAAGTCTTGCAATCGAGCCATATGCGGTTGGGGACTTTTGAGAAAGTTGTGGCACACCACGGTCGTGCGAATATTCGGTCACACAGCACGATAATTGAGAATCGTAAACCGATGGGCTGTGAAGACGATCTTTCTGTTAGTGGATCGGTATTTTCACTCTCGCCTAGCCGTCTATCATGAATTCTGTCGTGGATCAAAACGTGCAGTCGGAAAAAAGGGATTTTGCTTTGGCGAGAGGATACCTAGGCAAATTCAGGTTACCGGTGCAGGCTATACGACAATCTAGGAAATGATGCTGGAACTCGCATGTCGCCGGTTTCGTTTAGTTTCGTTTATACAGGCCCTCTCGGCCTGAGTGACACCGGAGGATCTATAACTATGGAGATATTAGCTAAGGTGTAGCATAAGATCGAAAGGTTTTCGGCCTAGATTCGTAACTATGGAAGTAAGGTGGCCAAGATCTTGAGTGCTCTATATTATGAATCCTAGTCATATTCGTCACCACGACTATCCGCTGTATGTAGGGGCATATGGCGGATGGAAAGCAAAATGCTTGATGCATATGCTGTCCATTAGATATGGATTGAAAAAGAAAAAGCCTTTGTGTCTAGGAGACATCCATGGCATCTGGGTTTAGTATCTGCGGTGAGGGATCCAAACTCGGGAAAGGGCTCCGCACGGCCAGACTCAACCCTTCATGGAAACAGCTGAAGAGGTAAAGATGCGTAGGTAATGGGTTCCGAGGTTGGGAATGCTCAATAACTTGTGATTGTGGCGAGATGATTGTAACTTATTAACTGAAGAGGCAGCGTCGGGGTCCAGAAGCAACCTCATCCTCATCGCTACCACAAAACCATATTGGATGCCTCATAAACGATGAGATATGGAATATTCCAGAGAGGCGAAGGGATTCATTTGACCAACGCATGAACTACGTTATCTTGACTGCTTTTGACTGACAACTAGGAACTTCCCCGGACGTCGGTACCATGATTGAATCCTAGTTGAATGAAACAATCAGATGCGCCAGTCATAATCGTAGTCATATCAGGCCTCGTAGGTGTTGAGCTGTTTCCACGTACCTTCGGCGCTTAAGGATACTACACAAAGTTTCAAGGTCAATAGAGGCGTAACCCGCAGCAGTCGATTACCTCTCCAGATACCTGGTTATGTCGGCCGTGACTCAGAATTACCGACATGAATAAGAAATCGTCAGTTCTGTACATTAGCTCGGAGAGTTGTATTTTTCAGCTACCTAGTATTCGATAATCTCCTTCTCGGGTAATGCGGCACCTAAGTTCGGAAGTTAGGGTGAATCGCGACAGCTGCAACATCGCACCCGTAGCCGGGGACTTGTGGCCGTACAATCGGGAGTGTCAAAGATTGACCAGTTAAAAAGACGTCAAGGTCTTTAGTGTGGTTATTCATAGATTCTATGATTGAGATTGATTGAGATTAATTGTCCCGTACATGCACAACTGATTAGATGACGTCTTTGACGTTACAATGCGTAATGATAGCCTTGATATTGAGGCTGATCAAGACGGCTTTTCCGTTGGAGGTTAATGATGATTGTTTCTCTTAAGACAATTAAAACAATTGGGATCGCGTTCACCGAGAGGTCTCCGACTAAGCACCAGCTAAGCACCAGCTAAGCTAACCGTTTTTCGCACCTCGTACCTATTATCGATAAAACCCCTTTCCCTCAATGGTCATAGCTTGTGGCGCAATAAGTAGATGTGTTCTTTTATGGGGAAGTATCCATGCGAAGTATTTTATGTTAGCGCACTAACTTGATAATAAGCTAGCTGGGTGGTGGTTACCATATTAATTTGGTGTGTTCAAAGATTTTACGATAACAGATTAGTTGAAACGGGTACAATTTTAAGAGGAATGGACGACCAACCAATTGAGGGCTCCAATTAGAAAACGACCGGGGGGTTCAGGCTTAGCAAAGACCAAAAACTTACCAGCCAACAATAATTCGCAGAAGTTCATAGGATCATAATGCAACCTCTCCTGCATTCGCTAGCCCTGGGCGCTTCCCGGCAACAGTTCCGCCTCCAACTTTTCTGATGAGGCTGAATCAATCTGATAAATCAGCTAATCCTAGTTTTTCAACGTCAACTCCTCTGTTCCATACGAGTACATGACCAGAATGTGATCAGAAGATCTGCGAAGCAATCATCAAAAAATTCGTCGGCATAATTCACGTGCGCTGCGCAGCACCTGTAAGGCCGCTATTGGGCCCGCCTGTTTTGTCCGAACATCATCCTAGTGATTGACCGACTTGGCTGACCCTGCGAGAGGGCGTAGGGTCTGCTTTTCGAAGTACCAACCCTTAACCATCGCGCCATCTGGGTCTCGCATGCTCTCTAGCCACTGAGGCTTCGGATCTTATCTTTTTCTTCGGCGGGATCTAGTTCTCCTCGATACGCGTTAATTTCTCACTGGCTCTCTTGACCGTTGGAACCGCTCGAGTAATCTCATCCCGAACACGCGAGCGTTCATCCAAACTACACTTGCGAGTTCCGACTCTCACTTTAATATATCAACTTAATCTACTATGGCGCCCACTTCAAGCATGAAATCCGTTCTCAACGCGCGGGGGACCCAGTTATCCCCCGGCGCAATCGCTGGGACAGTCATCGGCTGTGTTTTCGGAGGGAGCCTATTACTCATAGTCTTAGGCTTTCTCTACTTTCGATTCAGACGGAAGTCCAGGGAAGCCAGGTTGGCGGAGGAAATATTGCCGACTGAGAAATCCAACAGTGCCCATCGTAGGACTCTGTTCCCTATTCCGGGCTTCCTGCCTAGACAGACCCCTGCCACTCAAGAAAGTCACCCTCCTTCTCTTAAAGATGATATTGAAAGAGGTGTACCCACTTTGACTGATGGCTCGGAATTCCAGGGGCCACATACTTCTGGCTATAGGGACGACCTCATGAGGGATCATGAAACATATTATACGGAAAACTTCGGTCAGCAGCCTTTCCCACCAGGTATTGATTTCTCTCTTCCTGCTCAGCCGTCGCTTCCTACAACAACCAACGAACTGGGGAAAATTCTGCCTTTGGACAATGCTGCCCCAGCACAAGAAGCTGCCAATTCTAGTTATTATGACACTAGGATCTCCATGGATTCGGCTCCTGGCCAAGGACCGATACCACCGTCTAGACAGATGACCGAGCTTTATGAAGAACAGCTTAGACAATCACGCGAAGAACGTAGACGAAGCGGTTCCTTGACAAGTCGGATCTGGAGCAGCTTCAAGAGAAAACGATCTACGCACTCCTCGACTCACGGTACCAGCAGTCCTCAGTACTCAGCGTCACAGCAGTATTTCCCCAATTCGCCAGTTGCCAGCCCTATTGGCATCAAACCAGAGTCTGGATTTGAAGCAGCAGGAGGGAGCAATTCGCAGACGAAGATTCCGGGAAACCGGTTTTTCGAGGAACCCGGGGAGATGCCTGAAAACCCGAATATTTCAAGTAGTTCTATAGGCGGAAATAGGGATCAACAGCAACACAAGAAACAGAAACGAGGAGATTCGCGGTTTGACGAATTCCCTCTCAGGACTAGCTCAACAATTCGAGATACAACTGAGAAAGATCCGGAGCTACCCTCAGCTGCCCTTAGAAGCCGGGATTCCACTGACGGGTTACCTCACTCAGCTCAGCCACAATCCGAGACCCGGCCCCAAAGACTTATGAGCCCGGCCATCCCGGAACCTATGGAGTTGGATGAGACAGTCGAAGCTGTTCATAGACCATCTGTCTTCCAAGGCTCTCACTCTCCTCCTCTTCATCCAGAATCATTCGTGTCGCCGATGTCCATCATGCACCCATCTAACGCTGCCGAGAAGGCTGCCTACACCCACTTCCAAATGGAGAACTCTATGTCCCCTCCGACGTTTCCTACCTCGCCTCCCGCCATCGTTACCGACCAACCATCACAAGAGACATTCAACAACTTCGCTCAAGGCCCTCAAGACGACTTCGATGCCGATAGCTTCCTCGATATCCCTAGTGACGACGAACCCCGCCAGTCGGGAGAGTCATACGACTACTCAACTACACCGGGACATACACCAGGGCAGAGCTCCACGACGGACCATTCTATGGGGAGGACACCTGACACCCGCCTGACGGTATCCCCATCCCCGTACCCGGTAATACATGAGCATGTCAAGCCGGAACCAGAGTCGAGCTCGTCGCCAGAAGCCTCCAAACTATCACCCCAGTCACCCGTCCATATTTGCGAAGAATGTGGTCGATACTTCGATCAAGTGCACAAACTGAACCACCATAAACGGTATCATGACCGCAAACACGAATGTACTTACGAAGGTTGTGATAAGAGGTTCGGTACCAAGACACATCTCGATCGCCACATCAACGACAAGCATGTGAAGTCGAAGGCATACCACTGTATCGAGCCAACATGCCAATACTATAGGGGTGGCAAGGCCTTCCCGAGGAAGGATAACTGGAGGCGACACATGGTCAAGAAGCATGGGGCAACGGCGGGCGAACTCGAGATGATGGACGAGTCAATCGGATGAGAAGGCTATACCCAGTCGATTCGTCATTATACGACCAGTATATGTATCACAGACGACATGTATTCGAAGGTTCACCGAGGGTAACTATATGATGCCGTATGGTCTTAGGCGTTGATGGGAGAAGGATTCCAGTGCGGAAATCCGTCACGCCGACAGGACGCATTAACCATGGTGGAATTGGTATAAGGATACAAACTCTCCATCACTTTTATACTTCTACTTATGAGCAAGCCATCTGGCTTCCAAAGCCCGGTACGCCATACCTGTTGGAATAGGATACCGCCTTCAAGCTTATTCCAATCTACAACGACGAACCTTCGTTTCTATACTTTACGATCTTTCGACATTCGATACACTCGTTCATGCACATAAGGATATATTTGGTAATAGCATTCGGGACATATAGGAGCAAGCGAAAGCGAAGTCGGAACCTTCTTTGGGCTGGTCACTGTAATAAAGCAATGGCGCTAGCGGTTTTTGTCAAGAGATATCAATGTATTTCAACAGATGCGATATGGGTTTTTAGTTCTCACGAATACAGCTAAGAGGCCAGGATAAAACGGTTGGATAGAAGCTCTTGCAATCTACAACACGAATCTTTTTTCGAGTCTATTCCTATTTTCTATTGGTTGTGAGCTCGAGGTTATCACACTTTTTAACCATCTATGTAATATTTCATAATTATGCCCGGTTACTAATAGCCCAGTTAGATGAGCAAGTCCTGAGGAGCGACATCCAGGGAGAACAAACGAAGTTAAATACAAGTAACAAGGCCCTAGCGTTTCTATCTTACAACCTGTTTCTCTACCAAGGTTTATTCTCGTATTCTCACTCCTGAGAATCTCTCAACTAATATTTCCTCTTTACGGTGGAAATCGCGAGAGCCAAGCAAAAGCTAAGCTTCAGACATACCCGCAAGCTCGAAGATGCGACGATGCGTCCCGGTGTTTGTGGGGTTTTGGAGCAGGGGTACCAGGCGCCCTCAAAACGGTCGCAACCCCTGCCGCGAAACACGGAGAGGCTCAAAAGTCTGCCAATTCGGTGTCAGGATTCCCAACTCTCTCACAAACGCGGTCTTGAATTCTTCGAACGGCTGCTACCTCGCTGGCCTGCTTACCTGATAAATACGTGTTTTCGGCGCATATTTGACTACATACAAAGACCAATCCGATTTTAGCACCGCCTCCCGCGAATAGCTACAGCCTTGCTAAAGTTCCTCTTTCTTGGCGGGGTCTCTTCTAGATCTCTTGGCTTGCTGAATTGAAGTCTTTGCTGGGGACTTTGGTTGGCTTAAAACTTAGCTAAAGGCTTGGGTGCGCCGTTTGGGTAAATGCCAAGATTGCTTGTTTGATCTCCGCGATCCTAAGCTGCCAAGAAGTCGAGCATCATAATGGATCGCAATATTCTCCTTACTGTGATGTACGGTACTCTAAAACCTCGCGAGTGCGGATGAGGTTTATTCGTTTCTTCTTCTTTCCTTCTTCTCTTATTCCTTTCTCTAAGCTCTAGACGAGTCTCAATTAATTGATTTTTTGTTGTTTTTTCATTCCTGCATGTCTGCCTTTCCCTTCTTCGGACCCGCATCTCCCTTTTCTTTAATCCTTCTCAGTAATCAGGATGTTGACCGTCCGTTCGTTGTCGCTGCTAGCCCTCGGCCTGCTAAGCGCCGTGGAAGCATTGCCACAAAACAGAAATAAGGCCGGCAAGAAGAAGGGCCAGGCTACGACGGCTTTCCAACAGGCTCAGCAGATAGCGCAGGGTGTGTCGAAGGCCACGGATGGCAGCATGATCTTGGATACCACGGCCATGGTGAAGTACGTCTGGCTCTTACCCTATTAAAAACACCCCAAACTAACAACCCCCAGCGGCCTCCCTCTACGCTTCAAAGTCTCCGCCCCAGCAGACCAATTCACCGCAGCCTCCGGCGTAACCGGCGGCGCCCAAGCCGCCAACGCGACCGGGACCCTGGGCCTAAACGTGCTCCTGCACGGCGACGGCGGGCAATCCTTCTTCGACTTCCCGAACCAAGCCGTGCAGAACGGCCTCGCGGGCGTCGCCGTGCTAGCCCCAGACCCGAACCTCTTCTGGGGCGGCGGCTCCGGGCTCGACCGAACCGACGGCGTCGCGCACTCGCAAGCAGTCGCGGACCTGATCTCCAGCGTAATGCCCAAAGTCCTCGCCTTCGACGCGAACAAAGTCAGTTTCACAGGCGTATCGGGCGGCTCGCTGCTGCTATCAGGCTTTTTAATGCCGGGGCACATGGCGCAGTTCGCGTCCGCAGGCCAGACATCACAAGTCCTGCTGAACTGCGGCGGATTGACGCCCCAAGTCGCCGTATCCGCCGCGAACGCCGCCGCGCTAGCGACTACGCGCGTGCATTTCCAGAGCACACAGCAGGAGCTCACGTTACTGCAGCCGGAACTGCCGAAGGCGATACAGGCGTACGAGAAGATCGTGTCGGGGGCGGGGTTGAACGCGGCTGCGATCGGGGCGCTGCAGACCGTGGATAACTCGCCGAACGGGGGGCACTGCGCGTTCGACGAGCAGGGGTTCGTGAGCGGGGTCCAGCTTATGGCGAATTCGTTCTCGGCCGTCATGCAAGGCGGGAATGGGGTTTTGGCTGGGACGAATGTGAATGTGTTGAACCCGGCGCCTGGGAATGAGAATTTGAAGTTCTCGGGCGCTGCGTAGGGAAGGGATGGGAAGGGATGGGATGGGAAGGTGATGTGCAGGGTTTGTAGATGAAAAGAAATAAATAAATAAAGATAAATAATGAATTATATCGATGGAAATAATTGATTCCTCCTGTGATATTGCCATATTTCTATCCACGCAAGCGAGGAGAAGCGCCTTCTCGAGCATCTAAGGTCACTGTCAGTAGCCACGGATATCAGGCTTAGATACTAATTCGTTCAATAAAAGAAATCTAATAAAATCTCCGTTTTCCATAAGTTTTGCCCGTGATGTATGTAACCCATTCCTAGTTGATCAAGTCATAAATGCACAATATGGTATCCAGGGCACCAGACGCCGTATTCATAAAAATCCCTCCGAAATGAGACAACGCTGCAGGCCCAAACGAACGACAGTGGCTTTCTTCGTAGTTACTCCTCTTCGCTAACATCGCTTTCCTGTGCATTATCAACTTCGCCTAGTTCGGCCATCAAAGCAGCTTCAAGATCCATCTCATCGTCCAGAGCGGTCTCGTCGGCATCGATAGACTGTTGTCCCACGTCTTCCATTTCTTCATCCTCCTCTTCCTCTTCATCCCCGTTGAATTGTGGCTTCTGTCGGAAAGAACTGGTCTCCTGCATCTGGCGGTTGATCGGGCTAGGTAGCGTAAAGTGCTCCATGTTATCATCGTCGTCATCTTCGCCATCGGCATCGTCATTCTCTCCCTCCTCTTCTCGCTCGAAATCGTTAAATGACCGGATGCCAAATATGTTGCCGGGTGAGAAGTTTTGTCTCGTGTCTCGTGCCTGACCACCCGGGTTCTCGATAGTGAGGCCAAGATCGTCGTCTGAGCTTTCCTCTTCCTCGTCTGCCGAGGCTTTACTTGGTTTGGTGGCGGCTATAGGTTTCGGGGGCGGTTTCTTCTCGGGCATGGCCAAAGCTGGCTTCTCCTCAGCTTTCTTCGCTTTCGGCGGTTGTTTTCGCGGTTTAGATGTTGTCTTTTTCTCTTCGTTGCTCGCTTTCGTGGACTTTTTGCTACCATTCGTCGGGCCTGTGGCCTTAGCACTGCTACTACTGCTATGACCCTCAAGCTGGGGGAATTCTCGTCGTAGGCTCTCGGCATCGCTAGATGGCGTTTGTACCAGGTTCATATTGAACATAGAGTCTACCTTATGGAGAACAAAGACTTCGCGCGCGGCGTCGAAGATCAACACATATTTGCTATCCTCGACACCCCGGGTTCCTTTATACTGGTAGCGACCGCCGTCATCCTGGAACGAGAGGTCATACGAAGGGGCACTCTTCTTGGAGGACGAAGATGTCTGTTTTATTCGTGCTTGGGAGGGCGCTGTGGGTGATGACAAAGACGGCTTATGATTATCTATAGTGAGCCAGTCATTAGACATGTCCACATATTCAAAACAGAAAAGCGACAGGGGCGATGAAATAAGGTGACCAACATCTTACGCCAGTAAGAATCTCCTTTGAGTCTTTACCCAGTAGAGCATCGCTCAAAACGACGGGATATTTGCCGGCTTTCGTGGGATCGACTATCCCCGCCGCGAGGGACGTCATGGTTCTATCCGTCAATCCGGTCAATTACCGGTCGGGTTCGGTATATCTTATTTGAAACTAGAATCTAATTGTACTGAGATAAAAGTAGAAAGTTGAGGGTTCCGAAAATGAAGAGAATGTAGAGGCGTGTAGGAAGTTAGTTCAAGTATATCGTCGAAGGATGAATGGCGAATGGCGAATGGTGAATGTGAAAAGGGAAGATCCATGGATGTAACTTGACAAGGCGGGCGGCTGAACAGGGCGGAAGGCAGAGGGCGGCTTCTAGAGGTTAGGCGAGAACCTACTAGGTAATCAAGACGCTGATCTCTCTTACGTAATCCGAATAGTCTTGGCACTGTGCATATATATATTCCGTACTGTATGAAGCCGTTTTGAGACAGGTACGTCTCCCATCTCCCCCTCCCCCCTTTTTTTTCTTCACCATTTCTAGATTCTCTGTGTCTTCTATCATGTCACATATCATATTGTATGCCCATCAAATAATCCCGCCATCATTATAGGTTACCCTTTGTTCCCTACGGCTAAGTGATTCTTAGCATCGTGAAGATGTCTACTTCATTACCTACATCATAGGAGACATCGCGTCGAGGATTTGAATCAATCAAGTACCTGTGTTTTTATAGTAATGATAACAAAAGCTTCGCAGGTTGCCTGTCCAGGACCTCAATTTTTTCTATTCGAATATCAACTAGGTAAGCAGTTTATCATCATTATCCCCTCATTTCCCTAGGTATCTTTTCTTTCTATGAGCCTCATGTCCTAGTTTAATCAGTTGTGTAGAATGCTTACGTTAATACGTACCTAGTAGCTAAGCAGGCAGAGAAACAACTAATTGCCGACTTCATATGCAGGCTCTGTAGAATTGCATAATGCATCGCCATTCGGGAGGTACAAAGCAAGGATAATTAATTAGGATGTCTTCCGATGGGAAGTATGTATCATCTACAACGTGACGGTGGCTTGCACTACAAGTTGCCTCGTTGATATTTCGACCTATCAGCAATAGTCACGAGGAATACCTGGTAGGTAATCATAACATCTTATATCTTCGATGCCGGGATACTACACCACGGGTAGATACGGTAAGTATTCACCTACATTATCACCATGCTTCTGCATATCGTCTCCCCCCCAAATCCGCTCCCCTTTCTATGCTCGGTGCCTATATGACGAAAGTACCTAGCGTTTACTACTCTGATAACACATTGCATCGGAGCAATTTCTTTTTCAAAACTATACACGATCGTCCGGATCTACCAAGGACATGACATGCATCGATTACAAGTAGATATCATGAAATCATGACAAGGCTGCGGTGGCGTTCCAGGGAAGTGGGATGTGATGGTGGGATGTACAAGCCGAAATTACCTCGCATGCGATGGGTTCCAAGGACCGGGGAATGTGTGGTCACCGTCCTGCATACGAGTAAGCAGTTGGACTGTTGGAGTATAAATGGTCTATCCCCTCTAGCTTGAGGCTAATATTATCTCGCACCATAAATTTCACGTTCAGGAGAGTACATTTACCGAAATAATTATACCATGTAACATTATTTATCATGCCTCCTAACCCTACAGAAACGCTCTACCAAGAAATCCACGATAGCTTGGAAGATTGTTGTTTCTCGAAAAAGAAATTTCTACCGGAAAAGGCATTCGGGGACCTGTTAACTAGCGATAGGATCAAAAGGATATTGTCATATACAAGACCGCTTAGTAAGATCCTTCAGAGTAAGAGTATGTATAAATGGATACGGAGATTCATATATACAGCGTTCCCTCGAATATGGCGACAGGGACCAAGCGAACAGGCTTCTAATTCTTCTGAATTAGCCCTTATAGAATACATTGAGGAGCATGCAACGCGTGTCTTTGCTATTCTTGTCTACTCAAGACTTGTCGATAAGGCATTTACGTTGAAAAAGCATGGCTTTATGGACAAGTATCTCCCCATTCAGATGGGGCCCGGAAAGGCCACAACTTTCCATCTTCTCGCAGATGATGCAGCCCTAAAGTGGTTTGAAAACTGGAAAGCATCTGAGATAGCATCGTTCCAAAACGCACAGTGGCTTTTCCTTGCCCCAGTATTCACTGAGCAGTCAGTTCTGGAGCAACCTGATGACACGTGCCCGTTACCCTTCATCAGTTACGACACTACTCAAGATGCAGGGAGCTTTGGTAGAATTCATAAGGCTCGCATTCATAGCAGCCATATCAAGGGCTTCCAACTAGACAAGGTAAGTCAGTAATCCTACCAAGTTGGAATATGACATTTAATAGCTTTCTGATAGGACTCTACGGTAGCTATCAAAGAGCTTCACGCAGTCAGTATTTCCGACAGAGCCTATGAACTCGAAATGGACGCTCTCGAGCTAGCTAGATGCTTAAACCATGACCATCTAGTCAAGTTTATCTCAGGGTTCGAGACGTACAGAAAGCACTATCTGATGTTCCAATGGGTTGGTGGGGGAAATCTACGCAATTTTTGGGAGACCCATTCATGGCAGCGTAGTGAGCATTTGATATCATGGGCCCTTGAGCAAATGAGAGGCGTTTCCATGGGCCTAGAAAAGCTGCATGGGTTCAATTCTCAGAGGAACTGCCGTCACGGGGATTTGAAGCCCGAAAACATTCTTGTCTCAGAGAGATCGGGTGAATATGGAGTCCTCCAGATTGCTGACATGGGGTCAGCTAAGATCCACTCGGTCCCAACGAGCCTCAGACAGGTAGGGACGACATCGCTCGCCGGCACAATTCGATACCAGCCCCCTGAGGTACAAACGACCATTTCAGGAAAGAGATCACGGGCGTATGACATTTGGTCCATGGGTTGCATTCTACTCGAACTCACCATCTGGCTCCTCCACGGGCCGAACGGGCTGAATGAATTCAACGAATCCTTTGATAACATGACTCAACCATTTTTCCGTGTCGATCAGGAACACAATCTATTGCAAGCTAATGTCAATAAGTGGATAGAGCATCTACGAGAAACTTGCCTCGGTGACTCTGAAGATAGATGCGTGAGTCGAGCATTAAGGGACCTTCTTGGCTTTATCAACGACCAAATCCTGATTGAGAATGATGGCGTAGAGAACGACATGGAATCCAACGATACCAAACGCCAAAACACTTCAGATCCAGGAACACTAGACATTGTGATCACCCGAGCAACAACTCGGCGGAAGAATGGATCACAGCAGCGGAGGGCCAACATTTCAGATGTTGCGGCAACGCTCACAAACATTCGAGCGAACGTGGAAGTAAATTATCTTTACAACGAGGAAGCAGCGACCACAGAAGCCTCAAAGAGCATATTGAAGAGTTTAGAGCTTAAGGAGGAATTGAAGAACGAACAGAAGCTAAAGCCGAATTGGCCCAACCACCGATTAGCGAGGCCACAACAGCAAATTGCAGGACCAGAGGTAAGCATGACCTACAACCACCAATATATGAGGATTATAGGCATGCTAACGTTGCATTGGAAACTTTTCTAGGATGTAAGTCCCTATCCATTCATCATTTCAGAACTATCTCATATCTTCTACGTCTCTTAGCACTCATATATTTCGGATATTACTAACCTGTGGGTTTATACAGCCAGTAAGTTACCCAAGACGAATAATTTAAACACATCTATTATCCCCAGACTGACGAGACCTCCTCTTTGCCTAAATGTAGTATGTAAGTACATAATGTTCCGCCCCCACGATGGTAACCTATTGAGACTAAAATTTTAACTCGCTGTAGTCGGTAAGTAGCAGGTTCTCCATCCTTCTCAAGCATTTATAGAACACTAACTGGGTTCTCCTAGCTTGTGAGTTTCTTAGAGATACCTGCGGACTAATTTATTAGCACTAATATAGAATTCGAATCTTTGTTTTGTAGCTGGTAAGTTTTCAAGCCCCTCGGAGATCTCCTATTGGCGCTGATATGTCTACTCTAGCCCGTATGTTTTTTCAGCTAAGCATTCTGGATGCCTCCATGCCCTTCTAGGAGCTAGTGCTAACAAATAACAACAGTTATCAGACACATGGGAATTTTGCAATGATAACATCTTCGCAAGAGACCTTTTCAGAACCTTAACTTCAACGGCTATGAAAGATGACTTCCTCAAGAATCCAGAGACCCAAAACTCGCCGCCGCTCTGTGATAACTGCGGGAACATTTTCCGCGATGGGTTTTCATTTACTCTCGGTAATTCCACCCAACGCTGCGGTCTTTGTCAAGTCTTGTCTCCATATTTGAATGATTACATTCAGACCCTCGACGAGAAAGCCCGCAGAAATGCCCAGATTGTGCGGATAGGCTCATCTTTGGCAACGACTTCGACAGCAACGGCGATACTCTCTATCGTCGTTGGCCCAGGCGAGTGCAATGTTCAGATTCATCCAGACGTACCCAGTGTGCTAACCCCCTCTAAGGCTTTTCCAATATCCCTTCACACATTCAGAGAGGTTTCCCCTACTTGGTGAAATCTCGAAGCACAACTCAAGAACAATTATTCAAGCACTGGCTCGATGACTGCGACAAGAGACATGAAAATACCTGCAAGCCGGATTTTGTGCAAAAACGTCCAACAAGGTTGGTTTATGTTGGTGCCTCATCAAAAGAGTTGAAGCTACTTGATTCAGATACTTCGGGTCGTGACTCGGAGGATGACCGCTATATCGCCTTGTCGCATCGTTGGGGCGATCCAACAAATACACTTTTCTGCACAACTTCAAATATTGAAAGCTTGAAGAGATCTATTAACTACTACGATCTTCCGAAGAATTTTCAAGACGCAGTGACAGTGACACGAGGTCTCGGCATCAAGTATCTTTGGATTGATTCCCTTTGTATCATTCAAGGGGATGGAGGGGACTTCGATACGGAGTCTAGGCTCATGGAAGACTATTATAGCGGTGCATACTGTACAATCTCTGCAAGCTCTGCCGACGAATCAACATCTGGGTTCCTCGACAGTCTGTCCACAACTAGGGACACGGTCAGACAATGCCATGTACTCCAGAGCCATCAAGGGTCCTCCAGCTCCGAATCGACCTTTTACGTATGCAACAATATCGATAACTTTGCCCGTGATGTCGAGGAGAGTCCCCTTAGCAAGCGCGGCTGGGTATTCCAGGAACGAGCGCTCTCGAGACGTACCATACATTTCACCAAAACTCAGGTCTATTGGGAATGCGGCTTCGGAGTGCGCTGCGAGACCATGAGTAGGCTTTTCAAGTGAGTTTTCTAATTTTCCAAATACGTTACTACCTCTAAATCTATATCGCGCAGCCGGAGGTCGTCATTCCTATCCGATCCTGATTTCCCACGTTCTGCAAAGCAATATTATAGGGGCATGCGAATCGAATTCTTCCAGTACATCTACTCAAAGTACTCCAATCTTAGTTTCTCATACGAAACAGATCGATCGGTGGCCATGTTCGGGCTTGAGCGACGACTGGCGAGGGTCTATGGTGTGCAAGCAAGATATGGCATCCTGGACAAGACTTTTCTTCACAGAAGCCTTCTTTGGCGGATAGCGGATACCGGGAGGCCACTACGCAAAATTGATTACAAAAATAGCCACAGAGTTCCTTCGTGGTCTTGGATGGCGGTCATGGGCCCGATCAAGTACATGGACGCCCCATTTGAGCTAATGGATTGGGACGTCGACATAAAATCGCCTTTCGAGGACCCCTCCCCGGAAAAAGATCCACAACTGGTTCCCAACTACATGGTACCGGCAAGAGACGTCTTGCAGGAGGTAGATCCAAGAAGCCTGATATATGATCGACCCGAATATAAAAACCTGCATGAAGGCAACGATCCGGTTCAAAGTAAGCTAAAATGTGTCATCGTCGGGCGGGAAAAAAGGGAAAGCGAGGAGGCTCCCCAGGATCTTTATGTCCTTCTTATCATCCCCACAGATATCTCTAAACACGATTGTACCGATTACGAGAGGATCGGTGTCGCTCGCATCACCGGAGATGACATCGATCTTGAGGGAAAGGTGACCAATGTGCGAATTGTTTAGTACGGATATAAGTATATATGGGGTAAGCTTCTCTTACATATTTCCCCCTGCTTCTTCTGCTTCTTGAGTAATTCAGAAGTTTGTTGCTGATGTAGTGTTTAGTGGGGGGCTTTGAAGGGGTAAATTTGTGGGTTTGAGCTAAGTCGCATCCAGTAAGCGTGACTACCCTTCATGGTATAGCGTTAGTGGAGCGAGGCTTTTAGCGGCGGACGGGCGTGCTTATGGAAATCAAAGATGTGGCGTGGCGTGGCGTGGCGTAGGCTGCTTTGATTCGGAGTTATCCATTCTAATTGCCCATGGATCCCCATCATCATTTACTTTCCCACTGAACTACCTATGTAAGATCAGTGTAGTCTTAGATGGATGCACATGAATATACACTCGTTTCCATCCAAGCAACAATACAGTATTGGTTTTGAAAATGCTTAAAGGAAATATCTCGGTACCTTTGTATCCCACGGTCTCCCACCAACTCACCGATGCGGATTAACGGCCATGACGTGATATTAACAATCATGGTCCGACTCGGATCCTAGTTAGCCGGGCGGGTCCGTGATGTCGTAGCGGAACCTCCATGGGGTTTGCATCGCGATATTTTTCGCAGGACGGCCTGCCTCTCCGATATCATCTGGACTCTGATGTCGGCCGTCGGCCTCCGCGGAAGGTAGACCAAATAATGAGATGAAACTCGTGCGAATAATAAATACCCTTATCGCACTTACAATTTCCCATGTAGCTGGCCAGCGTGACAACTGTCGGACTATCCGTTTATGAATCTAATACCTCAACTAATACATCTCCTTTGAGTTAATTTGATAAGATGGATGACGATCAACAACCAGGCTTGAGACCCGCGTTCAACGAACAGGAACCTCTTCTCAGTAACGGTGAAGGAAGACAAGATGATGACACATCAGAAAACGATGTACCCCGTCGAATAACCTATAGGCTTTACGTATCCCACTTCCTCTCAACATGGAATTCGCGGGTATTCGAATTCGGAGCCGTGATCTACTTAGCTACCATCTATCCAGGAACGCTACTCCCCATGTCCATATATGCTTTAGCACGCGGTCTATCAGCTATTCTATTCGCTACTGCGGTCGGCCAATATATCGACACGGGAAATCGCCTCCAAGTCGTTCGTGTGTCAATTAGTTCGTCGCCTTATTCCTCTCTCCAATCGTATCTTTAACTGACTATCTCTCGATCCGCCTTAGTCTTCCAGAGATTGGTTGTGGCGACGTCATGTGTCGTGTTTTACATCATGGCTCTTCACGAAGAACTTGATGGCCAAGCTAAAATGGGCATGCTAGTGCTTCTGTCTCTCCTGGCTTGCATTGAGAAACTTTGCTCCATTATGAATTCTATTTCTGTAGAGAAAGACTGGGTAAGTGATCCCTGGTTTCTTTTTGTTGAAGTTTATTGCCTAATCTACCATAGGTCGTTGTCGTTGCCGGGGAAAATCAAGGGGCTCTTAGTTCCTTAAATGCGCAAATGAGGCGCATTGATCTACTCTGCAAGCTCTTAGGCCCCTTATTCATCGCCCTCATCGATGGCTTCTCGACCAAAGTGGCCATAATTGTCAACTTCGCGATGAACATTGCATCTATTACTATAGAATACTACGCCATCGCTCGTGTCTACTATGAAGTACCGGCGCTGCAAGAACCGAAACATCAAATCGAAGATTATGAGTCTCACCTCTCTGAATTGTCAAACAGAGAGCGCCCAAACATCAGGGCAAGCGTTCTAGCGATTCTGAAACGATCCAAAGCAGATTTCGGATTATATTTCCGTCACCAAGCATTTTTACCTTCATTCGCTTGTGCTCTACTCTACCTCACTGTCTTGAGCTTTTCCGGTCAAATGGTAACTTACTTGCTTTCGACCGGCTACACCAGCTCACAGATTGGTATCACACGAACGATCAGTGTCGCATTTGAAGTACTCGCTACCTGGGTAGCCCCATGGCTGATTAGCCATATCGGACCAGTGAGGGCCGGTTTATGGCATAGTACTATGCAGGTCACCATGCTCATTACTGGTTTGATTATATTCTGGACGTTCGACGCAAGTAATCCTATCATTTCCGCAAGTGGGCTTGTGGGAGGGACAATTCTTAGTCGTCTTGGCCTTCGAGGCTTTGATCTTTGTACCCAGATTATCGTGCAAGAGGTACGTATCAAGACGCCCCTATGCATCTAAAATTTCTTTCTTATGCCTTAACAGGAAGTCGAAGCCGAGAATCGTGGCGCGTTCTCCTCCGTCGAGGCGGCTTGGCAGAGTGTTTTTGAACTGGCGGCTTACGGCTCTACGATTGTATTTTTCCAGCCTTCCCAGTTCAAATGGCCTTCCTTGATATCAATCACTGCCGTCACAGCTGCAAGTTTATTATACACGGTCTACGTGTACATAAAGAGAGGCCACCTAATCCATTTCGAGAAAATCGCAGGATTGTGTATGAGCAAGGAAGACAGAAATAGGAACGTCGAAAGAGGTCTTCAGCGCATTCTATCTGATCGGGAGATCTAAGTATTGATCAAAAGCAAAATTGGCTACGCATACACCCCGAGGGGAGATTAAATGGGTTCTAAAGGATTTGAAAAGGGGTACATGTAAGTGGCTTACATCGGCAGAACGTCTAGGGCTGTGGGTGTACCAGATACCGAGGTATTTGACAAATCAAAGCTTCCCGTGTTACCTGACATCCTAGTAATATACATGCGATATAGACTGGAAGTAGTAAGGCTTTACCTACACAGGGCTTTCTAGAGATGTCGATATCCGGACCTCCGAGTTATGAATGCGCCGTGGCTTCGACTTCTCCAACATTTTGATTCAGTTTTGTGGCTTCTCATTCCCATATTCCAGGATCAAATGTGTGCCGTTAATATGGACAGAACACGCCCCGTAACTGATCCGAGACCAATACAATCATCGGATCTGGATCAGCCAACGCCTTGTCTTCGGCTCACCCCTGCGCAGTTGTATAGCAATTTACCTTTGGGAGATAATCGCACCATTCGGCTCCTCGACCTGAATGATCTGCCCTCCAAGTCAGATAATGACGAAACGCCATTGTCAGGAACTCTCCGAGTGGTATCCCTGGCGACGAAGCCACGCTTCACAGCTCTCTCCTATGTCTGGGGTACTTTTTCAATACCTCATGCGGATACATTGGAGTTACGACATAGCGTCGGACAGGACATCAAGTTAGGAATATCCACTAACTGCCGCGATGCCCTGCGCGCTCTCCGCCGGAGGTATGGCGGCTTGCGTATCTGGGTTGATGCAATATGCATCAACCAAGACGACGAGGCCGAGAGATCGTCCCAGATCAACTTGATGGAAGATATCTACTCATGGGCCACCGTCGTCTACGCGTGGCTGGGTCCTAGTACCGATGCTTCTGATAGGGTAATGGATTGGGCTCGCCAACTTGCAAAACACGATTTTCTCAATGTTGCTTTTGCTACATGCCCCCCTACTAGGAGAAACCAGTTAAAATACAGCTCTATAGCTATGTATCATATGGCGGCCTACTTTTCACGTGTGATGGTAGATATCTGCGTGAGGTGGATTAGGCTACTGGCAGCTCTTGGAAAGATGATTGTATACCGCAGGCGACCTATACTTGACAATGTCTTCTCAAATCTCGTTGTAGCGGGGAACTGTAGGTTGAGATTGGATGTCAAGTTAGAGATAGAAGATTTGCGGGATTTATCGAATCGCGAATGGTTCCGAAGAGCTTGGACCTTCCAAGAGGTTGTTCTTTCTTCCAACGTCATCCTCATTTGTGGATGTAACCACGTCGAATGGACGAAGATTGTCACTGCTTTTAGGATAGGTACCATCAATGATGGGCTCGGTACGTTTGGTCCTCGGAAACGCTCTGCTCCTATGTCCAAGGTTTCGCCCTTACCAATACACGACCTAGCGAGAGTTTGGGCATATACCGAAAGGCCTACGACGTGGAACGACCGGTTAGACACCCAAGGGTTGAAGTCTTTTACTTATGTGTCTTGGCTACAAGAACCTTGCCAAGCAATTATTCGATATGCTTTCATTCTTATGTTAGTCGTGCTAAGTATCGTCTGGAGTCCGGTGGTGATAAGCTTATGTTTTGCATACATCTACATGAAAGAAAAGGGGGTTGGGGTCTTTCTTACAACACTGGTATGTATCATGTGCCATATTCTATCGTTTAGCATCCTTTAGCTGACGTTTCTTTAGTAAGTAACAGGGTCCCTATGTCCATCGAAGCACTGAGATAAAGCCTCTCTTTTGAGTATATTGCTAATGAAAATGAACACAGATATCTCTTTGTGGTCGCTTGGCTTGCTTATGGGGAGATATATTGGGACATATATTCTACCTGGGCTTCGCTAGTTATGAAACTTAGGATCAACACCGAAAGCACAAGAAACACGTACCTCGCGGGCGTATTCCGAGCAATTCGCGCACGACAGGCTTCCAACGCAAAAGACCGTTCTTACGCCGCATACGGTGTTCTCCAGCGTCTAGGTGTCCAAAATCTCTCCCAGCCAGAATACTCGAAACAATTAGGCCAAGTGTATCAAGAACTCGCCAGAGATCTATTGAAATGGAGTCCTCAGGCAATATGCTTGCTTGTAGATGCAGGCACTTGCTCATATATTAACCGCCCGTCATGGATCCCGGACTGGAGAATCGCTGCGGAGAGGCAATGGATTCACTCCGACTACATCATAAACCCCGTTGAACCTGTGGCCACTCCGATCCCACAGGCTTGGATCGAATTTCGAGGGAATAATAAACTCGTCGTTAAGGGCGTCCGAAATGGTGCGATTAAGTTCAATTCACGGCCGTTTCATAAAATCGGGACACATCAAGCGCACCCGCATAGCTCTGTCGACATCGAGGCTGCAACATCCATACTTAAACGTTGGCTCAAATATCTCATTAGAGACTCGACGACACATGAAGATTACCAACCACTTTCTAAAGCAGCTGCGAGAATACTAACCACCGATATTGATTCTAAGCCCGACTTAGACCTTACCGGAGAAGACTTCTTTACCTGGTACAAAGTGTTGATTAATGACAAGGTAAATCTTCAAGGACACACTGGTACGTGCGTCAAAGGCTACTTCTATAACTCCGGGAATTTGAAAATAACATCGCAGGCAACATTTACGACTCTCATCCTCAAGGTGATGTCGCTAAGGCCTTGACCGTAAAAATATACAACCACCTTGCAGGGCGGAGGAACCTTTTCACCACCACAAATGGCCTTGCTGGCTCGGGGCCAGAGGGGATGAACCCTGGAGACATCGTCATGCTTATCGCAGGAATTCACGTACCGATGATTTTACGTCGTGTGGCCGATGACGGTAGCGGGACGAACAGCAATCCCGCTTACCGTATCATCGGGCCTGCATACGTTTACGGACCTATGAAAAGGGGGTTTAAAGAGTGTGCGGAAAAAATCACTCTGGTATAACAAGTAAAAGTGATTAAGACAGGTATCGAACGGACATTTTCTCAAGCTGGATTATTAAATAGGTTAGTCGAAAGTACCCCTTTTCGCCCTTTCCCGTAATTCCGTACGGGGGCTATTACCGTTAGTCTAACAGAACACGCTGTTAAAAAAAACCAACCCCTAATAATTATATGCTACAAGACTTATTAATAAACATCAAAAGTCCTGAATCCCCGTCTCCCCCTCAAGCATCATCCTCCCACCCTGATCCCCAACCGGATCAGTAGCCCAATCCGGATCCTCGTCATCAAACCACGCATCCTCCTGCTCGCGGCGTTCTATAACATCCAGATCATCATTCTCATCCACGACCTGATAATCAAAGTCATCGTCACGCCCTAACACAAACCTTCGTCTTAAAAAATCATTCCACCGCTCCCGTCCCTCCTCCCTAGTCTCAGGCCGTCTCAACAAGCCCTTAATCCCCACCTCTGTCTCCGCACCCACATTCCCGCCCCCGTCGTCGCCGAAACCATCACTCCCACTCGCGTACTCCCGGATAAACGCGTCGGCATCCTCAGACGCCGGCTTCGGGATCCACGTCTCCGCCGCGTCCGACGGACGCGGTGCGGGATCTAGGGGCGCGGTGGTGATGTTCGCGGCGAAGGTCGCGGAAGTAAGCTGTGCGATCTTGGCTTCGCCGCGGATCAGATCGACTTCGAGGACCCGCGAGTACCCCTTCGTGCGCCCTTCCGCTTCCCGCTCGGCGGGCGATTGGAAGCGCCGGATTAGGGCGTCGTAGAGGAGGGGGTCTGGGTGGTGGGTTAGTTATGAACTGTCTAGGTACTTAGGTAGATAAAGGGAATTAAATGGACTAGAGAAATGTGAAGTAACAGCTCCCGAAATTAGGAAATGCGAGAAATCGTGTATTTACATTCTTCGCTTTGGATAGGGGTTAAAGGGGATGAACTGTGAAATGGAAAATGAAAAAGGCAAGGAATCGAATGAGTCTTTAATTGAATCGCCCATCAAGAAAAGGCTAGAATAAATAAAACCATACCCGCAAGTTCATGGTCCAGCGAATCAAAGTACTTCAGATTGCGCTCCAGATACTCGCGACGGCGGTTCTGAACACGGATCTGGGCGGAATGCGCGGGCGATTTAGGCGGCCGGGGTTGCGGCTTCACGTAGGTTGAGATTGGCGAGAGCGACGACAGGGGCGGCGTAGGCGGGGCTTGCGGAGGCATCGGGGAGGCCATGTCCCGAATTTCGGGGCTGTCTGTCACCATTCTATGGACTTGTGATTGAAGATGGGGGATTGGTTTAGATCCATAGGAACTGTTCAAGGTTACATAGATCTAGCAGAGTTTCGTATTACGTAAAATGGCCGCATGCTTTTGTGGGACCAAGTTTGTTGGGTTTATAGAAGATTGTTTCCCCAGTTATTGTATAGTCAAATTGAATATGATAGCATCAGTGGTTTAGTGGTAAAATCCATCGTTGCCATCGATGGGCCCCGCGTTCGATTCGCGGCTGATGCATTCTTTTTCGCTTTTTGATCCCCTAATATTCTTTAAATACGTAGTGCGACGTATATCCCATATTTTTTTTATTAGTTAAGAGTAAATACGACCCGAGGATTGACGATATCCCGAAACCACCAGTTGCGTGTTGTCGAATTGACTTCAGTTACCACAACACTCTCAATTTCAACTAATCATCAGGGACATGATATAAAGGTCATCAATATAAATATGTACATGAGAATATAAACACCCCATAAATCAGGGGAAGGTCTATCGACATGAACCAATATAATGCTCGGGTATATATGCATATAAACTTTTCCAATTTTCCCATCTCCTTCCCATCGCTTCAACCAAAGATGCAATGCTCATGAATAGCCATAGACAACCCGTTTTATGCGTAATTCCGTCTTCCCTTTTCCAAATCCTCACTTAGTCTTCCTCTCCGACTCCTATCCAAGCTCGGCCGGGCCCACGAACCCGCCGCATTCGCGCTACTGAAACTGACTTTCCGCGGCCCACCGGCTATCCTCTGGCCGAACGATGTAGGCGACAACCGTGCCGCGGCGTAGTAATCGGTGCTGCGCTCGCGACTATGTCTAGTAGGGAGCACACGCGACGACGCTCCGTCCAATAGCTGCTCTCTCCCCAGCCGATGCGACGACAGCGAGGTCTTCGGCTGAATAACAACCGTCTCCTCCTCGACCCCCCCTCCACCACCACGTTCCTTCCTCCTCCTCCCCCTCCCCCGCGCACCAAAACACCTATCAGTAAACCCCCTAACCGTATCCGAAATATCCGTAATCGTAAACGCCGTCGCGATAAGGGGCACACTGACCCCCAGCCCAATACCAAACAAATACTTACTCACATACGGAATGGTCAGCTTCCCACCCTCCCACTCCTGGAGATTGATAGCGAAAAAGGCAGCGATGAAACTCATGGGCAGAAAGATAATCGTGACGATTGTAAACACCATAACCGTCTGCCCTTGCCTCGCGGCAATCACCGCCTGGTCGCCCGCGAACCGGGCCTCCAGCGCGTTTGAGTGCTTCTGCTTGAGGTCCAGGAGGTCCGTTAGGTTGCGGTATAGCGACTCGGCTTGGTGGTCCATGCGCTCGATATCCTTCTTCCGGATTTCGAGGCCGCGGAGTTGTTCGCGGGACCGTTTGCGGATATCCGTGACGGCGAGGTCGATTGCGCGGCGGTTTTCGCCTGTTCCGCTGTTGCTGCGGAGTTCGTCTGTGATTTGCATTTCGAAGTCGTCGAGTGTCGAGAGCTGGCCTTCGAGGAGTCCGGTGATGATGCCGAGCTCGTCGCGGATATCTTTGATTTCAGCTAAGAGCGATGTTTCGACGCCGATGTCGAGGAGCGCATCGGGGAATTGGTCCATATCCTTGCCGTGGTATTCATTCGGAGATCCAAAGGAAGGGAGTCGAGCGGGTCGGCCCATGCTGCGTCGCCGACGGTGGTGCTGGAGCCATTGGGCGGATTGGGCTGAAGCTTTGTTAAATCGGCTGAAGAGTTGGCTTTCGCGATCTGTAACGAGGCCGATAGAACTCTCGAACATGTCCAAGAATTGGAAATCCTGATTGTCGAGACGGTGTCGGTCGAATGTTCCGGAACATCGGCTTGTTATAAGCATCGCAAGATCATCTAGTATTTGTTAGTATGTCATGCAGAGTTTCCAGATACTAGACGGTCGCCCAAATAGGAATGGAAAAGGGAGTGAAAGGAAGATTCGATCACATACTACAAATATTGTTAGCAATTATTCTAGACTCTCGAAGGGTTCATAAATATTATACGTACCACACAGAGCCAATCGGCGGTCTAGTCTTGGCATTCGTCTCCTCGATGATGCCGTCTAGAACATTTAAAGGATCCTGTTTAGGCTGGTCCCAGCGTTGCGGGAAGCAGGTAATAACAAGATCCTTTCCGATGATCCAAAGCCACAGTTGATCAACCATGAATACCTTCGGCTCTTTATTATGCCTCTTGCAATATCTGTAGACGACTTGATCCGTATCTCTTGCCGACGTGTCGATACCGTGGTAGAAGAACTGGTCAAGCGTCCTTCGTGGATGGAGACGCGGTTCACTTTTCAGATATGCATTGACGATGAGAGAATCCCGAGATGAATTATCCAAGACTTGTCGGTCTTCGTAAACATTCTTGATGGCCTTGCTCATCTTGCGCCGCCGCTCGTCTGTTTCGTAGTGTAAGAATGGCATCTAGATAAATTAGCTTTTTTACACTTTCATTTACATACCAACCTAGTAAGTAGGTAGGATAATAGGCTCACAAATAATACTATTTTCCCACTCGAAGCCGCAAACTTAGGGGTCTCCCAAGCAAGCGGAGCCTGGAATTTGCCACTCAAGTTGCTTGCGAAGCTATCTTGTCTCTGAGGCGGGTTACCGGGAGGACCTTTGGCTCGCTTATGCTTCTTAGGATGTCTCTCGGCGATCATTTCGGACTTGCTCTTCTTTTTTGTTGGCATGTCATCCTCGAAATGATCACTTGACTTCTTAGGGGAATCCCCATCATTGGTGCTATTTTGTGTCGATCCCATACTAACATCTGACGGTTCTTCGGATAATGGGGCTAGAGACGATTTGTCGTCTCTTTTATCTTGAAGGCCAGCCCGAGGTGAAGTAATACGATTAGAAAATGTCCTCATGAAATGCGCATGCGCATGTTGCCCCTGGTGTTCTTGGTCAAAGCATTTCTCCAGCGCTTTAAAGGCTTCGATGTCCCGGTGCCCCGCCTCGATGAAAGATTTCGCAAGGAGAGTCTAATAAATAGTGAGCCAATGGATGCGTTACACAACAAAAAGTGTTCAAATACCTCAACCCATGCTATCTATACGATATGTTAGTCCTGGTTGCCAAAATCATAAGACTGGGTCACGTTATACATTATTCGCGGGCAGATGGATCCACCGGAAATCCGGCTGATACTTAATATTCTTCGTCAGGGTAGGGACTTTTGGTTTCTCGTTCTCGTGATCCCAGCCGTACAGAAGTTCGTAAACGGAATACTTCGAAACGAGCTGTTTCTTCTCGAATTGGCCAAAGTCTACGACGGTGGCCTCGAAGGCCCGGCAAGCTTGTTGCGCGACTGGGGATAATCGATCGGCGCCGCGTGCGGGGGAAAGCAGCTGGACAATCTCGGGGTGGTTCTTCTCGGCGGCGCAAAGCATAGCTGTTCGATTGAAACTGTCCTTAATAGATAAGTTCACATCAAAACGAGTCAATATAAGTTGTACAACTTCCTCACAGCCATTAAAAGCAGCCCAGTGTAGAGGCGTCATCCCGTTCGAAAGCACAGCATTTACATTAGCGCCAGTTTCAAGCAGCAGCGCAACGATGGGCGCATAGCCACTCTGAGCAGCATTGTGGAGGGGCGTCCAACCGCCGTCACTCACTGCGCTAGGATCAGCTTCATGGTCAAGCAGAAGCCTTACCATTTCTTCAGACTGCTCCTTATGACTACCCTCAGCAGCGAGATGTAAAGCCGTTCGCCCGCGGTTATTTGTAACATCGAGACGCGCATAGTTCTCGAGGAGGACACGAGCGAGTTCGACATTCCCATTCGTAGCAGCCCACAGGAGTGGCGTTCTCCCAATCTGATCTTTGACTTCGAGATTGGCCCCGTTGCTTAGGAGTAGCTTCAGAGTCTCAAGAGTCCACTTCCCCTTCCCGGGTTTCTCTGAAGCTAGAAAAAGCAAGGGAGACCGACCTTCCTTGTCTTGAGCTTCTACATTTGCCTTTCCGTTTAGCAACTTCTCAACCACCTTATTATAACCCTTTAAGCACGCGCTAAATAGAGCAGTCTGCCCGTTGCGGTTACGTCCGTTCGGATCGGCGCCACGCTTCAGCAGCTCGGCTACGATTTCAGCTTGTCCTCCCTCAGCTGCTTTCACTAAGGCAGGGATTTCATTGTCTTTTCTAGGATTCAGCTCGGCGCCGTGATCGAGTAGGAGGAGGACGATGGAGAGTTTGCCGCGCGCGGCTGCTTTTTGGAGAGATTGGCGAAGCGCGTCATGATCGGTGCTCGAAGTCCAAGGAGGGTCTTCGGCTAGTATATCGCGAACTCTAGCTTCGTTGGCTTGAGCAGAAGCGGCGATGAGTCTCAATTGTCGTGGGTCGGGTTGACTGCTTGCTACGCTGGCTTGGCTTGCCATTCCTGGGATTGATAAAGCAAGGAGGGGGAAGAGGATAAACCTATCACAACCAGAACGCCATAACCCGGGAAATTAATAAATACAGCGTACAAGATCTACAGCCTTAAATCCAGACTACACCGTCAGACCGTCTCACAAAATCGCCCCACGTGACACAATTCCGAGCTCTATATCACAGAGTAACGAATGCATCAAAATAACCTTCGAATCGGAATTGATAGGTAATATTGGGGTGTTGGTGTTGTACAAATTTTGCAAACTCCCACATGTCGCGATCAATGTCGCGGTACCATCCGCATTGACCCTCCAGCCAAGATTTCTACAGCCAGCCCAGCGTAAGCAAAGTGGGTTGGTCCGCATCTGTGCATTGTGGAAGATGGAGGGTGGAGAATGGAGAATAGAGGCAAAATTGCGAGCGGGCCAAGCTAGGCTAGCTATCTCTGGCGATAGTAACATCGCGATTGCCTGGCGATTGGTAAACACAAGCTTAAAGTTTTAAAACAAGCTCCTAGCGATGTCACCGACTGAATGGTAACTCTCGGCAGCGCGGCGGATATTCAACGGCAACGGCAATAGCGGCAGCGGCAACGGTCGCCAAACGCTAAATCATCAATTTCGAAACTCAATTCGCGTACTTTTAGGAAAGTATCATCACCTACATGCGTAGCTGCGTAGTTTCACTTCCAACCGACTTCCAAGGTTATTATTGGAGAACATTTGAAGTCCACAATACATGTACCTTAGTACATACATAGGTACAACGGGTACACTGTCCTTCGATTCGTCCTCCTAGGCAGTGGCGTTAAACTACCAAGAAGGCAATGACCTACACTTTGTACCGGGAAGAACTAGGTCTTGGGTCGTACTAATGCATCGCAGTACCATACCGTAGAGATTATAGGTGACACTAGGGCGGGAAGGATTCGGAGTTTGCACCCTCTCGGGCAAATTTATTAGGTACATACCTAGGTTAGTAGTCTACATAGTATCTGTATTGTGTATAATAATAACAGTTGGGAGGCCGTGATCTCATATGGGCAAGACCATTATAAATGCCCAGTTTCTCTAAGACAAAGAACCCGCTTGTCCCGCTAATTAGAAGAGCATCCTAGGATGCCGCCTTAATCTTGTATCCTTCTGACGCCTTTGCTGCTTGCCGTCCGCATTCTCTTGCTTCATCTTTGCCAGTTCTGCCACCATCCTGTCTATCTCTTTCTGTTCAGCAGCAGCTGTCGCAGCGTCCAATGCCCGCTTCTCTTCTAGCCATTTCATGTAGTCTTCATCCTTGCGCTCGTCGTCGCCGTCGTCGAGTATTCCCTGAACAGGTTCTGGAGGTTGTAGGAACCCTCTGGCATCAGCCTCGAGTATAGCCTCGTACATCTTAGTTGCCATCATCTCGTAGCCGGCAGTACCAGGGTGCATGCCGTCCGAAGCTAGATTCCCATCTTGAATTCCGTCCGGGCCTTGCATATCAGCAAGCACCACCGGCAATTCCTGATGTTTGTATATTTTCGCCAGCCTCCGGATTTGCGGGTTGACCCTCCACACGTCCTCGCGACCATTGAATCGAGTATCCCAGGTAGGTAGAATAGTACCCATTATGATGGTGGACCTTGGCGAAGCCTCAAGGAGATATCGGACCAAGGCATCGTATCGCTTATAGAAGTTGTCAATGTCGACATGCTGGAAACAGTCATTAGATCCAGCGTTGATGAGGAATACATTAGGCTTGGACTTTGGAACAGCCTTCCGGGCGTTTCCGTGAATGGTCTCGGTAACAACACCGGGGTATGCTTCGATGTCGTTATCTGTCATGTTCCCAAGGCGCTGCGTGCCGACAAAATTGACTTTGTTGCCGATAGCAGTCAACCTTTCACGGAGAGGACGGCGAAACCCGTTGTTATCGATGCCCTCTTCGGGACTATCGCCACGGGTTGTCGATGCGCCAAGCGCCATAATACGAAGTGGAATTCCATTAGCAAGTGGCAGCTCGTGGCCTGGTCGAGCATACGGCTTAGTCCTAACTGTAGAAGTTGTTGCGCCGTTGGACAATTCGCTGGGAAAGGAGACAGCATTTAATGATGAAGAGTTGGTAGCAGTGTCGGTTGATGGATAAGAAACTTGAACAGTTCCGTTGCCAGTTACATAGCTGACGCCGGCCTTGAAGTTGTCGCCAAAACTATCCAGTCTATGACCCCATTCATTGTCGACGTTGACGGTACCAGAAAATAGCAGGACTATGAATTGGTCAGCCGCATATGTATCTAGATTACCAAGATTACCTAGATAGGTTGAAATAGAGAGTGCAGGGGTGTTGGAATGTGAAGATTAAGACTAGTGCATACCTATGAGAAATAAAGGCAAGCCCAGCAAGATGAGCGAGCGCCTCCGTGCCAAGACCATCGAAACGTACGGGCTCGAAGTCAGTTGGCGAGAAAACTTGTCCATAGTAAGTTTCGTGGTGACTTCAATGCGTGAGTGTTGCGCAGCGCGCGATAGATCAATCGTCTAAAATTAATCCAATCGCCCAAATCTACCCCACAATACGACTAGCACCGTTGTATTGTACGCGTAAGCTTCCGTCTCGAATGTCTAAGAAAAAAAGGGAGGAATAAAAATAGTAAGAGAAAGCGAGAAAGATGATTATGGCCCAAATGAAGGAATGAATATGAGTAGGAATGAGCGAGGGAAATAAAAAACTCGAACTATCGCGATATCACACGAGCACAGCAAAATCCCATCGTTCATCCGGTATTAAAAATATGATGACGGAGATACGCTCAGACAGGTTTTAGGAGCGGACGCGGACAGCAGGGACAGGAGGGAGGAAACGTCAAACATTTGAATTGGAAGAAGGCCCCTATTTTTATCTTAACGATGCAACATGATGCCGTTTCTTCCGTCCGTTTGCCAAGAAAGAATGCCAAGATCAATCGTGTCCCAATACTAAGATCGACATTTTTCGACTGCCAAGACGGCGAGATGTTGGATGGCGATAGGTGAATATGTTTCTTTGATGGACAAAATTTTGTTCTGTTCTGCCCAGTTGACCTAGCAGACCTAATAAACCTAGCAGAGTCTTTGCATGCGATGTATCAGATAGGTAGGTGGTAGGTAAAAGCTAGTGATCTTCATCAAGAAACATGCCAGGGGCTTGATGGTGGGTTTTAAGTAATGGATTAGGGTAGACCCGTAGGCCAGTAGTAGGCTCTAATACAGCGTAGACAAATAAATTAGTAGTGCCCTCCTACCATGTCTGGTTTAGATGCAGTCAAGCCTTCCCATGATCTGGGTAATTTTACAGCCAACTTTAATTTACATTTCCCGATCTATGATGTAGGTATGTATGTACATATATTGTAGCTTTTTCTTTTTGGAAACCTCGATTTGGTGTTGCTTTAGAACTACCTAGGTACGCAGCTACGGCAATCTGCATAAGCGGTTCTGGGTACTTAAAAATACCAGACTTTTCTCCGCATGCAAACGAAATAGTAAGTATATTCCGCATACCTCACATAGTACACCAGTACATACCTACTTCCTTTATCAAACGGACATACTTGTGAGATACTTCCCTCCGCCTCCGCCATCAACCAATTCAATCGGCCGGTGTATGATTAGCCACCCGTCAACCCCCACTTCGCTTAATCCACACCGCGCCAGTCGCCTTGTCAGCTGAACCAACTAGAACGATGGCGTGTGTACCTAAGTATCTAGTCTATCATGCAGTGGCAATAGGGGTTCTATGCATTATCACTCCAGCATTTCATTGGTCGCTCGTCCGATCAAATGTATTCCACGAGTCCGAGTCGACGGGTATAATCCTAACTTCCTTTCAACACGATGGCTGGCAAGGGGGAGAATGGCTTATGCCCAATAACACGAAATAATCTTACTTATACCACCATCTTTTAATCCAAGGACCTCCGTATACATGTGATATGCAATCCTTAACACGATATCATGTTATATGGCGAATACTAAATATTCCATCCAACCCCGGTATTATCCACCGTCCGCATTCTTAGTCTCTACATGTTGATAACATTTATATTTTGCCATCATTTTACTCCTGGCGCAGCATGGCGTATGAGTTCCGTTGGTGATTTGATATACTTATACCCGAGATAATTGAACAGACGATTAATAATTAATCAGCAAATCACAAGATGATAATATCAAGCGCGTGCCATGGTAAGCTCGTTCTAATAGCCTAATCTCTCTCATGATGTCCAACACTCAACCACCAGAGCAAAAATGGGCACATTAGGAGAAGATTATAAATATCACGGTCCAGGCCTTATGTAGATGTGACGACAAGCAGCGGGGTTCTGTCAGCTAAATTACCTAGGGTCGAGTTGTATCAGATAGTCGGTACAATTATATTGATATACCTACTGGTTAGGTAAGTGTTTCGCTCGCTGCCTACATTGTCCTACGGCCGAAAACAAAAGGGGGTAAAGCAAGCGGGCAGCAAGCATTAATAGAGAATCAGATAAGATTAATAGTCAAAAAAAAAACATTCTTTCAACTCGAAATTGGAAAGGTAAGAAACCATTTGATCAGATCGCAGAAATGGCATGCGCATCATTTGCCAGATACCACTTGGCATTTCATATGCTTCAGATTAGTCGAGCATATAATCATCATTTCAAATGGCACGCCTGAGAGTTGAACCCAAACCTATAGATATTTCCAGAGGTTTGGGTTATAACCACTAGGCCGTTCTCCAATTCTTGGAACAGATTCATGTTAAAATTATTAATATGCTTTCTATCATAACAGATTCAATTCAGCCGTCGATCGACTCAATCTATCTGACCCGAGCAGTGACGGATTCTCGTCGAAGTATAGAAGCCCTTGGAACAGCGTGTGCTAGCACCGCTAAGGCTTGAGACTGACGACGAGCCCGAATGAGTGAAAGGACTACTGCAAGTCGAAAACTACTAGGTACGTATGTCCCAACATACCTAGGTTCATATATGTCCATTTGTCTCTAAAGTTATAATTTTCAGTAATTTTGTAGCACACCGCATTATCATAGCTCAACCCCTATCCTTTGTCTTTAAGATCACAAAGGTTTATCAGCATTATAGCTCTAAATTATCTTTAGGGGAATAATTGCAAGGATAACATTGGTAACCATCGTTTTAATGTAAAACCTTACTGCCAACCTGTAGGTATTTCACTCCTAAAAGTTGACTACCTCCCAGGTATCATTGTATGGTAAACCTACCTACATTCACTCGTAGCAAGGGTTCAAGTAAATATATGATTTCAATATCTCAGTTACAGGATTTTTCTACACATACTATAGCCGTTATGTCAAACCTAAGACGATCTTTGTTATCACAATACGGTTTCGGTGGTTCAGCTAGTATATTAAAGGGATGTTTGTCCCAACTCTCGAACAAAACAATTCTAAAAACTGGCTTTCTATCTATTTGTAGCTCCTTTAAACCTACCTACCTATTAATTATAGGATCAAAGGAAGCCCATATCAAAGAAGCCACATACAGATTTAGCCAATGGTCTATTGAGTGAATTCAAAGGGATATAGGCTCGCACATAGACTTCGTAGAATTGAAGGATGAGTATGGATGTCGAGAGATATACTGAGAATCAAGCGACTATCTGAATAACCATTGTAGATATTTTGATACAGCATTTATATTACCCCAATATTCACAACATCGCATAGCCATGGATAGGAGCACTATAGCAGGACTGTTATTGTCGTTAAACCCTACTGATGTCGTGGACGCGCAGACTGCCGCCGTAGCGGATGATGTTGCTACATACTTTCGGCAAGACAAGAAATTATTATATAGAGGAATGGCTGGCATAGGTAGACGTAAGTAGTGCTTCATATGCATCGCCCTTTTTTAGGTATCCACAATGTGCCCCCTTTTAGAGATGATAGCTAATCCTTCTCAAATCATTCCAGATGGCGGTGCCCTAATTTTTGCCCAGATAGACGAGAACAGATGTCCTGTTCGAAGAATTATCGTAAAGTATTCGATCGATGCGACCAACGACGAGGATTTGATAAACGAAGCCTTTTGGTTAGAGAAACTACGAGGCGCGGAACATATCGGGCAAATGATTCCACTGGCTAATGCAAATGTCAATATATCTGGTACCGGGAAGCGTCCTACTCTTGCGCTCGAATATATTGAGAACGGCACAATGTCTACATTCCTCGAGCGATATGGTGCTGAGAATGTATGGATTCCCAACCGGATGCTGTGGAGTATCTTCCTCTGTCGTAAGTTGTTACGAGAATCTATTAGTCCTCTTGTGCCTCTGAGAATTGAGCTAATTCCACCTCAAACCTGATCTAGTGGTACGTCAGGAGATAGCTATGGCATGGCCCCCACGAGGAGCTCCAAACGCACCTCTTCGGAGGGAGATGGTGGACTTTTGGGAGGCACCGACCGCCTTGACGCAGAATTCACCCCATCGGAGGAATTTAGTGATAGGCAACTTCGACGATACCGCTGAACACAGCATTGTTCCTCGCATACACGTAGGTCACTGGCAAAGGCGGCTTCCAATGAATAATGGCTTCGTCACGCAAGAGATACTCTACTAATTTCTACGGCAGTTGATCGATTTTGGACGGGGTAAATTAGAGATTGATTACGAGACAGCCCAGCACTTCAACACGGGATACGTTGGATACGTTAGTGACCCCAAACCGATGAATCAAGTCTCATAGACCTATATTGGCTGACGTATCTATAGATGATGAGTTATATTACTCTTTGTCATATTCCGGACGAAGAAATCGATGATGAAACTCCATGGGAAGTAAGTAACATCGAAAGGCCTTTACCTGTGATAATACACTAGGAATGATAACTTCCCAATCGAAATAATGGAGTCCATGCTCCCGAAATATACTTATTTACATATCTAGTACCTATTCTCAAAGAAGTAATTGCTAATACCTGTTGTTGCAGTGGCATTATTACGACAGTACTGGGGTTGCTAAGCCATTTCTGACCTTTACAGATTCAAGGGTTTTAAATGCCCCTAACATTGATCCTGAGTTAGCAACTCTAATTGCTCGGTGTATGTCGCCTGATGCTCAACCACGAATTGGTGAGCTTCTGGAACTGTGTGAGCAGGGGGCCGCATTATCAGGAGAGCAAATGGCCGTCCGCGCGGATCTGGACCCGGAGTGGAGTCCGAAAGAATTAGATGAAGGCATTCGAGAATTGATTAAACAATATATATTGGACGCACCTAGTGTAGACGGCCGCCTCCCAGCGGATCGACCCTTAGTGGGACTCGATGCTATAAGACCTCCTTTAACTCGGGGCATACGACATCCCCTTGTCCGGCCTAAAGTCGAGAGGGAACCCCAAAACGAGCCCCAGAACGGACCTCAAGATGAACCCCAAGCACCTAGACCAAGCTTATTCCAAGGGTTCCAAGAACAAATCGAAATGATAAGGATGAGGGAAGCTAGGGAGGCTGCGGCAAGAGAAGAACCCCCGAGGTCACTATTCCGCGGGTTTCGAGATTGGTTTTTCAGAAGCAATGAAGGCCCTGTGATTAGGGAAGACTTAGATCCTATACAAGAACCTGATCCGGTGGACGACCACGATCCTATGGATGTTGATTAAGACACACCATGATACGCTGAGGTTTGTTGATTCAAGGATAGGTAATCGTCGGTTGTTTCCTGCAGTACATAATACTACCGAATCAATTTATATAATAAAGCCTTCAAAGTTGCCAAAGAGAATGTAGTAGATTGTTATTTCAAGATAGGTACCTACGTATTACGTCTATTCCGAGATAAAAATGCTTACCTACTAGCTTAAGTACCTACCTACCTACCTACCTATTGATGGAGTTTCTGAAAAAAAAAAAAAAAAAAAAAAAAAAAACTAACCCGAACAATAAGGACAAAATATTCATACCTGTATGATAGTTACATCTATTCTAAAGACCAAGGTACCTATTTTATGACCAAGTATCTACGTTAATAAAATCGATACTGGGCATGATAAACTTTTGAAGTTGAAGATGGGCTCATGGGGTATTTCAACGCGGGAAAGCGACTACAGAAATTCCAACTTCTAAATAATCTCATATAATCCCACCGCACCATTAAATCTCCTTTATCTTTAATAAATTCCTCTCGTCAATCCCAGCACCAATCTCACAGAATCGCCATGATGACGGCACACCAGTCATCACCGAAAAAAATAAGCTTAAACCAACCTCACCAACATCCATACACCATCCACACCTACCTACTCCTAGGTAAGCATCTATCGCAAACCAAGCCACACACGTCCGTGGCTGCCGCGAACCTTATTATAAGCATCGTATAGGTACCGTAAACACGCGCCTCCATCCCCACCTCTACCCAGCCAGCCTCAACGAAAGCGCTCAACAGAAACGGGGGTCGAAAAAAAAAAGTACGAGGTTGAAGCCCCTATTACTCTAGAAAACAACACTTAACTTTGCGTAAACTGCTAGCGAAATCTTATTTACACCGATCATTTGCACAAAATACGGATTGGCAGTTGCCTAGACTTCTTGACTGGTATTGTGCTGTGGTTTTTTTACCGTACCCCTTGTCATCCATATAGCCTATCCGTCGTATTAGAGAGCGATCTCAGTGGCTGGCGCTTACATATGCCCCAAGCTTTGCGAGTTAGGGTTCCATGGGTCTGGATTGAGGAGCGTCGGTGAAGAAAAAAAATCTCATTTTAAAATAATACGAGCCTACAATTCTGAACCATTGTAGCATGAGCGGACAATTACAATCTATTCACAGATAATTACCCTACCACTTGTATAAACAATTAAAAGTATAGTACGCGGTTCATAAATCGTCATCGGCATTGAAGACTACATACAATGCGAATACGAGTTGGATTCGTCCCAGACTCAGACCCGACAAGTCGGCTCATCTGATTCCAATCTCCATCGGACGGCAAGACCCAAGCCCAAGCTTCGACTGCCTCCGTGACCTATTGCAAGAAGATCAACGTCATGTAAAGAAAAGAAGTGACTAAGTACAAGAAGTGAAAGTGAATTGTGTTGTTCCAAAAAGGGGGGGTCAGACTCTGATGACTATCGCCACGAGTTGAAATACTCTTTACTGCACGAAGTAAAGATGATGTCCTACTCAAGGAAAAATGATCAGTCTGACCGAAAAAATTGTAATGGCTCGGAGCCCGCGAACGAAATGAAGAGAATGTTTGAAAATGCAGGACCACCCTTTTCCCGTCCCCAATCACGCCGGATTTCCGTCTGTCATCGACAATCGTACTGCAAATGCTGGTTCTGGCGCATGAGGTACCTAGAGAATGTTGACAAAACACTAGGTCAAATACAAGCGCAACATGTTTTTGGTAAAAAGTTTGTGTACAGATTATACACTACACGAATCGAAGTATTTTGTTGATACGAGGCAATATTTTCGCCAGAATGGCGCAGTTACACGCACGGTCTTGTCCCAAAGAGTCGACTTAAACTGTCTCGATCAGCTTGCCTAGAGGCGAGAGCACGTCGACAGCATAGGATCCACCAACGTTGCCTGGGTTGAATATTAGTATACGAATTTTAAATACGTGCGAGGGTCAATCATACCGGCAGGAGAGTAGTTGCACACGGTGAACCAGGCATCCATCTCATCGTACAAGGTACCCTTCTCGCAGAATTGGGCAGCACAGCCAATCTGGGTAGAGTCCTTCCATAAAAGTTGAGTAAAGTGACCCCAGCCCTCGAAGTCGTCCATGGGGGGGTCGGTGAGGCCGTAGTACTGAGGCAAGAACTTGGCAAACTCTCCGTTGTACCACATGTCAGTAATGGCCATCTTGACGGCACCGACATCACCAAGTTGCTCAGCGTTCACACTCTGCGCCCAGTTGGCCAGGTTCTGGCCGTAATGTCCGCTACCCTGGTTCCTAAACGATTGTCAGTATTTGCTATAGTAACAGAATATTTGGTAACATACATGTCGTGTGCAAATTTGCAAGTAGCAGCGGTGTTGCCAGCGTAACCAGCAAGCTCATCACTCCAACCGACTTCAGGAGAGGAGTGGTTAGAGCGGTGGATGTTGTGGTGCTCAATGGCCACGGAGATGAAATCGGTTCCATAGCTAGCTGATGAAGTTGCAGCTTGCGAAGAAGCAGGCGCCTCGACAACGGGTAGCGAGGTGGTCTGGGGCACAGCCGAAGGTGTCTCAGTAACGACAACCACAGAGGGCTGTATCGAGGTAGGCTGAGGAGCAGGCAACTCAGGAGTCATCGTAGCGACCGGGAAAGAAGGAACAGAGGTTGTTGCCGGCTGCTTTGCGCCACCACCCCAGAATAGGGTGGGCTTGGTGGGCTCGCCTTCCGTTACAGTAACAGTGTCGTAGTCCATGATCCAAGTAGTTTCCATCTTGCGCTTCTCTAAGGGGGTGGCCATGACTAGCGATGCAGCGCCAGCGGCGACGGCAATTGAGTATCTCATTTTGATCGGAGTAATCCTGGTCGAACCTAAGAAGCTGTTAAGTATGAGTATATGAAGCATCACCCAAAGGTAAAGGAGTGTATGTGAACGGAATAGTGAAATGAGTGTAATTGTGATCAACGTCTGGTGACAAGATCAGGCAAGTTTGATGGGCAATAGAAAACCTAAGGAGAGAAGGAAGGATTCGGGGACAATAGACAATCCATGATACCACACATGTAGTTTTAATATCATGTCTCGTTTATCGAACTGGATACCCGCCGGCATGTGTCGAGACTCGAAATCTCGATCCGCTTTATTCAAGCGTAGCGCTTTGTTGGTGGCTGATTATGAACGATTTGTGCCTTGAAGTGGAAACAAAGCTCCGCCATATGTTGAACATCGAAGATCCAGCAGACACACCCCGGACCTCGCTTCTAGAATATGAAAATAGACAATGAAGTGAAAGCCACATACCTTTATGTTTCGGTACTTGGAAATGTCGGGTTGAGTTGATTGAGGTTGAACGAACGATGGACTGTACGGATCCTTCTGGGAACTTATAGTACTCGAACGATGGTATTCCGGAATCGACGATAGCCAAGTTGATGTATGGTTAGACAATAGACAATAAGCACAAGCTTAGTCGACTGACGAGTTCCAAGTTGGACGGGTTCGTATATTGATGCGGTGAGAGGGTGAGGTTGCTTCCGTGAGCTGATTGATCAACAATAAGACGTCTGGCGTCCCAATAAAGAATGACTGTGAAGAAAAATGAGTGAGTGAACCGATTTACTGGATCATAAACCGGCTATTTGGAGATTTTGGGAGACAGCGGTCAGACTTGTCAGGTCGTTGAATCAGGTCGCGACGTCTACAACGAAGCACGAGAGGATTGGCTGGGTTATTTTAAGGAATGAAAAGTGCGCCGAGGCGGACAACAAAGAGTGTAAGTGGTTGGTCGGAATCTGGGTCTCACGAACGTGCTGTTAAATTCGGAGTTCAGGCCAAACCTGTTGAGGGAAAAAGAGAAGAAACGAAAGTAGTGAATGGAGGGGAGAAATATAGGGAGTGAAGTATTGAAAGGAATGAATGGGAGTGGATGGGACTTGGCCTAGAGACGAATTCAATTGGAAGAAATTGCGGCGTATGAGGTCAGTGGAAAGGGTGGAAAGAGCAAGATGAAAGGGTCCGATGTTTGGCAAGGTACCAGGTACCGTTTAATTCGCAAGGTGGGACAAAGAGGGTACGTACCGAAATAAACTTGGTTCACCTGGTGAGCGCAAGGCAGCTTGGGCAAGTGTCAGGTACTCCAAGAATCTAAGTGGCTAGACCGCTGCCACGCTAGGCTGGGTACCTAGGTAGGATCCAAATTGTCGATCCTAGCGTCATTTTAAACTAATGTTTCCTGCACTTTCTTTAAAAAAGGGGGTGTTACTAGCATACTATGTACGTAGTATAATGTCAAGAAAGTCCCAAGTACGACAATTCAATGCACTCCGACGAGTAAAAGTCTGTGACATATACAGTAGTCACCTATCATAGCAGCATCGCATTGCATCTCAGTATATTGGTTGATCAATGATACGTGCGATACCGACAACTTGGTACTACTGCACGTGTGGTATCAATATAGGTACTATGTATAGGAATGTCTGTTGGTAGTACAGGAACAAAACCTTCAACCATAGAACCTTCAACAATTAAATAAGATATTGAACAATTCAGTATAAGATGTTCAACGATTAACTAAGATATTGAACAATCAAGTAAGATATATTATACTCTCCCAGTCACCTAAGTATGAGATATAGTGATGCCTATCCAGTTAATTCGGTGACATGGAACATGGTTTCAACTTTGACCATTTTTGATTCCCAACGTAGTTGAAATATCCATGGATATCTATGTCCTAAAGAATTGCAATATCTTCGAAACAATTTGCCTTTGAAAATCCAATGGTGAATAGGTAAACATGGACCTATGCTGTATGTATGTTGGTTGGTATGTAGGTCCGACATCACGGCTAAGAATGACATACTGATTGCACCTATATGCGGGTACACATCCATGATCAATTGCCTACTACCAGCTAGGTACGCTGTAATATGTACATAATTCAAATCGAGGCTGGACTTACCGAACCAACCGACAAAAAGGATTCTAGTGATGTTACATAGACGCCGAAAGTAAAAAGTCTATCGAAAACCTTGAAGCCGGGGTTCCTGATCAACAGAACCAAATTTTGGATTGTTTAATGGAAGGCGGGCTGGCCGCCTATCAGAGTGAGTTGAGAAAGTGATGTGCAAACGCTACGCTCTTGTTAGTAGGTCGCATATGCGGTTGTGTGGGGTTCCTGACCTAATACGGGATACTGTACCAACACGTCATGTATTACCTTCCTCACCTTAGCTAGATTTTCGATGATCCAATTTCTTATATTTCCTTTTTCTCTTCGTTCATGGCATACTATCCGATGATGTTCACTTCTTAATTTGTTTCTATTTTATCTTTTCGTAGATTTCTGTAACCTAAATATTTTCTTATTTCTTAATCATTCTTTTTACCAACTGCGAAAGTCCTTTGATCAAGGGACCTTATCTCGGCATGGATACCATGAATACCATAAATACCATGTGTTCTCCTGGTTGGTCATTCTTTGGACTTTAAGATCAGACGAAACCCCTTGTGTGTTTCCAACCCCTGTAGTAAATCTGGTGCCTTGCAGATTCTCTTCCCGCCAGCCCGCTGAGAAAGCAAGCGCGGGGCAGAGAAAAAAGGAAAATGACCCAGAAGGGTAACCGGGGAATGATTTGATTGGCTGAAAAAAAGGTTGACCATATTTTCCGCCAACCCCTCCCCCGAATATCTTCACCCCTTGAAGCCCCTGAGCGACTTTAACCACAAATCCTGGGGTCAGCCCGATCTCATTTATCCAGTCAATGCTCTGTTTTCCATCAAAGCGCCTAGAATTCTTAGAGCTGCACATATCATGAACGACCCAGAAAAAAACATCAGATGAACCTGTTTCACTTATGTAATCTCCGCTAGCTAAGCTTGCATAGTTTATCTTAGCACGTTTGTTCATGCGTTTATTGTCTGCGATACGAATCTACTAAATTTCAATCTGAAGTTGAAAATCTGCAGCTCTGTTACCAAGTAATTAATCGTTACGATGTTTGCCGCTTCTGACTCGCATTAGTATCACCTTAATCTCGAGTATCTCGCCCACCAATCCATAAACTAGTGGGGTTTTACGTGATAGACGGGCTGATCAACTAAACAAACATGCAAGTATTATCATTGGTCTTTAGTTTATTACATGTTGATTTTCGGGGAACATGAATCATGAATAAGAACTAGGCGACCGCCTGCGCGTCGCTAGCCGGTGGGTACGGGCGGCTTACTTACACCACTGAATCTATAGGTTTTCAGGTCTACAGGCTGCAGCTGAATAAACGTGAAACGTTTGGGCCACCGCCATAGAGACCAACTGCTTACTTCAGTAGGTACTTGTTGTACATCTAAACGACTCAAGTACCTGGTAAGATGATCTATCATCTATCAACATTGTCCTTCGAGGGACCAGGGACAGCAATATCGAAATTCTTTACCAACGCAGCACGTTGGTCGCCGGCACATGGATTGGTGACCCATCCGGCAGCACCCGCGGTTATTAATGAAAAAAAAAAAGTTACCCGCACCATACCGAGAGCTAGGCCATCTATCAACACGTGAGAAAAATGAAAATATATTAACCCCATTAATTACCAAGGTAGGAATCTTATTTCGAAATTGTTACGTGTAACAAACTTTTGTCTTCTCATGTTCCACGGGATCTGTGATCGTGCGAATATAGACAAAACATGATGTTTGCGTACAGCCTCAAATGGACGATGAAGTTTGTGCTAGGGCCATCTCTGATCCTCATAGTCCGCCACCCTGCGATGGTTGAAGCAGCGCGCCCAAATTACGAGTATCTCTACACCTAACATACTAGGCAAGTAGGTAGGCTATGTCCTAGAATCTCAACATACAGCCTAGCAGAACGGCGTCAGAATAAACGGGCCATGTGCGAACCACCAGAAATGGTACTGTATTACACTGTGCTCTGATTTATCCCCTGGACTATCTAACTAGGCATTTACGGATTTTGCCACAACACTAGATAGTCTAGGGGATAAGTCAACTCACAGTGTATCACAGTAGTATTAATACATGGCTCGCACATGGCTCACTTATTCTGACGCCGTTCTGCCTAGGTACAGTAAGGGTCATGACATACCTTAAGTTGGGAACTACGTGGGCACACACTCTATAGCTCATCTCACCACAGCCCACCGCTTTTAGGATTCATGATTCACTTCACGGCTTGTCCTTGGGGAAATAAGTCATCGTCAGGGGTTGGTCTCTTACGTCTTACACCCCTTTGACCGAAGCAAACCGAGTCAGGGACATTAAGCCCAACAGAAAGGATAGGGAGGTGTGGATATTTGAAGTAATAGGTTCATTCTACCACTATCTAGGTCGGCATTTCTACCAATGTCAGCAAGGCTTCATTACTCGCAGGATGGTTGCAGTGCCATGATTAACAAGCCGTTGGGTGAGTTGGTCATCTTATTGACCTCAAGACCGCTCTCAGAGCTTCACGTGTCCCTTAAATCGATTAAGACCCAACTTCACTATATCGTAAATAACATGCAGCTAATTAGGTACCTATTCAAAGTATTAGGCCGGCACTCGGCCGTTGTTTTCATTCAGCATATGATCAGGTACTGTCGGATATGTACGTATCCGCCGGCATATCTACGACAGGAGTAACCAGCCGGTCTCTGTACCTCCGACTCATATAAGGTAAATTACCAAGAGCCTTTTGTCTGCAGGCATCTAGGCATCTGGGTAACATTTCTATCACCGAAGTATTGAAACTCGGAGATAAGTTCGTTATAGCGACGGAGCATCGTATGGTTGTCGAGCGCTGTTCCTCATCACACGCTAGCTGGATCTAGTCAAGACTTAGGGGAGGAAGCGCTACGTTTCGAAGCCAAACAGCCACTTACATAAGTCGGACCAATCCTCTAAAGTCAGTATAACGCCTCGATGTCTCAGGCCGGCTTGTCCCCAACACTACAGCGGCTGCCACCCCTAAATCCCGATTCTGAGACCGCCCCAAAAAGGGTGGAGGTGAGATGTATCGGGTTTCAACGTGACACTGTCTCGGTGAACACACGCGCCACCTATGTGTTCGCACGAAAGGTGTCCTCACCGCCACCAAGTGGCTTTTTGACGTCAACACTCCATGTTGCCGTGCCTACAGCCCATTCTTAGCTAAGCTCTCAGTATCGCAGGAATCCCACGCAATCCTGAATGGGGCCAGGAAGCTGAACTTTAAGGGGGCTGTAATCCCAGCCTTTCGAAATATGCACATGGTGTCTCTGTGTTCTTCAACTTGGGCGAGACAAGAATAAATTACCTCATACCTAAGGTATAATGAGTAAATATTCATTCATGTGTGAGGTATACCCATATTGTAGCTCGCCTGGTCACCAGCTTGGCGAAATATCATATAGTTGCAATATAAGATCAGCAGATATCTGGATCACCGTGTTCGCCGTCACTCATTAGCTGCCCTTCCGGCATTCTTCCGACGAGTTAGACACATTGAACTGGCTCGTACGACGTAGGTAACCCACACTCGCACACGTTACTACCCGCGAACTAAGAAACACGCCCACGCTTTTGACAATGGTGGAGAGAGTTTTCTTCAACGTTATCCAGTGCTGTAGCGAATAGATTATAGCGATTGCCACCGAAGCCATGGCGCTCTTCGTCCAAGACCATCTCCGTTTGCGGGGAAAGAACCGCATTTGACAGGTTGTGTAACTTGCGAACCATTGATACTATACTCTCGACAGCTCGAGGATCTCTCGATTGTGACAGGTGGAATCGAAAAAAATCCATTAGCCCTAACAAGCCGTGTAAGGGTCGACGAACTCATTACATAGGCGATATAACGTTACCTACTCATGAGGTGACCTACTATTCGAACGGTGACGGGACAAGATAACCCGCGATCCCCATCCCCGTCTCTCAGCCGGGCCACCCAAGCATCTCGCATGTCTAAGTTACGGCGCATTAGGCGCTTCTAGAAGCCGCAGCCGTGCACCCGCCAGCCTCCGTGTCTTCCCAGACCCGGGGCCTTTCGTTACAGAACCAAGACAACATCTCACCCCCAGCTACGCTATCCCATGCCATGACGCGGGGTGTGTTCGTCTTGTGCACTTAGTCACCTCTTAGGCATCCGTACTCATGGTTTTCAAACAACCCGCCGCTGCGCGTATCCAGACTTCCATACCTCGCTGATCGACATTGCCTAGATGGAGAATCTCCTACCTGTGTCGCCTACCCCGCAGACGCCCAAGTCGCGCAGATAAGGATCCGTGTGCCGTTCGAGGGGACGCCATTGTGGCTTCTGCTGCTGCTTCTCGGCCGCATACGTCCGCAGTTGCGCCGCGCCTCTCCTCCCCCTCCCCCTCCCGCCCCCCAAAATCCAGCTTTCCTCCTGCCGTCCCGTCGCAGATCTGCGCAGTTACTCCAGATCAGACGACCGTGTGCGCGGGCGGATAAGCAGGACGAAGCTCATGCGCGCGAGCCGTTGCGGAAGACTACTTCCCACTAATGGGGGCAGAGAAAAAAACACGGATGTTGTGTGTGCGCCTCCCGTCTGCACGGTCGGGGGTTTTCTAAGCGAGGCTTGCTGGATGTGGCTTTTTATTACGCGTGCTTGGGGGTAAGTCCGTTACCTTGATCGATGTCCGGCCCTTTTCAACACATATTTGGGGCTGGGAGAGGCTTGCGTGCGTAGGCATGGGGATAATGTGAATCGACCACGCGCTGTTAGTTGGACTAGATAGACTTATTGAGACTTGAGTGATGATGAACGTGGAATCCACGCAAGCTTGTCTGAGATGGTATGAAGACGTATGGTAACGGCCCTGTAGGTCTGTCGAGGCATGTTCAAGGGGGTGACGTAGTGGAAGCAACGTTTTTTCTTTTCGCCGTTCATGTAACTGGTCACAACAGTACATGTTGTAAGCCCTATGACCCCATAGATCGGCGTTCTAACTCGATTATGTTGCCACCGCGTTGGCGTATACGATGGTATCTAAATTCCAAGAGGATATAGGCCTAGGACAGACTAATAGCTTTCTTTTCTCGGTTGCCTGCCTGATGTTTCGTGATATGGACGCCTGCGCATCGGCGCCGCCACAGGGCAAGTAACGGATATCTAGGATATCACTTACCTCATTTGAGGAACGTCGACCTGTCTGTGGTCTGCTCATTAGTGACCCTTGAATTTTTCTGCATTGGTTCACCGGAGAAAATGAAAACCACCTAGAAAGAGGCGAGTAATAGGGGGTATGAGGGACTAAAACACCAAAAAGCTCAGTCTCGTGGATCCAGAATGCAGGACCTACGAAAAGACTAGGTAGTCTTCTGTTAGAAGCCTAAGGTCAAGTCATGGTATAATTGTTAGCAGTAGGTATGAGTCTAAGATGGGCTGTTTTATTTCAAGACTCCTTTCACCTTTGTGTAAGTAATTTCAATGATGATGATGCCCCCTTAATTTCTAGTTCCCTAGTAGTTGTATTACTAGGTAGGTACGTTTCTGTGCTGACCTGTCTGATAGATCAAGCTCGTTTCTGTAGGTATTTTTCATGATTTCGACACAGTAAAGCAAGAGAACGAGTATTGGTGACTCTGCGTCCCATATTGAAATGCTTGATCAACGGAATCGCATATTGAATATAGTAACCATGGACACATCGGTACCAATGGTAACTGAATCAAGGCCCTTTAGTAAACGTTGTGTTAACCTGGCCTCATTTCTTGCTTATTTACACGAGTAATGTTAACGCCTCTAATTCCCAGCCAAACCAAAGCTTTCTTATGCTGCTGGCGCATCGGCCTGAGCGGCTTGTGCTGAAGGCGATTCGATGGCCTTTCCGAACGGCTTTTGGCCGCGGTCTCTTAGAATAGGGTAGTGGGCGTAGATCTGGGTTGTCCGGAGATGGACCGGGATCTCGTTCTTCGGGGCACCGGGGATGGTCTTTTCCAGTTTCTATCCGTTCATATTAGCTATACAGATCTTCCAAAGTTTGGAGAACCAGGAACGTACTAAGTTGGTATATACGCAGCTGTTGAGCTTCCACTCTTGCTTCCGGCACTGCCATAGCTGGTGGTTGTTGTCATCCAGACACTGCCAATGCTTGCGGAACTCCTCCAGACAGTGGGTGTTGATGTCGCCAATCACACTGGAGGCGCATCTTGTTACTCTTCGGCCTTCCTTCAAACATTCCAACTCTCCCCTGCCGGGGTTCTCATTCTTGCATTGCATGAAGTCATCGTTGTAGGGTTGACATCGGGCACCGATGAAGAACGCAGCTGAGAGAAGAGGCGCAGATGTGGCACCAACCTCCTTGACCTTTGGAATGTTGTCCGGTAGGGGGGTGGTATCGTAGAGAGCCGTCTGGTTGAAGCTATAGAAGCAAGTTAACAATGACACTCGCAAGTCTCAGAATTAACTCAAGAGAAAGGTTTCGTTATGGATCAATTGACGTTCTGCTAATTGTATAGATCATTTAAGTAACATACACTGGTTGCCTAGCCGCCATGGCTGCGATATTGGACGAGGTTCTCTGCGATTTGTCGTGTGTAGTCTGAGCAAGCTCGGAGGGTTGGAAATGGTGCAGTTCAAGGACGAGAAAGTGACATCAAAGGTTGGTGGTTAGCAAATTGGAAATGCTGATTGGCTTTAGCCACATGGGGCTGAAATAGAGTATCCGCGTCCCGCACAGTTTATATACTTAGGTACATCGGTACTTCAATATGCTGCGATTGCCAATACAACCTTAGGTACCTATGTAGATAAAGTAGATAAGCTGATAAGGACCGCAGCTTTCAGCCACGGTTCTTCTGAGGCTGAAGCTAATTGGGATCAGAAGCTGGGATTTGTTTTCTTGATGGAATTTCTATGTGCTAGGGCAACGCGAGTAAATATCGCGACGTCACAAAAATTATCAATTGCAGCACTCAGATCTCATAAAGAAAGCTTTTGCTCTACCGGGTTGGTTTCATGGACAATTATTAATTTGTCCCACACCACACACATGAAATAAATCATTTAAACACCACCATGAGCTAAAACCCGAAACATTCTTTCACTCCACCATCACCATCGTCCGGACGCGGCCTTCTATCTACGCGATCCTTTTTATCGCAAGGCTATATCGCCTATTCCTCTCTTTCAATTCAATTTTTATCGATTCCATATACCGAGCTTGGTTTCTGCAATAAGCCATGTCTCTCTTTGGGCAGCGCCCTTCGGGCTTTGGCACTCCTGCGAATACCCTTGGTCAAAACCAGGCCCCTACCACATCTTCCCTCTTCAGTCAGCCCCAAATGCAGCAGCAGCAGCAACAACAACCTCAGAACCAACAGCAATCCAATCCGTTCGGTGGAAGTTTATTAGGTGGAAATACGTTTGGCCAACAACAACAGCAGCCTCAGCAACAGCAGCAACAGCCGTCTAATGCCTTCGGTGGAAGCTTGCTAGGCCAGACGCAAATCCAGCAACAACCACAGCAGCAGCCTGGAGGTCCTGGCTTCATGAATGCGAGTCAAGGACCGGCGCAGCGTTCCAGCTTGATTTGGGAACCAGGTCGCGAGTCGCTGAGTAAGTTAACCATTTTACTGCTGCAATTCCCATGTAGGCAATAAGCTAACTACGATAATCGTAGCCCACAAGCCCGTCACCGAGCAAATCGAAGGAATGCTTTCGAAATGGTCTCCTAACAATCCTAACACCGTTTTCAAATACTACTTCTACAACAAGGTCGACCAGGCGCGCGTTCCCTTCTACCAACCCTCATCCGCAGAAGATCCTCGAGAATGGGAGCAAGCCGTCCACGACAAACCGGGTCCTGGCTACATGCCTGCTTTCGCCACTGGCTTTAAGGCAGTCAGTGAGCGCCTTATCATGCAGAAGCAAGTGTTAGGAAACTATAGACAGGCTCTACACTCCATCAACTCTAGTCTAGACGCAATTCTCTCGCAACATGACCTCCAAACAAGCGTGCGAACCCTTAACGCCCGACGAAAGCATGCGATGCTACGGCAAAGATGTCTCGCGCTGGCAACCAAGGTGCAGGTCCTGCGCAACCGTGGATATTCTTTAGACAAGGAAGAAGACGAACTAAAGACGAAGTTAGAGACTCTTGACCGAGGCGTAACAGACCCGGCCCTAAGCGCACGAACAGAGGAACTCTGGAGCCGCCTAATAATGCTGCGGGGATATGCTGATAGCCTTCAACAAGAGGTTACCCAACGTGGCGCGGAAACGCAGGAAGGTATTGGAGAGGAGAACGAGGCACAAGCTAGAGAGGTAAGTTTGGTCCCCTCATACACTCAGGATCATATATATGACGCTAACTGAATTCTTTCTTCTTTAAATAGATCCTAGAGAAGTTTGACAAGCAATTGCAGTCACTCAAGACCGCACTAGAACAAGTCAAAAAGGATTACGACGAGTGGACCGAGGCAAATCCGTCTCCGAAGAAGTAGTACAATCGGAAGAGGCGACATGAAAGGAAGGGCCTTGATTCCAATATCGTATGAAAGAAATGATCCATTAATGCGAGTGGACGTTCGGCTACAGGAACCTTGGAAGTTTGGGTGATCTGTACCAATAGGAATTGGCCGTAGGAAACCGCATCAAAGCCCGGCGTTAGGGGACGTCTACTTTCGATATAAAAGGATGGCATACTGGGGCTTTCTCCCAAACACACTCTGGTCTTGTGACTGTGACTAGGGACTTGTGCACTTCTCAACTTTCAACTTGTCTTGCTCGAGCGAGTCCAGTTTCTTCATGAGAAGTTGAGATCCATATCGGCTCCTTGAATTACGTAGGGCACCTAGGCATGCGGTGATTACCTAGGTACCAACCTTCCCTCGCCCGTCTATGTAATGTGTTATACAGCCATAATACCGTAATGCGGCATGTCTCATGCGCCAACCTTAAATGCTATAACCGAACACCTTTTGATACCCAGTAGGTAACACGTTGGTTGTTTTCATGAAAAGGGGCATTCGTATGTATCGTAACGAGTATGTCCACCACTTGCCCCCATAATCTATCGTGGTTGAGGGGTCATCGCCATTTCAGTATTGTACAAGGGTCGTGCGCCCGCGGATTTAGAATACGCTCGATACGGCATCGACGGCGAAAGGGACTAATAAAACACATTGTTAGTAGCCTGTTTATACTAGAGATATTGAGATATTATATGAGATTTAGTATAGGAATAACATACCGAAGTAGAGTATGACGGCTGCGGCTAGGAAGCTCTGGACTGTGCCAGTGGCTTCAGCCTCATGCTGCTCGATCTCCTCTTGGGTGAACTGGGGCGGTGCGACTATATTTTCTTTTTGTTAGACGTCATAGATAAGGACAATTTCTGTCAGATGCCGCAATCACTCACATCCTCCAAACATTTTGTATTATGTTTTGTGTATGGTTCTTATCGTTATACGAATGATGTGGTAATGGTTGTTTGGTTGAATTCGATGTTGGATATTTCCGGTATTTTTTTCATGTCACTAAATTTTTTTAATTGGTGATGACGGAGAAGCAGCTGAAAGAAGCTCGGGCACATGCACGTCCACTCGGCTCCCCATTTTAAGCCGCTTAATAAATGTTAGTATTAGGTACAAAATAGCCTGTGCGGTGCGGAGTGACGCTAACACAAAGCAGGAACAGCGTCAAAGGTTGTGTTACCTGCTTGTATTACCTGTGTTGCCTGTATTACCTAAACATGCAGCAGGCATCGTGCCATTTCCAGACCCAAACAAGCACTTGGCTAGCACTTGCAGAAAATCTATTATCCATCCATCCATCCAAACACACCGCTTCGGTGGGTCCCGCCACTACTTTGGTACAGATTCCTCTTGACTGCCGTCGAGTCGAAAGATTAGAAAAGTCCGAAGCGAACGCTATCGGCGCTGGTTCTTTCCCGGAAAGACCCGGCGACTTTCAAGGTTTCGTTATCTTCGCATGTTTGTACTAATCGATACTAATTAATACTAATTGATACTAAATTCCTAGCCCGATGACGGCCTTTCCGATCTAGCGTCGAATCAAATAAATAACATAATGTAAATGTGAAGATGCCTCAAACAATCTTGCCTCCCATTTTCATTCACATCTTTTCCTGGAAGTAGTTTGCGAGCGAATCTGGAGAATCTGGAGAACCTGGTCTCTTATTGAATCTCTTATTGTTCTCCAATACCTTACCCAATTGGTTTATTCTGAATTCTAGGTTACATAAGAGTTACCCAAACAGCATGACCGCATGAGTTTAACTGACAGTTACTACCTTTAAGCTCCTTGAATTTGGGTTTCTACCGTGGTTGTGAATTGGGAGGCGAGGTTTCCATATTCACGATGGCTTCCTTCGCAAGGACCGTGCCTCGGCGTATAGGCCAATCAGCAGCTCGTATACGAGCTTCATCCGCCTTGAGTTCTCGCCTACAACCATTGGCTCCGTGGGTATGCAATCACTGTACGTATAAGGCAGTAACTGCAGTTACACAGCAGAGGTCGTTCGCGACCGTAAAAAAAACAGGGGTAGAAAAATACGAACAATTGGACACTTTCCCCCGTCGTCACATTGGCCCCGATGAAGTCGATACGGTCGAAATGCTTAAGGCTCTATCTCCTCCCGTTGCGAGTTTAGACGAATTCGTTGGACAAGTTATTCCGCCTAATATATTGTCTAAGAAGGCACTCAGCTTCCCCCCTGAAAGCGAATCGGCTCTAAAGGCGAAGGTCAACGAGTACCTGGGCGATACCGTCGTGATGAAAAGCTTTCTCGGCCAAGGATACTATGGAACTCACACTCCGGCCGTCATCCAACGGAATGTTCTTGAGAATCCGGCCTGGTACACGAGCTACACCCCCTATCAGCCAGAAATCAGCCAGGGTCGCTTGGAGTCCTTACTCAATTTCCAGACTATGGTCACAGATCTCACGGCGCTTCCTATTGCTAATGCCAGTCTCCTGGACGAGGGTACAGCAGCCGCAGAAGCTATGACTCTTTCTATGAACGCACTATCAACCTCAAGAGCCAAGAGAGAAGGAAAGACATTTGTTGTCTCTACATCTCTCCACCCGCAGACTATCTCAGTCTTGCGCGGACGTGCTGATGGTTTTGGTATCAGAATTCTAGAACTTGATCTGTCAGAAGATGGCTCCCATGCCGAGATCGAGAAGCTTGGCGAAGACTTAGTTGGTGTTATGGTACAATATCCCGACACCTATGGTCACGTCAACAATTTCGAACCCCTGGCCGACTTAGCGCATAAACAGGGTGCACTTCTCAGTGTTGCTACTGACCTCTTAGCTCTGACTATGCTCAAGCCTCCCGGAGAGTGGGGAGCAGACATTGCATTTGGAAGCGCTCAAAGATTTGGCATACCGATGGGATTCGGAGGTCCACATGCCGCTTTCTTCGCCGTCCAGGAGAAGCACAAGAGGAAGATGCCGGGTCGACTGGTTGGGCTTTCTAAGGATCGATTAGGTGGTAAGGCATACCGACTAGCTCTACAAACCCGAGAACAGCACATTCGAAGAGAGAAAGCGACTAGCAATGTGTGTACATCTCAGGCATTACTGGCCAATATGAACGCTCTCTACGCAATTTATCATGGTCCTGAAGGGCTCAAAGCAATCGCTGAACGAGTCATCCGTGGAGCAAGGACTATTCAAGCTATTGCTGAAAAACATGGATTTGCTACTCAAAAGAGCAATTGGTCTAGTAATGGTAGCGTTCTATTCGATACAGTCATCGTTGATATTGGATCCAACGAAAAACGAAGCCGTTTGGCTAAATTAGCCAATGAACACGGAATATACGTCCGCCAAATTGGTGAACAGCAAATTGGTATCTCAAACGACGAGACAACATCTCTAGATGACTTGGTTAAGATATCGCAGGTATTTGAGGGCATTACCCGCAATGGCGACTTGGATTCCTATCATATCACAGAGGAGAACGTGCAACAGATACTCAGTCAGAATACCGGTTCATTGGATATCCCCGAAGCCTTTCGACGAACGTCTAGCTTCCTAACACATCCTGTCTTCAATACACACCATTCCGAAACAGAACTTCTTCGATACATTTACCACTTGCAGTCCAAGGATTTATCCCTTGTTCACTCCATGATTCCTCTTGGCTCATGTACCATGAAACTCAATGGAACTACGGAAATGTCGCTCATCACTCTGCCTGAAATCTCTCAGATACACCCTTATACCCCGCAGATGTTCGTTTCACACTATGAGAAAATATTAGGGTTATTCATGGAACAGTTGCAAAAGATAACGGGAATGGACAAGGTCTCTCTTCAACCTAACTCTGGAGCCCAAGGTGAATTTGCTGGTCTCCGAGCCATCAGGGAGTACCATAAAGCAAATGGGAATGGTGGAAAGAAACGGGATATATGTCTTATCCCCGTCTCTGCCCATGGTACAAACCCCGCATCTGCCGCTATGGCCGGTATGCGAGTAGTACCGATTAAGTGTGATACAGCTACGGGTAACCTCGACTTGGCAGATCTGGAGGCAAAATGTAAGAAGCATCAAGACGAACTCGGAGCTATTATGGTCACCTACCCTAGCACATTTGGCGTATTTGAGCCCGAGATTAAGAAGGTGTGCGAACTCGTTCATGAGCATGGCGGATTGGTCTACATGGACGGCGCAAACATGAATGCGCAGATCGGACTTTGTTCCCCTGGAGAGATCGGCGCTGATGTATGTCATCTAAATCTCCACAAGACTTTCTGCATCCCACACGGTGGAGGCGGACCCGGTGTCGGACCCATTTGTGTAAAGGAGCGTCTCCAGCCTTTCCTACCCCGTGATCCGAACCCTACGGGCAGCACGGCAACGACCGGTGGTTATGCAGTGAGCAGTGCAAACAATGGCAGCGCCAGTATCAACCTCATCAGTTGGGCGTATAACACCCTTATGGGTAAGTTTTCCTATTAACCATTCTTTTTTTTTTCATTTAATTAACCTCGTTTATAGGATCCGAGGGTCTCACTCGTGCTACCAAGATCACGCTTCTCAATGCTAACTACATCCTCTCACGCCTGAAGCCTCACTACGAGATTCTGTATGTAAATGAGCACGGGCGTTGCGCCCACGAATTTATCCTTGACGCTCGTCCTTTCCACAAGACCGCCAGCGTAGAGGCTATCGACATTGCCAAGCGTCTGCAGGACTACGGATTCCACGCGCCAACAATGAGCTGGCCTGTCGCCAACACATTGATGATTGAGCCTACTGAGAGCGAGAGCAAGGAAGAACTCGACCGTTTCATCGATGCCTTAATTAGCATCCGTGGAGAGATTCGCGAGATCGAAGAAGGCAAAGTTCCACGTGAGGGTAACGTCCTCAAGATGTCACCGCACACGATGCAAGACCTAATCGCAGGCGATGGTGAGGGAGGCGGAAAGTGGGATAGGGTCTACTCGCGCGAGAAGGCCGCATATCCATTACCGTGGCTCAAGGAGAAGAAATTCTGGCCCACAGTCACAAGGATTGATGACAGTAAGTCCAGCATATGCCAGGTTTTTATTATAAACGAACATGCTAACCAATGTGTCAAGCCTACGGTGATCTCAACCTCTTCTGCACGTGCCCGCCGGTCGAGGACACCACCAGCTCTTAAAATAGCATTTTCATATACCTAACCCCCTTGCATCTTTCCGGCGTAGCGCATAAGGTTATCCATTTTCAACATGATGGAAGATAAAGGCGTACGGGATTTACGATTTACAGGGGTCTTTTCAACACATAGATCAAAGCAGCATAGAGTTTCACCAACTCTTGGTAGAGAGCAAAGGCGTTTTTTGTTATACGGGGTGTGTGGTTCAACAATCGGCAGTTACCTACTGTGTAGGCATTATGTATATGGTCACATCGAAAACGCGCATTTCGGCGGTATATGTTATTATTCAACTACATAAATTTGGGTTCTGCCTCCGGCTCCATTAACTGGGCCATGGGATGGATAGATGGGTTCGAGATGCCGGAGTATGGACGCCGGCTGGCGATTTGGAATGATTGAATGAATGTGTGGATGACATCGAGAGAAAAGAAAGAAAGAAAGCGTTTGATTGGTCTTGCTCTAGATGGGGATGAGTAGAGGAGACAGAAGACTAAAGGGCTAAAGGAATAAAGAAGAGACAAGAGACGATACATTTCCCGTAGACTTCTGCAATAAAGCGGTGCAGAACGGCCGCATAGAGTTTCCCTGGTACCTACCTACCTTTCATTCTTCATCACTTTGTTCGTTGACGCCATAGACATTGCTACCTATACTCGGCATCGAACGAACTCCTCGGCAATTCCGTAGTGGGGTTCTTTTTACTCGGGTTCGCTTCCCGCTCGTAGCCGGGATCGGGAGGGTTATTCCTCGAGTCATTGGCCAATCAATTGTTGTGTCCGAATGACTGCAAGGTACGGGTCCCGCTAATCGAGGTGCGGTTTAGATCCCTTAACCCTAGATGTGCTGGATTGTGGAGGGTTTGGGAACCGCGCCAATGGTTGGGGAGATTGTTACGTTTGGGGTGAGGGGATCGGCTTGTTGATGGGAGGTCTTTCGCGCCGATAATGGCTTTGTTGTAGTTGTGAAAATATGGAATTGTCATATATTTCCAAGGCATGTTGATTTTTTTTTTCATTTTATTGGTAATTTGTTCGGTTGGGTATGTGATGGTTCTGTTCGGAATAGTGGATCTAGTTCGGCCGGCTATGGTGGGAGGTTAGCGAGAAGGAGTAGGTATAAACCGAGACCGTACTGAGTACACTCCAATTAGGTCCTGGGAATATACTCAAAGGAATGTGTGTTTAATACGTCTTTCTTCAAGCAATTGACCAAGATCTAACCAGGTATATAGTGTACCTATATATCCCTAATTTCTAACCAGACTGTCGTCTTTGAAATTTTAGTATACAGGTTAGGTAGTATATAAACTCACTCATATCCGCCGCTCAAACCGATTCCCAGTCGCGACGAGATTATTCCAATATCGGCCGTAAGAGGAGCTTCATCACCGTATCGCCGTTAGAAATGTAGATGCAGCCCTCCTCATCCGTGTTACTCTCCACCCAGTGGTCAGGCAACTCTGCGCCGGCAATTGGAACCACACCCCTATCCCGTAACTTCTCCACATCTTCGGACCTTAGCCGTTCAAGTGAATATGACAACTTTTTGTGAAGATTGTTTGATGCCTCCGGAGTTTGGCTTTTAGCATATTCGACCTGTATGTTTAATAAAGGCCCTGCGTTGTATAGCGGAGTGGAGTTTCCCATCCAGATCTTCTTAGATCTCACCTTACCAAACTCGAGCGTTATGCTTCCCTCGGAGGAGCTCGAACTACACCCGCTACTCCAGCGTTCCGGAAACCCGTAGCTATCATGAGTTCTATAGGGGCCTCCCCCATGATCAATAGGTATTACCGGTGTCATGACCTCCACTTCCCTAACATTCTGTACTTGACCTACCACCTCTCTTACCTCTTTCGTTTCTTCTAAAAATTGGGACTCCTGTAATCCCTCTAGTTTCATTCTTTCTGGACTCGTTATTTCCCCCACGCTGTCCCCCGTTTGTTCTTCGTCTTCTACATCCTCTACTCTCTCTACCCCTTCTATTTCCACCACTTCCGTTATCCCTTCTGTCTCTTCCACTTCCTCTACTTCCGCGACAGCTTCTACGCCTCCCGGAAATACCAGTTCACATGCATCAAGCTCCTCAGGCCGAAGCACCACCTCTTCCACCACCTGCTGCACAGCCTTCCCCTTCTCATCCCCTAGGGGTAGATGTACACTCGAAAGCGTCGAGTCCGACAAGTACAACGTAAGCAGGGTGCTCTCGTTTGGGTACGGATGAAGTGTTTTCTTCTTCCCCGAAAATAGCGTCTTCAAACTCTTCTTGAAAGTGTTCTGCAACCGCAAGTTATACCTATCAGCTAGATCGTCGTTTTCAAAAACTGGTAGACGCCACCCGGGATACAACCTGCCGTGGGATTTCGGCGTGTGGATCTTCTCGTAGAGTAGAATGAACTCGTTACAGAGCCAGCACGCGTCTTTGCTTGAGCATACGACGCGCGGCAGCCGGTTGTGAGGTATGTTTAGCTCGCAGTGGTACAGCAGTTGGATCTCGGCGTGGATTTTGGCCTCGCGCAGGGTCCGGTATGTTTGTGTTGTGAATTTATCTCTCGCCTTCTCCCGTGTCAAGCGGCGGCTCTCAGCCTTTTCGTCGGCATTCAGCAAGAGACAGATACGTTTTAGGCCCTTCTCGTTGCTCTGAAGCCCCTCGACGAGCGAGATTGTGGTGTCAAGATTGGGAAAGTATTGGCTGTTTGTAGGCCGAGCAAATGCAGCTTTGGGCCACTGGACGATGACAGCACGCATTTTGCGGGTTAGAGGAATCGTCTTCCCTATACGGTATAGAAATCTGGCTGCGTCGCGATATCTGGCGACTTTGCTAATCATATTTATGAGAGAATCTCTCAGGTTAGGTTGCATGACATTGTCGGGTATTTCTTCGATCAGTGTCTCTAAGTGGCCTACTTGCCGAAGGCATCGAATACCTTCCACGAGACCTTCTAATTCGGCATCTGTTTGATGCTTAACCCAAGAATCGACTAATTTTAGAACTTCTCTCGCTCTCTTGATGAATGAGTTTCGTGTAATTAAACCCTCTTGATTTCTTATCTTCCATGGCTCTGCATGCTTGAGGTAGTAAAAGGCTGTTTGAAGAGTCGTTTTAATTGATTGCCTCTGGCCAGCGAAACGTAAACGATGAATGATACGCCCTCGGCACATATATATGATGGCTTTGAACACATCATCCTCTAGGTAGGATAAGCCAGCCGGCCCGTCGTTCTTAGCAGAAGTATGTAGGGCATTCGTTGGCCTGGGTCTTGCGCCATAGTCCCGATCTAAAAGAGAGAAGATCCCATCAAATGATTTCTTCAACCTTTCAAGAATTTGCCGTCCATCATCAAATTCGAGCTTGTTTACGGCAAGTAATACGTTTATATATGCCGCATTAGGACCTTCCTCAATACAGACAGCTGGGATATGATTGCTGCCATCCCCTAGAGATGCAAGGAAAGCGAGCGTACCAGCAAGATCGCGCTCTTTTTCAAAAGGTAATGTATAACCAGCTAATCGATTCTGAACTGCTGTCACTGGATTAGAAGATGGTTTACTAGGAACATCGTGAAGAAGATGCAGGGCCGCAGTCTTTTCGGCGCATCGTATAGCAGCGTTATGGGATATAGTTTCTGCCATGCCAAGCTCGGGATTCCCATAGAGTTAAAGCTGTCAAGCCGTGAGCATCAATCTTCGGTCATATTTTCTGGGTGCCAGCCTTTTATCGCCATTTATTGATGATGAAAGAAGTCATTTTGTCATTTTTCATATCTAATATCAGTCATATTTGATGACCGGTCACCTGCATATTGGTAACATCTCCCCTCCTGCGGAATGCTGAACGGAGGCGTCATGATTGGCCGCCGTATAGGTAGCCGTCAAGATGCCGTCAAAATGCATATGTTTGCATTGAAACATCTTCTCGACATAAGAAAGTGCGGTTTGAGTCATGAATGATCCTTGATACCTGTTGGCATCATATGTAAATTGCTCGTGGAGCAATGGGCGCGACCAAGAATAGTCGACGCTATGGACCGTGGACTTCACTAAAATTCGGAAAACTGGTGGGAATTCCCGGGACCGAGTTGGATTGTTTTAACCATTTCATTCCTTGACTGCTTGACTCCTTTTTCCCACATCGGGGCGTGTTCCCCGGAGTGAGAACTCTAAGCCGGATCGTTTCGTGGTGTCGCGAATTATCTAGCACTCAGTTGTCTAAGACACTAAGGTCTCTAGATTAATCCATTAGAAGCGTTGTGCGACGACCTAGATCGAAATTGAACTATTCCTGTGATGGTTGTCGTCAAGCGCTCTTTCTAACAATAGAAACCCTCAGAAGCTTATTCTAATTTGTGCGAGCGCAGTTTGAGGGCAATCGTAAGTCACTACTAAAAATGAAGTCTCCTGAACTAGGATCGCATTTCCCATAGCATCTAGCCAGGGCAGCCAGTGCTGAGTACCTGCTTTTGTAAGCCATTTCTTGTATGATAGCGCGAGGGCAAACCGAGTATCAAATACACAAGCAATAAAAGAGATTCGAGGACGTTGAAAGAAGCAGACAACTAGGTTCACTAGAACAGTCTACGTTCCGATGATCACAGTGATCTTCGATGAGCCGCGCTAGTTTGACGACTGATCAACAATTCGACAATCCAAGGCTGTTGGCGTCCGGCGTCTGGCGATCGTAGATCACATCTACTACTTCGGCGCCTTATACCCCTCGTCAATGCGTAGAGTGATAAACATCCGACGTCGATGGACATCAAACAGTAAGATGCGCAATTAATACACATATTAGAATGTTCGATTCCGTGTCCGCGTCATTACCTATTGTAAAATGGTTAGTTTGCATCCTTGCATTGATATCGCGATAGGGAGCAAACTATAGAAGACATACATAAGGCTTCTCGATAATTTCCTTTGGGTGTACTAGTAGGTTTGACGACCTTGAGACCATGGGGTTAGAAACGTCTTTTGTCTCACAGGGGTTGTTGGAGTTGGAGTTCCCAGGTGCTCTAGATTTTAGAGTAGCCCCATTCGCCCATACCACATGGTCGCTAGGGTAGTCGGCCAACATCGCGATAGGTGCAGGGCTCCGGGACATTAAGCGAGGACAAGAAACCCAAGCAATTAGTAGCCCCTGAAAAGATATCTAGGTAACAGCGACGCTGAAGCTAGAGGAAACCAGTGCGAGGCTATCGCGAAAACGCGCTTGGTGGTGCGACCTCATGCCTACCTGGTAGGTACCTAATTACACAGGCATCAAGGGTATCCTTTCCGAGCTTATGTAATTGGTATAATATCGTGGAGTACTGGGTAGACTGTAGTACGCTCCTGTAGTACTAGGTAATGAGTTTTAGAGCCCAGCTTCTAATAACCCGAATATCCACCGGTTTGTTCAGATTTGTGTCGGTGTGCCTCGCGAGAAGGAGAAAAAAAAATCAATTCAGCCCCGTGGTGGCGACCGTCAGCCCGGAAACATGCCTAGTCCCACAAGCTGCATGGCGTGGTACGATATGATAGGGTATACCTGTTGCAAACTTTATAAAAAAGATCCGAATCTCAATCGTTGTGTAGTTGGCAATCATGACAATCCAAAACAGACGTGGTTCGCTGTCGTTCGTGACACATGGCGACAAGCTGACTGTTTAGCCGTTAGGCACCTAATAACATCGGGTACCTTACATCCATAGCAGCCATGGATCATGATGTATCCATTATGTCCATTGTACTATGTAGCTGATCCCGATCTGCGCCAAAACGCGGTGTCGCGAACAGACGATGGGTGACGACTTCGCGTTGCCTTGCATTCGCTGTCTTTGCTCCGTATGATGATTGCCATCAACCTTTCCGCCTTGAGCCTCGGGCTTGATACTATATAGAATTGACCAGATTTGACTAGAATATGATAGTGTTTATTACTTATTAGTAGATCTGACAAGTAGGTAGCCGAAAGGAGGCCAGTTTGGGTAGCGAGAAGGGGAATAATGGCGTTATCGTCTATTGTTTAATTGTTTAAATGGACTTCCAAATCTAGTGCAAGATCTTCTCCGCAAACTTATGGGAACCTCTGCTAAGTCTGTGCAAGAACCACCGGTGATACGCTGTGATCGCTATGGCCGCTGGGGTCGCTAGGACCACCATGGTACCTGGGTAATAGCGCCTTCTCGGTACTACTCAACCTTTCCGAGTGGAAGAGCGGAAACCACTCGGACCAATCTGGGGGAATTTTAAATTCTGACAGAAATTTGTAAATGCTCAGAATTCCCCCTTACGGTTTAGTCAGGAACACAATGCCAAATCTGCAGGAACAAATGGAACCCTAACGCGACCAATCAGCAGTTGCCACTCTTACGTACACCCCGGTCGCCCAGAAATTATGCAATCTTGTGGAGTGGGATGATATTTTATGAATGGGCTTAACAGACAATATGAGGTTATTAGACGCTAATGAGGGAATAAAGCGTTGTAAGGAACGATCACAAATAATTGAGAATAGAGAGGTACGATGAGGTCTTTGTTCTAGGATTCAAAATACCGACAGCTTTAGAGGAAATCGAAGATGAAAGAACTGTGTTAAACCAGATTGGGCACAAGCGTCGAAAATTCCTTCTTGTTTAGGCGACGGGCACCTAGGTAATAGAAAAAGCGGTACTGGGTTGGGGCACTTTTGGCAATTGGATCAGAGCCATCTCATCATCTCATCCATCCATGTCTCTGATATCTGTCGATGTACCTATGTAATTTCCGTTGCCCTGTGCAATCGGAGGATGCAATCCGCCATAGGTGTGACGAAATACATAGGTACTTAGGTCACGGATACATCGTGACCCTCTAGGGCTACCTACATGCGTGCAGGTATATGTGACGAGGAAATCTCGTCCCTTTCCCTTCTCTTTCTCTTCTTATTGTATCCCTCAAAATCCCTTATATACGAGTGCATTGGAATATATGGTGCCTTGCGTTATTTTTATCATACTCCTTAAACAATAAATTCATAGTTCAAATTGTGTCTAGATCGCCTCAAAACTTCACAAAGGATCTATTCGACAAGTGATAATATAGCGCGCTTTGTCCACTGTATTGTATACCTCCACCATCAGGAGGAAAGCCTAGGCGGCTGCACAGTAAGCCATCTACCTAGTAGGTAATTATTAAAATTATGGAGATTAACCACTAACATTGATTGGACCAGATTAACGCCTTGTCAACCCTAGCACCCCAGAGGCCCCTAGCCGACTAGTGCAAGAAATAGGTGCTACGCTAATTTCAGGTACCCTTGCTTTGATTCTCAATCGCCATTAATCTCTCGCCCATTTTGCGCAACAAAGTAACTTTGCAAGGGTCCCCAGAGATGATCATGGCTTCCTATCCCGCTCCTCTTTGACACCCATTTCTCTCGCTCCTTCATTAAACTACTTGATACCCTCGCCTTACTTTCTCACACACCTTCTCTTCTCTCTCACACACTCACTTCTTCAAAACTTACAGGGCTTCGTTGGCAGAGTCCATCTTTACGATATTACGAAGAAAATAAGTCGATCCGACCTTGAGTACCGAGTATTCAACTAAACATTCTTTGCATCACGCAAAATCTCGTCACATCACATCGATATCAGTATACTACGCTTCTATTACGAGACACGGACACGTACCGATAATCCTGCAAAAAGAGACTTGGAAAAGAAGACTGAGCAATCAGGAGAGTGATATTCTATTCTACGAAGAGCTTTAATTGAGCATACTCAATTTTGTGACGATCTACCGTCGCATATCACCGCTTACATCAACTATTATACGACCTCGAGTCCAAGACGCGCATCAAGATGCAGATATTCACTATTGTTGCGACTGCGCTTCTGCCTTTATTGGCAGTCGCAGAGACCTCTACGACGACATCAACTATGACGATGACCAAGTACATCACCATCCAGAAGGTCGCTACTTCCAGCGTTTTCAGCGTAAACTCGACAACTGTATTTCCCACCGGCACTATCTCAGGTTCCGCTGCTATCGTGACCGCGACTACGACGACTGGCGCTGATGGCTCCCCTACAACCGTTGCGCCAACTGTCAGCCCCACCATCGACAACCAGAACAGCGGCGCAATGCTAGCTCCTGCCGCGTTTGCTGGTTTCGCAGGCATCGTCTTCGCTGCTATGATGTAAATTTGCGCCACTTGGCGCATCTTACAGCCGTAACCACGGCAAATCCGTTATGACGGAAACACCTTTCATAACGGCCATTCATCTACGCTTCAATATGAACGAACAACTACTTCATTTCTTTTGTCAAAAATCAGAATATTTCGTTTTCAGCGCTGTCTGGCTACATTACATGCGACGATACGAACAAACCACGACGACACAAACAACCGCAACCAACCATTCTACTTTGAGTGTTTGCGTACCTCAATGGTCGCAATTACTCACCAACAAAACCAACCCGCCTCCACCACAAGACTTTTCTCCTCGGCCCCTCCACAGGTGCTGAGCGTTTGGTGTTACTTCATTTTCTTCGAAACACCCTTAATGTTTCAATATACCGGCAGCGCGCGCATTTGACGACTATATCTATGTCATGTCAAGTTCAATCTATTTGACACGACTCACACGAGCATCACATTGCGCACTCCCTCTTCCCGGATAGACAGATTTGCAAACACCCCAAGGATTTGAATTTATCCTTCTCATGTCGCATACATTTTATTTACACCTTCACTATCTTCCGATACCCCACGTCAACCTTGGGGCTGGTCATAGTTATGCAAGATCTGAAATATCCCCATCAACCGTTGAGACGGTGGGCTGGGAATGAGAGAGCCTATTCGATATGGATAGCGTTGCTGGCTGGACTACTTTTACTTCACTTCGAATATTACCCCATTTTTTCTGCATCTATCCCGGAGTTCGGTTATGAGCCACGAGACAGATATCAGCGAAGGCATTTTCATACCCTTTGATTTTTATTCATTTTACTTTCCACCCGCCTTCGTTTCGTGTTGAGATACCCCGTTGTTGAGAACTCTCGCCGTGCGAGAATAGTCCGAGGAGAAACTTGTGGAAGAGCCTTAAAAAATAACTGCAAAACACGTCGTGTACTCACCCTTGCGTGAGGTTGTCTGATTTTTGACTGTTTATTTACGAAACTCCGACCTTTGCATCTCGTTGCTTCTATATCTACCTCCGTTGCTTGGAAAGGGGAGAACAGGGCAGCTTGTGCATTGTGCTGGAGAAAAAGATATATAAATCCAAACTCAATTGAGTCTTTCAAGTTCCGTACATCTTGCGCTCAGCTTATTCGTGTGATATACATCTTGTAATCCTAATGTGCCCTTTACTAGGTGTTGTGTGCATTAAAGGAACATCCTCAGGGTCAATTGATGAGATTAGTGGTCTAGTCCACACTTACTTAATTCGCATAAATATGTACATTGCTTCTAAGTAGCTAATTTTGAGTATAAACTTAATATTAATTCTATTACATTTACTTATCAGCTAGGCAGCCCGTTTCCAAGACAACCAGCATTTTGAAGCAATTCGGCGAGCGGTTCATATTCAAGACAGGCCTTCCAGAATTGATTAGGAATGAAGATAGTCTACACAACGCATCACCCTTCCCCAGCCCATTTTCGATAATTGCCATACTTAATAGTGTACAGGAGGTTTTCATCGAACGCATACGTATTCATATGTAAGGGGTAGGAAGTAGGGAGGTGCTTAGCAGGTGAAAATGGTTGTTTGCTGAAAAGGGGACGGGGTTGGGACTGATGCGCCGAGACAGGTTTTCGTATTTCGGACTCTCCTGAATACTGGACTGGTCTGACTTGAGATATTCGGTAGCCAGTGAGAAGCACTCTTCAACTGTGCAAGCTTTACACATTCAAAAATTAACATTTACTCATACTACGGTTCAAATGGCAAATATCCATAGGTGTTAACATGGAGTGTTATGGTAACTAAAGTCTGAACAGAGTTGGCTAGGTAGCGTTACTACTAGGCACCTACTGTAGGTAGTTTACATGTATGGTCCTCAGTGATGTTCCTCTGTAACAACCATCGCAAAGAATTCAAAGCTGTATGTCACATAAATAATAGCATATAAACGATTATTGATCAATGATTCTATCAAAAATTTAAACTTTCAAAAACTCTAAAATCCATCTCATGTTGTTGAACTTAAGCATTTAGCGTTTCGATAACCGAGAACGTTTCCTGATCCGTGAGCGATCTGGTCTGTGATTGGCTCAGATCGATTACGAAAAGCTCCTAAGGCTGACAGCTGGCCACACCTGCGAAATCCACAACGGTGCAACAAAAGATACTCCGAGCCAGTCCGATTCTAGCCGATGGTCCACCTTTCAGACCAATAGTGGAGCAGCTAAAAGTTTGGGGATTCCAATTGTAAGCAATCAGTTATCGTCAACGATTTTATCTTTATCTCCCGAAAGTGGGAGAGCTCTTCTATGTACAACCTCCAACCGACGAGCGTCTGAGTTTGAAGTACCTATCTGTATAAATACAAATAGCCCATCAACCATGGCCTCGACCTCAGCCTCGCTGCACCGCATACGTGCGCCAGTCCAGCGAGCCCTCACCAACGCAAGCACCCTCAGCGCCGCGGCGTCAACCCGGTCCTACGCCACCATCCCAACAAACACGCCCTCAACCACCACCTCCCCGCCCGCCAAACCCGCCCGCCGACCCACGTACTTCAAAGACACAACAATCGCCTCGCTGGACGACTTCATCAGCAGCAAATCCTCATCCCTCCCCCCCTCCGACGCCTACCAGCTGCGCACAGCCGAAGTCGGACCCGCGTCGAACCGGCGCACCATCACGCGGCTGCCAGAATGGCTCAAGACGCCGATCCCCGCCGGCAACGACAACTACAAGAAGATAAAATCGGATCTGCGCGGGCTGGGACTACACACGGTGTGCGAGGAGGCGCGGTGTCCGAATATATCGGAGTGCTGGGGCGGCAGCAACAAGAACGCGGCGACGGCGACGATCATGCTGATGGGCGACACCTGCACGCGCGGCTGCCGCTTCTGCAGCGTCAAGACGAACCGCAACCCCGCGCCGCTCGACCCGCACGAGCCCGAGCACGTGGCTGAAGCGCTCGCGCGCTGGGGTCTCGGATACGTGGTCTTGACGAATGTGGACCGAGACGATTTGGCGGATGGTGGTGCGCACCATTTCGCGGAGACGATCCGCAAGATCAAGGCGAAGAAACCGAGTTTGCTCGTCGAGGCGCTGACGGGGGATTTCATGGGCGACATGGAGATGGTGAAGGTGGTGGCGGAGAGCGGACTCGATGTGTATGCGCATAATATGGAGACGGTGGAGGGGCTGACGCCGTATGTACGAGATCGACGAGCTACGTTTCGGCAGAGCTTGAAGGTGCTGGAGCATGTGAAGAAAGTGTGTGGGGACGAGGGGATTATTACGAAGACGAGCTTTATGCTTGGGCTCGGGGAGCAGGAGCAGGAACTCACGGATGCGTTGAAGGAGTTGAGGAATGTGGGGTGTGATGTTGTTACGTTTGGACAGTACATGCGTCCGACGAAGAGGCATCTTAAGGTTGAGAAGTATGTTACCCCTGAGGAGTTCAAGATGTGGGAGCAGCGCGCGCTGGATATGGGGTTCATGTATGTGGCTAGTGGGCCGCTTGTCAGGAGCAGTTACAAGGCCGGTGAGGCGTTCATCGAGAATGTTTTGAAGAAGCGGGCTGATGAGAGAGCTGTTGCCGCGGCCTCTGAGGGTAAATTGGGACAGACTATCGCTATGGAAGGGGCATAAGAGTATGTGCTGGCTGTTTATTATTATTATTTTGAACAGTATATACGTTCGACATGTTTTATTCAACATGTATAAATAACGGGGCTGCTACGACTTGGAGACGCCCAGGGATTGGGCAGCATGGACTTGGCGTACTTAGAATTTCGGGTTAGGTATCGGTTGCCGTACTATATAGAAACGGTCGTCCGTGATCTTCTTCAACCAAGATGCGACGGCCAAATCAAAATTTAATGACGATCTAATCCTAGACCTCTATCTAGTCTATCTAGACAGGTACTGATGAACAGCCCTAGGGATATGTGTGTATATCATTCACCAAACCGGTTTAAATGATATCACCCCTAGTCTCCTTAACCGCATCCCACAACTCATCCACTATCTTCAACAACTCCTCAGACAACGGCCCTTTCTTCGCCAACTCCACCGTCTGCACGATTTGTTTCGTCTTGCTCGCGCCCAACAACACACCATCCTCCTCACCTAGCTGCGAATGGTGCACGATCCACCGCACCGCGACCTCAAGCGGCTCAGCCCCGTTCTTTCTCGTCTCCCCATCGAACCGCTTCACCGCAGCAACCAGATCAGGGGCCCCGAACACGCGCCGCATCGCCCCACCCAGCGGGTTCGCGGGGTCGAACCGGGTGCCCTCGGTCCGGTCGTTGCTTAGATTCCCGGTTAAAAGCCCCGAGGCGATGAATCGGAAGGCGTTGAGTCGGATGCCGTGCGCGCGGAGGAGAGGTAAGAGTTTGGTTTCGACGCCTCGCGATACGATGCTGTATTCGGCTTGATAGCACGCAGGCTTGCGCCATCCGTGCTCGTCGCAGAGGGCGACGATGCGCTCGAGGGTGGGGATAGGGACGTTGGAGACGCCCCACTGGAAAGGCACGGCGTATCAGTAAGTGTGACCAAAAAGGGGAGGAGAGGTAGTGTTGGGTGTGACCTACAGCCTTACAATGCCCTAAATCGATTTGCTCGTTGAAAGCTTGTATCTGTTCCTCGAGGGGTGTCGTCGGGTCTGCTCGGTGTATATGGAGCACGTTGATGCCCTCGCCTTTGGGTCTTTTTAACCTCCCTAGACTCCCCTCAACCGATTTCTGTATATTTTCGCGGGTTAAGTCCCCGCTACTGTCTTTTCGCGTATCGGTGTACACCTTGGTGTCGACCGCAAAATCCTTGCTGAGGTCCACAACCTCCCCGATCAACTCCTCCGACCGCCCGGGGTTGAGCGGTGGGTACCGCGCACCCGAGTCTAGACGGTGGATACCAAGTCCCTTGACGGTTGTGAGTGCGGCCCTAACGGACTCGGCATCTTGGAACTCGGAGTTGTCCATGCCGAAGCCGGCGGTGCCAAGAATGAGCTGTGGAGGCATCTTTTCGGGTCTTAACTTTGGAGATTTTATTTTATTGTCTTGGTATTTTTTGAGGCTAAATATCAACCTCGATAGTCTAGCAAGGGATTTAAGGTGTGTTGAAGACTAGCGGTCTAATGTTGGCATTGTGCAGGACGAGGCTTATATGTATACATGCTTACCCAGGACTCAGGTATGTAACCACTGAGCTTCAGGGCTTTGTTTTGAAATTCAACACGGAAAAGCTTAGGTAACGAATGGAGCTTCGGAGGGTCCCTCAACCGGTTGCTTTAAGAGTCCGGTCCTCCGCACCTATCAGCCGGGCTGTTCTTACGTCTGATGTCATCAAGAAGTCTCTATATGCTGTGCTACGTAGTACAAAGGGAGGGGTATTATTAAGCGGTGTTTAGGTACATTTGAAGGCCATAACTCCCTTTTAAAAGGATCGGTGAACCGAAATGGACATGTAATTTTTTCAAAATTGACTGAATACTTCGTTAGGGAGAAGTAGTCTGGAAGGCAATGGCAGCTACGCCCTCATTGTAACTTTGGAAATATCCTAGAATCTTTTATTGGGTTACATCGTGACCTATTCTCTCATTTATATTGTCAAATCCAGGTTATTTGTTTCTCATTTCCTAAGCTAGGGCAGCTGAATATGCCTTGCACCAGTTGATGACTTATCTAGCTGCCTAACAGTAGATCCCCGTGATACTGTGGTGGCGTGGTCTAGACAGGCCTCTTTTAGTCCCTCAGCCGCAGCCGAAAGAATAGCGTGGGTTGAATTGTTCGTTACTCCTTACAATTTTGGAATTCGTTCAGCTTAGCTGATACACTAGTATCTATCAGATATAGTGAAGCTTAGCAACGTAGATAGAAGACGCTATATATACTAAGTACTTAAGGTGGCATTCATACCTATGATTTATGAATAAGACTTTATGTTAAATTGTGATTGTATATGATCTTTAAATATTCTGAGGGTTGAGTGACGGCATGCCATTCTACAGATGTGATGAACTCACCAACTCAAATAATTAATAGGTAGGTATTGGTATAATTCCTGCTTTCGAACCAACCGCTCAAAATGGCGATAACACGGCCCGAGCACTGGGCGATGGAATATCTCGACTACAAGATAGGCCATGGGCTTTTTGAGATCCGACCTGGTCACTCGCAACACCGAACAGAATCTGATGAAGACCGCCTCCAGGAAGAAGAATGCGGTGTCTGTCACCGACCACGAGACGGCTGCTTCGAAGGGGTCGTTGGCGATCTCAAAGATGGAATGGCTCGGGGGTGTCGACTCTGCGACGCTTTACATCAGATCATCGTCGCAACCACACAAGAGCCACACCAGCTATCCCATCCATTTCGACTAGAGATCCGGAAGGGTATGCCGGCAACACTGGATATCTGCGTAGCAACCGTAACAACAGGCGAGGTGTATCAGCCGATCTTTGCCAAGTACCAGATCTTCTTCCAAGCTAGTTAGTATATCTAACCCGTCCTTTGGGAAACGTGCGAGGGTGGGAGTGAGAGCAAGAGTGAGTAGGCGAGAGTTCATAAACTAACCCATGAGAAAAGATGCAACCCGCCGTCCCCCATCCCTCTCCGCCTTCAACAACATCGGGTTCGGCTCCCCCGTCGCTAGCACCTCACGTTCAACGCAATGCCTCTCCTTCGCCAAAGCAGCACTAAACCAATGTCTCTCAAAACACAACTGCGGACAATCCACCACCGACCCCATCCTCCCAACCCGAGTCCTCGACCTCGGCCCCCCCTCATCAACCACCATCTCCCTCAAACTCCTCGAGCCCACCCCCGGCACCCGCGCCCGCTACGCAGCCCTAAGCCACTGCTGGGGTCCCCACGCCAAGCGTCTAGAAACCAAACTCGCCACCCTCTCCTCCCTGAAATCCAACATCCCATGGACGGATCTACCCCCCACATTCCAGGACGCCGTAACCACGACCCGGTTCCTAGGGCTGCGTTACGTGTGGATCGACAGCCTATGCATCATCCAAGACAGCCCCGCGGACTGGGACATCGAGTCATCGCGCATGGCATCCGTGTACCGCGACGCCAGCGTCACCATCGCCGCCGTCTCGTCCAGCTCGTCCGACGAGTCCTTCCTCAAGCCGCGCAACGCAATCTTCCAAGCGCGGCTTCTACCCCTTATGCTCTCGCGCGCTGACCGCGCTCTCCCAGCCGAAGAACTCGGGCTCGTGGTGCCGGGCACATCGCCGTTCTACGCGTTGGGTGTTAGGCCGCTTGCTGTGCATAACATGGATGGTCCGTTAAGTGAACGCGCGTGGACTTTTCAGGAGGAGAAGCTGTCGAGTCGGATTTTGAGGTTCGGGGATGCGGAGCTGAGTTTTGAGTGTAGGAGGGGTGTCGCGTGCGAGTGCGATATGTATGGTGCTGAGTACGATAATTCGACTGAGGCGCCGAGTGGGCCGCCGCTGCATGGGTTGGCTGCTCTGAATCTTGCGAGCGAGACTGCAGGTTCAGGGGAAGAGGGCGCGGAGGGTGAAGGTCAAGAAAGGAGGGTTGGACGGCTGCCGCCGCAGTTGGACCCCTTTCTCGCGTGGCAAGATCGCGTTACGGAGTACTCGAAGCGTAAGTTGACGTTCGCTTCGGACAAGCTGCCGGCTTTGGCTGGTCTGGCTACAATCTGCCATGCGATCACGCAGTCCGAGTACGTGGCCGGTCTATGGCGAGACCACTTCGTTCTCGACCTCCTCTGGCACCCCGCTGGCCCTAGAAATTTGGCCCCGGAACCCGAAAACCCCTTCCGCAACCCAGCCACCGCGTCCTGGAAACCCGGTCTATCCATCCCCTCCGACAAGCTCCCCAGCTCAGAAAACCTGTCATCCTGCTACCTCAAAAGACAGCGCACTGCCGCCGCACACGCTAGTCTCCTAGCCATGGACATCCCCTCAGACTTCGGCACCCCCTCTCCATCCAAACCCAGCGCCGAGAGCCCAACCACCGGCTTCGTAGAAGCCTACCGCGCGCCCACATTCTCCTGGGCATCTATCAGTAGTTCTATCGCCTTCTACCCCGTCTCCAACCCCCAAACCATCGAAATCGAAACCACACTCCAAGAAGCCCACACCACCCTCACCGGCATCAACCCCTTCGGCCGGATATCCGACAGCCACGTCGTACTCCGGGGACCGCTCCTCCAAGCACGAATCTCAACGCGTCCGCTGCGGCGCAACTACGGGTCCTATATCCTGAAACACAACAACAGTATTGTCGGGTTTAAAGCCGATTTACCATTAACCCTATCACCGCCCCCATCCCCCTCCCCCTCCCCAAGCTCCGAAACAGAACCTATAGTCACACGAGCAACAGCAACCTCGCCCCCACATACCCGATTCAAGGACATGTGCGTATGGTGTATGAGTCTCTTCCACGCGAAAGACGGGTCAGTGCGGGAGGTTCTGGTTTTAGGGCGTTCGGCGCGGGTTGAGGGAGCGTACGAGAGGTTAGGGTTGGTCGATGCTTCGGCGCCTGGGACGGTTCGGTGTTTAAATCGGTGGTTCGAGGACGAGGGAGATGGGACTGCTGCGGTGGTGAGTGAGGTTAGATGCGTGTGAAGCCAGTTATCCGCGCAGAATAACCTTGGAAGACGCGATTTGTGCGAGTGGCGCTTCGCTTATCCCCGGTTTGTTAGGGTAAGTGTGAAAAGCAAGAAGGGGGGAGATGGTAATGACGCATATCAAAAATGACAGATTACAAAGTGGCGCAATATGCGTTCGCTTTGCTGCAGAACAGGAATCAAGCTTTCAGATTCAGTATATGATATCCCGCCATTCATGTATCATGGGCAGTTGCTCTTTATCTTCATCCTCGTAAGCTCTTTGCGATTGTCAAGTCTCATGTGCTACAGGAACCATAACAAGTATCGGGAAAATCATGACTCGTAATAAAAAATCTATATAAATGGTATAATAGTGTATATCGTAAATCGTACCTAGTCTATGACTCTAATAAATACCTATCGCGATCATTTCTCGTAAGGGGTAGTGGGTCTCATGATATAAACCTCACCAATCAAAATTGTACAACCAACAACCATGGCTATGGTAATGATTGGGAGGTTTACGCGGGCGAAGTCGGCCGGCTTGACGTGGATGTGTTTTCTGGCCAGGATATCGCGCCATAAGAGACCGGCCAAAGATGCGCTGAACGCTGTGCTAAATGCTCCAAAGTTGACGCCGAGTGCCATGCTGTTGCATCGAAGTTAGCAATCTATTGTAAGGAAATACACAAGAATTGACATGCTAAGGAGGGTAAAACTAGTGAAAATCTTCCAAGAAGGGAAGACATTAAGTGTGTAACATCGTACGTACCTGTAAACAGCAGCCCAAAAAGTTCGGTCAGAGATCGGAACCCCGCTGGCTTCATGAATTTTCTGCCATGCCTGTATTACGCGGGAGAGTAAGATGGTCGTTCCGATATTGGTTCCAGCAAACTGATTTTAGCCATGAGGTCAGCTAGTTAATGTACAAATTTAAGTTTATAGAGGACTTACGTTGCAAAGTAGCACGGAGAGAAAACCCATGCCTCCAACGCTGCCAACTGTTCCCGTCTTTTCTACCCAATGATCCCAGCCGTAGGCGAATACTGGAACCCAACCCTTGGTGACCAATGCTTGCACGAGGACAAACATGGAAAATGCAAAGGGGACAAGCGCATAGGGTAGGTGGCCAGCAACCGCCGTCGCAGTTGGGAACGTCTCTTGTGACCATCTGTATGAATCCGCAAGCAATGAAACAAGTGTAGCTTTTCCGCGATCTGAATGGATTGTAACGCTGTATTGGGCTTGTTTCTCAGCGTCTACCTGTCGTTCGAATGATGCCCTACGATTTCTTCCTCTCGAATCGGTACTCAATATGACACCTCTATCCGATGGTTTAAATGAGTCGTTTCGCGCCGTATCTTGCTTCTCATAAAGTGTACTTTTAGCACTAGTTGAAGGGCGGGCATCTTGAACTTTATCATCATTTGATGACGTCGTAACATCCGTATTGGTCCCTATCGTGTTTTCATTCTCTGCACTTGCGTTAAGCTTGCCAGAACGGGTATCTACGTCGTTGTCGTTGCTCTTAGGATTTTCAGGGTTGGGAGCCGTTGAGTCGGGTTGATGTTGATGAGAAATTGTGTCGTTCTGGGGCTTTAGTTCCTTATTTTCGCTTAGGCCCATTCGCTCCATTTCTTCTAGCTGTCTAGTCAATCGGGCTCTTTCAACCTCTCGTCGACCGTCGCGAGCGATCTTACGGGTCTCCTTACGATGGAGCCATCCAAACGTAATATCCCAGCAAAACATGACGAACGCAGCCGGCAGAGTTACATAAAAGACGGGGTGTTCGTTCGAAGTTTGACTCGCAGCATTAATCGCAAGAAGCGTGATAAGCGTCGCAGCCATGATAATAGCCCCAAATCCAGCACCACCTTTGTCGAGAAAAGGATTCATGATCTCTTCAAGAGATAGGAGCTTAGCCTGTTCTCCATTTGCCGGATCATTTTCTTCTTCTTCTGCGTTTCCTCTAGCGTTGGGGATGTTGGGGTTGACGGGCTTCCTAGCCTTCGCTTCCTCTGAGAGCTCATGCATTTGTATCGAAAGCGGAATGAGGGACTCATCTGCAAAAACGATATACAGGAGGAAGGGGAAGAGAACAATAGCCGTGACAACAACAGGGACAATCATATTAGCAGTGTAATAGATGAACCTGATATCGAAGGCGCCCGCAAGTACGAGGTTGGTGGGATTGGAGGACACAAGGATGGCGGAGGCAATATTCGCTATGGCAAACTGGGCAAAAATCCAGGCTCTAGGATGTACGATGTTGCTTGAAACTCTCGTCATATACGCAAGGAAGGCCGTGCCGGAGAGGATAATGGGGTCATTTCCGATAAAGGTGCCCAAGCTGAAGAAGAAAGCGTACAAGTAAAAGAAGAGCCGGTGGCCGAATCTCCCTCCTTTTTGGAGTACTTTAAATGCTAGGTACCTGATGAGGCCAGAAGCATCGATCGAGATGGCGATATATGCTAGAGTTATGAAGAAGGCCATGATATCGATAGGAGATATGTTGTTGGCGCCAATCGTGCCTCCATAGACCTCAGCTCGACCAATTGCCTGAATAGCTAGCAGGAAGAGATCTGCTATCAAAGGTGCCGTAACAAAGTTCATTGGGAATCTTAACTTCACCCAATACCCGGTTTCTTCCTGCTGCTGCTCCTCATCAGAGACAGCGATAGTGCAAGATTCATCCTGAGATCGGTCTTCCCGTGGCCCTATCACTCGCATTTTACTCAGACCATTCAATATGGCATTCTCGAATGGGCGAGGGAAGGGAATTGGGATATGAAAAGGGAAGAGCACAATAATATCTGCATGAAAGTAAGTATCAACTGGTCAAGGAAATAGCTTATCTGCCCAGAGACAAGGTAGGTAAGCATGTGTGTAACCACTTACTAGTAATAACAAAGACGACAAGGGTAACAATTGAGTGCCATTCTTTGATTATTTCGGTATCAAGATTGATATCGATTTCACTTAGAGGTTCGGCCATTTTTTATTATATTGCTGGTTCTCGCGATTGGTAGTAGTTGAATTTTCCTAGAGAACTTTCGGTTTGTCTTCTCGTGGCTGAAATAGATTTTAAAGAGATATTATGATGTCAAAATCAAAGATTTACAAGCAGAAGTAAAGCGATTCCCCTCCATATGTAAAGCACATATACCTTAAGTAGTATCCTAAAGAGCACACATCAAATTACGCATACACTCTGTGACGACGAGAGTGACGAAGAATGAAGAAGGCAATAATAAGTGAGTCTGGCTTCGAATGTCTCGACGTGGTGGGGTTTGACGACTGACGATTTGCACGAGACGATAGATGCCAAATGGAGGCTGAAGGCTGAAAGCCAAGAAGCTCGCTAGGTACGAAGTACTGTAAGCAAATTAAACCACACACGTGCCTCCAATAGGCTCAATGGCTATCAATTAGGTGCATGATTGTTGATTTAACACCTCATATGAAATGTCATGGAAAAAGTCGGAGAAGAGAAGTTGTGCGATGTATTACAGGTACTAGGTGGGAAAGGTTCTGGGCAGTATCCATTGATGTATCTTGAGCTTATGGTATGTACACATGTACTTGCCTAAGCTCATGTAGGAGGAGGAGCAATGAAGGTTTAATCAGGATTTTATTGTGGCTGTGCTTATATTGTGCATACGATTTATGTAAAATGTCGCTTATGATTGAGATTTGACAAGTCATAAAGCCACATCGTCCTTAGTTTGGGGCTTGCTTGCGACTAACGACAAGCTTAGGTACCTAGTACATAGTAACTAACGATCCCAGGAAGGTAGGATGCGGAGAAGATCCAGTGATAATGTGGATTTTGTGGGTTTTGGGGATTCCGGGGACCAGTCCCGCTTTCTCATTTTCTCTTATTCCTAACTCGTCGTTCGGTATTGGAAAGTGCGTCATTGTACTACCTACAGGTATCAGGTGTCTTACCGACTAAGCGGCCCTAAGCCTTAAATATCTAGGTACATGAACGAAATCCAGGTCTTGTCCACTCAGCTAACACATTTTATATTAGACTGAGTAACTTCTGCAACTTTTGTCGGTTATCAACTAACATTGGACAGGGTTACGACCTTCACGATGAGGATTGAGGCTGAACATCCCGGTAGCTGCCCGGGCGCTCACCTTCACCTCGGTCGCCAGAATGATCCGGGGGCAACTGGGCTTGGGGGCAGTGCTGACAGACCGCGCTGCATGCCCAGGCTGCCAGGTTAGCTCAGATCAGATTGTTCAGGTGGCTTGCCGGAGACGGGAACTTCAGAGGAAGCTCTTAGCTGATAGGATCTCTGCTTGCTTCCCAGCATTTTCCACGTGTAATCTTGCCAATGTTGCCAGCCCCGTGTTACGAATTCAACGAGGCGATCGAGGCATTTGATTACCTTTCCCGCTTCTTAAAATTGTGATTCCTTCGAAGGCAGCTAAATACAAACATACAAAATAAATCTTGTTGAATCATCGACATGGGATCAATATTCTTCTTCATTTCTCTACGCGCCATCCGAACTTAATGACACATCTAGATATTCCCTTTACCTGTGTAGGGTAGAGTTTGCCCCCTGAGGTCATGCCAGCGCTCCCTTCGGCTTTACTACTTGATACCCTTGTTACTCGGAATTTAACCCTTGACTCTGCTGCATCTTCCTTAGCTGCCACTACAACAAACGTCGAGAATGCCTTACAAGTTGTATGCGCCTGGCCTGTGTCGGGCCAATATGGCCCAGGGTCAAGAGTCTTGTAAGCAATTCCACCTGCGTGCATATGATTTAACAAATAGTAAATAAGAAAACATTAATTAAGCATATACGTCGTATCGCGTTTCCTAACTAACAAGTTGTTCGTAGGTACTACGTTCTTGTAGCAGCTTGTGTTATTGCTCGAAAGGCTGAATGGCTCAGAAGCGCTTGCTTGGCTGCTGCGTGTATGTATAACATGTTTTTACCTGCCCCTATTTCAGAATACAACCTTGGAAGCCTTGTCGATTCATACGTTGAGCAAATACAGCCCAAGAAACCAGACATAGGACAATCACTAATATGAGATATCGTAGTGATTTTCCCAGCTGTTGCCGCCATCCATGGAATTGTCCTCGCCGCTGTGCATGTTGATGGTGAGTACCTGTCCAAAAATTCTACACGTATGTTAGGAATTCAGATGCTAATGACTCATGTACCTTAGGCGCTGTTGATATGGACGTATACGGAGCCTTCCAGTTTTGTTCGATTGGAATACTAGCAGCCCCTTTAACAGTTAGGATATCAAAGACCTACTTCAATGACCCGGGCAGGAATATAATCTTCCTTTGGACTGGCATCGTACTTGCTGGTGAGGTTCGAATTTCTTAAACATCTAGATAGTTATACTGACAAGCATGTAGGCTTGCTGAGCTTAACCGTCGAATTTTTCCGAGCTTCACCTTCGCCTTGTACACACGATGATGATGGCAATCCTATTGACGTTAACGACCTTTTTGGCTTTCTCAATGAAAATGTCACCTGCAATCTTACCTGTTCTATCACCGCAGGTCCTTTCTCTCCCTTACGACAGAATGCCACGAACGAAATCTTCGTCATACCGGCACCTACCAAACTTGCTTTCAACGCCGCCGTACTTCTTGCAGCTGCCTGTTGCATTCCGGCCGTACTTTCGCTTGCATCTATGTGGAATAAGATTCTTGAGATTAACTGGAAGTCAAGATTTGGTCTAGGCGATGGAGATCAGTTAATTGAAGGGTGAGAATATTTTAATCGTTTTCTTTTTAAATCTATTCTCAAGAGACACTATGATCTTCCGAGTATCACTCGGTACTCAAGGTTACTCAGGTGTTAGTGCTAAGAAACTAACTCGACGGACAACAGAACAAACGGTGCAACCGTTGCGAGGATGAGCGGAGTTAATGCCATGGTTAGGTTATTTTTGAGCACATTGGAAATACCTATTTTCAGCGCTGCAGTACTTGCTATCCTTATATTCGGCGAGCTGAACTTATGGAGCATTCAAGTTCTATGGCAGACAGAGCCTATTGCTAGTATAGGTCAGGTCAGTTATCGCACCCTTATACCGTCCTAGCTATGAAATCAGAAGAATTACTGACGTTTTATTTCAATAGTGGGCACCCATAGTTGGTACAGTGCTAGCTGCGTTGGGATCTCTGTATGTGCTCCTGTCAGTAGACATGGACGCCATAAGTAAGGGAGAGAAACCGGAGCCTTTCACGCATCACTGCAACTGCTCGCATCATCATTTCGACGACCGGCAATATCCGAGCCCTCACCCCGACACATCCTCTTCTGGGGGTAGTGTAAACACCGAAAGTGCACATGAATGTTCTTTGAACCATATAGAGCACACCTCGAGAAACTCCCCGTCTATGCAAGAGGTTGGAAATGGTGGCCTATTTATCGATTCGTCTCACCCTATTACGGCCCCAGGTGCTGCTCGTTTACGATCGAGCTCTTCAAATAGTAGGGGAGAAGCATCGGCTGACATCACATCGACGGCAAATACAACAGACATAGGCCACAGGCGCAGGGTATATAGGTCGCTACTAAAGGTTAGCACTTACCTAGGTACTGCAAATAAAAGCCAATTTGACGACTCTGAATTCAAACACGGAAAAGCGCTCGACTTTCCTGAAGTCCCTGCGGAGGAACAACGAAATCCAGACCTACCACGGGTAAGAGAGGTCTACAACCAACATCGCGAAGATGAACTTGCGGCACTTAGCAATCGGCCATCGAGGGCAGGTAGCTTTGCGGGGAGTATATCCTCTAGAGTCAGCATTGAAGATTACACCATATCACGAGCAATATCAGCTCCACATCCACCATCTCGAGCTTCATCGCCATCACCTGCAATGCGCGGTATACGACACACCAGTACTTTACCAGTTGGACAAGGGTCTTCCGTATCAACTAGAGGCAGATCAAGGCAACGAAGTAACACACTCACGGTTCCTGAGCCGGATAATCATAGTCGTGCGTGGAGCACCCGAGCAGTCAGCCCCGTGGCGCCAGCATCACCTGTTTCTCACATCGAGGCCTCCAATGTGTTAGACAATGGACCAGGCTCTCCTGCAATTGTTATATCTCCTGTTTCTGGTACCAATTCTACCGTAGAGGAACCTATCACTCTCAGCCCCCCAATCATCCAACCGCCGCCCGAGTCAAAGCCACCACATATGAAATCATCGCCCCCGCCGACCTGAAACTATCCATCTTAACCCATATCAATCACATATGAACAGCTTAACAAACTCTTCCAATGAATCCTTACATGAACAACTTAAGATACCGAATCATTTACCTGTTATATACAATACACCATAACTTAATCACTTCCCCCTTATAACCCCAACGTCCACCTCACATGAACCTCCCAGTCATAAAACTTCGAAATTCTACAGGAAGCATCTACGCTTCAACATCACTACTAACAGCCACCTACACAACAACAGCAACCCGATCGGAAAACAGCACGAGCACGACACGAATGAAACGAAACGCCACGCCATTACGAACATCTAGATACCTGGAATGCATTTACTGGTACATACCTGCCTTCATGTCATATTTAGATTAGGCGTGATGCCTAGGTATATAGGATATAGGATATAAAGACAAAAGTCTAGGATAAAGGGGGACAAGGTATATGTTTATGCTACATATGTATATATATAGGTAAATATAAATAAGAACTTTCAATAATCCAAATCATTTGCTACATACCTATTACATACGATCGCGATCCCGAATCCGTGAATACTATTATGATCTATGTAAGAAAGAGAAGTGTCGTATATCACTTCACACAACTCAAGACAGAGTCGCAGTTATCGATTTTACTTTTAACGTAAATTTCCATTCATTGAGCCATCCGGCTATTTAAGGTATCTATCATAACTATCGCAAAGGCAACGTACCCGTCGCACCATTCGCCGCCAACAGCTTCCTCACCTCCTCCACCAGGTCATCCCGCTTAATGAGTATCCCCTGGTCCTTCTCATCCTTATCCTTCTCCTCGCCAGGCTTGCCCGAGCCCAGAGTCTTCAACCGGACCTTACCCTCTGCAAGTTCATCTTGGCCGAGGATGACAGCAAGCGGTACTTCCTCGGCGGCTTTGAACTGCTGGGGAAGTCTGGGTTTGACCTTTGCGCTAAACTCGGCGCGGATGCCAGCCTCCCATAGCTGTCGCGCGACGGACATGCGCTGCAGCAATAGGCCGTCGAATTCCTTGCCGCCGAAAGCCATGACGTAAACGTCGATCTGTCTAGAGGGGGGCTTCTTGTCTCCTTGTTTCGCCTTTAGGATCGTGAAGATGCGGTCGACACCAAACGAGATGCCCACACATGGGATCTGCTTCTTGCCGTACATGCCCACGAGGTTATCGTATCGTCCGCCCGCCGCGATGCTGCCCACCGCCGAGGCATCTGCGTTCTTCGACGACTTCTTGCCGTCCTTGTCTTTTGCATCTTGCGGTTTTTGGATCACCTCGAAGATCAGACCCGTGTAATAATCCAATCCTCTGGCGAGAGACAGGTCAAAGGAGACACTGTTGAATGTGTTCAGTTCTTTAGAGTAGGAGGCGAGCAATTCCATGTCTACAAGACCCGCTTTTATTTCTTCGTTCGCTGATAGGTCCGCATCCGACTTAATGAATTGTATCATCTCATCGAGGGTTCCACGGTTTAGAACGAATTGGCCGATCTTGTCGGCGACTCCCTCCGGAAGGCCCTTTTGCTCGACCATCTCCTTCTTTACGGCCTCCCACGGCTCTTTATCTAGCTTATCTACAGCGGAACTAATAGGGCGTATCTTGTCGGCAGGAACACCTGCGACAGCGAATATGCCGTCCAGGATTTTTCGGTGATTTAGCTTAATAATAATCTCTTGGTCGAGGGCTTCGAAGGATTCGACAATAATTCGTAGGATTTCGGCGTCGGGTATCATAGGATCGTAGACACCGGCAATGTCAAGATCGCACTGGTAAAACTCGCGCATTCTGCCACGAGCGATGGCAGGCTGGTCGCGACGATAGACTTTTGCGATCTGGTAGCGCTTGATCTGTTGGACGTTGTTCATGGCTAACCAACGGGCGAAAGGGACTGTCAGATCATAGCGCAAGGCGCAGAGCTCGCCACCTTGGTCTTCTAGGTTGTATATCAAACGACCCTCCTCGCCATATTTGCCGGCAAGAATATCTCTTAACTCGAATACGGGGGTGTCGAGAGGGGTGCCGCCGTGGAGTTTGAAAACGTTTGTTATAGTCTCACTATCTACTATGTCAATAAATCAGATGCGCAAACTGCGCCGAAACAAACCTACAAGACATGATCTCGTAGGAGCAGGTCAGGTCCTGCCCAATCGCGTGTGCCTTTCACGGCCTTCAAAGATATTTTGGCTCCCCCGGAAGCCATATCGTTAACGTTGCCAAATGGCGGGGTATCGTGGGGAAATGATTCACAAGATCGACAGGTAGAGGAAAAGAAGGCTCTAGTGTGGAAAGGGAATGAGGGTCTAAGAAAAGTTGAGAGTATTAGCCTGTTACCTCTATGGAATGCGCGAAACATTGAGCATTGAGCATGGATTTCTTTGGCTGCCCCGCGTACATAAGAGCCCGAAAAAATATGACTGAAGGTGGGATGACTCAATTAGAGCTATGTACAACGTGGGGTTAATATTTGAGTCACGTGACATACAACCATCCTGTACCTCGTCTGCCCCTGCCCGATATCTTGTGTTGTCCACCGATGCTATCCACTATCGATAGGTATCCCTGCTATCGATAACACGAAAATGAGCTCCGATATTTTGTAGAGCTGGTGGTACGATGGAAGTCGCTACGTCTCCTATAATTTACAATTGAATGCTTCTTCCTCTTGAAACCATGCAAGGGATCAATGTTTTCGGTCATATACCTGTCCTGTGATAATTCTACACCAAAAAAAGAAACGCCGTGAGCGGAATCACCTAAGACCGGCCTATTAAGCGAGCATTAGGGTACTTCCCCCTATTGGAGAGATGGCTGTCGAAGACCTGGAGCAATGGGTCGGCGACTTCAGCGTCCTCATGCAAAAATTCCCGTACGTCTTTACCTTAAAGATGCCCTTCTATGACTATTATAACTTATGAAATACGATATATAGGGCCGGTGATTTCGTTTACCTCTTCTACCCCCTCGTATGCATCGTCGTCGGCGGTACCATCCTATATTTCACCCACACCGACTACTGGGAGAAGCCGAAACGATACTCTGTTCCACCCCCTAAACAGGCTGATGAGGTTAAAATTCTTGACGACCCGACCATCAAGGTCTCAGGTACCACAGCCATCCAATGCTATATGCCCGCCACCGGTCAATTCTTGGGCTTCGTCAATCCTTCCACACCTGCCGGCATTGATCGTGCCATAGAGCAAGCTGCCGCAGCCCAAGAGAAATGGGCCAAAACAACCTTCAGCGAGCGACGGGCAGTGCTGCGTTCCATGTTGCAATATGTGCTCGATAACCAGGAGTCGATCTGTCGCGTGAGCTCCATGGATTCGGGCAAGACGATGGTGGATGCTATGCTTGGCGAGATCATGGTCACGGCCGAGAAACTCGAATGGACCATCAAACACGGCGAGAAAGCCCTCCGCCCGAGCAGACGTCCGACGAATCTTCTCATGACCTACAAGAAGAACACGGTACACTACGAACCTCTCGGCGTGGTAGCGGCGCTAGTTAGCTGGAACTACCCATTTCACAATCTAATTGGTCCGATCATCAGCGCCATCTTCGCTGGCAACGGCATCGTCGTCAAGGTTAGCGAACAGACTTGTTGGAGCGCCGCCTACTACACAAGCATCGCGCGTGGTGCCCTCGTCGCTCACGGCCACGACCCCCAGCTCGTCCAGTCCGTCGTCTGCTGGCCTCAAACCGCTTCGCATCTAACCAGCCACCCGGGGATCAGTCATCTTACCTTCATCGGCAGCAGGCCCGTCTGCCACCACGTTGCCGCCAGCGCCGCCAAAGCCCTAATCCCCGTCGTCGCAGAATTAGGGGGTAAGGACGCCGCTATGATCCTCGACTCCGCCGAGAAAGACCTAGACAGGATCGTCGAGATCCTCATGCGCGGCACCTTCCAGGCCTCAGGTCAGAACTGCATTGGCATCGAGCGCATCATCGCCGCCCCAGGCGTCTACGACAAGCTCGTCTCCAAACTCGAGCCGCGCGTCAAGGCATTACGTCTCGGAACCGACAAGGACGTCGGAGCTATGGTCTCCTCCGCCTCATTCGCGCGCTTTGAATCCCTCGTCGCCGACGCCGTAAGCCGCGGCGCGCGTCTCCTCGCCGGCGGAAAGCGGTACATCCACCCAGAGCACCCACAAGGTTTCTACTTCACCCCAACCCTCCTCGTAGACGTAACCCCCGACATGGCCATCGCAAACGAGGAGTGTTTCGGGCCCATAATGACAATCCTGCGCTCCCCCTCTTCCTCCGCAACCGACATCCTCAAGCTCGCCAACGCCCCGGACTTCGGTCTCGGCGCCTCCGTCTACGGGCGGGACTCGGACCCCGCGCTCGCGCAAATCGTCAAGGGGGTTCGCGCAGGCGGCGTCGCCGTCAACGACTTCGCCGTGTTCTACGCCGTCCAGCTGCCCTTCGGCGGCGTCGGGGGTTCCGGATACGGCCGCTTCGCTGGCGAGGAAGGCCTGCGTGGTCTGTGTAATCCGAAGAGCGTGTGTGAGGACCGCTTGGCTTGGCTCGGTGTGAGGACGGCGATACCCCCGCCTGTGAGGTATCCTGTTAAGAGCCAGGACCGAGGGTGGAGGTTTGTCAGGGGCGTGGTGGGGGTTGGGTATGCGGTGAAGGTCGTCGATAAGGTTAGGGCTTTGGGGGAGCTTTTGGGGAATAGTTGAGAGGGGGAAAGGGGAGGAGGGGGTAGGGAAGGGAGGGGAGAGGGGGGGATGATTGGATTGATTAGATACCCACGTAGAGTTAATGTTAATTGCATGTGATTACGTCGTGAGATTATTTGTTGTTTGTATTTGTTGAGTGACGTTATGGGGTTGTAGGATAGCCTTCATAGCTGGTGCCTTTAGAAATATTTGCTATACAGAGCTTCATAAGACTCAGTACCAGCTATCAATTCCTTTATTGACAGTTGTCGGGGAATATCGCTAATAGAATTCTATTAGTCTTTGGTTTCGGGATCGATTGTTGCAATGAGAAGGAGTTTCAGGAGAATGTCATATTTCTATGATATCTATCTCCTGATAGATTAGATCGATATAAATTTCCAAAGACACGAAGTTGTTGGATTGAAAGGATTTATTAAATATGAGGCCTATTCTTGAATACAACACTGGCTGGCAACTAGGTGCCATACCCGACACAGCAAAATAGACCGGATACAGCACCTAAACCCTTACAAATCTTATTACAGAGGCACTACGAAATTCAACGAGAAAAACGAAGAGTGAAATCGAACGTGTCAATTCACCACTACCTACAAAGCCGGATAGTCTACTCCTACATGTATGTACCGTGTGCACATATGTCTATGTCTTTCCTCCTTTTTGATTTTCCTCCATTAGACTCCCCGAGCAAGCAAATTACGAACCATCTATGCGCACATCCATAACTCCTAGCATACCAGCGATGCTCTAGCCTTTCCCTTCATACAGACGTAAATCGTAGGCGCAAGAGCCAGCACTCGATAATGTAAACTGAAGGAGGTCCAGTTTGACAACGGGTGTTCTCGCCTACTATGCCGCCGAAGCGACGAGGCCTTGCTGGATTTTGACCAAGTTGCCGAAGTCTAGCTTATTAGCGTCCTCGGCGGCAGGCATATGCTCACCGGACGCGATGCACAGAACGCGCATGCGCTCGTCGTATCGCAGGCCCGTGAGGAGCTTGGGCGTGATGAGGAAGTATTGAGAGGTGTGCTCGCGGCAGGCGATCTCCACCATGCGTTCGTGCACCATGCGCTCGTTGCGTGGGTCCATACCCTGATTGATTTCGTCGACGACACGGAAGGGTGCTTGTGCCATGGATTGCAGAGCCATCAGATAAAAGATGGTAGATACAGCACGCTCGCCACCAGATTGACGATGTTGGTTTAGTTGCTGGAGGGTTTCGTTCTCGCTAGGAAGGTGTTAGCATTTGATGCGTTCTTGAAATAAATCGGCGGAAAACTTACCGGAACTTGACCTTGATCTCGATAGACCACTGCTCGAAATCCTCGTCCTTGTGGATTCCAACTTCGCCTGCACAGTTGATCTGTTCGAAGTTATAGCCGAAGGCATCGTTGATCTTCCCGATAACCTCATCGACGGACGGCTCCCATTTCTCCTTCACACTCTGGATCTTTCTTTCATATGACTCGAGTTTAGCGTTCATCTCTTCTTTCCTCTGCGTCAACTCCAGAATATCTTGTGCACGCTTTTCGTATTGTCGTAAAATTGCAGGGTCGACTCCGTGGATCAGCTCGAGCTTAGTAGACTCGGCACCGATTTCATGCTCAATATCCTCGGGCGTTTTATCCCCTACGAGTCCGTTTAGATATGTAAGCTGATCGTTCGCATCATCGCACGCCTCCTCGACTCTACGACGAGCCGCAGCCGCAGTGGTTCTGAGTTGCCCCAACTCTGTCTGCAGATTCTCGATCTCGACTTTTTTCTCGTCGAGTTGTTGCATGAGATTGGAATTTTGCTCTTCTAGACTCTTTACATCCGATCGTGCTTCTATCAGACGGATTTGAACCTCTAGTAGGGCCTGGTGGGCATCGTAGATCTGAGAAAGTTGCTCCTTGTGTTGTAGTACGGACCTAGCCTTTTCCACGATGAGCTGGTCTTCCTCGGCACTGTATTCGAATATTCTCTGTCTACACTCCGCAAGTTCAGCTTGTGTGTCTTCCAGAGATTTCTTCTCGGCCACTATAATCCATTAGTTTTTGACCCAATTTGTCGACCAGCATTTCCTTACCGATTTTATCTCCTAGCGTTGCATACTGCGTAGCGGCTCTCTGCAGCTCGTTCTTTTCTTTTCTTAACGCATCCTTCATGAAGGTTAGATCTGTGAAGGACTAAGCACGTGGATATACACTCACTATTTGTTGTCGGATTGGTGCATCGCTTTCGTCAATTTCCTGGCTACGCGCCTTATTTTCTTGACCTTGTCTTTTTACTTCCTGGATCTCCTCGTCCAATTCATTGATTCGTTTTTGCAACGCAACTCTTTCGGCATGGTCGACAGGCTGGTCCGTCCAGAACTTACCTGCATTGACCCGCCTGGTAACCGTCGAGACCGCACCATCTCCGTATTCCCTACGCCTCGTAATGCGGTACACCGTAGTATTGGTAGCCCAGCTAGGAACTCTCTCGCAATTGGCTATCTGGGTATATTGGTCATTGGTAGTGTCCTGAAAACCAACTCCGGAGACGTGCAACTTTTTTTCCGAGCAGAGCATTGCGAGAACCGGGTCGGGCCCTTCTAGGTACTCGATAGCGTATCCATCAAGACCCATCTTACGAATTTGTTCTTTGGGTATAGCTGGTCGGAACGACGCAAACTCGCTTCCGCAGGTCCTAATGGTTACCGAGAGCCCCAATTGCTTGAAGAATTGAGAGCTTAGCTTCTTGTGGTCGTTTCGAGTCTGGCAGGTGAAGCAGAAGAAATCTTCATTTGCGAGAAGAGATTGAATTTGGTTCGAGAGCCGCTTATCTGTAACGGAACAAGCGAGCATGGGCGGGCCAAATACTTGTTTCTCAAATTCATCTTGATGCGCCTGAAGCCAATCCCAACCTTTAGCAGCATCTGGATGCATTCTCCTTAAATAGGCAAGCTTCTGGCCATCTTGGGAATTCAGAGCCTCTAAGTCCTTTGCTGCCATGGACTTTGCTTCCTGCTTCCTCGTGTTAAGATCCTTTAGCTCATCGAATTGGGTACGAAGTGTACGCTTCTCTGCCTCGTTCTCACGCAAAATATGCTCTTGTTGACGCTAGATTTACATATGTCAGTATAGGAGAACACTGGTGATTAGATTGGTACCTACAATCTTCTGGTTCCATTCCGAGCCAACGAACTCAGGAGGCTTGTTTTGTAGCCTGGCCTCGAGATCCGTAATCGTCCTACGAATCTTTGCTAAGTCAGATCGTTTAGTACTATGGGAATTGTCCTCGGCAACCCTCTTGTTTTGAAGATGCTTGATTCGTTCATCTTGAGCCTCTATGGCTTGTAATAGTCGGTCACATGCCGCCTCGGCATTCTTCAATGCAATCTTACGCTCCGCGACAACAACCTCAATATTTTGCTGGTATTCTTGCTTTCGATTAACGGCTTCGAAGGCAGGCCCACAAGCATGTTCTAGTTCCAGAAGCCTCCTGGAGGCGTCCTGCTTCTTCTGTTTTGCCTCGGTCACTAAACGACGAAGAGTGTTATACTCGGCAATAGCACGAGCGCTATGGAGGTCTTGGATCTTCTTCTGGATAGCTTCTCTTTCGCGTAATCGGTCCACATCAGCTTGCGATCCCTGCTGGCGTGCTTCGTGACCCTTTAACGTCTCAGCACAGCCATCTAGCCTCTTCTTAAGTTCCTTATGTTTCCCGTAGAGTTCTTTCAGTTGATCATGCCACTTAATCATTTTTTCAGGAGCAGCGGCTCGCAGGGTCTCGTGAAGAAGTTGTATAGGTGTAAGGCCGGCGAATTCAGCAACTCGATCTTGAGGTAGAAATTGGCAAAGGTTGTCTATTTGGATGCGTAATTCGCTCGTTAGATTCTTAACAGCCTGATGCGTACAGTCTCGTCCGTTAAGCCACCATTTCGTCTTGTTGTCTTCTTTGCGTATCTGCATACGGATTACGTGATTGGAACGCTCTTCTGGTGAGCTCTGTAATTCAATCTCAACTATAGCGGTTTCTTTTCCATGCTTTACAAACTCCCCGACGTTGCTCGCCCGACCTAGATGTTTCGGATGAAAGCCCAGGCCCAGGCAAATAGCACAAACTAGAGAACTCTTGCCAGTGCCATTTGGACCAATGACCATGTTGAGATTTGGGCCGGGATTAAACTCGGCGTGCTCGTAGGTGACAAAGTTTTCGACTAGAACTCGTACGATGGCACCGGTCTGGAATTCACTTATGCCATGTTGACGGTCGGCTGCCGATGGTGAGCTCTTTATCCGCATTCGTCGAGAATGTCCTCGGTTTCGATCTCGGACTCGTCGACTATCATTATCGTCGTCATCGTCTGATAAAGCTCCATTTGTAGTATTATGTGGTGATTGTTTCGGCATATCCGAGTCCGAGGAATGCTCGTCATTTCCCTCCTCGGCCAGAGTCCTTGACCGACGGTGGGACGACATAATCTTGAAAAGTGTGTAATCAGCTATGGCTAGCTGTACGTGTATTGAGGGGATTTTCGAGTTGATTAAATTGAGGGTTCCCGCAGGATATTAACAGCACTCAAAATTGCCATATATCTCGGACAATTTGAATAAGAAGAAGTTATGTATGTAGGCTGCGCTGATCGAATTACAGATAATATGATAAGGATTAAGAATATCCACCAGGCAAAGACGCGATTTCCTTTAAAGAATCGTGCCGTAGACGCGTTCAAGGTGGGGGTAGTTGGGGTAAGTAACTAAGTACTTTACTTAAAATCTACCTACCTAGCCTTTACCGATTTAGGAAAGACATGCGTGAGTCTACTGCGGCTAGTAATATGTACCTATGTAGCCTTCAGGGGTTTAGAGGCTGAATTGCAGGGATCTACTGTAAGGCTCTAAGTAACGTCATAACACTAAAGACGACTCCTACTATATAAACATCTCGCGATATCTATGGACTATCATCGCATTCCCCTCAAGTATAATTCAGACCAGTGAACTAACCTTGTCTATTATAGGAGAAATTTATGTAAGTTGAGTATGAAATACTCTATAATGACTAAAATACCTTCCTTGGGTAGGTACCTACCGTAAGTGTGGATGGAGTGAAGTGAAAGTGAGGTCGGAGTCACGCTAGGGACTGTAAATGGTACATATTCAAAGGTATCTAATATCATGCAGCTTCACTGGGACGATACAGGAAGTTAGTGGTATTTTATTGTCCCCGGCACATATGTTTAGCATGCAGCACTGGAGCTTGACAAGTTCAACCGACGGAAGGCAGGAACGAACCTCAAGACTTCCAGGTTTCGACACTTATAAACGTTTTCCTTCATTTACGTTCATCCACTTACCAAAAGAATTACTATTTATATCCAGGAAGCCGAAACATTTTTAATCAACGTTCACACCAAACACCTTGGTACTCAGTACGTATCTACATACGTAGGTGGTACGTCGATACGTAACTCTGGTGTCTTTGATTTCGACACGCTTTTATAAAACACCACATTCTTCACTTCAGTTAATCTCCCACCTACCATTCTTCACCTCTCTTTTCTTAACTTCCAAAACTTGGGCATCCAATTCCCAGATTCTATGCTCTGCATTGGAAGCAACCCTCTTTTTGTCCTTCAATTGATTATCTCTTCTACTTTCTCCATCTTCTACTACGCACTCCTCCATCTTCCTCCATCCTCCTCCGTCCTCCTTCATACTCCCGGGATTGCCGCAAGTGTTATCGTGCACTTGACGATCCCGTTTCAACACCTGACTTTTCTATTATTTCTTCTTTAATAATCTGTCGCATTGCATCGCATCGCGTCGCGTCGCAACTATTACTCTGACCTCACACAAATCTTTACTCTAGACCAAGGCTATCATCCCTTTGATAACCTTGGTACGTTCATCAACCACACTTTCTATTTACTTTCTCAAACACATCTCACTCCGACTCTATACCCTCTATCCATTGTTGCTACTCCAACCTCTAATAATTCACCTGGGACATCCATCTGGACTCATGTTCTAAATATTCCTAGCTGTGAAAATGGCTGGCCAACGTGGTTCAACCGGTCAGCCTTCTCGCCCTCCCTTAGGAGATGCTACTGCCCGTGTAATCAACACCTCCTCGGCGCGGCCTTCTAAAGTTCATCATATACAAGCTCCTCAACCTAGCCCCTTAGGAGCGCATCCTGTTAATAGATACATTCAACAGCCGGCTAGTCCCACCACAGGCTTTACTTCGAAGGTTGATCCACGACGTAGCCTACGTACACCAGCTCCTCCAGCTCCCCCAGCTGTTCTAATTACCCCAGCTATAGAACCACTTGAGCAGGATGATGCGGAGGGCGCAAAACGCGAATCACAAGATTCAACTCCTAAGCGTCGTAAGACCCACGTCGGACCATGGGAGCTCGGCAAGACTTTAGGTCTTGGTTCAGCCGCCCATGTTCGCCTTGTCAGACACAAGTTTACTCAACAGTTAGCTGCTGTCAAGATCCTATCGAGGGATGTGCGACATAACACACAACCAGGAAGTATAGCGGAACTTGATATCTGGGATCGCAGTCGCAAGGAGTACGAGACAGAGAATCGTATCCCGTTCACTATCGAAAGAGAAGTTGCTATCTTGAAGTTGATCAATCACCCCAACATCGTCAAGTTGTATGACATCTGGGAAAATCACCAAGAGATGTACGTCATTTATATTCAATCTTCAGGTATATTCAACTACTAATATAAGCCGCAGTTATATTGTTCTGGAGTTCGTTGAATGTGGCGATTTCTACGGCTACCTTGATGACCATGGACGCCTGCCCGAGCCTGAGGCAATGTTTTTTCTCCGTCAGCTAGCTAGCGCTCTGCAGTATATGCATTCATTCAACATCTGTCACCGTGATCTCAAACCGGAGAATATCCTCATTACGAAGGAGAAACAACTCAAAATCACCGATTTCGGCATGTCGGCACTGCACCAAAGTCCTCATCATTTGTTGAAGACGTCATGCGGAAGTCCGCACTATGCTGCCCCTGAACTCGTCCGTCCGGGGCCCTATCGAGGTGATAAGGCCGACATTTGGAGTCTCGGCGTCATATTCTACGCCTCTGTCATCCATGCTCTACCATTCAATGATGACAACGTGTCAAAGCTCCTTGTGATAGTCGAAAAGGCACATTACGAGATACCCAATTGGGTCAGCAGAGACATGAGGGGCTTCATATGTTGTCTGTTGGAAAAGGACCCTGAGAAGCGCCTGTCTGCGTCCGGAATTTTCGAGCACCCATTGGTGAGCAAGTACGATTACTTGGATGATTATAATAAGGGAGAGCGAGCTCTTATCCTTCGCAACAACGCCCGTTACGATCCAGTACCCGCTAGTGAGGTCGATGCGCAAACACTGAGACAGTTGAAGTCTGTGTGGCATACCTATTCAGAGCAGCAATTGGCATCATTGCTGACCAATTCGGAGTACGTTCGATATCTTTGTGCCGCGTCAGCCTTGCTAACATATTTCAACAGGCGTAATGAATTCAAAATGTTTTACTGGTTACTCTATAGTTATAGAGAGGAACGACTAGAGAACTACGGTACCGATATCACGTACTCTCCCAGCGATTATCACCACCTGCAACCTCCCAACTGGAGGAAGAAATATACAACGGTCGAGTTTGCAGGCAAGAGTGGACGATCTCCATCGCGCTTCACTGTCATTTCAAATGTCGCTACTGATGAAGACGGCGTAACCCTAGAGCGTGCCAATACAGATGGCGGCAATACCGTCAAGAGTTATGATCCGTATAGATCTTCTCTTAATATGGATGATATCATTGCTGGTGAAGCGAAGGTTACTATTCACCGTAATAATACTTCTTCGACACGAGGTTCAAAGAATACCAACATGCGCGCCGGATCGATAAAAACGAATAGTTCTACGCACTCACGGCGTAGCAAAGGAAGCCGAAGCGCAAAAGCTCCGTCCGCACGACGCAACTCGCGACATTCTCTAAAGTCTATTATGAGCGGAGAGGAAATTTCGTACCAGCGAGCAGCTCCGCTTCCCAAGCGAGGTGTCGAGTTTCCACATGCTCAGAGACGATTGATTGACCAGGGCCAGGCAAGCAACCGTCCTGTCAGCATTGTTGGAGACGATTCCATCCAGAATCGTCACGTTTCCTGCCCCGAGAGTCCTAGTAAGAGGGCCAAGCTATCTGGAAACTCTGGAAGGTGCCGCCCGGGCACACAATCATTAGCTGACGTCTCCCAAGTCAATGTCCATGATATAGATTGGATGAAGGATTTGCACGATTTTAGTTGCAGCATTGCAAAGGACTGTGACGACGCTTTCAATTCGTCTTATCTGACTAATACCCCCGTCGCATCGCCGAATTCAGAGAATGCGAAAAACATCTTGGTTGGGACCCCAAGCCCGACTACAACTCTGACCATTCGCGGTGCTGGGAATGTCAACATAAGCCTAGAACCATTGGATATGCGACAACCACCGCCGGTGTCGTCTTCAAGAAACGTAGTTACGCATGACTATGTCACGGCACGGGGAAGAGCCGATCGAATGTACGGCCAAATCCCTGGGTCTCCTGTTCAATCATCACCATGCAATCGCTATGGCTCGTCTGCAAAGGCAGATGCAGAGCGCAGAATAGTCACGGATCCTATACGCAGCGCATCCGATATGTCTTTCTTGCCTTCCATTAACGAGGCATCGGGAGAAGATGGTTACTATAGAGGTGAGGATAAACCTCGGGTTGTTTCTGCACCCGAGCCTTCAATGCCTCACAATATGCCAATTGATGAGGGCGAGGGGCTGGAGTACTTGGCTTCACACGGAAATACTATACGCGTAGTATATTCTCCTTCTCATCAAGCAAGCAAACCGCGGGCCCCCTTAGTTCCCGGTGCCAAACCAAAGGCTCCGATTGTGCCGGAGTCAATGATTCATCAGCAACCCGAGATGAAAACTTCAATTCCTAGAGAACCTTCCGAGAAGAGTTCTATTACTACTATGAAGAAGAAGACATCCTGGTTTAAACGCGGTTCTAAGGATAGAGCTAGCATCTTTGAGAATTTCGAGCAGAGCAACCCCGAGCTCAATCGTACTGATAGCAGCTCATCTACTGGTAAAGATAGTCTGCAAACGAAAAAGAAGAGCTTTGGCTTTGCCTGGTGGCGTGGAAGCAAGGAACAGCGTCAGCTAAAGCTCTCGCTTGCAGGTAAGCTATTTTCCCGCGATTATCGAGATACCACGAGAAATCTAATGGTAATTACAGACCCCGATTACGATGATTCTACTCCATATGAACGTGCGCGCACGTTTAGTAACCTATCCCAGCCATCGCATGGTAAGAAATGGGATGATAAGACTGCAGCTCGCAACATCGAGCCTCAGCAAAGCTGGCTAGCTCGTCTATTCCGAGTCAAACCAGCAACAAGATACATATGTTTCTCGCTTTCCAAACTCCGCACTCGACAAGAACTTTCGATCTTATTGAAGAAGTGGCGCCGTCATGGAATGAGGGGTGTTGTAGTGGACAGGGAACGTTATCTTGTCTTTGCCCGTGTTGGCAAAAAGAATCGTAAGTCTTCAACCGATATCTCGAACGTACGAAGATATGGGTAACTAAACATGGTTTATACAGATCTTGGGTTGAAGGAGGCTTCATTTGCTGCGGAGATTATGACAGTTATTGAGCACGGCAATCATAACCCGCTGTGCATTGTCCGATTTACCCAGGAACGAGGAGCGGCTACCACCTTCAACAAGGTGGTCGATACTATGGAGGATGTCTTCGACGCACGTGACATGCTGGTCACAGACAAATACAAAGCGAAGATGATGATAAAGACGCTCAACTCGTGATACGGCTCTACTTAGGCTTTCGGCCATAGTCGGGATGCGAGCATTTGGGCACACATTGGTTCCATTGGCCTCCCCTATTTCACCTATCCGTGGCACTTGCGGGGTTTTTTAGTGGTTGGTTGCACACATTGGGAATGGATACCTGGAGTAAGCAGTTGAGAGAGTCTGAATAGTGAAGGTCTACTTGATACTGTACCATGTTGGGATGTTTGATGGTTTTGCGGGCGAACGTTGGCAATTCTCCGCGGGTCTTTGTTTTATAAGGAAAAAAGCAGGAAAGAAAAACGGTGATAGTAATGATGGTGGGATCCAAGGACCAAAGTATAGGACGGACGACGGAGGTTGTACAGATAACTCCCGTTGCAGTGTAAACTTGCTTTTGCTCCGCGTTGAACAAGATGGTCTAAGACACGGGATCTCACAGACGTGTACCGGTACATGGCGGTACCTAGATAATAATACAATGCCCCCCCTTTCGCCTGATTGTATCGTCTACCTAACCATTTTGATGGGTGATCGTCCGTCGTTTTTTCTTTTTTTCTGGCTTTCGTGAACTTGGGGACATACGCATTTCTGTACTCCTGAATACCCAGTAGTAGGTACCGTGTGGCTGATTAATTGATTATGTAATGTAGTCCAAGAAGGTTGGGGCTATACCCTTACATAATCAAACCATTGTTCGGGTGTTTCCGGTCCGAATTCCCACATTGGAATATGACAGGGGTATATGGACGAATGGAACAGGCTTACTGTTTGGTAGCGACCGGCAAATAGGAAAGCTAGGGCATTTTGTGCCTATCTATGATAGAAGGAGCATTTCTAAAGCATCTTCAAAAATTGAGCGTTTTTTAATCTTCATTTTTCTATCGTTCGCGCTCCCTTCGTCGAACAAGTTAAACAAATTATTCCTTTAGGTACGCTACAGAACCTTAAATTTAACCGGATCTTTAATAGAAAGATCTACCATCCGTTTCGGGAATCCGTCAGCTGATAGAAGACAGCCAATTGGTCACTTCGAACCTTTCAATTGATCTTGGGACCTCGGAAGCTACTACTGCGTTACTGCGTCATGCTGCGATCGGTACGACCTACGGCCGCTGGCCAAGCTAGGAGTTGGTTTGGACCGAGGACTGCTCCGCGCCTACTTTCCACATGCAAAGCCTCCGCCTCCGCATCTTCTTCGTCATGTGTTACTCCGATATCCTCAATTCCTGCTAGAAGCAACATACACAACATATCTACTAAACCGACATATTCCCTACGATTTCAGAGAAACCTACATGCGACAACGATAAGAATGGCTGCCAACACGAGAACAGAGAGCGATGCCTTTGGCGAGATCCAGGTCCCCTCTGACAAGTACTGGGGAGCTCAGACTGAGCGATCACTTTCCAATTTCCGTATTAACCAGCCCCAAGATCGAATGCCTCCTCCGATTGTGAGAGCATTCGGTATTTTAAAGGGTGCTGCGGCCACCGTCAACATGCGATATGGACTTGGTATGCCATAACCCTACATGTCCTACATAGAGCGCATTGCGCCCTAACTACACATGTGCGGGATGTTGGCTTACATGCTGCGACTATGCTATTACAGATGAGAAGATCGGAAAGGCCATTCAGCAAGCCGCCGCCGAGGTGGCCGACCTCAAGCTCATCGACCACTTTCCCCTCGTCGTCTGGCAAACTGGCTCCGGTACACAGTCCAACATGAACGCCAATGAAGTCATCTCAAACCGAGCTATCGAGATCCTAGGTGGTACAAAGGGCAGCAAGAAGCCGGTACACCCGAACGACCACGTGAACCGATCCGCCTCTTCGAATGATACCTTCCCCACCGTCATGCATATTGCTGCCGTTCTCGAGATTGAGGGCGAGCTATTACCGTCGCTAAAGAGCCTCCGGGATGCGCTCCAAAAGAAGGTGGACGAATTCGAGGCGAAGAAGATCATCAAGATCGGCCGAACTCATCTTCAGGACGCTACCCCTCTAACTTTGGCGCAGGAATTCTCGGGATACGTAGCTCAATTAGACTTTAGTATCAAGCGAGTAGAGAGTTCCTTGCCAGACCTGAGATTGCTTGCTCAGGGTGGTACCGCTGTAGGCACAGGAATCAACACTTTCGAGGGCTTCGCTGAGGCGATCGCCGAGGAAGTCAGCAAGATGACGGGAACCGAGTTTAAGACGGCCCCGAACAAGTTCGAATCGCTCGCTGCACATGACGCTCTTGTCCAAGCCTCCGGCTCCCTCAACACGCTGGCTGCATCGCTTACCAAGCTTGGCCAGGATATTCGATACCTAGGTAGCGGTCCTCGCTGCGGATTAGGTGAACTTATTCTCCCAGAAAACGAGCCGGGTTCCAGCATTATGCCTGGCAAGGTCAACCCCACACAATGTGAAGCCTTGACCATGATTTGCGCCCAAGTGATGGGTAACCACGTTGCTGCCACCATCGGTGGCATGAACGGCCAGTTTGAACTCAACGTCTACAAGCCCCTCATCATCCGAAACGTGTTGCACAGCGTGAGAATCTTGTCGGATGGCATGCGCTCATTTGAGAAGAACCTCGTCGAGGGTCTCCAAGCCAACGAAGAGAAGATTTCTAGCATCATGAAGGAATCGTAAGTTCATCAAAACTCAATACTCCAAGAAACAATTATTAATCTTTGAAATATTTAGGCTCATGCTGGTTACCTGCCTCAACCCCAAGATCGGTTACGACATGGCGTCCAAGGTTGCCAAGAACGCGCACAAGAAGGGTCTAAATCTAAAAGACAGCGCCATGGAACTCAATGCCCTCACTTCAGACGAATTCGACACGCTCGTCAAGCCAGAACTCATGGTCGGGCCCAAGCCTTACAAGGGCTAGGTGCATCAGGTAGTTGAGCCCGTCGTACAATACGTTCAAGCTGAACTTGATGCGATTGAGAAGAAGGCGGCAGCCTATCACAGTCAACATCACCAATCTCCTCAGCAAGACGTTACCTAAGCATTTGCTAACGCATCGCTTTTACTGTGCAGTCCACTGTCAATAGCGACCTCAGACTTTCGCAGATCGTCGCAGATTGTATATAAATATGAGTAAAAAATAGAGTAAATTGATATCAACAACCTTGTCGGCTACACTTAGGGGACCGAACTTCGGATCTAAATTGGCACGAAGAATGAGGAGGTTCTTTTAGACTGTTCACCAGTCTCATTATCTCCATTCTCTTACAATACTTTATTAAGCAGCTCCGTAGGATTGGATGAGTTGCAGTGAGTATCACGATAATAGATGTATCTAACCTGCTAGGTCAGCTCTTAGCTGGGGCTAGGGCTCGGGTACTTTCGGCAACCCACCCGATCTAGGACATAGAATTGGTTGCCATCCGACCTCGGCAGCGCGGGGGAGGATTGAATTTTTCGGTATTTCGGAAATTCCAGGTTTAGAAGGCTACGTCACCCCCAACCGATGATTTGTTCCAGGGAATCATCCAATCACATTGCGACATTCAGCTACCTATCCTACCTATTAGCTTACTGCTCTTGTCAATGTCCATGTCTTCGGGTCGGCGTTATGCATATGGCAATCTTGCTGGGTTCTCATTATCTAAAATATCCCTTTCAACTATGTAACTTCGTATCTATCTCGGAAAAGCCGACAGCGGGAGCCTTACCGGATGGCGACATCGCTGCGAACACCTTGGCTGTAACAATTTGAATTTGTTTGTGAACTGAGGGGTTATTCGAAGCTGGTACTGTAGGACTAGGTACGGCGTAATTGATAAGATACTGGATTGATGCCGTCATGATCAACGAACTGTGAAATACCAATTATCGATAAAATACGGTTCCTTATGAGCGTCGGACGGATGGGTTCCATATTTACGGCATAAAGGACCAATGATAATGCAGGAGTCAGCTCAGCTTGCCGTTTTCAATTGACATGTGGGGAAAGAACCTTGGGGAGCTGGGGAATGCCAGGTGCTTTACCAATGAATGAGAGCCGGGGTAAGAGCTTTACTTAGATCTTTCCCGACCTGACGACTTAACATGTGAAGGGTTTAACTAAGTACAACAACTAAAAGCTTCATATATGCGGATAGACATTCGTATGTCCTTCCATGTCCATGCGATGATAGGGTGACAAACCTCCTAGGTTAACCTCTTAGAGTCATGGAGAGCATATTTCCCCCACACTTTCACAAGCTTGAATACCTAGGTAAGTAAAGTATCTCTCCTCCTTTCTAAATCGGCTACATCAACATCACGTAGCCAGTCATCTACCCTCCTTCCAACCGAGCCCAGAACGGGGAAAGGCTTAAGAGACGCCTCATGTCGTAGTCGACAATACACCCGTGGATAGCAAGGTAGGCTGGTATGTAGGTTGGTAGGCCTAGACTATTCAGACACTACCCAAACAACCTAGGTAATAGACTAGTAATCTAGATACTGTACCATACCTACATAAGTTCGACACACACCCCTCCCTTTCTGCAAGGAGGCTTCAACTTTAAAGCGGATTGCCTTGCCGTAGCGTCCAAACTATTGTCGTCGTCCGTTTTCTTATAACCGTGGAATCCCGTCTGTATCTCCATATCTAGCCCTACAACCGATTTCCCGCTAGTTTTTTCTTGCCTAGGTAGATATCAGACAAAGAAGGTACCTTATATATTACCATTGACTTGCCCTCCTACTCTTTAGCTCTCCCTTATCTTGTCCTTGACACATTCCAACACATACCTCGTCCTAGAAGCCGATCTATACACATTTCCACATATCCTCTTCGTCGGAGCTAGAAACGTATAACCGAATATCATATCTCGGTGGAGTAGAAATAAGGGTTGGCTAGAATATAACTCACAATCATAATCGCAACCACCACAATGGCGACCACCGAGTCTATCCTCCAAGGCGTCTCCATCTCGGGCGACATCCAGCCCGAGCATAAGAAGATCCTCACACCGCAAGCGTTGGCCTTTCTAGCACTGCTGCACCGCTCCTTCAACGTCACGCGCAAGGTTCTTTTAGAACGCCGCATCATTCGCCAGGCCGAGCTTGACAAGGGCTACCTACCGGACTTCCTCCCAGAGACCAAACACATCCGTGAGAACCCGACATGGAAGGGTGCTCCGCCCGCCCCCGGTCTCGTCGACCGAAGGGTAGAGATTACGGGCCCGACCGATCGCAAGATGGTGGTTAATGCGCTGAACTCCGATGTCTGGACTTATATGGCCGATTTCGAAGGTAAGCTCGGATCTATCACCAATACTGGCTATAGAAGCGTCTAGTAAAGTCGGGAGATGCTGGAAGATAAAAGGGGAGGGGATGAGAGAAAAAGCGCTTGGCTAACCCAAAGAATAGATTCGAGCGCCCCGACGTGGGACAACATGATCAACGGTCAAGTAAACCTATACGATGCGGTGCGACGCCAGGTAGACTTCAAGATTGGACCTAAGGACTACAAGCTGCGAACAGACAGGGTGCTACCAACATTAATCGTGCGCCCTCGTGGCTGGCATCTAGACGAGAAGCACGTTACGGTAGACGGTGAGCCGATCTCGGGCTCCCTGTTCGATTTCGGTCTGTACTTCTTCCACAACGCACGCGAGTCCGTAGCGGCAGGGTTTGGCCCGTACTTCTACCTACCCAAGATGGAGTCGCATCTCGAAGCACGCCTATGGAATGATGCGTTCAACCTTGCGCAGGACTACATCGGGATATCGCGCGGTACTATCCGCGCTACCGTGCTCATTGAGACCATTCTCGCCGCCTTTGAGATGGACGAGATCATCTACGAGCTGCGCGATCATAGCTCCGGGCTTAACTGCGGTCGCTGGGATTACATCTTCAGTACGATCAAGAAGTTCCGCCAGAACAGCAATTTCGTGCTGCCGGATAGAGGCTGCGTAACAATGACGGTGCCGTTCATGGATGCGTATGTTAAGCTGCTAATCCAGACTTGCCATAAGAGAGGTGTCCATGCCATGGGTGGTATGGCGGCTCAAATCCCGATTAAGGATGATAAGGAGGCGAATGAGAAGGCGATGGATGGCGTGCGCGCAGATAAGTTGAGGGAGGTCAGGGCTGGCCACGATGGGTATGCGATTCATCTCCCTTTCCCCTATTATAAACTATATAAATTGGACGGTGCTGATATTAGTCTGTAGAACTTGGGTAGCTCACCCCGCTCTAGCGTCCATCGCATCCGAGATCTTCAACAAGCACATGCCGACACCGAACCAGCTGTTCCGACGTCGCGAGGATGTCAAGATCGGTCAGAACGACCTGCTAAACATGAACGTGCCCGGCAAGATCACCGAAGAAGGTATCCGGAAAAACCTGAACATCGGGTTGGGATACATGGAGGCTTGGGTCAGGGGTGTTGGCTGTGTGCCGATTAACTACTTGATGTACGTGGCTCTCCCATCCTTTGCATCTTACTCTTAATTCTAACTGAGGTAAACAGGGAGGACGCCGCCACAGCCGAGGTTTCTCGATCACAATTATGGCAGTGGGTACGACATGGCGTGACGACAGCCGAAGGCAAGAAGGTAGACAAGGCGTACGCGCTCAAGCTCCTCAAGGAGCAGACGGAACAGCTTGCGGCCAACTCGCCAGCCGGCAACAAGTTCGCCCTCGCGTCGCAGTACTTCGCCGGCCAGATCACCGGCGAGGACTACGCCGACTTCCTAACTACCCTGCTGTATAACGAGATCACATCCGTGGGTAACGCGGCACCGGCTAGTAAGCTATGATAAGCCTGCTAGGTGTTGCTAAATAGGGGAAGCCGGGTATCTAGTTGGTATATATTAGTATAAATCTAAGGGAGACGATACGAGATCATAAGGAAAGGAAGAGAATAAGAATGGTGACGGGACATAATGGACAATCAAGGCCAAAAGGATAGGCCGTATTGGAACGGCTCTTGTATGCTATGATGATATAAATGAAACCAAATCAAATCAAATCTGGAAATGACTCATTTATCTGTATGCTGGGGTTATGTGACGTGGTGTTGCAAACTTGCCCCTGTTCTTGATGTATATATAGACCTGGGTCCGTTAAGGAGAATGTTTCGCTATTTATATTAAGGGCGCATTGGGCTTTCTGCTCTTGAGCTTCTTCTCCACGAAGCCATATATATACCTCTTACAAGATACATACATAACTTTATTTCTTTATTTTATTCTAAACCACCCCTAAATCATGGGAATGAAACCTCCTTGGGAACTAATATTATCCATGGCACGATGGGCTCATTCATGCCTGCTGTCAAGTCACACCCACCTTACAGAATGTTTTTGTCACTAGGAGACTTCCTCGCATACCTTTTGGGAACACCAGTGTTCGCAATTGAGCGATTGCCGATAAAGATCATAAAGATCTAGTCGTCTTATAGACGCAGAGGAAAGAGCCTTCAAGAAGATGATGTTACCGAACTATTTTTTTTGAGTCGAGCTTCATGTCAACATCGAAGCTGCCAGTCCGACACCGCCTTATGAGAATTCAGCTACGACAACAACGATATGCGATGGTGAACTTGTGATTGAAGTTCATGCATTACCCGACAAATACTGAGCCCTGTGTTAGTGCAGCAGCCAAAGACCAGGAATCTGGGGTGTACATATATGACAGGCAGAAGAATAAGGACGGATCAGTACAGAAGCGACAAATACAAAGAAGAAATGTATTATCATGTATTTTAGATGATGGCGGTGGCAGTTGCCGAACAATTTGGATACACGGTGACGTCATCGGCTATCTTACCCTCAATGGCGTGCTCTGTACTAGGTACCAGACATCCTTAAACTGCATATCAATTGTACTTTACTTAGTGGATTCACATGTGCCTCATCATTGTATGCCTACGTGATTTATTCAGCTTACTCTAAGATCATAGATCCTCATACCGCGATTAAACACGATGAGTTCGACGCTTATCATAGGTGCCACTAGAGGTCTAGGAGCCGCCTTAGTGAAGGAATATGTTTCAAATCCGCCAGCACTTGTCTTCGCGACTACGAGATCTAGCGATACACCGAGTGGATTTCCGAGTGGTGTTAAATGGCTCTCCGGCATTGACTTAACAAAATCCAACGTCGGAGACAATCTCACTAATCAGCTCAAGGGAGAGGATCCTCTGGATGTTGTGGTATGCTCGAGGCTGTTGCTTTGGTTGCTTTGGCGATATCCTATTACTAATCTCATCATGTTAGATCATCAATGCCGGCCGATTCACCACTGAGGACTTTTCAGTTGAGAAAGGTCCAAATTGGGATGAAGAAGTGACCATGTATACGACAAGTTCGATTGCACCAATCTTCATCGTGCATAGTCTTGTTCATGCCGGACTCTTGAAGTCTGGCTCAAAGGTCATCCTGGTGTCTAGCGAGGCGGGGAGTATTACTCTGCGACACGAGAAAGAAGGTGGTGGCAACTACGCACACCACGCGAGCAAAGCTGCGTTGAACATGGCCGGCAAACTTCTTGCCATCGACCTGAAGGAAAAGGGCATTATCATCAGCATCATCCACCCAGGTTTCATGCGTACCGAGATGACCAAAGGTGTCGGCTTCGACAAACATTGGGACGCAGGTGGCGGTGAGCGATAACGATCCACACCTCTGTAAATCGTGGGGCTAATATGTGTGCCATCCAGCCGTAACCCCAGAAGTCGCAGCGAAGAGCCTCGTGGAGTGGACGGACAGGCTAGATATTAGCAAGTCCGGGGAATATTGGGCACCTCGAGGTCCACGTAGGTCTTGATCCTCGATAGATTGAAGCTAGGCCGCATCGGTCACTGACGCTGAGTAACAGGAGATATCGGTATGGCTGAAACTGTGCTTGGGAAAGATCTCGAGACGCCGTTGAAACTGCCTTGGTAATTTGAATTTCCGGACGGCAGAGAAGCTTTATAGGGATTACTCGTTGATGTCAGTCTGCGTCCGGACTTTAGTTGTTGGGATTCCGGTTAGGAGTTCCGTGAAGTTGACCAAAAATGACGTAATTCAGAAGATGATAATTCTCCGTTTATCGGTCATTTCCTACCTTGGTAGGTAGAACGAGTTTTTATTTTCTTTCTCCTTTGCCGTAGTAAGCAGATATCAGACATTTGAATCCTCTTCTCTTTTGTTCCTTAATGGGATATGAAATTGATAAAAAAAAGGGGCGGCGATACAGAATAGAGGATCAACCACCTGGGCAGCACTTACATAGTTCCGAGTTAGTTAGCAGATGCAGGACTACCCCACAGAAACGCCAAGGGGGTTGAAATTCAACATCCATTGTGGGGGTTTCCTTCTCGGCTACAACGGACTATGTACAGTGGCTTGACGCTGCGTACCTGAAAAGAGTCCTGGTGTCTCTCATCACATGCGTTGTAACAGAAGGTTCTCGGTTCGACGTTGCCGTTTAGGTATCATTTCCATAAATCTGCGATCCGTTCTGCCGTTATCCCATAGAAAAGATCTCAAGACATTTCTCGGGATATATCTATCTAGGCAATAATTCATGAGGAATCCTACCCAGATCTTGTCGTTCATCCGTGCCCCTGGACCGCATCCCTTACTTACCTATTTCGAAATATGCATGTACGTATCACCTCGCCGAGTGGATAATCACGCAGTAACCTAGCGTTACACGTGCTATTGTAGACCCAGGTATATATGGATGCATGTGCTGTAGTTTCTGAGGATAAAGCGCCGTTAGGATAAATCATCAAACGAATAGGCTCTTTCGGTAACTTACGAAATCATGGATGAGAGCTAGTCCGGTCTGCATGATAGAATCTAGAAGCGCACGCCAAGCTTTTGAATCATGGTGTTTACTTTTTGGAGCTGAAGAATAGGTACCTAGTAAGGTGGTCGAGAACTTGGGGATACTTTACGGGCGTTGGAGCTGATTCGGACTGCCCCTCACAAGCTGAAATAAATCTCACGTACGAATGCCTGGTGTTGTATTATTAAACTTAAGCTGTCAAGGTTCGAATCAAATGGAATAATAACTGTAAGGCAACTTAAACTTAATAAGTCGGCTATGAAGTTGGTGACACAATCTCATTCTAGGCCGGAGCTAAAGTTTGTAGCCTGAAGTAATGAAAGTATAATTATGTGCATTACATATGAATATCAATATTGATTCCGGCTGTTACCAAGCTAGCGACAATTCAATGTTCTTGGTTTACTTTAATTCTTACATATGCCACAACATGATAATAGTCATCCCTTATTCAATGCTGTCCTTTTGTACTATGTGTCCTCTGTGGGATCATTGATAATACCATCGATACTATGTAGAGATAGCTTTCGATCAATACGAGTTGATGCGACCTTTTTAGGTAGGTCCAGGTCCTTGCCGGCTCTTTTATGTTCTTAGATACCCCTTCGCAAGGGCCTTATGCATGGCGGTAAAGGTAATTAATTGCAGTATGGATTGCACATTTTATTTTATTCTAATATGACTATTCCAATTCGGTATTACACCAGACCAGGTCACCCTGTCGCTTCCCCCGGATACTGTGTATTGTTGCTCTTTACGAAATCCCACTAACCTAATCCTAACATTTCCATACAATAAATAAGAAGGTTCCGCTAGGCCTCGGTTCTTAAACTCAATTATTGGACTCCTTTTGTCTCTTCCGAATTTTGTTGCGAACTTCGTGATTTCTTTTACTCTTTAACTTTTAATTCTCGATTCTCTTCAAAGACGCCTGCTCCAGCGCTCTGGATATTATTAATACAGACGATTGCGAAACTGTTGGACCATCCCGCTAGTCACTCGTTTCGTCGATCCCCATCGATATCCCCTTGTCCTGTCCTGTCAGAAACGAGCCAGGACGAAAACCCCCCATCTTAAATCAATTAGAGTCCACAGCGGGAGACAGCACCATCCCACTTAATTTTTTAGTACCGCCCGTTAGTTAATAGGGGTCTTCGCGAACATCGTCAACCTGGATGGGAAGGGGTTTAGAAGAGAGGAGAGCCGACCAGACCTAGGAGCATTGGAAATCAAGCTAGCCAAGGAAAATCTTGTCACCCGACCTCAAAGAAAGGGAAGATTCCGACAATTGGCCAAATAACCAAATAAACCATCCTTTTATCGATCGGTAGCACGCTCTCGCAACTTCGTACAACTTCTCCCCTCCGAGTTCAATCCGCCCAAAGTTATCCCCCTAAGATTTTTAGGTTTTCGAGCCACGAGCAACATTGAACGAACAACGCAAAATACATACATATTTCGAAACACTGTACTCGGTACAGGTGCAACAACAAACCAAGAAAGTCGCGACCGGGCAGCACGACTCGTTCTTGCATCTCGAATTTCGTACTAATTGTTGTACATACTAATTAACGGTCGCAATTATTTTTGCGAATCGTAACTTCCACATAGGTTTCCTTGCATTTAAGTGCAGGACAACCTAACGCGCGTTTCCATAACGTCTAAAAGCACGCCTTTCCCAACTTAACCTCTCTAACCATCACCACTCACACATCTTCAACGCCTATTCATTCACACATACACACACACACACCTATTTCATTTTTGGCCCAAGAGCTGACCACCGCTATCCCACCATTACGGCCACTCATCCTCGAATGCATATCGCATTCTCTACCTAAATTTACCTATCAATTCGATCGGTATCCTTTTTAATCTCATTTGTACCGGCAAAAGTACGTGTCGCGTCAGGTTACAAGCAGTAGCAAACGTCATCCTCGGTCCGCTACAGGTACCAAGTCCATCTAGCAATTTAGGTCGACTAAGGTCATCTTGGGTCGACTTGGCAAATTATTCTAACCACCCTGACGATCGCCGTCCATCTCTTCCACCCCTGACACACTTAGACACCACCTCAACCAAAGCTTGCTGCAGAATCCAAACTGCGCAACCATCCGAGTTTGATTTTAGAGCCCTAACCGAGTCGACAATTGGTTGACAGGGTCGCAGTCCGTCAATCAGTCATTTTTTCACGGCATTTCTCAAATCCTCGATTTACAACGACCGGGCGCTACCCGGCATCCCCTGCGAGATTCCGGAGATCCTGTACCGAAAACAGGGAAATTTAACGACGATGTCCACGCACTCAGCAGACCTTCTGGGTAAGTAGAAATTCCAAGATAATGCTGGCTCCGCCTCCCCCTTTTCATCCGAACTATATCTGGATGGTACAAGCATTAGAGACGATAAGGAGGGTTGGTTCTGGTCCACTTTACAGGACCATATGCCTGTTTCATTTGTAGAAATTGATGTTTCACAATCGCCTATCACAGTCGTCATTCCCATTGCATCAAAATCTGCACTCGTCCGGTTAGCTAACTATCGCTTGTTTGTCATGCAATAGGTCTATATGATAATGGCCAAAGCACCCAATCCGCTGGCCTGACGCTTAACCTTTCGTCAAACAACCCCTTTCGCAACCGAGCCGCTTCGCCCAATAGTTTGACATCCCCTCCCCATTCACCATTTGATGACCCCCTTCCTCCTCCCAGACCTACTTCAAGAAACCCTTTCCTCGATCCCTCCAACCAACCATCAACGGCTCGTGTGAGTTCACCAGACAAAATGGCATCTAAGGATCAGAAGAGTAGCGCCGATGAGTTATTTGTAAGTCGCCGAATTCCATATTTCAGTTGAATCGAATTGAAAGATGTCGCGTTTCATAATTGAGCAATTGCTGACATGTACGCAATTAGGGAAACTTGTCGCTCGAGGATAAGGCTCGACAAGCCCCTGGCCGACCGATGAATCGCCCTCCCGGAGGACCGCCTCGAGGCGAAAACAATCCTCCTCGTGGTCGCGGCGCACCGCCTTCTTCATCGCACAAGCCTACCCGATCGCAAGAAGAAGCTCTACGGGCGCGTCGATTGCCTAGTGCTTCGGTTGGAGAGAAAAACGCCCCTTCGCCCCAGAAGCGACCGACGGAGCGTCGTCCTCGTCGTAACAGCGACTCCTCGATGCTGGAGAAGCCTTTGACAGATGAAGAGAAGAAGGCACGCGAGCTCAAACGCAAGGAACGTGAGCGACGTCATCGCGACGGCAAAGATAAACCTCGCACAGGTCGAAAACTTGATATCATCGACCAGCTTGATGCTACGAGCATTTATGGAACTGGATGTAAGTTGCCGTCAGGCATTTCTTAAATTACGCATGCTCACTTGATTCTAGTATTCCATCACGATGGTCCATTTGATGCTTGCAACCCACACAGAAACCGAAAGGGCAGCCGTCGCGCACCGATGCAGGCATTTGCTAAGGATTCTGCCAACAACTCTATCGGCGGCTCAGGTCCTCTTACTCAAAGACCCGATCACAAGCAATTTATGGGACAAGAGCCTCACGAGGCCTCCGCCATGTTCAGCACTGCGGCCAAGGAGAGAAACGGCAGTAAGAGCGAGGCGACCTTCTTCGATCCAAAGCAGGCGGGCGAGGTAGTCGATGGTGAAGAGACACTTGGGCTAGGATCATCCACGTTCCTGGAGGGCACCCCAGCGACCCGTTCCGCGATCCAACGAAACCAGGCCGAGACAGCGCAAGAGTTCATGGAGTCGGGCTTAGGAAGAAAGAAGTCGGTGGTCCAGCGTTTCCGAAGTATCAAGCGTCCTGCGCGTGACTACAGCGATTCCGGACGAGTTACCAGCCCGGATAGCTACTATACCCCGAAGTCGGGTGATGCTTCCGCCGGTGGCACCAATGGAGAAAGGAACCCGTTCTTCACGGAGTTCGACAAAGCAGAGGAGCGCATCTCTGTCAAACGCTCAGGCTCGAACCCGGTTAGTCCCACACTATCCGGCCCAGGTCTCGAGCGCCGAACGACTGATGATGGAGTAGTAACAGCCGAATCGCCAGACGGATCGAAGCCAGGAAGCAACGGATTCCTATCGCGCGTCAGGAGCCTGAAGGGAGGGAAACGACAGCGACCGGAACCACCTAGCAGGGAATTCTCAGTACCGAAACCTGGCATGGCGATCTAAACCGAGTTGCGAGAAGATTAAGAGTAGTGTTGTGAATTATTTCTCATAAGGTAGCTGATACATGCAGCTACATTCAGAACTTGAGCCGGATTCGGTAGTTACTAGAGACAATAACAGTACATGGTGTTTGTAAGCTTCGGATTTCACGCCGATCTATGACGGCGAATTCATGACGATTCCTTCCAGAAGTTTTCTCTGTTAAAAAGTGCAGCACCGGCGTGGACCGGGGAAGATGAGATACGGGGAAGGATTCCAGGCGGCAGCAACTTGCATCGACTTGCATCGACACTCATTTGATGACCCTCACCTTTTGTGTCTGGATAGCTTCTTGCGTTGTCTTATTAGGAACGGGTAGCAGATCGGGTTGATCTGCTAAGCATTGCTAGTGGAGGCATCATAAGGGGAAATAGGGGAGGCATTGCTATTGCTATTGCTAGTGGTCATCAGGTCAAGTTCATGCAGATTGAAATGAGTGAATCAATGCCTAGTTGTATGATGCTACAGATAGCTAGTTATAAAAACATGCTCTGCTTTGATAAAGAAGGATCGAAGGTTATTTCGATACTTATGAAAGTATAAATTCTCCGCTTTAGAAAAGCTTCACATAATATATTTCTAAGAGTAAATTTTGTTCAATCGGGAATTATCTAATTACATAAACTTGACGTATAGTACGGAATGACTGAACGTTGAAGTTACCGAGCGCTCCTCACTTTACGAACCAACTCCCCAATGATTTTTACTCATCTTTCATTTTTTTTTTCCACGTCTCTACACCCTTTACTTACTCAACCTAAATGATAGCTGAAAAACTCTTCGCGATGTAAAATCATGGATCTTGATGCGCATGATCCGGGTCTGCCTCTGCCCGCAGTCTCGCAGGTTAGCTCGCATTTTGCCTTGCTGGAGCCTACGTCAGGCGCGACACTGTTTGAGCTCGAGACGGCAAGGCGCGAAGGGCTGAGACATCGCGGCACGCTAATGACCGGGTCCGCCGAGATCGATGAGGGGGTCTTGTTGGGTGGCTTTCAGCGCGGGCAGGTGGCGGGTGTTAGTGCTGAGGAAGCGGAGTTTGGGGTCCTGGTGAGTTTCTTTTTTTCTCGTGGTATGAGGAGACCGGGAAATAGGAGATAGGTGAGTAAAGGCGGTATAACTAACGTCATTATAGGTCGGGCTGCACACCGTAGCGCACGCTGCGGTCTTTGGCGTTGCGCGGAAAGCAACTATTATTACTACGCTGGCACCTGCGGCTATCTTGCCTATGTTGAGAGATGTCATCAAAGTGCAGGTCCAGGCTAAATTTGGCCCGACTGCGGGACATAGGCAGCAGGAGGTTAATGGGGAGGTGAGGCGGTGTCTCGAGCTGATCTCTGTCTCGAGGGTCTTTGATGTCGAGGGCTTGTGGGAGGTGATTGGCGAGATTGAGACGCCCCCTTCTCCTATTACTAACCCTTCGGTCGCGGTCGATGAGGAGGAAGTTAAAGGGACTGAGGAGAGGGTAGATGAAATTTCTCCTATGGAAGAACAACCAACTCTAGTAAGGTCGGGAACCCCAAGACTAGCTTCCCAAAGACCTGTCGTGAAAGATGGGGGCGAGTTCAAAGCCAAGGCTGTTCTACCTTCTTTACGACCGCCGAAGATGGAGAGAATGGAGGTAGGAGACAGCGAGGAGGATGAAGATGAGGAGCTTAGTTCGCCCTCGCCATCACCATCCGCAAAGCCACCATCTACATCGCCTCAACCGCCCTCTTCAAATCCACCTATACCCCCGATGCCTTTACCATCTCCTCCTACAGCACAAGTTGCTTCGGCTCCAATCAAGACACCAACATCTACTGACAAACAGGAAGAAACCTCTCATATCCCGGATATAATCATAATAACGCACTTTTCATCATTACTTACGAACCTCTTCACCCGCTCCGCCGACAACAGGACTAGCGCACACACCACCCTACAACTCCTCTCCTCGCATTTACGGTACCTATCCCGATCGTCGGCCGGGCCACTCATCATGCTTCTCAACACTATGTCCACGTCTTCCTCCTATTCTTCGACCACAACTTCTGCTTCAACTATAAACACAAAAAATACAAATGCTGCATCAAGAGGAGTCGGAGCAGCACCTAAGAATAAACATAGAGAACCTACGCTTCGCTCGATATTTAATCCCGGTCCGCCCGGAAAAGGGGGAGAGGAAGGAGTCAGAAGACATGTAAATACCAAACCCGCCTTTGGCGTCACCTTCGCGCAGTTCTTAGATTTGCATTTGCTGTGCACGCGCGTGCCGCGGACTCGATCTGATGCTGAGACCCTATTCGCCCCGGGCGGAAATACATCTCTTAACGCGGGTGCGGGTGAAGTTAAGTACAGCTGGGTGGTTGAGGTGCTGCTAGATGAGCTTGGGGTCTGGGAGTGGGATGACAGCGACGGCGGAGATAAGAAAGGAGGGAATGACGTGAGATGGACGAGGAGAAACCGGGAGCAGCGTTGGGGCGCGGTAGATTTACGCTCGGGCGTGAGGCTTGTCGATGTGTCGTTCCGGGAGACGCGGCCTCAGGGGCCTTTGAGGCTTGCTGCTGGGTTTGGGGGACCGCATCCGAGGGGTTTGTGATGTTTGGATGTTGTGTTATGATGCGGCACGGTACGGCTTGGTGATGTGATATTCTTTTGGTGCCTATGGCGCTCTACCAAGATGAGCTCAAGATACTTGGCTGTTTCATGTGACACTCAACGCCGTTACTAATCGATCCCGAATGCAAGTCTTAGGCTATAACAAGCAAGGCTTCACTCAAACACGATGATACATGAATAATGCAATCACAATCTGTAAATTTTACTCGATCTCTCTTTTATATTTTTGCGTAGATAGAAGATAGAGCGGCGTACGTTTTCCTTTACGCGGGTCCGGTCCCATGTCCGTTTCAAATAATTTGCCCAATTTCCCATATCATATCATACCATACCATACCGTCCGTAGCCTCATGTATTCATACTCGTCATATCATAGCAACTTATCACTCACTTTCACAATCCTTCCTTTACAACTCCACCTCCACACCCCCATCAACCTCCACATCCTCAACCCCAGCTTCCTCACCCTCAACCTCTTCAACATAAGGCCCCAGCCTCTCAACCAACTCATCAACACTAATCCCCCTCTCACTCTCCCCATCCCAAACCCCACGATGCTTCCGCGGGTGCGGGGGAATCAGCACCGTGTCAACAACCTGCACCACCCCATCCTTCGTCAACGCATCCTGCACCGCGACACCGACATGTCCATTCAGCTTAACGCGGATAAACCCATGCCACCGCGCAATATCCACCGCAATGTGCTTATCGCCCAGCAGCGTCGGTAGATCGATGTGGAAGTGTCCGTCTGCCGTATGTTCACCTACCTCCCCGCCGAACTCAGCGGAATCAGAAGGCACTTTCTGGTGCCCGTAGTACGCGTCGGAGTACAGCGTCTCGTTCGCGACGACGTGGTACTTCAGCAGCGCGCGCAGGAAGTGCAGGCCCTTCGGGGAGTTGAACAGGAAGGCGTTCGCGCGGGGCCCGAGTTTCTTGAATGCGGTGTTCGTCGGCGCGAAGAAGGTTAGGCCTGTGAGCGCGGGGTGGGTGGTGTTGGAATGGTGGTGGTGGTGTGGGATGAAGCCGGATTTGTGGGCGGCGAGCTCGAGGGTGGAGAATTTGCTGGGGAAGAGGGAGATGAGGAGTTTGGTTGGGGGAGGGGGCGTCAGGATGTTGTCGATGGCGTGCAGCGCGCCGTTGGAGGCGAGAAGGTTCGCGTAGACTACTTTGGTGAAGAAGTTCAGCTTCACCCCGAAGAGACCGATGCTTACGCGCAGTCTTTGCGGGCGGTTGCCGAGGTGTTCTTCTTCGAAGGCGGTGGGGAGAGTGTGCGAGGAGAGGATCCGGCTCGCGGGGTAGAAGCCCGGTAGGACGTGGTACTTGATGAGCTTTTCGATGAATTCCTTTGGTGGCTTGAAGTCCCGTGCGCGATCGGGGATCTTTTCGAAGGCGGCGTCGGTGGGCACGAAGATGGTTATGTTGGCGGATGTGCCGTTTAGTCTGTCGACCATCTCTGGGTAGTCATCGAGGAGCTTGGCGAACTTGGTGGTGTGGTTCGATGCACGGATGGTTTGATACACGGTTAGGTTTGTGGAATAGCCCCGTTGTCCACGGGGTGCTTCATTGTACAAGGACGGAGAGAGGAAATCGGTAATATCGGATCCGATGTCGATTTCAAACCCTTCGGCGACGATGCCCTTGAGCTTGTTTGTCTGTCGCTCGAGGCCATCGAAGGCGTTGTCGAGAGTGTCTTCGATGGATGAGAGAAGTGCGTTGGCGCCGTGACAGACCTGTTTCCGCCACGAGGACGCCGTATTCTCCACTTTCTTCTCGGTGTCGAGGACAAGCTGTTGTGCGGTAGCCTCATCGGGTATGACGATAGCTGCGGCCGTTGCCACGAATGGCAAGAGTGCATTTGAATATCTCATATTGATTACCTATCGTCGATACGACTTGGATAGAAGAAATCAATTGAAAGGCTCGGGAATTACGGAAGCGGGACAACTGTAAGTATATATGCGGGCAGGCTAGGTACAGCAGTCTACGTTGGTCTAGGCCTATGAGACGATGTCTTTCAAGCCAAGGGAACTTGGGCGGCTGCTGACGTAGGTCAAGCCCGGAATAGGTAACTGATGTTCGAATCACAGGAGGTGCACGTATCTGATATGTTGTCGGTTTACATACATACGAAAAAAGGGGAATGAGAAATAAAAGAATCAATTTATCGGCTGCCTAGGCTGCTAGGTAGACAGACGTGCGAGGCGTAATGTGATTTCTCCTCGTCTTCGCGTCATGATAGTTGCAGTTGTTAGGTAGAACAACTTACGTTCCGTCTGACGTCTTACGTCTCCTCCCCCTTTTTAACTGCCCCTCATTGGTCCTTCGGAGCCTTTCGAGCTGCAGATGGGAACCAAGAGAGCTCATCCCTGCCGCCCTATATGTCTCAGCCCCAGTTTTGTACCACTAGGTCGGATGGTTGGAGTGTCCGCTGCCCGAGTATGGTTCTTATTGGTTGAACCCCTAAGCCCCTATGCGTATTCCCGTTTGGAATGTGATATATCATATCTAGGTAGATGGGGTCGAGGTCTCGACTCGAGGCTCTGGCTCAAATGCCATCCGATGCAAAAACATAGCAAGTTCGCCTAATGCTTGTGGTACTTCTACATGAGCACCGCCTTCTTCATATTCGTGGAATTCCACTTTCCCCTTCGTCCAAGCCTTGAGGATATCATATAACTTTCGACCGTTCTCTACCGGAACGATGTTGTTGTCGCGCGAGTGGGCGATGAATACTGGAGTGGTTGCCTCCTGCTGAAACTTGAAATCAAGCATTAAATACTCTAGGCTACTCATAGGTGCCTAGCCGTTGAAGCTGATTAAGCCTGCGAACCGCTTCTTGAGGCAAAAACATGCCGCATACGCCGCTGCGAAACCGTGACCGAACCCCCCTAGGAAGATTCTCTCATGTGGGACATGTTTTAGCTCCTTTTCGAGGAGAGCCTCGATTATTTTGATGGTTCTTTGCAGTCCAGGAGTCTGACCTCTGGGTTTCTCGTCGGGGTTAATCGTGGACCAGGTGTCGAACCACTGAGGGATCATTTGACCAGTACGCTCCGAGTGTATATTCGGTGCTGAAGGGAAAATCCATCGGACGGTTGGGAAAGGATAATGTAACGGCCTGGGATCGACTGTAATCGCATCGGTTTTGCGCTCGATAGCCATTTGTATGTCGATCACCATGGAGGAAAACGACGGTGTGAGTGTGCTCGAATAATTTCTCGAAAAAGGTGTCTATCTGCGTTTTGATCTTATTTTTGTGACTTGTACGATGTAAATAGGTAATATGTAGCTCTACTAGAAATTGCTATTCTCATATTGTACAAGGAGTGTAGCATATCGACATCTTATCTCCGAAGAGATAAACAGGAGACGAAATAACTAGTAAATGCGGCCACGAGAACTTAGTTTTCATCCCAACTTGACAAGTACGGGATCGCAGATAGTATCGGCAGAATCGAACATTATATCAACTATATACGCTTTGATAGACAGGGGTGTTTGCACATGGCCAGAGTTTAATCTGCTAAGACTTACATAAATTGCATGGTGCCATGGAAAATATCTCTATCAACATCGTCGTACTTCATTCCAGTATAATTCCTAAATATATAATCTATTAATACAATTCCATTGTTTTCCTTCCTCTGCTAATCGCAAAATTACTCTATACGGAAAAATCATACTCAACGACCCCTTTATGTCGGACTGGATAGGGTTTAGCCCCTTTAGTTACCCCTTTTGTACTTGACATCCCATTCATAACCCCTTTATCGCATATAATACCCCTGAGAGGTATATATAGAATTACATAGCATCTTTCTAACTCAACGGGAAACAGTACGGACTATAAAGTACCGTATACCTTGAAGAAGTACTTGATAGAAGCACATGTGTAGATAGGGATCTAAAAGGATAATGGCTAACCATGTACGAAAATAGGGGTACCAGTCAGTGAAAACACCCCCTTAACAATAACGACGTTTAGAATCATACGGGTTTCATGATTCGTATATTGTTATTAAATAACGAGCCACGTTCGTCAACAATCTTTCCCATTCGTGTCTATAAATACGTATCTTCGATGCCGCCGTCGAGGGGTTTAGAATTCCACAACTAACAGCAATAGGCTGATAGCAATCATGGATCAATCTACAGAAGCATTGATTGAACGAAGCAATGGGTGGGAGAGTCGGTTTACCGCACCAACTCTGGCCCTCCAATCTTTCCTAGACAGGATCCCGCACATCGCGTTTTTGGAACTTGTCGAATCTCCAATGGTAGACTTCGCATATCGAGAGTTCTACTACGATTGCATGTCTTTAGCCGACACCCGTTTCGGTATTGAAGGCATTCGCAAGAAGGAGGATGACGAGTTACGTATCAGGCTAGACGCCTTCCTGCGCGCAATAAGCGACTTCGAGGCGAGACCTGATCTCGATGCAGAACTGTTTTCTGTAGTGAAAGACGTGGGTGAGCTCAGAGGCACTAGATTTGTAGATCCAACCGATGACCGACGACAGGTAAAGAAGACGTGGCAGGCCTATGAACATATAGCGCATTTTATGCGACGTCTTTACAGCTTTACCATCGAACTGGATTTGGCTATTAAGCCACTCGTATTAGATGCGAAGAAACGGATCCCAATTCTACTCGGCGCCCTCATGGTTTGTATGCGCGTACATCAAACGAACCAGTATCCGGAGTTAGAGCAAGTAGGTACACCCGGTACCCTGAGCTCAATCCCCTTCGACATCGACCGTTGGCTGGCCCGTTTTCACAACGTCGATGAAGATACTCGTTTGCGGCTTTATACTATTTCTTCGGATATTCGTGATTCGTATCGTGCCGAGGCGCAGAACGAGTACTGGCACCATGTCGAGTACTTCTCGATGTTTGCCAAATACGCAGGATCCGATTTTGAAGAGTTTCACGCTCTTAAAGCGCGAGGGTGGTGGTGGCATTGTGACAAGGGGCGTGCCATCCCCTGCGTCTTTAACGTTGAGGATTCCTAGATCGCGAATAGAGTAAGGCGTAGTTACATGAGATTTATTTCTAACCAGGTATTAAATACCTACCCACATACCCCTATTATTAATTGATTTATTACCTACCTACATATTATATGATACCTATATAAGCTAAGGTGAATGATTCGATTGATACTTAGGCGAAGACTTGTTATTATGGATTGCGGTTATGCTGATTTTTATATGTATTGAAGCTTTAGTTATTCCCCAATAGGAGTTCACAACACATAGACTGCCTATCTACCCCTATCCAGGCTTATGGCATCAGCAACCCCTGAACCCACCCATCCCCTCATTCATCAAGAAACTCCTCCAGAACCCGATTAAACTTCTCCGGATTCTCCACGAAAGTAAAATGACCACCCCCCTCCTCCTTCTCAAAAACCACCAGCCGCGCATTCGGCCCAACCTGGTCCACAATCCACTGCCCACTCTCCACCGGCACTATACTCGCCTTCCCAGCAATAACCAGCACCGGAACCGTGAACCGCGGAAACACATCCCCCCAATCCCACAGCGCATGTCCCAACATCATCGCCCCCGCCACCCTCGCCGGCGCCTTCGCCGTCTGTTCCTCCGCCCACCGAAACTCCGCCGCGTCCACATTCTCCGTGTAAAACCTCCCCGCCAACCCCCTCCTCACCTCGTCCCCCCCGGGTCCCGCCAGCTTATTCGCCATCTCGAACAGTGCTTCCGGGGTGAACGCCGCTCCCGCTAGTAATCTCTCCTCCGCGGTCCACGACGGGTTGATTGTCAAAGAGCGCGCTTGGTCGATGAAAACCACCTTCCTAACCCGTGTGTGCGGGAACAGGTCCCAGTGCGCCCAGATCGTGCTAGCGCCCATGGAATGCCCGACGAGAGTCACGGCGTGCAAGTCGAGCTGCTCGAGTAGCGCGTCGAGATCCGCGGCGAGACGCGGCACGCGGTACCCGAAGACCGGCTTGTCGGAGTCTCCGTGCCCGCGGTGGTCGTAGGTTGTTACGCGGAAGCGGGTCTGGAAGTGCGTTACTTGTTTGTGGAATTGTGCGGCGGTTTGGATCCACCCTGGGATGAAGACGATATTGGGGCCGGAGGTGGGTCCGGTTTGTGTGTATGCGAGACGCACGTTGTCCGGGAGGGTTATGAAGCCTGTTGTTGCGGCCATGGTTGTGGGGGGAAGGGTTGGTGGTGTTGTTTTTGGGGTGTTGGTTTTGGGGTGGTGGTTTAGGGGGAGGGCTAAATTGGGTTGTTTTGGAAGTTTGGATTTTTATGCTGTTTTATCTACCTAGCTATTTACTAGGAAAAAAGAAAGATATACATGTAATCTTCCTTGATGTAAGAAAGAACACAGAGCCTGTCCTTGATTTCCACGAAGGCCGTTGCTGTGCCTCTTTTATAGGCCGAATGGACGGAGCTTCCATTGGCTATATGCGGACCGCACGTTGCAACCAGGGAGACGTGTTTAATCTTAGCGTAGATCCGCTCCATAATGGTCCGATCTTGGTCAGCATCGACCTAACTCCTCTCTGCTCTTGCAGCTCTCGACGGTGTTAGGCGGTATTTATCTTGTTATCGTTTCCCGAAACCCAGTGCCGACTTTGGTGGGCATTTAGGTGGGTTTGATGGAAGTTCAAACTGAGACTGAGCTGTGAATGATCCCGGATGACAGGAATCGAAGTGCTATCCGATGCGGTTGGTATGGTGTCTAGGCGTGTCCAGGGATTTAGCTGACATCAGCACTATATAAATTCCAAATTATATACTGAGTAGCTATAGTCGCCGATCTTTCGTCCGCCGTACCCGGAGATTATTGCGGGCGAGATATGCCGTCTTTACTTAGCGTGTATTATATCTTTATATCTGATACTAGTTAGAATTCGCAAGATGTTGACTTAGTGTCACCTGATTTTTCCGCATCCTCCTCCTGAGGTAGATCGTGGTTTGGTATAGTTAGATGGATCGAACAAGCGTCGTGATCGGTCCAAAGAAACGGAAAGGACATTAATTCCCAAAGGTGATTATTCGAAGTTTTAGTCGCATTATGATAGACCATTAGGTTGTGTTAGATTCCGCGATTATTAACGCGGCTGCCCGGACTCCGAGTCGTTAGGGTCACCGAGCATTATAAATCTTCACAAGACTCCTTAATTTGAGAAGAAGTAATTGGCGTGGCAAGACGGTATCTAAAGTCCGTCCTCTTTATATAAACCGAGAATTAGAAAAGGGTATCGCTTAAACAAATATATTCCACCGAACTCCCAGAAAACCGTATTCCCCCAAACTCCAATGAATCCGCTGTTATTTACAAGAAAAAAACGCCTCGCTCTAGGTGAGATGACGTTGATGTGAATCTATTGGTTTCGATCATAGTTGGTCGAATGAATTCCATCTCGGATGTGAAAGATGGGTGACGTGATGTTTGTATGTATGTGTTGCTCTCGTGGCTAACACAGTGGCGGCGGCGAAATTTAGATATGTCGGATGATGAGAGAACCGATCATGTTGTAGATGTGCGTTACCGGGGCACGCTGCGGTGTTCTTATCGTATATATAGTCGGTAAGAAGTTGTATGTGTGACGAGGTTATTGAGGTAAGATGGCATTGCTAGAATAAATCGGTGCCAGCGATGGAAGCTAGGCGGGCGCTTTCTCCGGGGCAAGCTGCGGTGTTCTTATCGTATGTATGGTCGGTACGAAGTTATATGGGTGACGAGGTTATAAAGGTAAAATGACATTATAATAAGTCGGTGCCGGCGATGGAGACTAGGCCGGGCTCTTTGCTTTCTCCGGTGCAAGCTGCGGTGTTCTTGTCGTCTATAGGGTCGGTAAGAAGTGATGTTGGTGACGAGGTTATGGAGATAAAATGGAATAGATCGGTGCCGGCGGTGGAGGCTAGGCGGGCAGGTCGCTTTTTCCGGGGCAAGCTGCGGTGTTCTTTTCCTAACTAAGTAAAGTCGCTTCCGTCGGTAGCTAGGGAAGCTGACTAGTCTTCATCGAAGTCGAAGACTTTGATATGTCATCGAGGTTCGTATCCTCGTCTTTGGCTCTATAGGCCATCTATGATCTTGGTATAATGCCGGGGGCTATTCTGGCGGATACATAGTTCTCACCAAGCCATCTATAAGCTAGTTCTTCGGTATCCCTCATCTCGAATCTTCTAGCTGGGTATATCCCGGCTTCTCCCAACAAATCTTCCCTTCTTCCCGTATATCGGGGTTATGATAATGTCGCCTGTATGACGGGCAGGTGACTCGTATCGCATTATCCGGGGCATGCTGCGGTGTTCTTTTCATGTCGAAGAAGAGGATATGTGATATTATCGGGCTGTAGATAGGGGTATGCGTTATCCGGGGCACGCTGCGGTGTTCTTGGCCGTTGTCGAGATTCGATATCCACGACGGAAACTAGGTGGATATTGGTGCATTAACCGGGGCAGCTGCGGTGTTCTTGTCAAGCCTAAGAAGAAGATGGATGGTTGCGTTGTCCGGGGCACGCTGCGGTGTTCTTGTCGACGGTGAAGGTTGTCGATGGGATGGTCGTCCTTCACTAGAGGGCCACACAAGGTTCGGGCCTTGTGCGCCGAGGTGGTCGATGGTACAGGATGGTCTACTGGTTGGAACGTCTCTTCGACATCCCACCCTTCCTCGTTTCGTCCCCCCGCTTCAAGCGACGCTGCTGGAGCCTTCGTTGGCCCAGCGCGTTCTTGAGCTCCTGCTCGACTCCTCCAAGATCTTGGGTTGAAGGTTGAACGGGTTCTTGGAAGCTCTTCAGCTCCTGTTCAACCTCTCCAAGATCTTGGATTGTGAGGAGAGCCGGCTTTGGGACGTACTCGTGGTTGGCCTCCTCAGGCGCAACCTCCGCGGCAGGCTTTGTCTGCACGCCAAAACGCTTGATACTGTCCTCCAGAAGTGCCTTCTGGAGAACAAGCGTGGCGGCATCTTGAACCGCGTAGTGTTCTTCTCGTGCAAGAGCGAGCGCTTCGTTCGAGGAGTTGCACTCCTTACGATAGCGCCCGGTCTTGCTGAACACACGAGTCGGGGGGGTCGGGGTCGGGGGGGTGTTGAAGTCGGGAGGGGAAGAGAGAGGAGAGGGAGGAGTGGACGGACGGGTAGATGGGGTGACGAGAACGGAGGGACCAGGGGTGAAGGGGTCCGGAGTGAAGGGGTCGGTTGGAGATGAATCAGGAGGGAATTGAAGGCCCCAGCAGAGACGGTCAAACAACCCACGCTTGGTAAGCGTGAGTTCCTTCTCGTACTCATACTGGCACTCGCCCTTGAACTGGGCACAGTGCTCGCGCATCTGAGAAGTGTACTTCTCATGGAGGTCATTGGCGAACTCCTTCGCTTCCTCCTTCATCTCCATCTCCATCCCTACCTTCATCTCGGCCACCTGGGCCTTCACCTTGACCTTCATATCGGTCACCTGGGTCTCCATCTTGACCTGCATCTCGGTCACTTGGGTCTCCATCTTGGTCCGCATCTCCTGCACGACCTTCTCCATCTCTTCCTTCGCAGTCGCCACCTGGCTAGCTGCGTCCTTGACTGCTTGGTCTTGGACCTGCGACAGCATAGCCGAGGCGCTCTTCTGCTCCTCCTCGGACTTTTCCACTATAATGAAGATTAGTAATTTGATTAACTATACAGGAGAAAAATAAATTGTTGATATGACTTACCCAGCTCCATGTACTCGGCCTGCAGACCCTTGAGTTCGTCCTCAAGGGCCGCATTCTTGGCCTCTAGGCGCGCACACTCTGCCTCGGCACCGACGTCCACGTCGATAACCATCATGCCGTAAGATTGCTCAAGCTGAGCAATCTTCAGCTTGAGGCGGCGGTTGTCGACACGGACACGGTGTCGGTCACCAACAACACCCTTCAGGACCTTCTTGGCCCGCTCAATGGCGCCCTTCTGCGCCTTGCTTGCCTCTGTGAGTCGAGAGACTTCCATCGTGGCTTGATGGTACATGTTGTCCTTCTCGACCCACAGATCCTGGCATTGGCTCTGCAGATGGGCGCGCTCCTTCTCAAACCGGTCGAGGTCCGGCTTGATTGCGGCAACGATTGCTTGGATGGTTGCCGCGGAAACTTCAGCGGGGTCCACGGACTGCATAATAGTGGCGGTAACTACTTCGACGGGAGAAGACATTGTGGCGGTGGGGGGTGGTAGGTGATGGTAGGTGATGGTGATGGTGATGGTGATGGTAGGTGGCGGCGGTGATGGTAGTGGCGGTAGGTGTCGGTAAAACGAGAGGGTATGGTAGCTGGAGAGTAATTGTTAGTGTCTTGACTTTAATAAGAAGAATAGTGATTGGAAGTCAAAGTGCTGACTGAAGGATAAGTAGAAGGTTAAGACAATGATAGAAGATATGGAAGGTGACGACTAGACGAGGATGGTAGAAAAAGAAAAGGGAGGGAGAGTTCGTGTGAAAAAATGATAGCAAATAATGGATGGAAATGTATATGCTCACTAGTAACGAAGGTTGAGGTGGAAGATGGGGTTTGAGGATGATGATTGAAGAAAACGAAAAAGAAGATGAAATCTGGAAGGTTGCTTGGAGTGAAAAAAAAAAAAGTTGTTTGATGTTAAGAGTGAAGGTCTAAAATAAAGTAGGATGTAGAAAGTGTTATGTGGGTAGGAACAGTGTGGTAGAGGACGAGTGGTAGAGGGTAAGTGTAGAGGGTAAGTGTAGAGTGGTCGAGGACGAGTGTGGAGTGGTAGGGCACGAGGTGATGACTCAAAATGGATGTACCTTCGTAAAAATGAAAAAAAAAAAATAAAATAAAATAAAAAGTAGGGAAAGAACCCGGTGTGTAGATTCCTGCGCGGTGATGATTATGATAATAGTCAAAAACGCAGTTAATAATCTAAGCCGGTGATGATGATCAAAAATAGGTAGGCATGGAATAATGATCGAGGGTGAAGTTGGTACTTGGGACTGAAGATACCACTTGGATGGAGATAATGAAGAATCTTACCGGGAATCGAGGGATCTTGGTTCAGAAAAGCTTTCACAGTGAAGGGTAAGCTGTTGGTCAAGGATAAGATCAATGGTGAAGGTGGAAGTGATGGTCGAGATGGTGGTTCAAGATGAAGAAATTGAGTAGGAAAATAATTAAGGGAGATGCTTACTTACAGGTGATAGTGGTGAGGTAGAGGTAAATGTGAAACTAAACGGGTTGTGCGAAAAGTTGGCGTGAATGTGAGTAGAAGTTGCAGTTGTAAGTAAAAGCTGCGAATTTTTCTATCTCTGAAAGTTCGTTGTGAAGGAAAGAAATGAGAATTAAAATTTGTCTGTTCAGATTTTGGTATATAGCTTCGGGAGGGAGGCGGTAGGGGCGGTGACGAGACAGTTCATGTGGAGGGGCAGAATCCCTATTACAGCTGTCTAGAGACAATATATAGGTATCTACAATCTTGCTGGCGTTGACTAATACATAGGTACTAAACGTCTACTAGAGTACGAGGGTCCGAACCGACTGAGTACCTTGGTACCTTAGAAAGGAGCAAAAATTAGCACTGTATTTTATTTTCATTGGTGACTTTTCTGGCAACCGGCGATCAGCCACTATACTTTTTGGCCATGCTTATTGAGGATTACAGCAAAAAGCCATCTATAGCTAATTGATAGTACAAGGCTGGTATTACAATTGAACTCCTCCACTGGTTCGGGGTATTTGACAGGTGGCTGCACGTACAATTAAGACGCCTCTAGGTCTCAATGGATAGTGTTTTCTGATTGAATAGCTGATAGTAACATCAGGGCTAATTGTACCAACCGCGAGATCCTGGCCCTTGGTGACTCTGTTCCTGGCGGTGTTCGATGATAGGATCGGTGATCTTGAACGCGTTGATGATATCGCGCCAAGTCTTCATGTCTATGGAGAACACGGCCTGTTGTTTTTGGGCACGATGCTTGGAGGCGGCAGTCTCCTCTTCACGATCGACGGGATCTTAAACGACGTTAGCATACTATAAGAGAAATAGGCATTGGAATTTACTTACGAAGAGTCGGTAGTTTGTTCTCATCAAAGTCGATCTTAATACGGCCGTCTCGGATTAGGAAACTGACGTAGAACATGTTCTCTACGGTTTGTCCGAAGGAATGTGGATTTACGACGAACTTCAAGAGATCGATACCACCCGTATCTCTTAGGCCATGGCGATCCATTAATTTCTGTGCTTCTTCATCGCTAGCTCCACGCACAACAGCACTCTCAACAGCATCCTGGGCCTCGTCTTGCACCTGCTTCAGTCTTTGAAGGATCTTAGAGCAGATGGTAGTAAGGTCGTTCTTTTCCGTTCTCTGGACTGCCTCGGCGTCTAGAACTTCGGGTCTCGTCTCCTGCAAGTTATTAGGCCTGAATGGTGCACTGCGTTTGGTGATCTTTCTTTTCTTCACTTCAGTAGAAAGAGGGCCAAGGAGGAAACCAGGTGTGGCCGGACGTCGAATATTAGGGAGGCAAGCAAATCGGCCAAGATGCTCCCAGTTGAACATGTCACCTTCGTCGCCGATCTCATCATCGTAATCCTCTCCATCATCTAAGGATCCTCGACCCGGTCTTCGTCTGTGCTGTTGTGTAGAGGTAAGCTCTGGCGCATCATCTTCCGCGATGCCAGATCCGAGTCGCATGTAGGTAATGCATTTTGAGACAAACTCCTCCACATCAATGCCTTGGGCAATGTTACCTGAAGTGAGGCGAACAGTCTTGCGGTAAGATGCATCAGCTGTGCTAACCAAGAGCTTTGAATCTATAGCAGCCTCGGTAGTTTGCTTAACATTAGATGACAGTTCATTGGCTTTACGTAATGTCTCGTGTAGGCCAACTGAATCTATCTTGAGATATTCATCGTTGTTCTCATGAAGATCACGGAGGAGATCCCGATATCCGCGTTGAAGATTTCGTCGCTCTTCCATGGATTGATCGGGATCAAAGTCTTGTTCTTCGATCGCAGCCTCAGACTCGGGCTCACGCGTTCTCCGCCTCGATTTGACATGTTCCGTGCCATTTGTCAAGGTTCTCTTTCTCTTAGATACACTGTCAGGTCCTTTGCCTTTGTCTCTGAAGACGAGCGAGTTGTGACGATCCTCAGGAACTGGTGTGGAGTCCGGAGACTCTTTAGGGGGGGTGGAGGAGGCTACTGATGACATGATGAAGAAATAGGGAAATGTCTCGGATCAGTAAGTAGTTGGGAGTAACGGGTACCCTTTCCGTATAAAATTGGTACAACTTCGGAAGCTAATATCTGATGTATTAATATCTAGGATATCCGGGATATCAAAGATATCAATACACTGTGCCTCTCCTGATTGTCGTTATGCGCTTCGTGTAATGAGACGCGTTTGACGCGTCTACTTAAACTTCGACGCGACTCCGAATTAAATTGATTTATAAATCGGTCCTTGATTTGTGGCTTGAAGTTGTGGCTAGTGAAGGCCATTACCTGGCGGCTTACCAGAGCGTAGATCCGTAAAGTAGACACCTAGGGCAGGTCCATATCGTGAACTCAGAAGGCTTGTATAGATTGAGGAAATCTCAGGCCAAAAAATTAGGGTTCGTTCGAAGTAAAGTATTAATTTGTTGTGATATCGAAACAAAAGGTACCTATAATTGCCCTGGCAGCCTGGGACCTGGTATAGTAGTTCAAAAATTGATGTATTCCCAAAGATCTGGAAATCCGGTGGGGGGCACTAAGAAATAAGCCAGTCTGACCTGCCTGACTTAACTGTAACCTTCTAAGGCTGTGGGGTGCACTTGCGATAAGATAAGCTTCAGCTAGCTTTATGACGAATGCAACATATAAATTGCTAAGATGCCCACTGTCAAAGTCAACTCTCAACATCAGCACGCTTTTTTACGTACATGATATGCCGAACTTTTAATGGAACAAATATTTCGCAATGGAACCCTTTTCGTTTGGTAGTTCCGAATCGCTAGACTATCCGGTCAGCATCCGCATGTGAGACAATACAATACAATAATGGCGTTGCGGCGATCGCCAGAATATAGCTAACTAATAGCATAGAATTAATCTAGAGGGAGAAGAGACACCTCACCTACATTCAACTTTACTAAAAAGGCCCGATCTCCGGCATATTGGCTCCAATGTGAGGTGCGTATCCCAACCTTAGAAGTGATGAAATGGCTCTCCTGTAACGACTGTTATGCTAACCTAAGTACCCAATCTTCAGCCCACATTCCGATCTATATGTTACCGTCCAAGTATGGGCCGGCTCGAAACCCTTAACTGTCCCGGTACAGACTTCGTATAAAGCATTTCGCAACGAGAGGAGATGGAATGAATGGCTTTCCATACCGATACCGTACAAATCTCTCCCCATCAACTCATACCTGGCTATCACGATATGGGATTTGTCGCCTACAGGTGGAAAGCAAGCCCAGGGCCACGCTATTCCTTTTGGCGGAACAACGCTTCCGCTTTTTGATCAGGATAATCATCTTCAGAAGGGCAGGCAGAAGTGTTTAGTCCACCGGCACAAACTAGCTGATGGAAATGATAATACGACTACCCCATCGAGCATCGCGACGAAAAAACCCAGCTCTAAGAAAGATGATAATACCCTTGTGGATAAGGAGGCCGAAGAGCTTGAACGGTTGGAGAAATTATTTAAGAAACATGAGATGAACGAAATACCCAGAGTTGAATGGCTTGATCAGCTCGTATACCGTGCAACCGAGAAGCGTGGCTTAAAAGCGGCTAAAAAGTCGACAAAGCCATTCCAGCAACGAACAATACCGAGTGCGGATGATGAGCAGAATGGGCAGCAGGATAAGTCTAATAACCCCGAGACTGAAGATCCGCCGAGACCTGGACCGTCAAAGTTCATGTTGAATATTGAACTACCTCGCTTTGACTTCCCTGTCGTGTTTGCGGATCACGAATATCCACCACCACCCATCTCATCTTTCCAGCATCTTTCAGCTTCTCAGTCCAATATCGTCCTAAAACCTCCCCCAGAGGTATCATATGGCCCTGGTATTAATGGACCGGGAAATGAAAGAGATGGTATGAACGGTCGCCTGGTAAGAATCTATGACCCTGAAGTGGGAGCTAGGGACAACCCAGCAGAAAGCAAACATAGACGCCTTGTCAGAAGTCAGCACCGCCACGGAATTTTAGATAAAGACTTGAGGCCTAACGCCAAGGTTCGAGATGAGCTGAATATGATCATGTCGTACTCCCCGACCCATGTTTTATCACCGGAAGAGAAGGATCTTGTGTGGAAATTTCGTTACCACCTGACCAAGGACAAACGTGCCCTTACTAAGTTTGTCAAGTCTGTCAACTGGCAAGACCAAAGCGAATCCAAACAAGCCATCCAGGTGCTGGGAAAATGGACTGATATTGACGTGGATGATGCTCTTGAGCTGCTTGGTCCTACCTTCGATAACAGGGCCGTGAGAGCGTACGCAGTGGAAAGACTAAGGAAAGCAGATGATCATGAGTTACTCCTCTACCTGCTGCAGTTAGTCCAGGCCCTGAAATTCGAACATATTTCGGCCGACTCAAGTCAAGCTACTGTGCAGGCATCTTCGCTCGCTAATTTCTTGATTTCGCGGGCTGTTCAGAACTTCACCCTCGGAAATTATTTCTATTGGTATCTTGGGGTTGAATACGACGATAAGAGTAATGACCAAGGCGAGGAAGTTCGTACCATGTACGCAAAAGTTCAGTACGACTTCATGAAAGAATTAGAGGATCGTCCAGGTGGGCGTGAGACAAGGGTTACTATCAGAAGACAAGCCGAGCTCGTCACTGTCTTGTCTAAGATCTCAGCTGAGATTCAGGCCTCGAATGAATCAGTGGCTCGCAAGGCTGAGAGGGTTAAGCATTTCTTAGCAGATGCCAAAAATGAGGTCTTATCTATTGACCCGCCCATCCCTATGCCTCTGGACCCGTCAATCATAGTTGTTGGTGTGATCCCTGAAGAGACAAGAGTCTTTAAGTCGTCTCTGTCGCCAATCATGGTAACATTCAAGACAATATCGGGCAGCAAGTATCCTATTCTTTTCAAGACCGGTGACGACTTACGACAGGATCAATTAGTCATCCAGATTATTACCCTTATGGATCAACTGCTTCAGAAAGAGAACCTGGACCTTAAGCTGACGCCCTACAAAATCCTTGCAACCAGCACGACTGCTGGTGCCTCTCAATTTATACCTTCCCAGACGTTTGCGGCGATATCTTACAAATACCGTAACAATCCTGCTCTTGCTTACCTCAAGCAGCACAATCCAGATGAGCGGGCATATTTAGGGGTACGAAAGGAAACACTTGACACGTTTGTCAAATCTTGCGCAGGATATTGCGTCATCACGTATATCTTAGGAGTTGGTGATCGTCATCTGGACAATCTTCTTTTAACTCCAGATGGCCACTTCTTCCACGCTGATTTCGGATTTATTCTTGGGCGAGACCCTAAGCCTTTCGCTCCAGCGGTGAAGCTTAGTAAGGAGATGGCTGATGCTATGGGTGGCTCAAATCCTCCGAGCGAGCATTATCTGCAATTCAAGCAATACTGCTTCCTCGCATTCGCGGCTCTGCGAAAGTCATCGAATCTCATCCTCAATTTGTTCAGCCTTATGGTACATGCTAATATTCCGGACATTAAGATTGAACCGGATAAAGCGGTTTTCAAGGTGAAGGAGCGGTTCCATCTGGAACTGAACGAAGAGGATGCGATCAGGCATTTAGATGGGATCATGGAGGACAGCCTCAACGGTATTATGCCCGTCGTTATTGATCGACTACATGATTGGGTTCAGGCGTTCAGGCCTTAACGGCTATCGAATGAGAGGTTACGAATGGTTTCTCGGTGTTTTTGCATTGATATTAGAACTTTAGAACTTACCGCTTACCTTGGAAGTGCCTAAATCGGTACATGATAGTTTTTATGAGGGGATCGACGGCGGCTTGGTGTTGAAGATATTACTACCCTCCACAATACATGATACCCAGTGCGAAGACGCATTCAAACAGGTTTCAATGTGTGCCTCTTATGTGAAACATACGAACGGAAGGCTGCAGCCATACCCGTATGAAAAAAGCCCGTTTGCCAAAGGTATCCCGCATTCATTTGCAAAGTATTCTCGATCGGTGGACACCTTGGCTGCATCTGTCGGCAGCCTAGGTATGTACCTAGGTAAGTAGCTAAGGTAGCTAAATGATAGGATGCTGCAAGGTAAATATCTGGAAGAGGACCAACACTACTGCATCGGAGATCGGTTGTCTCACGGAAGTTAGCAGATTCTGCCGCCTATCAGGTGTGCTTCTAGAAGCCATCGCTAGTCCCGTCACCGTCGTACCCTATTAGAGATCTGTGCCGTGGATGTGGAACCTTGGTGATACCTTTTCGAGCATGGGCTGCTGTTGTGCATTCACTAATTTTTTACAGGATGTGTTTTTTTTTCTTTTTTGTCACCCCAACGTCTTATCTAACTTTAGAATGTACCTTAGACATGTGGCTTCGTCAGGCTAGATACACGTTGCATATTGCGTCAACAAGGCGGATGGGGTTCGATATGGTGGGAACAACCTTGAAGATGGGCAGATGGATAGATGATGTTTACTTGCGGTATTCTTCATATGTATGCCTGGCACCTAGTCTATTGATCTGGAAATCTGACAATCTTCCGATTCTCTATTCCTCTTTGGACTTTTTGGAGTAGGAATTGATCTCGGATATAACCATACAAAGTATCAATGTTCGCATTAGTTCACCTCCCTAGATATGTTGCCGTAAAGTATGAGGTGGGGGATTATCGCAACAGTCCTTGTGACACTGACTATTAGGGACATTAGGACACTTGGGTATGCATACATTAGATAAACTCGTATTATTGCCAGGTGATTATAACCCACCAAGTAGGTAAGGGTTTATCAATTATGTACCAATGAGAGGATGCTTTCTATACCAGATTTATTAATGGCATGAATGCTATGATACTCTTGCCTTACTCTTTCCTTACTCTTGCTTGACCGGTGTAACATGTGCAACATTCGAATATGCGGTACATGACTAGGACGAGTAATCAGGCACAGGCAAGTCGTACCTACCTCGTACCAATATATGGTACCTTGGTACCAAGAGAACTACAAGACACACAAAACACTAAGCCGTGTAAGTTTCCTGATCGGATCAACATGACTTTTCCACATCGGGAAATCCCCACCTGTTTAGTCGGTAAATCTTTCTCAGAGTTCTCAGTTTAGACTGATTTAGTTCTCAGTTCTTGCATCTTAGCTGCTTAGCACCTCTGCTGGAATTTCAGGGACCATTTCAACCAATTCAACCCCTAGAATCCTACAACTGGTTTTGTGGGTACAAGGAACGATATCTCACGTTTTCGAGTTACATCTCGAGTCGTCGTGTTTATTCCCGTACATCTTATTATTACTACTAAGTCTGCAAGTTCAAACTGATCTCTTCTCTTGTGTTGTATTTGACCTGCGCAAGGTATCTCGCACATCCCGAATCCAAGGTTCTCGCGCACGGCCTTGAAGAAAGCAGCAGCACATCATTTCATTTAACAAGATACCCAGCATACATAGTACCTAGGTACTTGCCGTACCTACCAAACTCCCAAACTACCAATCCCAGCCACCATTTCGTTCGCGAACACCCTTGATCCTAGTAACTTGGGGTCTGGCCTAGCCTCTTATTCCTCTTCCAGTTCCCCTTCTACATCCTCTCTCTCCACTCAAGAAAACAGAAGCCCACCGCGCCGCTGGATCTGTTTCTCCTTGCTCTTGTCATTTGGGCATCTTGCTGTTTTGCCAATTGCTCCAATTGCTCCAGATCTTCCTGGCTATTTTCTTAGTCTCGTCAATCGCGCTGCGCCGGGATGCTTCGAGTATCCCCTCGCTCAAAACGTGACGTACGCAAGTAAAACTTGTGCTTGCTCTCCTTTGCCCACTGCCCATTGAGGATTTGCGATTCGTCTCCGAGCCGATCGGAAGTTTAGGGAACCACTTTCGTTCTAGAGCCCCGAGCGTACAACAGGTTCGTACTATTGACTTTTTTTTTTCTCTCATTACCAGATTTTATTGCGCTAGGTCTTTTCTTGATTGATTCACTTTCCTGGCGATTCCTAGTCATTTTGTTCTAACCTGGCTCTACACAATACAGTTTCACTTGCAGCCGACAGCGAATCGCGTCGATTACCTTCCTTGATTTATCAGCATATCCCGTTCGAAGTCCCTAGCCATGCCCGCTAAGGCAAGCAATGGTGCTGCCGCCGTCGCACCGGCAACGTCTTCCGCCAAGCGTTTCGAACTTCCCGCTCTGGAATTTACATTCGGGTCCTTAACCGACGGTACTGACATTCCACCGCCGTTACCATCCCCCAAGGAGGAGGCCCCGTCACCGCCGAAGACACCGACACCTCACCCGATCGAAGTCGAGAAGAAGCAGGAAGTAAATGGAACCACTAATGGTCATGGTACAGCCCCTAATAAGCCCGAACTCACCGCAATCCCGGCCAGCATCGGCATGAAGCGTCTTGCAGAAGATGTTCCGGCATCACCTACGCTGTCAAGCCGCAGGAGCCTTAGACGTCTACTTAGCAAAACATTACTGAACCATGCTTACGATGAACAAGGATCACTGCTTAGCCCGGGTACCTCCAGACCTCCAAGCCGGACGGCGAGCTCTATCGCGGATGAGAGAAAGTCAAAGCGCTCCAGTGGCTGGTTTAAACGGTTACGGACGAACGATCACACCAACAATAGCAAGAGAGCGAGCCAAATTTTCGAGGAACCGAAGAAACCGCTTGGCCCGCCTCCGCCGATGATTCCTGAGCTTAGCGCACTTGAAGCCAAGGTCGACACTCATCTAGGGGACGACCTATTCAAGGGAATTAAATAAAGAATTGAACTTAAAAGATATCCCATTTTCTACCATGATTTGGTTACAACTACCTTCGACGTTTCGCGGACTTTGGATACCAATTTTCAACCACTTGCCATAATCATCCGACGGCAAAGTAATATTTCATCATTGATACGACGATTATTTCGATGCGAGAGGAGGAGGCGTTGCTTTTAAGAAAAGCCTTCTGGGGATGGATTATTAGATACCCAGCTCCTGCGCGAGCTCATTCTACGACAATACCTTGTCAATTCTTGTTTCAGCATTTTATTTTTATTTTTATCTTACATTCAACTTTCTTGTTTGTCCCCCCCTTTTCCCCTTTTTTCTTGAATCTCCACACGTCATATAAGTGTGTTACAAGAAGCGTATCTGGAAAAGGATTCATGTACTTCTGTGTGTTTGCTCCCTTACTCCCTACCCCTCCACTTATTTCTCCGGGTGTATTTTTCTGCCCTATTATTTTCGTGGAGATCAGGGAAGATCCTAGCGATTCAAACCTGGCTCGATCTGGAAGGCCGATTGCTCTGGGAACACAGCGCGGAGGACTCGTTGGACTCGAAAAATTGCAGAGAGAGAATTGGCAGAAAGAAGGCAATGCAAAGAAGTCAGAAGTCACGGGGGCGATTTCGACTAACGGTTAACATTTACGGCTATGTGCTTATGGATCACGATAGCGGGAGAGATTCATTACCTGCCTTCCGGTTGGAGAGGATTACCATCATATCATCATATTGCTGTGAAATAGTGCATCTCTGGGCGCGAAAGGCATCATCAAATTTTCCTATTCTCAGGTACTCCTTAATGCTCCATATCCCAACATCGAAAAGGGAAGTGACCGGGGAATCAAATCAAAACTGTTTCTGCTTTCGAAGCCACGATGTGTTGCGTCTTACCGTGTATCACTACTACATACAAGTGAACCTTCCATATATCCATCCATGCATATAAATGATTCGAGCTGTACGCTTTTTATTAGCTTGACAGGCTAAAATCAAATTTTGAAAAAGGGGGAATGCACTTACGTAAGCTTACAGCTTCTATGTACCTAGCTTTAGCCAATCAGGGTTGACTTCGGTAATTCTTTGACAGGGATCTAACGTCATTGCCGAATGTCCAAGCTTCCAGAGCTCCGAACTTATATGCTATCAGATCTTTAAATCGAGAAACTTACCTCATGTAACCAACTACGTACTTGCAATTCAACAACGCAAACCATATATATGAGTATGGCTACGCTTAGACCGCTGAGAGCACAGGGTACGGCTTATTCTATCGCTAGAGGCTCAATTCGACCTACCCGATGTACAACTAGCCTGAAAACATGGCCGGCATCGCGAACGCAAATTCGCAGCATGTCTGGACCGTATGGCTATACCCAAGCGAAATCCCTAGTGTTCAGTGAATATGGCGAACCAAAAGATGTTCTAAAGTGAGAATTTTACCTTACCCTCATTCCCGTTTTTCCCTTCTACCCCACCACTATATCGCCATAAAAATCCCAAGCTAATAGAATTGAATCTAGACTACACACACACTCCATATCCCCCTCCCTCCCCCCCTCCTCCCTCCTCCTCCGCACCCTCGCCGCCCCCATCAACCCCGCCGACGTAAACACAATCCAAGGCACCTACGGCGCCAAACCCGCCTTCGACACGCTCCTCGGAACCCCCCAACCCTCCGTCGTCCCCGGCAACGAAGGCGCTTTCGAAATCGTCTCCTCCTCCGCCCCTTCCTCCTCGGGTTTCTCCCCAGGCGACTGGGTCATCCCCAAGAAAACCCAATTCGGCACCTGGCGCACCCACGCCCTCGTCCCCGCGGACTCCGTCATCAAAATCGATAAATCGGGACTATCCGCCGACCAAGTCGCCACCGTGTCCGTGAACCCGTGTTCCGCGTACCGCATGCTGCGCGACTACGCGTCCCCCGAGCCGCTCCGCGAGGGGGACTGGTTCATCCAGAACGGAGCGAACAGCGGCGTCGGACGCGCGGCGATCCAGCTCGGGAAGCTATGGGGATATCGCAGCATCAACGTCGTGCGTGCGCGCCCTACCCCCGAGGAAGACGAGGCGTTGAAGGCGGAGTTGCTGGGGTTGGGGGCTACGCAGGTCGTTACGGAGCAGGAATTCACGTCGCGGGAGTTTCGGGACAAGTTGGCGGAGTGGACGAGGGGGAGTCGGGAGGGGGTAAGGTTAGGGTTGAATTGCGTGGGGGGCAAGAGCGCGCAGACCGTGGCGTATAGTCTTGGGCGCGGCGGGACTATGGTGACGTATGGCGGGATGTCGCGGGCGCCGGTGGCGCTGCCGACTGGGTTGTTGATATTTAAGGACGTGCGGTTTGTTGGGTTTTGGCTGAGTCGGTGGGCGGATCGGGATGCGGTGGCGAAGGAGCGCACTGTGGCTGAGATATTGGGGTTGGTGAGGGAGGGGAAGTTCAAGGATGTGCCGATCGTGCAGGTGCCGTGGACGTGGGAGACGGGGGTGCAGGAGTTGAAGGATGCGGTGCAAGGCACGTTTGAGGGGTTTAGGAAGGGCAAGGCGATTTTCGCGTTTAAGGATACGTAGGAAGTATTTGGGAAGATGGCGAGGTCGTGGGAATGGGATGGGCTTGGGTGGATCGTCCGGTAAACGGATTGCCTGATTGTAGCATTATGATCTATGTAGACGATGATGGAAACGCAGAACGGCTGCTATGGTATTGTTATATAGACGCAGCACTAGGTTTTTACTAGGCATGGAGAGTGTCGGTATGAGCATGAACGTTTACACGCAAACATGTTCACTCAGAACAAGCAGGCTAGAATAGCCTATTTAAATACCACAATTCAATGGGATTGGGTTCCCGAGACCTACTCCGCATACTATCTGTGATCCTGCTATCGTATTCTTCTACCGTCATCTGTCGTCAATCAAGGCACGTAACGCCAGCGCAGTCCAATACTAGTGAAAATCAAGAGGGATGAGACCTCGGCTTTCAGCACAAGGAGTTCCTCCCATCTCAACTCGTAGGGCCGCTCACGCGAGATCAGACCTCAACATTTCGGCCCACACGTCCTCGAACTTCTGTCCTTGGGAATTTCGTCGCAGAACATGCCGATAGACCGTCCTCTTTACCGCAGCACGAGCGCGAGCCAACCTACTCTTCTATTTCGGCGGGGGTGTAGCGAAGTTCTTGGTCCACTCCTTGGCGGTCGCGATGGCCTTATTCTCGTCCTCCTTCCAGCTCTTAGCGACGTCCGCGGCTAGGGGGTCTTCCGGGTTCGGGGCACCGAGGAGTGCTTGGATGGATAGTAGGATGGTTCGAATCTGCAAGGCTGGTGACCAGTTGTCTAAGAGTGAGAGTGTCAATAACTATCGGAAACGATACATAGAGCATAATATCAAATGATGACTTACTCTTAAGAACATCTAGGCAAATTCGTCCTAACTTGTCAACGTTGGGGTGATAAATCTTGGTCAGGAAGCGGATCTTGGGTGGGACCATCGGGTAGTCATCTGTTAGGAATAGCTCGAGCTTGAAAACACCTCCTATAGCACAAAAGTATCGGGTCAATACGACTATCACAACAGTATCTCAGCGGGATGATATGGTTGCACACCCTCGTACGGCGATCCTGAGGGGCCATGGATCTCGACATCGAAATATCTCAAGTTATCCTCATGGGGGACTGCGCTGATACCGGGGACCCTGTGAAGATTGAATCAGATCTTTAATTTCTTACAGATGGGTTTATCTATGTCTTACGGTTCAGTCATGAGACGTTCTGTCTCTTTCACAATGCGTTTTGGCAACGCCATCTTGGTGGTTGGTTTAAAAGTTGATGGGGAAGCAAAGGAAGGGAGAAAAGGAATCACAAGAAAAATTGAAATCTATTCAGAACAAGATGATCTAGCTAAGCAATGTGGCTCAGTGGGGAGCAAGATCAAACTCGGGGCTATTGCCAATGAGGCTGATAATGCGACGAGCTGAAGGCAGGCGCTGGTGTTTCACAATATTCGGGCAATCGTCTTGCCTTTGTCCGCCTTTGCAACAGTGGGGAAGCAAAGCAACTTGAAGATGTTGCTACCGATGGAAGCGAATGCTATAGAAGACGAAACGACAGACAACAACTTTCAAGCCTGAAAGTATTTGAATAGTTCTAAAACAGGATTACGTTAACGGAGGATGAAGTATTTGGCATTGGGGGCAAACTAAATTCAGTTGATTAGCTCACTGAGAAGTTGCGACCTAGACTTCCCAGGTTGTACCCAGTACCGAGAGTGTGAGACAAAGACGAATCAGGTGGGATGTCTTTGCGATAAGAATTCACCGGGTCCCTCTTCTGGCTTGCTGCCCCTCATCCGGCGGGGATAAAATATTCCCACACCGAGCTGTAGGATCCTTGGAAATGCAAGCACGTTACCTCGTGGTTACCTCGTAGCGTCACATGCATAGAATTCTCATATACCGAATGTTTAATTGTGAGCTCACAATTAATAGCCTGTCTATTAACATAGGTATGTCTCAGGTAATAAATAGCTTTTATCGACATGACAGTTGTGAAGGAAGTTGGAAAATGTATGTTTTGTTAGATCGACAAATTGTACTCTTACCCTAAAGTTATGTGAAAAAATACTTTAAAGGTACTTGGAGAATCTGACCTATCATAACACTCGCTGTTATGTAATCAAGATCCGACGCTAAATCTGAGAACTGCACCTCAATAGCGAATCGCGACTTCCAGCACATTGGCACCATCCGGGTTGTCTCCTATAGGACGACTTACGTCAAGTACCAAGTCTTTTCATGCCTTCTTACATAAATTTTATATAGCCCTGCTTTTCTTCGGCTACCCGATCCTCGACGATGCGTTCTCGAATTTATGTTCATTAATCTATTTCAGTGTTCGTCTTATCTCATCGTTTGTTTGAGGACGCGACCGTAACTTAATAGGCTCAATGGGAAGTTAGATTGAGCTCATCGAGTTGTATCTAAGAGAATGCGTGGATGACCGAAGGATGAGTTGTGGCATCATGCGAAATGCGAAATCCATCGAGGATCCGACGTTCTAAGAGAGCTCCTACGCTCTCACAAATTAATCGGCCATGCCTTCAACTTTCGATCACCTAGATCCTTCTAAGAAGGGGAAGCCCATCAAATCTGCCTACGATAGTGACACTTTTGATGCCAATGTCACTATCCATGTTGATGGACTTGTTGGGTCGGCTACTATATCGCCATGCGGTCGCGATGTTGCTCTTGCGTCGTAAGTTACAAGCTTCGTACCCAGTACTCTCAATATAGTAAATGCTCACAATATCATAGCCCTGAAGGTCTAGCCATTATCGATCTTGATTCCCCTTATAGTCCTCCGCGTCGACTAAGTAGTCATGGATTACCATGGCTTGTCGTTGATGTGCAGTGGTCACCTTTTGCAGCTCGAGATTATTGGGTTGCCTCAACAGCAAACCACCGCTGCCTAGTTTGGAATTTAAATTTACGGGAAGACTCTGCCAATGGCGCTATTGAGCACTCTCTTCAGGGCCATAGCAGGGCTATCACGGATGTTAACTTTTCCGCCCATCACCCCGACATTCTTGCCACTTGTGCGGTTGATGGTTTTGTGCATTGTTGGGACTTACGGAGACCCAAGCAACCCGTCTTGACTTTCAGCGACTGGTTTGCTGGGGCCACTCAGGTCAAATATAACCGACAGGATCCCCATGTGCTCGCTTCATCCCACGACAGATGGCTACATATCTGGGATGAAAGAAAGCCGTCTGCCCCTCTTAAGTCCATTAGCGCGCATACTTCTAAGATCTACGGCCTCGATTGGAATCGTTCTAAATCGACAAAAATCGTTACGTGCTCTTTGGATAAGAGTATTAAATTTTGGGACTATAATGAGTCTGATCCGGAGCGGATTATTCGAACAGATTTTCCCGTTTGGCGTGCTCGCCATGCCCCGTTCGGTTGGGGTATGTTAGCTATGCCTCAAAATGACCCCGGGAATCTCTACTTGTACGATATCCGCCGAGCCGAAGGAGAGCCATTAGACAGCGCAGTTAATCCACATAATATATTTCCTGGCCATGGAACCCATAAGGTAAAGGAATTTTTATGGAGATATCGTGGGTCGATCTCCGATGAAGGGGTGGATAATCGCGAATTCCAGCTTGTATCGTGGGGTGAAGACAATGAGTTACGTCTTCACAGAGTTGACCAGCCGACTCTAGAGTCCATTGGTCATGTGAAAGGCGGACCAGCTCCAAACATTAACATCACGAGAAAAGGAGCCTCGTACAAGACTTACCGGGCCATTGATGACCATGCGAGTAGAGAAAAGAGGACGCCCACTATGAGCGACCCCCGTCCTGGCAGCGGAGGAAGCCATCTTCCCCGCAGTGCTCTCACTATGGGAATGCAGACCATGTCATCACATTATCCACGCTCCAGTGGCGGGATTCCAAGTTGGAAAGGTCCATCCATGAAAGCAAAATCCGCTACAGGAAGAATAGTCGATAGAAACCTAGATCAACTTGGTTGGATGAAAGGCATCACGATGAGCAAGAAATCAGGTATCATTGGACCACCTCAAAGAAAAGAGTCCAGGGACTCTACCATGTTTGGTCATAACTTTCATGACGAGCATTGGGGGGAACCTGAAACACTGCAAGAAGAAATCGTCCGCGTTAGTCAGCAGATGCCAAATGTCAAATTCGACGATGTGGATATGGAAGCTCTAACCGCAAAGGCATCTCTCAAAGGCCCGTGGGGTCCAGAGGGCGATACCATCTATATCAAGGTCACGGCAGACATCCCCAGGAATTATCCAAAGTCAAGATCACCGAGATTTATCGTTGAGAAGACGGCATTGATGTCCGACCAGACACATAGGAAAATTGATCAAGAAGTCCACCAACTAGTAAGCCAGTTCTCGAAAAAGCGGCAAAACTGCCTTGAAGTTGCTTTTAGTTACCTTCTTGGAGAAGTCGACCTCTCCAATAGCGATTCGCTCTTCAAGAATGTCAAAGATCTGGACGACGATTTAGGTGGACTTGCCGATGAAAGTTCAAGCGAGGATGAAGACAATGACATTCCCGCGGGCGGTTCTGCAACTATGTCCCAAGAATTGACCGCGAGTACCGAGCTCGATGCTACACTTGCACCAACTAATCGACCTACCATACCACCAATGCCACGATTGTGCGGGTGCCGATTTTCGAATGACGGAAGATTAGTCTGTTTCTTCCCAACCAAGGAAGAGAAGGCTAGGGTCTCTTTTTTCGCCCCTAGTGATACCTATCGAGAACGTCCAAAAGGGGAACCCAGCTTTGCAGGGTTTGGTAGACTTCAACAGGAGTCATCGGCTCCGAGAAATAGATATACCAATGATGATGTTTCTACAACCGAAGACCAATCAGAGTCAGACGACGGAGATGAATCCTCAAGCTCGAGTGACTCAGAAACTACGTATATGCACAAGATCAACATGTGGTATCTACCTGGACGACGCTTCAGGAAGACATTTAGTGGAAGTTATTCTATGCATTCAAGCGGTGGAGGAACCGGCATTGGTACGGGTACTGGCACTGGCACTAGTAGGCGCCGCCCAGGTAAACCCAAAAACATCATATCCATTTATAACGTGGCCAACGAATTACCTTCCAAACAAGAGTTCGCTCGCGAATATTGCATCTTTGGGGATGGCCCAGATGTATGTGAGCAAAATGCTGCTATAGCGGGGAAATACGGCCGACCTGATCTGGTAGATGTTTGGAACTATGCGGCGTTATTGCTTCGCAAGGATATTCCCCTTGAGCTCTTAGGGGACGGCCGTGGAAAAGATTCAGTACTCGTCATTGCCAGAGACGCAATTTCCCGCCTTAATGATAATAAGCCACCATCTAATACTTCGGACACTGCGCTTACGGGCCGGGTTAAGTGGGGATACCATCCCCTCGCAAAGGATCTGATTGACGACCTTTTCTACTATTTCGAGAAGATAGCCGATGTGCAAATGCTTGCTATGCTTTCATGCATCTTTAGCGAGTCGACGACCGAAGATAGTGTTGCCTACGCAGAATCGCATCTCACTCAACCAGAGACACCGCTTCCTATGAAGGCACCAGCATTCTCCTTAGATTATTTCCCTACGGATCACTCCCTCTGGCATCCCGGGTTTACCCACAAGAGCCAAGCAAATTCAGCAATATCTACTCCTAAGACTTTACATACACCTATTAATATCCCCGGTTCGTACGGATCTGTTGAAGAGGGGCCATGGGGCGGTGATCCGAAATCCAACTCTTATTCCTGCGGAGAGACACCCCCGCCAACAACACCACGGGAACCTGATGGCGATCCGACTCAGAGCTTGGCCACATCGCCTGATAACAGGTTGTTAAGTCGCGCTAATACTGCCTTAACAGCAGGTTTGGCCAGCTTCCCAAGAGCTTTCCAGAGTGTTGCATCGACATCTCCTCCAAGCCGAAAACGCCCCAGCCCTGGAGAAACATTCCTCTCTAACCTTGCCCCAACTAACATCACATGGGGCAGCTCAACTATCATTGGTCCTACGTCTGAGCCGTCAGGCACCGCTCGTAACTCGTACTCTGACGATGAGTCGCGAAATGATGATAATCTACCACTAATGTGTTATGGTATATCTACAGAAATGGAGGATCAATCTATATTCGACGACGACGGCTGGCTTGGTGTTCCCTTTCTCGAGCCTTCTCGCTACGCTATACATGCAAGCTACCGCCACGCGTATGCAGAGATGCTACAAATGTGGGGCCAGCCCTTGTCTCGCCTTGAGATATTGAAATTCAATGTCCTTAAAGAAGATCCTTCCGCGCCTGAAGCAACTAATTTTACAGCTTCAGTGACTACTAGCTTCCATGACTCGTATCACAGCGCGGAGAATTTGAGTCATAGTTCACGTTCGCACGGAGCCACTTCGCCTATTGTGTTAGGCAAGAAGGAACTGTTGCAATCGCTGATCTCGTCTGACCGCGGGATCGATGTGACGGGTATTTGTCGGGTACACGAAACTCATCTCGATCCTGTAAGGCAAACGCATGCTAGCGCGACATTCGGAGGCGCTGTAGGCACTTGCGAACGCTGCAAGCGCACGCAAATGCAGCTGTTCTGCGTGTTCTGCAACGAGCCGATCGATGCACTCTACCCCCCTTGCTTGTCATGCGGCTGCGCTTGTCACGATGCCTGCATGGCGGAATGGCACGAGGCAGGGGAAATGGAGTGCCCGGCTGGTGATGAATGCGACTGCATCGAAGAGGCGAATAATGGTCAAGTAGAAACGTGGGCCGCGATGATCGGAGCCCTCCGCCAAGGCAAAATTCGCAAGCCTTCAGAAGGCGACATGGAAAACGGGCGGATAACCGACAAACGCGGCTCGATTGGGCACCTTGACTGGGAGAACATAGCTAGCGGCGCTTATATACCCCTCGTGGATGGGCAGGGGAAGCCGCTACTAGACCAGTCGCAGCCGTTCCAAAATCCAATGTCGGCTGCTAGGATCAGCCTTGGGAATAAACTTAGGAAATCGGCGGGCAACTGGGGGAGCACGACGTCATTGAGGAAGAAATCTGGGGGTTCGGGACCGAATAGTAGGAGGTAAGGTGGCTTTGGCTTGGGGACCGGGGGTTTGTATGGATAAGGTGTATACATATAAGAGCATAATGATGGAAGGGAGGCTGTCTGTTAGTGCAATGTATTTGTTTATCATAGGAAGCGGGAGTTAAGGGATTGGGAAGGCTTAAATGTCTAAAATATGAGTTCGTTGGAAATCATCACTTTTTTAGGAGGTTTACAGCAAAACAAGTCAACACCCCTTTTTTCATGTCGGGAAAATCTGAATTAGTCAATAAGGCAACTTGCAACTTTTGATATGCTTAATTCTCGACAAGCTCGTAGGGTCTTTTGGGGGATTTTAGGTATGATTTTTGCCCATCCATGTCCTGATATTTTCTTCCCCTTTTTAACATAAGACTTAACTCGACTCCAGCCCAGAATTTTGCCCCTCCCCTTTTTTCTGTTCATCTCGTTTTCAACGCCTTATTTTCGAAGCCCACTTCATAGCCTCCCAAAACTGCCAAGAGTAACTGAAATATACCCTCCATAACCCATTATCCTCACAGCTTGTCATTAGCTTCCAGGGCGTTTTCGATTTCAGATGTCTAGCACGAGCACATCTGTATACACCGGCTCGTCGGATCCGCGTGGCAGTTGACCTGGCCATCGCTGCATGTGCATAGGTCCTGGCACGGGTAGTCAAGGCCGCCGGAACACGTCATGCGGCGGAAGAGGAGTCCGGGTTCGGCGCTGGGGAGCGCGGAGACGGATGCAGTGGCTGCGAGGAGGAGGGGGAGGAGTGTGAACTGCGTGTATATGTGAGATTTTTTATTGGTTCATTTGGGGGATAGGAGGGATGAGTGCCCGGTAAGTGTTACCTTCATTTTTTCGAGATGCTTGATGGTCGTGTTGTTACTAATCGTTTCTTACGATCCGCGTGTCTTTGTCGTATACGAGGTGTATTCGGTGGGTGTCTGGGATGAAACGCAATAGAGGTTGACAATCACGGAATATGAAATTGGTAGGTATACCGGCGTGCTATTTAAGTTCCCAGGAACCCAGGATCTTAATCGAGATTTAAAGTACCCCTAGGAGGTAGCGACTTCCGCCTCTGATCTGGTCTGACCTTACATCAGCCTTCTCTCATCTCACTCCATCCCGCCTTCCTAGGTAACCCTCGTGCATGTTTGACATTAGCAGAGTCGCGCCGGAAATATGCTCGATGCAGAAAGGGCAAGTGCCATCGATCATTACATTACACAACGGTCTAGTCTAGTCTATCGAACTATGTGTAACCCGGACCGTCCCTACGGGCTTAAGAGTTGGGGAGTTGGAATATGTTGAGTTTAACCGGGAGCGCGGATACGATGTTGCAGTGATCAACTCGTCGGTGTTTGTTTAAGTAGGTTGCGGATACGATTCTGTCACTACGAAAATTCACGTCTGACCAGCATCGAATCCTTCGTCGGATGAACAGCAACCAACAACTACCCATCTCGCCCAGATGCTGCGGAGGAAGTCAGAATGACGTTGGACGATCATCGCTCCTTCGCTTTAGGCAATTAAAAACGAGCTCTGTTAGGAGCGTGGAATATCTGTACAGAGACATCTCAGGGTTGCCTCTTCCATCCCGGCTTGGCATTATATAGTATTTCCTAATTGATCCGGTGTATCGCAACATCTGATTATACTACCTGGTCACCCCTTTTTTTAACCCTCCAGGTCATACGTTCCAAGGTTGCTGACTAGAGTGATACCAGATCAGCCAGATAACTCAATAATAATCCAAACACAACCCGTAACACACAATCTAGCACACACTCCTGTGAATCCCATCCGCCAGTCTCGCCACCTTCTCCTCGACCCCTTTTGCATCCCCGCGGGGTCTGCTATCCCCCGCTGGTTTCTGCTTCTGTAGGATCGACAAGTCTACCTCATCGTTGTCAATCAGAGTCTGCGTGACAGACACCAAGTCTGCGATGAGTCGATCGAGTAAGTCTAAGCTCATGGACTCACGGATGACGACCCTCAATATCTCGGTCTTGTCCTCGTTAGGCGGGAGCGCATAGTTAGGTATGATCCACTGCCGAGCGCGCATGAGAAGCGAAATCGACTCTTGCTTAATATGTGGAAACTCCCTATTGAACTCGTCCGCGAGCCGGAACGAGACGACGGGCAGGCCCGCTACGTAATCAGCCGAGGTCTCCCCCCCTTCACCTACTACGGCATGTTTAGTAGCCGAGACTACACCCTTAGCTGTAGGGGGGTTGCGGTGGATGTCCGAGACGCATGTGTACCATCCCGTGGCTTCGAGGCTCTTGGATAGGAGGCGTGCGTTCCGGAGGCAGTTCTCCATAATTTCACGGTAACCATCGAAGCCGAGATGGATTAAGTTGTAGTATTGTGCGACCACTTGAGCTCCCGGTCGCGAGAAATTGAGTGTGAAGGACTTCTCAGTACCTCCTAGGTAATGCAATTCGAAGATTAGGTGCTGTGGCAGAAACGTCTCGTCTCGCCAGACAATCCAACCCACGCCGGCGTAGACGAGACCGTACTTGTGACCCGAGACGTTGATAGATTTAACACGCGGGAGCTCGAAGTTCCTTGGTCTTATTAGCGAATTCTAATAGAGGTTACGCTACTTCTAGTTATAAGTCACTCACCACTTAGGCCCACCTGCCTGTGCATGAGCAAACGGTGCGACGAACCCGCCCGAGGCAGCATCGACATGAATCGGGATATCAACACCTGTCTTCTCCTGATACTCATCGAGTATTTTCGAGATTTCCTCTACCGGCTCATAATGGCCGGTATATGTGCTACCCATAATGACAAACACCCCGATGGTGTTCTCATCCACATTTTCTCGGACAAGCTCCGGGTCTAGACGGTACTTGCTCTCCTTAGATACGGGGAGAATACGCGCTTCGACATCGAAGTAGCGCGCGAATTTCTCAAGGGCAACCTGCGCGTTAGCGCCCATGAGGATATTAGGCTTCGAAGCATCCAGGTCCTTTGCCTTGCGCTGCTCCTGCCATCGGCGTTTCATAGCCAGACCACCTAGATGGATGGCCTCCGACGAGCCGGTGGTGGCGGATCCGACCGCTTTCTCATCCTTCTTAGCCCCCCAGAGATGGGCGAGGATGCTGACGCAACGTTCGTGTAGGGACATCATAGCCGGGTACTCGTCATTGTCTGCTAGGTTCTTTGATAAGTTTTCTTCCATCAGTTGGTTCGCGTTCGGCTCCATATAGGTCCCAACGAAGCTAATAACCCGAATCAGCAATCTCAACACCTGGGTCTCATAGAGTCCGCATAGTTTTACCTGGCTAAATTCAGATTCGGCTTCCCATCGAGGTCTAGCTCGTCGCGTATCAACTGGTATGCTGTATCTGCGGGCGCACCCTCTTTTGGAATCTGATACTTGGGTACGTCCGTCTCACTCGCGTACTTAGTCCCGTAGGGCGTGAGATGGGAGGTGGTCATCTTCTGTCGAAGATGCCGGCCATTTTCTGTAAGGTGAGCATCATGCAGACGCTCTACGAGCTCTTCTGGATCGATCTATAAAGATTGTGGTCAGTCACGTTGATAATGGGAGGTTTGCTTCTGCATACGTGGCGAGCTAACGACATAGTGGTTTGTATTTAGATTTTGAACATGAGGGTTATTAGGATGTCAATAATAACTCCTTGAGATTAGCTTTATTACCTGGTAGAAATTAAGTCCAAAGACATTCTATAACCTTGCTACTGTTCGTAGATAGCTCCTGCTCTGCCGAAAAGGGATATATGCATCTGTCAGGTTACCTGTGTTACTATTGACTTGTAAGGTTGATTTAACTATGACGAAGAGTGACGTAACTACTTGTGATTCAGAACGGCATCAGCTACCTACTGACAACATTTAATCCGACCGCATGCTGACTTCCGGCGTACCAACTTCAATGTTGTTGCTAAACCCCTACCTACATACCTCTAGGTAACCTTGTAACTTGCCCCCTTTTCCAGCTGCCTACCTACTACGATAAATTATCACTTGAACCATAGCTTTGCGAAACTAGACTGTATATACTAGACGTTGGCCATTAGTGTTGGGATTCATAGAGTGGACTATAAGGCCGAACGTCGACGGCGGACCATAAGAACAAATCCGCCAACCTGCCAATTTAATTAATGTATTAAAATGCATACAGTAAAATACAGTATAATACAGTGTAAAAGCGTACAGTCTGGAAGTTATTTCACACTGTTCTCTGGATCTTACAGGGGGTTATAGCGCTATGAGGCGCTAAAAGCCCTGTAATTTATAAGTTTTATAACGCATTAACTCCTTATAGCTTATAAGTGACTTTTTTGGTACGTAAAAAGTCTTAAAACTAGCGTTAAAGCTTTTTAAAATTATTATTAATATTTCGACCTTTTCGAAACGAATTAAATTAATTAATTAATCTAATTTAATCGATTTATTCGATATAATTAAATATATAATACTAAGTAAGTATTTACACTACCGGGAGGGGGGGGTATTTGGACATGGTTATAATTAACGTTTTAATATTTCGACTTAATCACTACATTTTATAAGCCTTATCATAAATTAATAATATTATAGTTATAATTTTTAAATTAATATTATTATATATTAATATAATTATTATATAATTAAAAGCGTTATAAAATGGATATAATTATTATAATAATTTAAAATTAAATTTATTTTTAACTTTTATAATAATGTTAAAGCTTAATAAAAATATTAAAACTTAATAACATATTAAATTAACGTTTTTAAAATACGTAATTAATTTCTTTAAATAAATTATATATTAAAGTTTAAAAGAAATAAGATTAATAATTATATAAACTGTAAATTATAACTTTCGTAATGTAATAATAAATCTCGTAAATTAATAATAGTTTAAGTAATTCAAGTAACTAGTTCAAGTAATTGTAATTGTAAAAAAAACTTGACTTTTCAAAGTAATAAAAATACACCTTGAAGCCTTAGGGCAATAAGTAATCAATTGACCGCGATAGCTTCTTCTTTTTTTCTTTTTTTATTAAAATTTACAGATCTGGTGACGATCACCAACCTGACATCTGTTGGATCAAAAACCGTTGTAATAGAAGGTGAGGCTGTCTCCAAGGTAGCTATTTCCTTCAATATAACCCTTGCTAGGGGGTTACGATTGCCCTCGGGGGTGATACTATCCCACCAACAGCTAATCAGACTGGTGATTGTGAGTTAATGATTACTAGTTGACATTATGTACACCCCTGGTGACTATCCCTGTGACCATGTCCAGATACCCCCCCCACCCGGTAGTGTAGGTAAATAAAGATATTCCCGTGGTGGTTCAGAACGGTGGTGTCACGTAGCATACACTAAACCTTAGTAGGAGCCCTATATAAAAAGGTTATACGCTACAACCTCTATAAATTACAGGGGATTATAGCGCCTTGTAGCGCTGTAACCCCCTATAAGATTCGGGGTACTGTGTGGGAAATGTATCAGACTGTACGTTATTATGCTGTATTATACTGTATACATTTCAATACATTAATTGAATTGGCGGGTTGGCGGATTTGCTCTTATGAACCGCCGTCGATAATTCGATACCCTTAATATTATTGAAATATTACTCGAACTGCGTTTCTATGAAAGCTCGATCATGCTAAAGCAACGATCCTCTGTTTTCGGTAATCTAATAATCTCGTAAAAGAAAAAGCGCCGGATTCAAGGACACATAAAAAGCTTTGTTTGAAAAAAACGAGGCAATGTGGCTTCTACCTTGTAGCTTACCTAGGTAGTGAGATCTTAATTACTTGGGTCTTCGTACAAACCTAGACAAAGATGCAAGATTCAATACCGGACGCAGACCTCGAAATCCCGACTTCTTTGTGTCGGGATGTCGACAAAAGTTCTAGTTAAACTCGGACTAGCTATTTGCTCCTGTCAGATACGTTCGTGGATTCTCAGCAATTTTTCCCTCTTTCAAAAAGCTAATCGCATTGGATCGTTATGGCTTCATCAGCCGGGAACGAAAGTTGGGCCAATGCCCTCAGCTTTATTACCGATATGATGGTCAAAGAGCTTGTCGACACGCAAGAAGTAGTTACAATCAACTCGACATTCGACAGGAAAAGCGCCGAAGCTGTTTTCCATACTCTTCTAGCCAATATAGTAGTACCATTTGCCGAAGTCCGCGAGCAAGCCATTGTATCTAAGCTTACGGAGGCAGAATTCCAAAAGGGTGAAGCTTATAAGCGAGTTACTACGTTGACGGATGAGAAGAAAGGAATTGATGAAATTGAGAAGAAAGCAAGCGACCAACTTATAGCTGTCGAGGAAAATTACAATCGGCAGCTCACAGAGGTGGCCGTGCAACATCAAGCGGCTCTAGCCAAGTGCGATGAAGACATCTCCTCTAGGGATAAGAAACTCGCAAAAGTAGAAGAAGAGGCTAGGCAACTCAGGAAGGAACTCAGAACGAAAGACACCTCAAGGGAGGAGTACATTAAAAATCTTGAAGATGAACATCAGAAATTTAAGGAGCAGAACGAAGATCTTGACCAGGAACTTGCCAAGCTCCAAGAAACCCTCAGCCTAAGAAACGCGGAAGTAAATAATGAACGCCAAAATGTAAACAAATTTTTAGTTCAGATCGGCCAGAAGAATAAAGACTTAGGCGAGGAACGGGCGATCTCCCGGGCAATGCAAATGAAAATCTCAGCACTGGAAAATGATCATAACAACGACGAGAAGGTTATTAGAAAGCTCAGGGTCGAATTAGACGCGAGACAGAAGAAAATCGAGGTTCTCATGAGAGACATAGATCAGTATTCGAAGAAGAGCGCTAGTACTAAAGGCAAGAGTAGCACGACCAGTTCGTCAGACGCTGGTCCAGGGCTAGATACCGAATTGGAACTCGCCAAGAGGAGTGAAACCATCGACGAGTTAACCAGCGAGAATGACGCCCTGCGTATGCAGGTGAGTCACTTAGAGACGGAGTTGACAGACACCCAAAACAAGATAAAGGCATTGGAGGGGGATCTCAAGAATTCAAGGGATGCGAAAGATCGATCAGACCAACGAGTGAGAGAACTGGAAAACAAAGCCAAGGAAAAGGTAGACCAGTCGGCAGGCGATCTCGAAAAGTTGAAGAAGGAACGCGACGAGCTTGAAGTCTCACTTAAACGAGCACACGCCACGAACACTGAAAACGAAAAGGAAATAGCCCGACTTAAGGAGGTCGAACAAAATGAAAGGGACCTTCGGAAACGCGAAAGAGAATTGCAGTCCATCTTAAAAGTTAGAAACAAGGAACTTACGAGAGCAGAGGAAGAACTTAGGAAGTTGGAAGAAGACATCGCGAGCGGTAAAATTTCCAATGGAGATGATGTTGCGAAGTGCGAAAAGGAGAAGGCTGAGCTTAAAGACCAGCTTGACAAGGTCGATGCCGAGCTCCAGAGCCTGCGCAAGGACTACGACGACTTGCTCGGAAGAGTCCCGTCCGACAACGACGAACTCAGGAGACTACGTGACCTGCTGAAGCAAGCGAATAAAGAGCTAGAAGAGGCTCTAGCCGAGACCAAACGAATTCGCGAAAGGCTAAACGAACGAATAGATGAGTTGACGGAGGAAAATAAGAATATACAGGCAAGATTAGACAAACTGGTAAAGGAGTACAACGACCATGTCAACAACACAGAACATGCCGGTGACGATATGTTGGATTACTACGATAATCTCTTCAGTTCCTTACAAGAGCATGTTCGAGAGGTCAAGCAAAACTTCATTACCGAGATCAGGGTTAATAGAGGCACAAGAGACCAGTACCTCGAGAGACTCACCCGGATGAACGAGGACATTGCCAAGAACCCCGGCACGGCCGATGCGACTAGGAAAAGAGCGATGGGCATACAGAGGGAGATCGATCGAATGAGTGGCATCATCAAGACTCTCCAGATGGAAATTTCCTGGTTCGAAGGCACGCTCAAGCAGATCCAGGACGTACGGGATAAGAGGGCGGAGGCGGCGGATCAGGCCTTCGCAGACGCAGAGGCGGCCAGGTTAAGGCTGGCGGAAGTGCTGGCAGAACGGCCGCCGGTAGACCTAGGAGTCCTCGGACAACTCACACAAAACAGATTCCTCCTATACACGAACATACTCGCATTCCTAGTCTTCGTCATACTGTCGATCGCGGCGGGTCGCGAATTCGGCTTGCTTAGATGGGGTAACCAACAGGTCAGGAGAGCGCATTTCGTCAACACCGTAGAGAGGCTAGGAATAACGCTTAGGATACCATCTTATGAGTTGTTTTGGGAATGCCTAGTAATACTCCTTTCGGGAGGATTCGCTAAGTGGGCGATGCTCATTTAGAGGATAGTGAGGAGAACATTCTCTTTGGGTAATGTTTCGGTGGAAGTATCCTAAGGGCGTTTGATCGCGTGTATTTAGAAGATTTGTAAAATCCAATTTGATTTTCTTCTTTCAGGCGTATACATCAGGTTGTTGATGATCGAGAGATGTCTATAATTGCCCAGATAATAATATGCACTAGATCTAATAGGCTTCTAACTTTTAAGGTTAAAATTTTGAAATGTCCGCTACCAAGTTGGAAGTACAGATACGAAGTATTTGTCATCCGGCAAATCCGTAACCAAAAATTTGAGGAAACGGATAACTATACCATTTCGGGTTAGTCTCATGCTATGATACCATATTTTATTAGTCATTTACCGCGCTCAATTTCCGAGCAGGTGCAGGTTCTATTTGTACCGGGAAAGACACCTACAGCGCATGAACAAGCTAACAGGTGCTGTAAATAGGTTCTTCGTTAGGGGTTAACATTGAAATTTGTAATTGCCCAGGCGCCTTTGTGATGTCATTTATGCGTCTGTCAACAAAGAATATTACCTAGGGTCATTGCCGAAAATAGCACGTTTTCAGATGAAATCAATTACTGAGCAGCCTAGGCATCTAGGTACCTAAGTACGTACATAACAGGGGATCCCGGTGGAAACAGTTTCTTGACATGTTGATTTCGAATTCCAAATAACAGCCCTAGAGCGCAGTTGGCCCCATCGCCCCTCCATCTAACAACCTAGGCTCGGGGAATGGAAGACGTCGTAGCTTCGGATCGGTCACGTAAAGTGGTATTTGCGAACGCCGGATGAGGCGATACACCCAAATTTTGAAACTTTTAAAGAATGACTATAAATCGAACGTTGCCGAGGACATTTCGAGTTACGCAAAATTCTATCATCAGACCTTCGAATCACAATTACTTTGTCTTGCAGCCTTCCTCATCTCGACATCACCCCAAATTGATATCTGGTAAAAGTCATCTGACGCCAGCAAATATCAAATTTAGCGAAAATATATCTATATATAACGGGACGATCCCCCGAGCCTTACCTAGTACTCAAGCAAGGTCGGCATCAACACTCACCATGTCTTCCAAACTCATTCCCTCCAACCCTTCCGACGTAGCCGTACTCCGGTCCGTTACGCCTAACGTCGTGACCGTCTCCGTGCCATTCGCCCGGTTCGGCATCATCCGGGTCGGCGGTCGCGGTACCATAAGTAAGCAACTTCTATCACATGTTCACTACACGGTACCTCACATTAGTCATCAAGCTGCTTACATGCAGACCAGTACGCCTCACCTCCGGCACACTAGCCGTCTTCTCCCCGGTCGCCCTAACGCCCGAGACCCAAGCCAAGATCACCGAGCTCGGGGGCAACGTTGGGTACATCATCGCAGGCGATATAGAGCATCATATCTTCATCACAGAATGGGCGAAAGCCTACCCGAACGCCAAGATCGTCGGACCCAAGGGTCTAGCTGAGAAGCGCGCGAAGGTGCAAGATGACCCGAAGATCGGACACGAGCTCTTCGCCTTCGAGTGGTCGGCCGCGAACAAGAGCTCCAACGCGGTGAGCGAGGAGTTCGCCGCTGATTTCGAGGTCGAGTACGTCGACGCGCATCCCAACAAGGAGGTCGTGCTTTTCTACAAGCCCGACCGCGTCCTCATCGAGGCCGATCTCATGTTCAACCTGCCGGCTGTCGAGCAGTACTCCCGCGTGCCTGAGGCGCAGAAGACAGGACATGGGTTCTTGAACAAGATTTTCGAGTCTATTAACAGCACGAGCGGCGAGGCCAAGGGGATCAAGCGGTTCCTGTGGTATGTGATTAGCAACGGGACCAAGGACCGCCCTAGTTTCAATACGAGCGTCCAGCGTATTGCATCTTGGGATTTCGATACCATCATTCCATGCCATGGAGAGACAGTCGTGGGGGGCGGCAAGGAACTGTTCAATAAGGTGTTCGAGTGGCATCTGCAGGGTCATAAGTAAGAGATGGCGGGATCTCTTACGTCGGTGGCTTATGTCAGTGGCTTAAGGCCCCTGAGCGTGGAGGAATCGGGCCTCATCTGGGGAATTTCCTCAGGGGCTTTCCCTGCGTTTTGTTGAGGTGCGAGGCGTTGTAATGGAGACGACATTAAGGACCCTAGGACGTACATGAACGCTGAAGATCGATTAATGTCGTTGTATAATGATGCATGGGCGCGGAGGTTCGCGGTGTTTTCCGGAGTATCTGGCATATTGGAGATGATACCAGTTTATTTTGTTTCCTATAACTAACCAAATTTTAATCTACACCTGGGTATATAGAAATTGACACCCATCATATTACGTTCACATCTCCTCGGCCACTCCGATCTCGACCCGGACGAAGCCAAACTTATGTATCATGAACCATTCGGATTCCATTTACAGTATATGGACCCGGGAACGTTCAACGAACGATTACTTTTGTTCGACTTGCATTCAGCTAGCTGTACCACGGGGGCCGCCACACAAGCTGTAGCACGTTCCTAACGATTTTAGCGTCCCGTCCCCAACACATGCAGCTCGCATCGCACAGCACATGTGAAATCGCAATATTCCGATATTTCAACTTGAGACCCTTCATGACGATGAGACAATATGTCGTTGGATAATTATTAAGTACTTAGAAAGGTACGTAAACGCGCAGACTCCTTCCTTTTTCCATGTAGTCCTCCCCAGATTCTCCATGTTCCTGTCGCCCTAGCCATGCCTCCTCGAAAGATTGACCTTGGGCGTGCCTAATGCCCGCCCGTACGACCAACCACTAACGCCAATTATGTTTCTATAGAGAAGGATTTGAGACAATTCGGAAATTGTTGCCCTCTTCTAATGCAGTTTGCCTCATTATTTCTTTTGAGTTGAGATGCTCAGATCCTATCAGCCCATTATCGAAAGGTTAGACCCAGGACTACCCCGTCCGCACTCATCCCCCTTTAGTGAATGCATTAGTCCTTTCCCCTCGTTCATCATGTATCTCCATGTATAAGCAAGCCATAAGCTGTTACATGCTGCCGTCGTGATATATCTTGAATGTTACGATACGCCACTTCACTTGGAGGAGCTCTTGCTACGTTCTCTCATCGTGGTGGTTCGCACACGCCTACGTTCCTCTCGACTCGAGTCGTCCATGGCGTCACTGTCTTCAGTGTAGTAGCTAGACGCGATCTTGAAAGGGTCGTCCTTGGCGGGAGTTCCCTCATTCAACACCTGTTTTATATGTTAACACCCATTTCGGGCAAGCCCGTGGTTGCAACCACGGTTTGAATCAGGCTTAACGGAGGTGACATACTGTGCATAGTCTACATCGTTGTCCGAATTGTGTGACTTTGTTTTGGCAGTGGACTGCCCCCTGTTTCAAGGAAGTTAGTTCTCTATTGATGGCTGTATCAACTACGGAAGTTCGGGGACAACTTACATAGTAGTTTGCACAATAACAATGCATATTGGCGAACGGTACTCCGTATGGTCAAGTAGCAGTCTAGCTGATAGGAACTGGGAAAGCCACAAGGTGAGGGGCGGGAAGATGTAATGTATTTTCGTCTAAGATAGAGCAGACAAACACTATATCCGTAGAGTCACAATTAAAGTAACAACGATATAGGATGGAAAGTTGATAAACTTAAACACGCAAATATAGTTTAACACAAGGATCAGATCTGAAGGGAAGAAGGAGGGAAGATCGCCTTCTTATAACCTCCAAACCACATGTACCTGGAGTATACATCTTGAGGTAATACATCTCGATAGGGTACATCAATACATATACGTTGCACAATAGATAAAGCTTCGACCCACCCCCGACAGCTCCGAGATCATGATGGTATCAATGTACATACAATCAATGTAATGGCTTGCTCAGCTCTTTTTACTTTAGAAACGTTCCACAGCGTCCAAACCAGGACCAGCCCCGATCGAACCGGACCCTGTCCCGTCCAAACTCAAAACCTGGGGGGTGTGGATGTGTACGGTGCGTAGGCTGAGGCTCCACTTACCCGAGTGTTCCCGGTTTTTTGGACTCGCGCAAACTCAAACCTCTTCGTTCTGTTCCCATGCAGCCGCGGCCTAACCTGGGAGTGGTCTGAGAAGGCACCTGCACAACAGGTAGGACACCGACAGTTCGGTACACGGCATGCACGTGTATAAATACGTACACACGGCAGCATCGATATATTCGATTGTTTGCCAAGCTTGCGTCTTCTATCCTCTACCTTCGTGATCGGTTCCTGTACGTAGTACGTAAGGGTCGCGGGGATACGATGCAATGCAGATAGAACATAACTAGTACTAAAGCTCAGAGCTTAGATCCATCCATATGAGCAACATTGGTCATCGCAACTGACCAACTGGATATACATGCCTATATTGGAATACACACAGCATATAGTTCGGGTCCAATTTACCTACCTACCTACACGATCTTCATTTTTTTTTCGACTCGAGTTCCATCTTATTCCTCTCGCCCGCATGGAGAAGTCGCGAACCCTGACAAAGTTCAGACAAATTCATACTCGGCTAAGCATTACGTGCTAGCACCTGCCGCGTTTCGAACGGTTTCACCACGCGACTTCTTCGAGTATATTTAGAAAGTGTTTAGAAGTGGAACCGTCGAATCTCAGAAACTCTGAGCACCGAACCTCGAACATTGAAAATCATACTTGGCACTAGATATGCCGTGCTCCGTGTTCGTACGGTGGCAGCGATGGGTGTATAACACCCGAGTAATATTACTCTTCTAGAACTAATCGACCTTCGAACACGTTCCGCAAAAACGTTACCTAGCTCACCTTTGATCTAAGAATGATATTCACCTTAGCTCGATAGTGATGTAGAGTGATGTCAAGCGCATCTGCAACGAAAAGAAAACCTGCCAGCCCTGCCTGATAGTGTCGGGATCGTCTATCAATAGCACTTCGAGCTCCCCCACAACAGCTGGAGCTTAAACAAGGAGACCCGACACAACGGTTGAGTGGGAAAGTTTAAAGCCATCAAGATTTTTATAGTAGGTATCGATATGACATTTACACTTCCCGCATGCCGCGTGTACTATAGCGTAACAGCGTTACATACTCGGTTCTAAGAGACCAAATTAAACTCAACTCTATTAAGAATACCTAGGTAAAAAGAACGAATAAGAACTATCGCACAAGTCCACATGTGTAAAATCTTTCCTGATACTCGGTACCGTAAATGCTCGCGCTCAGAATAATTCACGTCCAGCAAGGTACGCCATAAGATAACCTCCAACATGCTAACAATTCGACTACCGGACAAGAGGACCCACGGTGCCGAGGAGAAGGAACACCCGAGTCAGTGAATCTCGTGTTTTTCCATCTTACTAAACTCAATCTTTTATATCTTTGTCGACATCCAATTGCACCCACCCACCTCGAAGCTGCTTTTAAGATAAGCATGTGAAGCTCTAGCTACCCGTTATCCGTTATCCGCTATCCCTAAAAAACCTTAAGCTTAGCGCCAACTGTATAACCGAAGAGCTAAATAAACTCCCCTATCGGTTCATATTAACGGGAGCCTGTAGATCTTAACACCCCCCTAAAATAGGAGTTCCAGCGCATTGACTTTAACGTCCTTGGTACCGCTAATAGGGGAATTATCAACGGCTAGGGCGCTAGACTCCCCAACGCCTTTCCAACAACCAAACCGCTGGATTCAGAGAGGGTTATCTAATTCTTCGGCACAGTTTACTCAACTCCTATCTAACAGAAAGAAAGGAGGACTACGCAAGCGAATGATAAGACTAATCCTCCTAGAAAAAGAGCCAACCTCAATTCAACACTGACCTGAATCGCCAAACACACTAGAAGGACAATCACCAGAAGACGATCAAAACACCAGACAAATTCCTCACAGCCCACAAATGTAAGCCTCATAAAATCTTCGGGTCTTTGTTTTGTGATTACGGTAGGGGTTTCCTACTAGATAGGTAACTTTCTAGGCAACATCCTCCCCTCCACCATCACCAAATCGCCCGAGGCTTTCTTCCCACAATTCGCCTTCTCGTCCCTCCCACCCTTGCTTACTTCCACTCACTCTCTTCTATTTCTCCTTATCTTACTATCTTGCGTGCCGACGAGCCGCTTGCTATTTGCTCGCCGCACTATCATCCATCCACCTCCAACTCAACTCAACTCACCACTCACACCCAGCGCGGTCGCAGACTTCGAGGCCAAATCGTGGCTCTTCCCTCTCTCTTCCATCCCCCATCCCCTCCATTCCCCGGAAAAAAGACTTCCTTCGTTACCTACAAACAAGTCGGATGGTTGGCTAGGAAGGTTTGGGGGGCTCCAGCAAAGATCCAGAAGTCCGCGGCCGACCATCTTAGAAAAAAATCCGGAAAGCTTAAGACGATTAAAAAAACGATTTCCTCGCTACTGAAGAACATTCTCAAAATTATGAGGGTTAGAAAGGAAAAAGAAATATGCTGGCCGGGTAGTAAGTAGATAACAAGACGCGCGCGCCCCATGAACCGTCACATATGTGGGATATCCGCTGCTTATCCATTACTCCTTGGTCCTGCGCGGCTTTGGGCTGAGCTGGCCAAATAAGAATTAGGCCGGATTAGGAGTGAGAAAGAAAATGTCTGTCGTAGGTATTCGATTGGTAGAAATAGTATCGAGATCATGGAGCAAGCAGTTCCGACTTTCGGTTGCTCTTCCAGAAGTCGAGAGCTGCGATAATGTCGCCACCAGCTTCATCTTCGTATGCAAACAAGATCTGGACGATGGTTAGCATTTGTGCATTTATTATGATGTGAACGATTGTTGTGTATCTCACCTCATGCGTACTACTGTGCAGCATCCGAATGTTCTTATGCGGAACAATATGGACCGCGCCACTTTCGATATTCCTAAGCTCGATGAAGTTTGGCTCGAACGCCAGGATCCACGGGTAAGACAATGCGAAGGCTTGCGGTGTTCCCTCCCAATCAATACGCCACTCTGGTCTCGCCCTCCAGCCATTCCTATTAACGAAGAATGAGAACTCCGAGTAGTTAAGTAAGAACTCTCCGTTGAGTCGTTCTATGTGGATTGGCTTGACACCCTCTTTCCTTGCAACAAAGTCAAGTGAAGTGTCGGCCTGGTCCAGCAACGATTGTGTTTCGAGAGTTTCAAGCGAAACAACCTCGAACCCTCTAGCGCATGCTACACAGAGCTTGCTCTTGAGGAAATGGACAGATGACGACTCGGTCGGGATGTAAAATTCTTTGAATGCCTTCAATTCGTCTTGGCCGGCGTTAAACATCTTACCGAAGCCCTTCTGTTTCTTGCCCTTGGACATTGAATCGTTGGGCTCGTACACCTTGATCGTTGTCGAAAGCGCACTAGACTTGACGCAACAGACAAGATGCCTACCTAGACAGATACCTGTCTTGAAGAAGTTGCAATTGCTCTGGATCTTCTTCGGCCTCTTCGCGAGCGCCGGTTCGTTGGGGTCTAGAGCTGAAAGTGAGTACGACGACATCGTTTTGTTCGATAGCACTAGCAAGAGACCGTATTCTTCCAATACGTCGACCTGGGTAACGTGCTGTGCTTCGATAACACGTTTGGGTACTTGGTCCTTAACCTTTCGGTCCGAAACGTAGATGCCGTGATCAGTACCGTATATGAGTTTGCGACCACCGTCTATCATCTGATTAGTAAATGCATGGTATCTATAATGTATTGCGATGCGTACCAAAAGGTGTTACAGTATTGACCAAATTGCCAGACTGGAAGAAGCCAGAAGAGAGGGTATTGACATTAAAGAAATCAGCTCGGGCTCGGAGACGTTGTTGAGCCGAGTCAATGAATTCCAGCCACTTTTTCCTTGCCGTCTGATTTGAAGCATACAGAACCTGCTCGTAGTAATTCTTGCCCAAGTGACGGAAGGTTATGGGCCAACCTTCTGGCGTCTTTTTATCGTTATCCTTACCACGGAATGGCAAATTCGAAGAAGCTCGTTTTACACCCGCCTGAGGGATGACTTCGTCCATTTCCTTGATTGAAAGTAGCTCCAACGGAATCGGCTAGGCTGGGGTCAGTAACTAGATTTTGGGGTGTCAATATTATCTTATAACTTACTCTCCTATAAGCCTTCACTTCTTCACCCTTGCCGACTTGTTTTATTCGTACCAGGAGAACAGCGTGGTCGAAGAGGAAGGCCGTGATATCGGTAGGGTCCGTAGGGGTCTTCTTGAACTGAGTCTTGAAAACCAACTCGCGTCCATCTTCTGTCAGCTTAAGGTCAACACGATCGGCGGGTCGGAATTTGAGTTGCTCGTGTAGGCGGCGTAAATTGAAACGGTTTTCTGCTTTGCCTGACTCGGCATTGACTCTGCTTAGCAGGTCGCGGATCGTGACTAGAACCTTCGGGATATCCTCCTTGTCAGGGTTGCCATCCTCCGTGTACTTCAAGACGTTTTCTAGTAGCAGTGGATAACGAGCCAATCTTGTCGTGGGCTTTGTTAGATAACCGTTCAACTCTAGCTTTCTTGATTCTTTCCTCCTCTCGATCTCTTCGACGAATTTGGAAAAGTACGGGTTGCTCGATCGTTCATTCTCGAATTCAAACTTGGCTTCCAGTTGCTTGGAACCGTAGAGAATGAATGGTTCAAACTGAGGGACAATTTCCAAGAAAATGTCACCGAGGTTCCTGACGACAGGGTTCTTTTGTTGCCTTTCTGTTAGAGCCTTCGCAAACCTAGAGCTGACTGAATGGATACTTGGAATGTCGATGATGTTGCTGAAAATGTTCTGGACAACCTTGTCCCTTCTCGGGGCAGGAATCGGCGACCCTTTGGAGCGCAGCGGCAAGATCCAGAAATCCCTGAGATACTCGAGATCCTTGACGAAGTCTCTCTCGGTGTAGCAAATTTCAGAAATGACCTCTTGCCTCTTCTTTTCTCTGTCGCCGACACTTTCGGCAATCTCTTTGGGAACAGTGTTGATCCAGAGCTTTTGCTCGTCGGTCTGGTCCGCGTCGTCGTTGATGGTAGCATCTTGATCCTTTCTTAATCCTACCTGGGGCTTGAGATTTAGTCGAGATACCTGCTCCAACCTTCGGGGACATGCAATTGAATAACAGAGTTGGTCCCTTGTACAAGTCGGGGAATAACACTCAGATAGCAAGACAAATACACCATTAACCGGGTGCTTCTCCTCCGGTTCATCCATAAGCGTCTCCCTGAATTGGTACATCTCAGACTGTGAGTCTCGTAATCGGTGTTCGTAAGTGACATCGTGAAAGAACTTTTGCGCATCGAGAGCTCGACCCAAGAGCAAAGCTAGATTCCTGTCAGTAGTCCTGATGATGTATGATAGAACATCAACAGCCTCGGAACCGCTGAAAGCATTCTTGTACGTCAGCTCGTTCTTCGTTCGCTCGCCTGTAATTATCTTCTGCCGGAAACATTCAGCCACCCTCGAGAGAAGCGCGGGGTATACCAAAGGTGGCCGTATCTTGGCCGTAGGTGGTCGTTCGCCTTCAATCGATCTGGAAGATATAGATGGTCGATGCACTAGCTGCTGCGGTTGTGACTGCGACTGTTGCGCCAACTGCTGACGAGCCTGTTCAGAAGTCTCCGGGACAATGGTACTAGCCATTGACATGGTACGACTGTGGTCGCCAGCAACAGTTGACGAAGCCATGCTCATCGTCCTTGTTGCGCTCCCAGGCGCAGGAGCATACCCATTGTATCCAGGATATCCACCATTGCCGTTCATAGTAGGTGTCTCGTTTGAGGGGGCCCTCGAACGATTGGGGATTACTCGGCCGCTCATCATCTGGTGAGCATCGCGTTCTGGGGGGTATCCAGTCATGGACATTGATCGGTCATCATGGCGTTCGGGAACTACTCGACCTTGCGCCGTTGTTCGGGACATAGGATTATTCGGAGGCGGTCGATAGTTATTCTGGGGAGATTGATACGAGCCAGAGGGCGACTGGTACATAGGTTGACGGGGTACACTTGCGAGAGATTGGGAGCGATAAGGATCGTCACGCATAGCAGGGGCAGGTCCAGGTCCAGGTCCGGGTCCGCCTTGATAATATCTTGGTCCTGGATTTCGCGGAGGGTAACCGGACGGAGGCGGTCCTCTCGATTCGAACCGAGGAGGTCCCTGCGGGGGTCCTTGCGGAGGTGGGCCAGGATACGGTCTTTGGTTCGGTCCAGGGGGCATCGGCGGCCTCCCATATTGACTTTGCCCCTGAGGTGGGTACCCTCCGGATGGATTTCGTTGACTTTGATAATATCCATTCGCGATACTCGTGTCCATTGTTCTAGTTCGGGGCGCTACTGCCTCTTCGTAACCTCCTGTTCGCTGAGGTCGTGGAGGGGGTCGGCGCTGCATATCGGGTGACATACTAGACATATTGGACGAGAGAGAGGACATTGTCTGGGTCCTCCCATCTTGCGGCGGCGGCGGCATGTTCGGAGACGATGAGGTCATGGTACCAGTTCGACCGGGCGGGGGATGAGAACCGAAGATATTAGAGAAAGCGGCATCTCGCTGATTGTTGGACGATGGGCCATATCGGCGTTGATCGTACTGGTAATCAGCCATCCTCGGGATTCTAAGAAAAAGAGATTACGTGGTCAGCGGTAGATACGTCGCCAGAAAGTTGTAAGCGAGAATAAAATGCAAGAAAACTGTCGAATTACACGGCGGTGCCGATAGCGTTGCACAAACACCACCACCCATCCACGTAGGTGCAGATTCGTATCAATGAACGAAAGACCTAAGGGGTTATATGGGGGGTTTATAATGGTATGACGGCACTTACTCTCGCAAAAAAGCCTAGGCGGGCGGGAGCCTAGACGAAAGACTAGGATCGACCGCAGAGGAAGATAAAGGGGTGATTGCCGACGCAGAGGACGGATTCACCGCCGATGGTGGACGGCGGGGATGTTGCGAGCGAATATCCTCGAAATTGTCGATATCTTTCTTCCTCCGAATTCTTGTCTTGGTGTTCCCCCTAGATTTTTCCTTGGACTTCCTTGGCCCAAAAGTCCAGGCTCCCGCGGACTTAAGAATTGGATGCAAATCGCCAGTGGTTCGAGATGGGGACGAGGACAGAAAGTAATGTTAGGGAAAGCAATGAGGACGTCGTCGGCATCGAATCGAATCGAATAGGTTTTTTAAATGGTTGTGGTGGTAGGTTTTAGGATAGGAAGGGAGGAGAGGTTCGGGTGTACGTAAGGAATAGGTAGGATTTGAATGGTGGAATATGGGCGCTGTACCATAAATCTGTACGCTGATTGATATGATCAAGGATCAGAAGTGCAAGGAGTGCAAGGACATTTCAAACCGCTCCAGGCTTGGATTGGCTTGGATTGGCCTGAATTAGACCCGGCTTCAAATGTGCAGTGCGCTGGAGACTTCCTAATCACACTAAAGGAACCGGGTTATTGTCGGCTCGGGAATCGTTATGTAAAAGGTAATAACTTTTAAGTATTGTCTTATCGCATATGTACCATGTTTTGCATGCTGATCAGTTAAGATGATACATTTTCGGTACCACCGATTATCGTCCCAAAAAACGTTACGTAGCTACTTTTTCTTGCGGTTGCAGAACCTTGGAAAGTGCGATTAGTTGCTTCGAGAAGACAGGAAGATGAACCTTGAAAACTCAAAAGAAGAAAAAAAAATCAATTGAATTGTAGGTTCCGGCACTAACGGCAACCGCTTAAAGATTGAGTCTGCTAAAAACTAAAATACACGTGCGCTCGGATGTATATCCATGCATCGGTGTAGCTAGATGACGACTCCAGTATCCAGTATCAAATGGATATCGCTACAATAGGAAGGGCATAATAGTCAGTATGGTCAGAATGGTCAGAATGGTCATGCTTCTCTTGTCACTCTGAACAAATACGATAACTTCGTAAGAATTGTCTTAGCACTTCTCGTATCTCAACCTATGATCAATTGCTCAACACACTCTTAACAGTTTATCGTCGTACCTGTTCTACTTTAATGTCATTCGTCCCAAGCTTAAATTCTTAGGTCGAGAGAATAGCTCATGCACAATTACTGGTGCCGCTGGCGCAGCCGGTGGTGCTGCCTGGTCCAATAGGGAACTTTTGTGGGGTTAAGATTGAAAGTGGGCATTGATTGGTTTTAGGGGTAACAAGGTTTAATGTTATGTAATTCGCTAATCACGTGCTGTTGGTTTAGTAAGGTTATTGGATCCATCATCCAAGGCAGCTTAGATTTGAAGCTAGCTTCATACTCTCAATTTCGAGATTCAACAGGTTCGGCGGCGACGACAACCCGCTATATTTGCGAGCCCATCTCATTTCCCTTATACAACCTATTTGTTATCATAGAGAACAAGTCATCATCATGGCTTCGGTGGCTTCGGAGAGCGCGCCCAAGTTTGCTCCTTTCATCGGCATGGTAAGAATCAGCTCCCTAGGCCACGAAGCTCTTTACGCGACTATACTAACATCATTGTCATCCTAGGCCGGCATTGCCGCCGCCATGATTTTCGGATGTACGATTCCTAAATTCGACTCTATTTAATAATGATACCGCGTGCTAAGATAGTAAAACTAGGCATTGGAGCAGCATACGGAACGGCAAAGTCTGGAATTGGTATCGCAGGTGTGGGCACGTTCAGGCCAGACCTGATCATGAAGGTTCGTTATGGCATGAAACCAGGTTTATCCTGTGTTAGCCCGGTCTCATCTTCGTGGTAACAATATTCTAACATGATGCGATGATTAGTGCTTGATTCCCGTCGTCATGTCCGGAATTATCGCTGTTTACTCACTTGTTGTCTCCGTCCTCATCGCCGGTGACATGAACCCACCGACGCGACAAAGCTACAGCTTATTCAGGTACATATCCGATTCACCGCCGAATGGACGAAACGGACCATATAAAAACTAACATCTGTAATAGCGGGTTTCTGCATCTGGGATGTGGGCTCTCAGTTGGATTCACGGGTCTTGCGGCCGGATATTGCATCGGTATTGTTGGTGATAAGGGTGTTCGTGCATACATGGAACAGTCGAGGATATTCGTCGGCATGGTTCTAATCCTTATTTTCGGAGAAGTCTTGGGTCTATACGGGTAGGTCCAATCATCTATTATATATTATCAATACTAACTATACATACAGTCTCATTGTTGCTCTTATCCTCAACACCAAGAGCAAGGGTTAAGTCACTCGGGGTTCAGGCGACACAAATCACTCACAAAGGCAACTCAATGTTCATATGAAAGGGCATAAGCAAACCCTGTCTGCAAAGGCAAAGTGTAATCAATAACTGCATGGCTGATGGCGTTTTACGGGTATGTAGAACTAAAGGCAACCATTAGAATCGTTGACGGTTGGCAGGTCAGCGTCTGATCAGATAGTTGTCCAGAGCCTCTGTTGATGAACAAGATATCTTGTAACATCAAAACAAATCATTGGCATTATTACGGATCGATGAAAGGCGAACTTAGCAAAATCGTGTTATATTGGTACTAAATAAGAATTGGACAGCTATCGCAAAGCCTAAAGGAACGAAAGAAGAAAATGGATGGTTCCCTACGCGACATATCTCATGACTTCATCCATTCATCTACATGATTTACCCACGCATTGAAATCCCATCCCAGCCCATTCAGAAAAGAAATGCCACTTAATCCGATCTAGGTTGCCCAATTTGACGCCTAACTAGTAGCGCCGCCCAATGCGTGTAAGTAGGATACCCCGAAAAGTCCATCAAGGAGCGAAAAGAAATGGAATCGGCCATCACCAGTCTCAGTTGTTGAAACTCCTCAGCCATAAACGACAAAATTGATGTCATCACCACATGTACAGCTTCCACGCATACCCCACGTGCGTCCGGTGTAAAACGGCCATTATCGGCCAAAGCGACGAGCGAGTCTCCCGCGGCTGTCGATAGTAGTGCTAAAGGCGCCCCAGCTTCGGTTCCGCTCATCCCAGTCCCTAGTTTGGCCTACATATCGCGAGGGTTAGTCTTAACATCTAAATACCGCAGATACACTACGGCCGCCTATCCCCACAAGGTACGTAACAGCGGAATAGGATAAAACTTACCAAGGAACCAATCCCATCGCCTCTCCTCACGATACAAAACCTCATCCCCATTTTGCCTCGCCAACCTCTCCCGCCGCGCCCTCGCCGCTGCCTCCTCGCCAACTAGATAGGGGTCCTCAAGCGGACGCACCTTGTCCGGGTCATCTTCCGCATCAGCAGCTGCCGCTGCCGCATTCGCATTAATCCGCTCGATCGCAGAGCGCAGTGCGCTTTCAACCCCGCCCCAGCGCCCGCCGTTTGCCGCGGCAGATACCCGGCGGTGCGCGACTCGCTGGTAGTGGCGCGCCTGCGGGTTGCTGGCCATACTGGACCAGGAAGGGATCTGGAAGTGCGAGAGGTGCGGTACGTCGCGGCGCGGGGAGGGCAGACGGGGGAGCCCGGCACCCGGGGCGAAGGTCGACGTCATGGGCGTAGGCGTCGGTGTTGAGGAGAGGTTGAGCATTGACGAGGAAGTGGCATATCGCGGGGGTGAGGTCGCGGATGTAGTGGTTTGAGACTCGCGTGGTGTGTATTCCGGTACACTTTCGTTGGTGGGGAGGGTGGAGTGGTAGGATGGTGCTTCGGAGACTGAAGGGGACTGTTAATACTTCGTACGAAGTAAGGTTTGGCGTTTGAAGAGGATGTTGCTCACTGTAAGACGGAGCGGCTGAGCGTATTGAGGCCGTCTCAAAGTCCTCGGCGCTCAGGCGCTCTATGCGGGATGGCCCGTTTTGAAGGGTTGTTTCGGCAGCCATTGTAGCCATCGTGTTTGTTTACTGTGCCGCAGGAATAAATATCGCAAACGAGAATAAGATAAAATGGGTTAAATAGGTGAGGCTGTTAGAAGTCAGGGAGGAAAACTCGGTGAGAGTACTTTGCACATCTGGTCGAATAGCTCCCTTATCTTTCAAGGCTGGCACGCAAAGGGAGAGATCCTAAGTGTCTAGGTATGTAAGGTACAGAGGTATGGTAGGTAAAGTGGTCAAGAGACGGTGAATCAGAAAATCGTAATCATGGAGTCAACAAGCACGATAACAGATCGGTATTAGATAGCTCTTCCCCGGAGAGGGTATTGTCTTAGAATGATACTCTAGCTTGACTTAAAAAAGGCCGATGTTGTAGGGTTCACAATGACGAGCTCTAGTCACGATGAAAGGGAACACACCACCAACTCGACAACGATCCTAATAGGTTGTGTGTGATATATGTAAAAGGTGGGAGGAAAGTGTTGGCTTCAGGCTAGATAAACCTTGAAGGGGTAAGTCGAGGTGTATGAGGTGTATGAGGTGTATGCACACGTGAGCGTTGCAGAGAGGATTGGCTAGGATAGGCAAGGTATGGGGGGACAAGGAACGGGAAGGAAAGGAGGGAAGCACAGCCAACCCACCTACCCATCGTACCGGATGGGTTGGAATATGCAGCATTCTACTGGACCGGCCCTGTCTTTACACTTGGTTCTGCTGCCGTGCTACCTTCTTCGTCCAGGGTCCAGTCCGACTTGCGTCACGATAGACCATTCCGTGGAACCCGTGAGCCACGGACTGTGTGTCTCTTGTGCAACAGCCTCGTAGGCTTGTCGTGATACAGATATGTCTAGACGAAATATGTCGTTGTGAATTCTGGTGTCGAAGGCAATTACTGTGCCGAAACCCGAGTAGGTACTAGGTAGATAGTAGGAATTATCACGAAGAGGGGAATTGACTAAATTGTCGGACGGCAGAGAGGAGAAATTCAAGGTTAATAGCACAGTCTACCTAGTAGTACTGGTAGGTACTTCCCACGTAGGAATTACGACAGTTCAGCAGTCCCACTATTTTCTCTTTAGGTGCCCAGACTGCCAGATCAAGTATAGCTTATCTCATTGGCTATAGTTTATCTTATCTATCCCCACATACAAAAGTCACGAGAAGTGATTGGGTGAGGGGCATCGTGACTAGATCTACCAGGGGTTTTAGGGGGATTGTCTTATTATCCATCGATATTAGAAGAGAAATCTAGGAACTGCCCGGAAATAGAATCTTAGAGTCTCAAGTAAACGGAACTGGTTCCATGGGGAGCTATCCGTAGCGGAGGCTAGTTTTCGTAGCGCCAGCGGGGTTATTTATCGGCCAGAAATTAAGTGCATAGGTACATTAGGTACATAGTACAGTGGCTAGCGGGGTATTTACTTTTGTAGGATTCAAGAACAGGGGTGACATCCGTCTTACATTCACTGTCAATAATACCGCATTTCTGCGTTTCTATCAAGTATGAAAATGAGTGACGGAATAGACAAGTAAGAAAGTAGTTCTATAGGTGAAATAAACAAGCCAACATATCATATAAGTACCTAATATACCTAGGATTAACTATGAATGAGAAAGCTTAGAAACGACAAGCTGTCATATAGGTATAGGTAGCATTCTATAGGTACATATATCTGTAAGTGGCTATTACATCATTCAAAATCAGAATATCACCATTGAGAATTAACCGAACTCGCAATAAGTCCCCAAAATTCCGATCAAAGACCCGGCTATCTTCACATGAAACCGGTTGTCTTAATAATTATTCATACGGTAATAGCATAGCCTCAACAACTCCACTGCTCTAGTTAAGCTTGCGGGCCTAGATTAAGACGGACTGTACATGGAGATGTTAACGAGAGCCTAGTCGTTCTCGTTCCTGGACAGACGACAACTCCCGCGGCTCGGTAGTAACCTTAAGGATCACTTACTACTTACACGCGCGTCCTCGGTTATCTGTTAGCAATAGGAATGCACCTATTTGGGGAGTGAGGTGTCTTATATGATACGACTCTCAATAGATAATAGCTCATGTGTAGTTCTCGTGTGAGACTTAACTAACAGTCTTTAGACTTTGATTCTCAATCAGGTTCAGATGACATTGTTTCATTGCAACCCTTAAGGGGTATGACTTAAGGTAGTAGTCCAGATAGAGTTGAATGTTTAACCCATACCTTAAGTGGGGGTAACTGAAGGGGAGACCTATAGGATCACTTTGAACTTTCAACATAACACATTACCTAGATCAGTTGTCCCATTTCACAATTATACATACTCGTAAAACAGAATCATTAGACCTAACCGTTGACCTAACCAAGTAACCTTGACCATTGTCCACGACCGCTAACCGTTGTCATTATATGTCGTACCCGAAATGCAGAACCATACCTGCCCTTATGTTCCCCAATCTAACCAGTTCCGCAAATAACCCGTATACCAGAGAGTATCAACAGAAGAACTACATCCCCACAACATCCGCACAGTCTAACTACCACAGTCGTCTCTGGTAGTAAACTCGTTCTGTGCCTTCCGACAAACGACGAATTTCTTCTTTAATCTGTCGTCTTCTCTCGGCCCGACTGATCGGTTTCTGCGGTTTCTTCGTGTCTTCCTCTTCGTTATTCGGTGTCCCCACATAAGCTCCATCAGTACCATCCTCTTCCGCTTTAACCGGTTTTTGTTGCTCTGGCTTCTCATCCGGGAACGTCGGCCGCACGATGATGATTTCGTCCTCCTCAGCACTCTTTCTCCTCCTCCGGCGTCCTAGTCGCGGGTCATCCAAGTCTACTACCGTTCCATCCTCGAGCTCTGTAGTAGACTTCTTAAAGCGGTCCGGTAGGTAGATTTTTGGGCTCGGTCGAGGCTCTCTGTTGATTTTGATGGCTGTTCGGAGATCACGGAGTGTTCGTTGCTGGATCGTATACCCACTAAGAAATAAGGCCGCCGTACATAACAGAACTAGATAACATAGAAACAAATTAGTTTAATGGAAATTGACATTTAATTAGATAATTTCGGTACTTTGGAATGTATTGACGTACCAATTCCTGAAGATATCAGGACCGAAACTTGTGACGATGTCAATAACATAATCCTTTGTAATTGCAAGATGTCAATGTATATAGATGGAGAGAATTGCAGATATTCAGAAATAAATACACGCTTAAATGATGAATAACAGCTGTTAAAATAATGTTTTATAATAAATACAATAATTGAATGCTTTTCGTAATGATGGCGTCGTAACTTGGTTTCGAGATCTAATTACCTGTTTTGTCCCCTGCCTCGTGTCTCCCGGGCAACGCTGAACAGCCCCTCTCGGCCGGGTTCCGTCTTGGCGATCTTGATCCGATCATGACCCAAGATCTGTCATATCCTTTGCGACGACCATCAATAAAATACACCGCCTACCTCATTGACAAATATCATTCGTTTGAATAAAATAGATATATACAGCAATTGATTTTCATTGAATCTGACCATAAATACCTAAATGGGTTGGTGAGCATCCTTAAAAGTAGAAACCCCTTTCTCCATTTCAAGTTTAGCACGGCTAGCACACTAGGTACATACCATGTAAGCATAAGGACGATCTTGTGCTACATATTGTGAATTGTAAGATGTCTAACCTTACCTAGTACATGACGAGAAGCTTCAGAATCTTCGCCGTGGCTGTATCGTACAAGGTGCTCGCAAGATATTAAAGCGTCGAGTGCTACAAGAGCTGCCGAATATCCGTTCATCAAAATGTTAATTGGTCTCTGAACTAGACATACGTAAATAAAAGGCACCATGAAAGCATTCATGGGGTACATTTAGCTGTAGTCATGGATCACATCTCCGTCTTCGACAGTTCAGCACTGCTTGTTAGTCCACAAGTGGGAAGCAAGAGTGGCTTCCAGCCACCTTCCCCGGGGCATAGGCGGATATTAGAGACAATCCTTTGTAGTTTAATATGTTATGTTTTCACCGTCAACCCAGCTTCGCAAAGGGAACTCAAATTCTGCGCATAGATAGGTACATAGGTACAAATTCAGGGGATATGTAAAAAGGAGAAAAATTAAGGTTTGGAGGTACAATCAATCGCAACCTTGAAGAGAGCGGAGGGCGGAGGGTAAAATTCGGACTGTAGACAACCCCGCAATCGGAGCGGCCAGGAGTCAACTTTTACGTGGGGCAAGTCGCAAGATACCTATCTTTTTCACAAAATTTACAACTTAAGACGAGCTCCATCAAGTCCGCAAACGCTACTGTATTTGAAGAGTATTTGGATTTATATTCGAATACAATATTCTCAAATACAATAAAGCTGCTTCGCGGTCAATTGGGTCAACTTCGTCGAAATCATTGGCAAAATCATTGGCAAAGATGGCTTCAACTAAGTAACTAACCCCTCCTACAAATTTTTACCCCAACATGTCGCTAACGAGACATAGGAAAGCTCTCCTTTTGGGAGGTAAGAGGCATTGCCCGTAATGCGATTGGCGTTCGCGCTTACTAAACGAAATTCTAGCTGGCTTTGTTACCAAGCCAACCATTCAGATCCTCGCGGATTCTGGTATTGAAGTGATAGTCGCTTGCAGAACTCTTGAGAACGCCAAGAAGCTGAGCTCCGATATCAAGAATACTCGTGCTATCTCTCTAGATGTGAATGATAGCAATGCTCTCGATGAGCAGGTCGGCCAAGTCGACGTTGTCATTTCTCTTATTCCCTACACCTTCCATGCCACCGTCATCAAGTCGGCCATCCGCAAGAAGAAGGATGTCGTCACCACCAGCTACGTCTCCCCCGCCATGATGGAACTAGACCAGCAATGCAAGGATGCTGGGATCACCGTAATGAATGAGATCGGCTTGGGTACGTCTATTTTTCAACAATTTCTTCTTTTGTCGATCATGAATCAACTAACTGTCTTTTAGACCCCGGTATTGACCATCTATGTAAGAAACTCGCAGTATATAAATTGGGTATACATCATTGACATTCTTTAGATGCGGTCAAGACCATTGAAGATGTCCACAAAGAGGGAGGAAAGATCTTATCCTTCCTATCGTACTGTGGAGGTCTACCGGCCCCTGAGAGCTCTGGAAACCCCTTAGGTTACAAATTCTCTTGGTCACCTCGTGGAGTCTTACTTGCATTAAGAAATGCTGCCAGCTTCTACCGAGGCGGTCAGGTTGTTAATGTCGCAGGCCCTGGTAAGAACCTCACAGCGGACATCTCTCATATTTTGAGGTGTACGGGGGCTTCTTGAAAAGACATGCTGACGTATGCCCTGTTTAGATCTAATGGCTACCGCTAAGCCGTACTACATCTACCCAGGTAAGAAACCCCCACTCATGGCGTTGCTGGAGGCGTCGGCCAGTAAAGATTGCATACCGATACATACAATTTGCTTTTCTCCATGCTGACATGCATAATTTACAGGATTTGCTTTTGTTGCCTATCCAAACAGAGATTCTACCCCGTACAAGACGCGCTACAACATCCCCGAGGCGCAAACTATCATTAGGTACGTTCCTTAAGTCTAAGGCTCCGCAACTAATAATATTACTAACGTATATATCAGAGGTACTCTACGATACGCAGGCTTCCCGGAATTTGTCAAGGTTCTTGTCGACATTGGATTCCTTAACGATGAGGAGCAAAGTTATCTCAAGGAAGCTATTCCTTGGAAGGAGGCGACACAGAAAGTCATCGGTGCTTCATCGTCAGATGAAAAGGACCTTGTCTCAACTATTTTAGCTAAGGCTACCTTTAAGGACGATGGTGAGAAGCAGCGAATCTTAGCTGGCCTCAAATGGGTTGGTCTGTTTTCGGACGAGAAGGTACGCTTGATTTCTTTATTCTTTTCAGTTCTTGCATATCGTTCAGTGCGATATGTTATTTTCCGGCTTTACTAATATTATTGTGAAGATCATTCCACGAGAAAACCCGTTAGACACCCTTTGCGCCACTCTCGAGCAGAAGATGCAATTCGGCGAGGGAGAGCGAGATCTCGTAATGTAAGCAGATCACTTCCAACTGTGGATTGATTATAAGCACACACCATTTCCGGAGAATTCGACGCTAACATTCCGAAGGCTGCAACATAAATTCGAGGTTGAGTTGAAGGATGGTACCAAGCAGACTAGACTTAGCACTCTGTGCGAGTACGGTAGCACAGCACCGGGTGGCTACTCCGCAATGGCTAAGCTTGGTGAGTATTTGAGCTTTGACGAATCATTGGATATCTAATAACCAAATTTAGTCGGTGTCCCATGCGCGGTTGCTGTCCAGCAAGTTCTTGATGGAACACTCTCTGAGAAGGGTGTCCTCGCTCCGATGAACAGCAAGATCAATGATCCCCTGATCAAGGTTCTCAAGGAGGTAAGTAAAATGTATTTACGTATTTTTATATCAATTATACTAATTTTTATCTTGTTTAGAAATATGGCATCTTCTGCGTTGAAGAGATCGTCGCATAAAGTAGGAAATAGATGGCCGTTAAGTAGAGTGGTAGAAGCTGACTACTCTAACAATGTTGTTATTGTGGACTAAAAAGGCGAGAAAAATACCCTGCCATCAATAAAAGTCATACAGAACCTGCCATTTTCGTGTTATCCCTCGAAGTTTGACTATCAGTTTGTTTTTGTTGCTGAGTAGGTACCTAGTAGGTATCTAGTTGCAACGCTATTCCCATCCAATCAGGCATAGGCAAATTTCCCGAGTGATTCTTCATCACTACCTAAGTCATAAAACAAATTGCCTCGGTCCATCACTACCTACCATTCAAAACTCAACCTCAACACCAAGCCCCTCCCACACCGCACCATACTCCGACTTCACCCTCGTCGCACTGGTATCATACCCCCCTTTCGCGGGCGCTCGAACTGCTGCTAGTCTCCCGGAGAATTTCTTTCTGCTTAGAATCCTGCAGACGGGGATTTTCCCGCCGCATATTTTCTGTCAAGTTATTGGACGACAGCGTCCTCCACGAGCGCCAAGACTTTTACTTCCCAATTCAGAAAGTGTTGCGTATCTTGATTGGTTGAATCCCTAGCAGGGTGTAAATGATCGCTGTCAAGGTGCATGATCGGATCCGTGATAGCATCAAGTCTGAGAGGTTCTTAGTAAACATTAAGTATATTTTATTGTATTTTACCTATGGACTTCCAAAATCTTTATACACGTGCTCTTTGATTCGAGCAGCCAAAATAACTAGAGGTACCAATTAACTAAAAGAACGGAACCTGTCCTCGCGGATATCTCAAAAACATGTATTCAGCGGCGCCGATTTCTGTATCGCGCTCGATATTACCCAATTATTGACCTCTTTCTGCATTTTGTAGGTACCTACTTATACAATTTCCGACGTAGTTCCCGTCCTAGACCTCGGTCGCGCTGGGTTGTATTCAATATCTATCCTCGTGTTCTTGATGATAACTAGCTTCTTGTTCGACGTGTCGTCGAGTCTGTTGCTATCTCCCCAAGGGCTGCGGTCTGCTTGGCAAGTCGTCACTAGTGAATTGCCACGGGGAGCTCCCTCCACATTCTGCATTCGTGTCGATCGGGGAAGTGGAGGTGGAGGGAGGACGGCGGGGGGAGGTGTCGCAGGGGGGAATTGTTGGTAGTTACCACGGCTTATAGAGGGGCTAGCTTCCAGTTGATGGTCGTGGCGATTGTTGAAGTATGAGAGCTTCATGCGCGGGGTTTCGGTTCCGAACCTGAATTTCCGGAGGAGTGGCTGAAGGGGAGGGAGGGAGCCCGCGGTCACTCCGATGCCACACTCGACGACGGACCAGACAATCAGGTTACCGGCCTTTTCTACAGTGGTGTTAATTATTGAGGATGCTCACAGGGAGGATGAAATGTGTGACCGTAACTCTACTTACCAAGGCCATTGTCCGGTTCGACGTAGATGTGTTTATATATGTGTATATATGGGAGTCGAACGCATGTAGAGATGCTGGCTCTGTGTGGTTATACGGGTTAGACCATGCCTTTTAAAGAGCATAATGGTTATTGGAAAGAGGTTTAAGGTGCAACATACAATGCACCAAGGGCGAGGACGAAAATAAGTGAGGCCTTGACCTTTAGCTTCATGTTTAAATTCCACAACAAAATTGTCGGAAGTATCGCGCATAACCAGTCAGTTAATATAGAAACAGTCGCAACAGTAATAGACATCGCACCGACGCGGACAGTCCCATCGCAGGCGTTGATATCCATATTCCAATTGGCCGCGATGGGCTGACACTGCGCCATCACAGACGCGAATCCAAATAAACCGGCGAAGGAACTGAGGATTATGACGCCCCATAAAGGCACGACGTAGCGCTTCTCTCTTGTTATACGTAGGAGTGCGACGCAGACGCTAGCTTTGATGAACGGGAGACAAAACTGTACGGGGCGATTTTAGTTAATGTTCCATCGATGTCGAGTGGACTACCGGTAACTTACCATATAGAATAATTGAAATATGAAAAAATCTAAATAAGGGTGAGTTTATATCCATTTCTATGCCTTAACATAATTCGAAGATAAGAACATACATTTCAATCCAACCTCATACATCGTACCTGAAGGGTCGTGTTGACGGATGGCCTCGTCTGTGGCACCGAGGCCTGAACGACAGCCGAGGTGGGCAAGTACACAGCAGGTAATGAATAAGGCCTAGTTGTATCATCAATATATTAGCTGTCTACTGTCATTACTGAAGTTGATGCGACTGTTACTACGATCGGGTCTAGATAAAGACTCACAAGAGCGACTACCATTAGATAATCATCGTTACCTATCGCGCCGTTTTTAAGTCTCACCCAGAGTCGTAGGGCAACGGTTATTATGGATGCGATGCCGAGAGTCATTGAAGTCACTGCAGTTCCGATACCAAGCTCATCTGATGTCGCTGTCTGATAATTCGTCATGATGCCGAGTTCCTAGTAAGCTAAGGTCTAACATACATACGAAGGGTTCAGCCAATGCGCACGAGAGGAGGATTTGACACGATATATACCTACAGACTTACTTTTAATACTACCGTAAACTCAGCAAGACCTCAAGCATGGACCTACTTTGTATACTCTATCTGGATCGATATCGCCATCCCTTCATAACGTGGCAACCAGAGATACCCATGATAAATTTCTTGATATACTGGGCCTCATTGTATCTGACTTGGCATAAGTAAAATCTCAGCAGGCCCATTGACCCGACCCGTTGTAAGCGAGAAAAATGTGACATGTCCCCAGACGGGCGAAAACGTTTTTTTCACTCTACGTGCGTGATTGCCTAGGTGCTAACGATGGGGCCTTGAAGAACTTTTGTGAACTAGTAATTTATTTGATATCTTTGACAGCCTCAAGACTGAACGCTATTCCCTGCCGAGGTGCGAGCCGGATTGGTTGAATCTTATTCCTCAAGTGTGCGGGAAAGAGATTCTGCAGGTAGCGGCCGAGATAGGCGGTGGTTAACTAGTTGTAGTAGTTTGATCGTGCAGGTATCGTACCACAGCTGTGGTATTGGGTTCTCGTTTGTTTATAGGGCTCACGAGACTAGTTGGATGTTTGATTCCAAGGCTGTGGATACGACTAGGTCTATGCTTGTACGTATAGTTGCTCAGTGCAGCGCGGAGGCCATCCGGTAATCCGCCGTCGATCCCCGGCCCTGAACAAATGTTGTGTAGCTAACGGCAATATACTAAGGTAAGGGAATAATTAACACCCATACCATAGCTATATATAATAAGGCTTACCTGTGACAGTAAACCAAGAAACTGGGATACGGGTTCCATCTTGTTGGTGAGTATGGTGTGTCCAATAGAGTGGTAACTGTTCAACGGGTATAGATATCCGTATTCCGTAGTTCTAGGATATATAGGATAAGCTTCCAAGGTTCTCTTGGAATGTGGTTGGCCTACAGATATATTGGGTCGTTCCCCAAAACGTGTCCGAGGCCGATAGAGTATCATATGCGGCATTCTTAAGGTCTCGTAGATATTGAAACACCTTATACCTCATAACTTAATAGCGATAAATAAAGACGCAGATAGTTATTATCTACATGACTGTGATATCGCCGACCTGCGGAGACCTCGATCAAGTAGGAACTCTTTGTGAGCTTGTCCGCTAATTCAATAAAGCTTCCATGGTCGGTTAAGGGATAAACACGACGAGCTTTTGGTAGCCTGGTCGGATAACAATGAGACTCCAGTCACTGTAATGCCCTCATTTGATCCTTAGAATAGTGTACCGAAATATGGTCTAGCTACTCAGTATAGACAAACTGAGAACTCAAGGGACAGGGGCGTAGCTAGAAAGTTGTACAACCTTATTTCTACATGATGTTGAAGGTAACCACCATAATCGGCACGTATCTGGAACGTTTATTATATGAAAACTATACAACGTAGATCTGTCCTTCTGTATCGTTGCCGTGGACAGCCCTGCTGTCGTGCTTTCTTATCGGGTGCATCTCGGTAGTGGCGCCAAGAGAGCGGTAGGGTCCGGTGGCATCACTCGCACCATGACTGTTTGATGTTCGAGTCTTGCTCCAAATTTCTGGTATATGTTTCAATAATGGTCGTAAGGCTGCTGCAGATGCCGCGAAGGTGGCTAGCCCTAACTCGATATCAGCCCATAGGAGTAGGTCGTAGTGTAAGGCTTGGGCCGCTTCGCCTTTGGCTGTTGATAACCTAACTATAATGACTAATTTGACGATAGTAGCAGAGCTTGCGCTGTAAAAGGAATAGATGTCAATTCATTAGCTAAGTTGTTCCATGCCGTATCTTATGTCTACCCCAAATAGGGGTAAGGAGTGGGAAAGGGGTAAAGAAAGGATCGAGACCCACAAAGCGCCCAATCCCAGCAACAAGATTACGGATATTTTCAGTCTCATGTTCATGCGAACCTTTCTGAGTATGTATATCGGAAATAGCGCGTAGAAGTAGTCGATGAAGATATTGGTGATGGTGCGGAAATAACCAACTTGCGTACATGCTTTACTTCCGGCCCAGTTACTAGAACCACTCTGAGCGCAAGGCCACGACGCAAATATCGTCATTACTATAGTCCATATAGTTACGACAGCCATAGACCCTATCAGCACTAAGCGTAGCTGTTTGGTCGATGCCAAACGGTAAAGAACCAGTGCTACAGCTAGTTTTACTAGACCAGCACTGATGTATAGGGTCAACTGGTTCGCGAACAAGAACTGAAAGTAAATAATTCAACATTAGTTCTTTAGCTGATTCTCGGCAAGTTGGGGGTATCACTTACCTGTGTCGCCTTAGTCTTATCGTAGTACGGTTGTTGGTCAAGAGCAGCATAGCCGTATCGCATAGATGTGAAGCCCATAGCACAGGAGATGATGAACCCGATCTGACGCCAGCACTATTGTCAGCAAGATATTCCCATATCTACGGGTATCAAAAAGGCGAGATCACATATGTGATGATAAGCACAACATCATCTAGCCCAAAACCCCGAGTGAGCATCTTCGTTCGGACGTAGAGGCGGGCGGCAATGGCGATACTATCAACTATCAGAAAGACCACCATGGCCGCTATGAGGTCGTCCCTGTGGCCCATATTTTCGATTTGTATTCGATTTGGATTAGGCGGCTCATTCAACCCAGTGAGCTAAGCACTAAGCACACCGATAGCGTTGAACGACATCAGCGTATGAGGGCAAGACGAAAGAGAGGATGTGGGGGGACGCTCTGCAACTTATCCAAGTTCAGTAAACTGTCTACAGTGACTGATAAACCGAATGAAACATGGCGGGAGAGAAGAAACGGACAAGGAGTATTACAGGTCCTACTTAGTCATTGCTATTTCGCGATACATATTTTGGGGAGCCTCAGCTCTCTAGGTTGTAACCACCCAAAACTTAACTCGTAAATAAGCATTTCAGCTACATGGTCCAATGGTGTGACTTCTTCTATGAGACACATGATTACCTATGCTGCATCTTCAGATGGCCGTGGGGTCTGGAGGATGAAATGCATAGATGGAGAATATAAGAACATAGAGGGACGCCCGGATGGCCTTCTCAGCTTAAAAGGCCGAAAGCCCATGTCTGTTACCCAATGCACATACGATCGACACGGGTCGGTTGTCAGCAGCGGCGAAAGCGGGTATGCTGTATGCTGCATCCGCAGGTTAGAGAGGGCAGGGCTTGTGGGAGCTGAACTCCAGTGTAACTCTGTCTCCTGCACACCATCTATTTTGTGAAGCAAAGTGGCATCCTATCTCATAATGCAGAAAGAATCTTCCCCATGGAATAGTTATATAATAAGATGATATTTTCTTGATAGAGTTACCGAAGGATGAGACATGGATAAGGAATGGACGTTGGCCGATGCAGCCACCAGCCACGAATGACACGAAAATAACCAGGTGCCGATGGGTACGGTCAAATAATTTAAACCACTCACTGCGAGCCTTCTGCACTTCGCTACTACCGAGTACGTGATAGGTAGACCTAGTTATCATAGCGACGTTGTGGCGTAAAATAATGGGACTGTGGTTACTGTATACCGAAACATGGCACCGACTCCTGAGATCAAGAGATACTTGAACTACCTCCTACCTATTTCGTGCCATAGTGAAATGCTATGTTTGAGTCCCTTTTTACAATTTCTCCGTATTCCAATGCAGCAGTAAGCGAATGAGCACTATTGGTGGTTGTTTGACGAGCAAACTTACCATGCTGCCATGATAGTTACGTACGGTAGAGCATTGGATTATTTGCTGAGCTGATAGAAAACATCCGTGTGATAGACTCATCTCTGACTCGTCAGCCCCTTGGAGAGACTTTTTGAAAGAAGAAATGGTGAGGGGTAGAAAGCTTCTAAATGTCACCCTCCTTTATCAGATAATCATGTCTTACAATGACGGAATTATTGAAGACCGTATGCATGTGGGATTAAAGAAAAAGTAAGTTGCTTCCCTAGATTGGGATTGGCAGCGGAACAAAGGGCGGAAATATACCTGGTAGGTAGTGCTGACAAGTTCGCAGTGATGAGTGCTGCATATGTCAACAGAGTGTACTCACGAATCGAGCAGCTGGAAAGGTAGGTAGGTAGGGAGCAAGTAGATTTTAATCATATCTGATAGAATGTATTATCGATTCTTCTCGATATGACAGCCAAGATTCTCTCGTACGAAACAGCCAATGCGATGATTATAATATCCACATATTAATAATCTCCCATCGCTTTTGACGGGGCCGACGAGAGGCACAGCAAACACTGTTACCGACAAGAATATGATTGACGTAGCTTCCAAAAAGCACTTCTTATTCAACATTTCCAATTACCTATCGTACATATCTAGGCATTTGAGATGACTATAAAAAGAAAATAACTAGACTAGTAAGTAAGTATTCAACAATAATATAACACAAACACGCCGGTTTAGAAAGACGAATCTCGGAACCGATTCCGGAATACAGAGACGTGATGACCTTTGTCCTTATCCTTGTCGCCACAGCTTCACTGCCGCCGATCCGGTGAGTTGGTAAATGCATCTCAATGCTTGGGCCGCATAGCCAATTTCCCCAGCGATCCGGCCGAGATGAAAACAAACTACCAACACGTCTTACAATAATTTCTACTCGTCTTCCCTTCCCTTTTTAACCTCTCACAACCCACAACCGCCGCCTTCCCTCCCACGTTTCTGAGACACACATGCATCCCGTCCGGTTGAAGCTTCCTGACATTCTCGTGGTGGTCGCATAGCACAAGACGGATCTTAATCGATTTGTGACAACTGCATAGGTATAGGGAGAAGGACCAATCGAGGAGCACGGATATCAAACGGTCAAAATGAGGGTCCCAACACTATCCAGCCTCGCCGAGGCCACTGTCGTCTCAGCTCTATTCACCAATCTAGCAGCCGCCCAAGTCAAGTACTCAACATGGATGGCGTCAAGCATCATGTCGCGCAGCCAAGGCATCATGACCGGCAAAGGCGGCTCCTCCGAGCTGCTACAAGCCGGAATCACCCAGCGAGCCCTCTCCGCACTCGCGCTCCAATACCCGAGCGACAACCTCACCGCCAGCGTACGAGACTACATCCAGCGCAGCGCCGCCTCCGTAGTCCCCTTCACGCTAAACGCAAGCTACGACGCGCTGTCCTACCCCCTCGACCGGCTGTCCACGGGCAACGCACTGCTAGCCCTGTACTCCGCCAGCGACGCCAGCACCTCGACCTTCCGCCCCGCAGCCGACGCCCTGCGGCAAAGCATCGACCTAAACCGGCGCAACCCCGAGGGCGGACTATGGTATTTCACCTACCCGCAATGGAGCTACCTCGACGGGATGTACTCCCTCGCGCCGTTCTACGTGCTGTACGCCGTAGACGAGGTGACGACCGCCGGAAGTAGTGGGGGTAGAGACGTCAACGCCACCGCCGCGTTCGCCGATATGCATTTCCAGCTTGATTTACTGTGGAACCATACCCGCAACGCGACGACGGGGTTGCTCGCCCACGGCTACGATGCCTCGAAGACGGCGGTGTGGGCGGATCCGATCACGGGCGCGAGTCCGCATGTTTGGGGCCGGAGTCTGGGGTGGTATACGGTTGCGCTTGTGGAGACGTTGGAGACGCTGCCGAAGTCGGCGTGTAAGGTGCGTGAGAAGGTGCTTGATAAGTTCCGGTTGCTTGCCGGGGCCGTAATCGAGGCTGTGGACCCCGTGACGGGAGGTTGGTGGCAGGTTCTGGATGAGCCGGGTCAGAAGGGCAATTACATCGAGTCGAGCGGCAGCGCCATGTTCTCGTACGCGCTGCTGAAGGGGGCGCGGTTGGGGTATCTCGGAGGAGCTAATGTCACGTTGGCTGCGAAGGCTAGAGAGGTTGGTGTTCGGGGCCACGGGTACCTGACAGAGACGTTCTTGGTTAAGGAGGCGAATGGTACGTTAGGGTATAACGGAACTGTGGCCGTGTGCAGCTTGAACTCGACGGCGACTTACGAGGTTAGTAACATGCTTGTCTACACATTCTGCTTCGAGAGACTAACGTTTGATCATAGTATTACGTCGGACAACCCATCAACTACAACAGTGTGCTCGGATCCGGCGCTTACGTACTCGCGTCCCTCGAGGTCGAGCAACTAGAAATCTCATGATTCACGAGTCGATGCTGTGGTGTATATACTAGAACTGCGTAGTACTTTATAATACATAATAACCAGGTCCATCAGACCTTGCTATGCCATAATGAATTTTGTATATATATGCACACGTGCTACTCGGCCTGCTACGATTATCTACCTGGTTCACTTCGGATCAGGCTCAAAGTTGATTGACTCTTAAATTCCCAATTTAATTATCCCAGCCCATACCAATCGCTCGGAATAATAAGTCCCAGCTAATAAGTATCAACTAGTCTAACAGTATGCAATACCTACTTTCAATTTGACCTACTTTGATATCTATTTAATTAAACATTAATACGTACCAGGTTAAAGATACTACTAGGGCCTAGGTACGCAGCCACTGGAGGTTGGCGATTTAAAAGGCGAATAGCCGCAGAGATGATATTCAAGTAATCTTGCTGTCGAATCGGGGGTTTCAGCGGGAGGAGACTGAGTTCAAAGGAAAGCCGAAGGGCCTGGATACTATGGTCCGAGTCACACTTGGATTAGACTTGAATAGGGGTGACCCGATTGCATATAGACTGATATCGAATGCGAATTGTGTTCCCTACCTACCTAATACCCAGCGGAGAAGTACTTGAACCAGCTGTAAAGCCTCTATTGACGATCTACAGAATGATCGTCCGTAGAATTCACCAGTACCAGGAAACTGGTTCCCTGGGTAAGTAGTTTAGATGAAAGATCTCGAGTAAATGGGCGGGATTGCCCATGCGCGCTCAGTAGCACGTGGTCCAAGGAATCGGTGCGAAACCTTGCGGAATCATAAGATCGTCAGGTTTGCAGAAACCAGAAGAGACCCTCTTGGTTCGCGTAAGCCATAGGCGAGAATTTCCGTGGCGGGTATCTCGTTCCAGAAAGCGGCATCGTCCGTCTCGTTATCTCGCAGCCCTCGTGGAACCGATCATGCGGGCTCTCACTACGAACAACTCGTTTTCATAAAAATATATATTAGAAGGATGGAGACGGTAGCCCAAACTGGCGAATTTTGGGTCGTCGAGATGAATTTATATGAAGTTTCTGCCATCGGATATTGTCCCGTAAAGAGGCTGAATGGCCTCATCACTTTTTGTGGGGCGGTGCCATCATCGACTTGGACAACTACCAATCATAAGGAAAGATCCCTTCCTAGACACATTCAATACTGTATTTTCTTTGGCTTGAGCCTCGGCTTTGCTGAGGTACGTTGTGCCACATCTCGCTTATGGCAATATGCGTATAATAATCTCCCACAGCCTAGAACGCGTGAAAGTCAGGGGGACAGATGCCGCCGCTTCGTCAAAACTTGTGATTTCAGTCATTTTCAGCACTTCTTGGCCAAAATATGCTGCTCGGAAGGGCCTTGAAGAGGAAGGTGACTTTTCGTGTGAATTATCTCGTTGATGAAGGGCTCAATATTAGGATACCGGCTCCCTTCGGCTCTCCGCGACACCAAAGCGACTCGCACATGTTATGATGGGCTGAGGGATATCATGTCATGCCGCCAATACCTGATGCTATCCCATTACTCTAAATATGTCGACTTGAGAGATACATATTTAGGACAGTCGCAAAGTCCTATAGTCCTAAAGTCGAGGGCTCATGTCGGATGTCGAGGGGTTTAAAAGAAATCTCGGCCACAGAACGACGCTTTTCTCGGATTTTAGAAGGACGGCTGGCATGCTTGATAACACTCTTGTAAGGTGAAACATGGTTAAAGGCCATAGCCTAGACTTAATATAAAAATGTGATATTCCGAAAATAGCACCAGGCCTCAACAAAGTGAGAGCCCGAGCCACCCTTTAATATAACCGTACCGTGAAAACTGGTCCCCAAAGCTGCACCTCGGGAACCGTCGTCTCATCGTATGCAGTCATTAGTGCATTAGGAAGATATGACACGCTCCGGGAGGATGGAATGGACGAAGGAAACAATGGCAGCCCACCCGGAGCATGGTTACTGGAACGGGTGACAGTCGTGAGGTCTCCAACCATGCAGGTCCAACACTATTTAAAGATGAGCGAGATCGAAGATAGTGATAGATAAACGACGCGTATATAATAGACTCTCTATCCGCGACTGAATTGAAGTTGATCAACAGGTCCTATCCCATCATTAGCTTATTCTTCACCAATAGAGGCGAAAATCCACAATCATAAATATCATATCTTCGAATACCAGGTGAGCAACCACCCGCGTTATAGAAGGATATGAAACTGATTGACTAAGAAAGCAAATAAATCAGACATTCAAAATGAAGATCTTTGTCGTTGGGTTTCTTGCGGGTTTAGCCAGGTAAGAGATCATATGATTCCCTATCGGACTGGTGAGCCGCACAAGGCTAATGGTAATGTAGCATCGTTAGTGCCAGTCCTATGGCCGATGTAGAACCAACAGGACCAGAACCTTTTTGGCCGCACCCAACAAAGACGTCGATTCCTAGCTCATTGAGCTCGTTGAGCTCTTCAACTAGTACATCATTCATCATCAGCATTACTACATTGCCGGGCAACAACCCCACCACTACTGCTATCGCTGCTTGTCCAACAGTGACGCACACAACTCGGCCAAGCGACTGTTCTCCTTTCCTTTGCCCGGTACCTGGCTGCACGGAGGAAAAGGAGTTGATTGTACCATGCGGCTGTGCGGGAGTCAAAACGGCTCTTTTCGTTGACGGTTGCCAAACAGCTTGCCCTGGGGGATGTGTAACCAGGCTTATGACTCTCACCGCAGTTTGCGGTTCTCAGACTCAGGCTCCGGTGCCGATTCCGACAGCGGTCTGAGGAGAGAAATCGGCGAATTAGGCATAGCGCTTATTGTGGTTGTAGGGGAATGGGGAATGGTCTTGTGATCCATTTACCAAAAGTTGTATACGTTCATGCTTTTAGTTAACAGTTATCAATAAGCGGATTCAATTGCTTTTAAGTGAGTCAAATATAAGTTGAGAGGTTGAAAGTGAGAAGAATGCGAAGTCCGTAGTTAACCTTAGGAAACCTTTCCAATACCAAGCCACGAATCCATGCGCTAATCATTCACTAAAATGGCGCTACAACGGAAGCATTCCTAGCGCCGGTATTACTGTGGCGTAGTGGCTTTCCAACTGCTATCCAACCACTATCCAACCTTCCCAGGGCATTGGATGTGCCAGGATATAGCTGGACAGGTAGCCCACCCTTAGCGGTAACCACACCCCATTCCCCACACCTTATCTGGAACTGGCCTCAACCCAATTGACCTCGTGACCTCGTGATCAATGACATGTACCCCTTAACTGAGACTTCCTAGTATATATTTTGTTTCGCTTCATATTTCCTTACTTAACACTTCTTTAAACTTATTAATTTTATTGCAAAACGACTTATTCAAAGATCATCAAAAGTTTACGCAAAATGACGTCGAGATACAGAGTAGAATGTGAGTTCAATTGACTATATCTTCCATATTTGCTACTGTAGCGGCCCAGTCACTAATACGGGCGTATCTATAGATGCGTTGAAGACGCACAGAAGAGATCAATTCATAGGTGTGACCTCTTAGACCCCCTCAAAAACCTGTGATCATTTTTGGCAATCAACTTCCGGATATCTTAAATATACGTGTCAAACGAAAGATATGCTCAATCTCACATATCGCACCTATTATTTTATTAATATTTCAATAACTAACCGATTCATACATAGAATGGATCAAAGGGCTATTAGCCGTTCCCTTCGTCTTGTACTCCCAACCGACGGGAGTCTTTGAGACAAATGGCTTCAACGTCACACAGATGTCAGAAGAGGCGCACAGGCGTTATGCCGAGATCATGAGGGACATCGAAGTAATGGTCGATGATCAATGTAGGACTCCTCACCTCCTCATCTCCTCTCCTCTCCTCTTCTTCCCCGCGCGTAGAACCAGTTTATGTGACCGCTCATTGACGTATTTCCACAGTAACGCACCAATTAGACTTCAGCAGAGTTCCGTCTAAGCTCAAACTCCTGGTTCCTACCATAGGCAACTTCTTCACCCGGCTACCTCTCGAGGCCGCCTTCAAGTTCCAGGACCGCAAGCGGTACATCTCATCCCGGCGTTTTGTCTCGCCCTCCTTCAACGATGTGCGTCTCATTCTCAACACGGCCCAGCTCATGGCCGTCACCACCCACGGAAGCTTGCGCCTCGCTACCTTCGATGGAGATGTGACACTGTATGATGACGGCCAGAGCTTGGAGCCCACGAGCCCGGTGATCCCGCGCATGCTCGACCTGATGCGCAAAAACGTCAAGATCGGCATCGTCACAGCGGCCGGCTACACCACCGCGGACCAGTACTATGCGCGGCTTCACGGACTCCTAGATGCCATCGCTAGCTCGACGATCCTCACTCCCCAGCAACGTCAGAACATCATCATCATGGGCGGCGAGGCGAACTACCTCTTCGAGTTCAGCCCGACCTCGCCGCACCTACTCTCCCCCGTCCCTCGGGAGCGGTGGTTAACAGCAGAGATGGCATCATGGTCGGACTCTGGGATTGCGGCGCTCCTAGATGTCGCCGAGGCCGCCCTGCGCGACTGCATCAAAAACATGCACCTACCCGCGACCCTAATGCGCAAGGACCGCGCCGTCGGTATTATCCCCCGAGACCCCGCAGTCCGCATTCCACGCGAGTCTCTAGAAGAGACCGTGCTAGTCGTCCAAAAGATCCTCGAGCTCAGCGTCGGCGGGCGCGACTTCGATAACAAAGTCGTGCCCTTCTGCGCCTTCAACGGCGGGCGCGACGTCTTCGTCGACATTGGGGACAAGAGCTGGGGTGTGTCCGTATGCCAGCAATGGTTCGGGAACGGGAACGGGAGCACCAGCGACGGGGAAGGCGACAGGATCAGGCCCGAGCAGACGCTACACGTCGGCGACCAGTTCCTGAGCGCCGGGAGCAACGACTTCAAAGCCCGCAGCGTGTCCACCACGGCGTGGATCGCGAGTCCGGCCGAGACGGTCGAGTTGCTAGACGAGCTTGCGGATTTCATGGGGAAGAAACTGAGTTAGATCGGGTTTAACTATGTCGCTTCTACTACTTACGATAAAACGAGCCAAGGAAATTGTGAAGTTCAAAAAGGGGGGGTCGTGTCTGGGTCCGGAAGGCATGTTTGGCGTTTGGGATGATGCTATATGAATGAACTAATGTTGGACACTTTGGATGTGAGGTTACAAAAGTATGAAGGTACCTAACTTACGCAATTATTAATTACTGCATATCATAGATGGCCGGTTCTACCATGGCACATTTGGCAATACACAAAATTCCAGTCTATTGGTGTTGATACCTATTGTGACGGCTTAATTGTTCTTGTCAATAAATTTGGTTGTTATCTACCCCTTGATCAATATCTCTGTAGATCGCAAAAGTACTAAGTAGGGAGGTATTGGTAGATTGAGCTTCGTATCTGTCTGAAAATGAACATCAATAGCATTAAAGACGTTAATGTAGGATAAATTGACATGAAAAATGTTGATATTTGTATTGAACTTGGGAGACCAGTTGCCCGGTCGCGAACATTATAGTCCCAGGATGTCTCCGCTCGCTTATATTTATTTCCAAAAAAGCAGAGCCCCTTTCCTATGCAATTCCCTCGCTGAAGGCAGGGCTTAAGACCCAGGTATAAACATCTAAAATGCAGTGTATCAAGTCCCGTCTGTCGCAATTTTTTTTGTCTTTCTCCGTCCAAATGCCAATCAATCAAGCTCGCCATATCTAAATGCTTCTCAAAAAGCAAAGAAACATAAGTAAAGCACAGAAACGCTGCTCATTAAAAAATATTATGGGGGTAATTCCACCCAACATGCGCCCTTTTCAATGCTAAATTCGTTGTCCTTCGAGTTCCAAACACCATGAGCTAAGCCGACCCGGAATTTCCTATGCGTAAACCAAAGAACGAAAAACAAAAGTTGACAATGGGTATCGGGAATTTGGAAATTGATGCAAAATCTTCGTGGTGTGTGGCTCCATGTTTAATCAACAAGTAGACTCCACTGTCCATATCAATAGGAGCCAGGAAGACAGATAAATAAAAGAAACGACAATACTATGTGCACAGAACGTAAATTTGAGCAACGCTGTATGCGCCAACAACATCGACGAACAGGAAACACTCAAAGTCCTTGCTTTCGAAGCTGTCCCAGGGGCGCGCCGAAGTTGTTAGACGGTTTTAGCTTAAGAGGGATGTCAATTTCTTCATCTTCCTCTTCAACCGGCTCCACTTGAGCATCCTGAGCTCCATCACCGCCAGCCTGAGTAGGCTTTTCATGGTTCAGCTCAGGAAATTCTTTCGGTTCTGCAGCCTGTTCCTCGAGTACAGTAGGACTAAGGTTATTAGTGATGACTTGCTCAAGCTTGTCTGATAAAGCCTTCAGGAATGGCTCGTCAGCTGCCGGAAGATTTCTGAGTTGCAATGGCCCTTTTAACTCCGGGTCATGTTCACGTGGAATCAGGACGGGTAGGGGTCCTAGTCTATCGGCCGCGGGCTCGCTACCGACATCCAACTTCATACACGTTCCAACAGCGGCCAAGTCACATGCTGGTTGACCATGTGCCGATTGTTCTACGGCGCCGCCTTGGCTAACTTCCAGTAGAGGGTTTTTAGGGGTTTGTGTTCCGGAGCTATTGGATGTATTGGTCGCCGCAGTAGAGTCAACGGTATGGAGACGGGACAGGGACATGGAGTGATTTGGCGTGTGTCCGGCATGCATCGTAAGCCTGTCGGACTCGGGGGCCTGGAGCGCCTCTTTAGTTAATTCGGCTGGTACCACCCGCGTGCGACCCGGATCCTGCTTAGTCGCGGTAGATGGTGAGAGCTTTTTCAGTCCGGCAGGTGGAGAAAGTGGCTTCTCGTCGGTGAAGGTGGTTTTTTGGACAGCATTCGTCCTCACGCGAATCCCTTCCAATCCAGGCATAACCTCTTGAATGTCGATGGATGGAATCCGCTCTTCTTGAGTCTTTGGAGATGCCACTCCCGGCGACGGACCCTGCATACGGGGGTCCAGTGGTATGAAGGGCTGCGAATCCGGCATCGTCGATCCAAGAAGCAAGTTGGACATGGTGCTTGCTGAAGGTGCCGTATTCGGAGATGTGCCTTCTGATGAACTCGGGGGTAGATCTGTTGACTGCGAGTGGGACCCTGGACTACCGAGACCACCGCCTCTAATAGAGCCCGCAGTAGTATCGGTGCTACCATCAAAAGATCTGGTTGCTTGACTTCCTCTGCCCTGTGTGCCCCGGAGGCGTATCGATAAATTTTGATTCTGCTGTATAAGCTGGTACTTGTCCTGCTCAAGCAATGTTACTCTCCTTTGCCACTGCAATAACTCATTCTGGATCCTAGCCTTTTCCTGTTCCCATAGCTTCCGTTCCTGGTCCATTAAGGCCCGTTCTCCCTGGTAAAGTTCTTCAGCTTGGTCGCGGTTGGCCTCAAGCTGGGCACGCTCAGCACGCCACAGCTCGATCATTTTTTTGTTCTGCTCATCCCTGCATCGCAGCAGGTCCACTAGATTGTTGGTACTCATGTTGTCGGGTGGGGACGTCACCCCGGGCTCGGCTTGATTCTTGGTGGATGACAGGCTAGCCAATCTCTGCTCGGGGTTATTTAGAGGACTCCGGCGCGGTGAAAGGGACTGCTGCTGGGACTGTGGAGCTGCGGAAAGCGAAGGCGAATGTGAATAATTAGGAGGTGGTAGATTTGATAAATGTGACTCGTCGATATATGACAATTGATTTATGGAGTGTGGCAAAGATAGCGGAGATATGATTGATGCTGAGGAATGGCCGTTAGAATGAGGTACGAAGGATATCGGTCGTTGGGTGTGATCAAGCATGCCTCCCGAGGGCAGGAAGGAGTCGGACGGCAACCTCGTCATGGTAAGCATGGTAAAGACGATACGAACGAGTCGTGACGGAAACTGAGGGTGGATATGTCGTCGATGTGGAGGTTGCGTTGCGCAAAACGTTGATTGGACGATCACGATCTCGAGGATCTAGATTTCCCCAAATCGTTACGAAGCTTCCCAGGAGTCCAACAGTAGACTATTCGAGGTAAGAGGTAGTTGTGGATTTGGATGAATAAACCAGCATCGAGCCTTTCATCCAGCACCTTCTTTCAGCGGCAACGGTCGACGATCTACTGAGTAAGAACTGGGCACAAACTCAATGGGTATCGAGTTGAAGGAGGGGAAAAGGTATGATTCACGCAGTGAACCTGTAACGTGCGACCACCTGGCAATCCGTCCAGTTTCGTTCGTTTGTTTAGTACAAGACGCTGCTACCGTAACCCGCAGTAACCTAGGCAGGAGTTTTGATTCGTCTTTTTTTAAATCCGTCTTAATGAAGTCGCAGTAAGGTCGTTACAGCCTGGAGGTAGAACGTTTGGTAGTCGGGTGTATATAAATGTTAGTTAGATGCCGAGGTGTAAGTCAGGTTTAGGTCCAGGTTCAGGTTCAGGTCTTGTTCCAGTGCCAGTTCCAGTTCCAGGTCTTAGTCTACGTGTACAACGAGCTAGCTCCTTGAAGGCGATAAGGAGAATATTACGGTCGATGTCTAGCTCATTTTCACAAGATAAGTCTGGGGGGTATCGGTGTATATGTTTGCTTCTCGAGTTTGTTCACATGAAATTTGCATTTACGTGAACAATAGAGTTGTGCGGTCTCGTGGAAGAGTGTAATTATTAAATTGACAAAAAGATAAAAAGCGGATGGGGCATAAAGAAGACAGAAAACCTACTGGGATGTATTAGTGTATTAGTATTGTAAGGCAAGAATAGCGTAGCTCTTGACGTTGTGGGAGGACGATGAATCAATTTAATGCGGGTCTGACAGGGGTTGGGACTAGGTGGGAACATGCTTCTTTCCCTCTCTCTTTTCCCCCTCTGCCCCCTCAAGTGCTCCGACACACTTGTGGTACATGTGGTATGTACGTGAGGTACGTACATACATACCTACACTAGATGTTCCTGCTTTAGGACCCTAGGTTTTTCTTGATTTTGATGGACCTTCTCCAAGGTTCTTTCCTTTAATGGGTACTCTAGAAGCAACCGGCCTCTCGGAGCGGATCTACCACTGCCACGTCCTAGCTTCTCTCCACACATCCATCTAGATAGAGCTTAGCGTAGCACTTCTCTTTAGTTTTGTCCAACCAAAATTGTTATTTTTTCTAAGCCCAATTCCAATCTCGTCACTTCTTCTCAGATCCTTTTCTGATATGTACTGAGAAGATGTTTAGTTCCCTACCTGCCTGCCTACCTAGTATATTCCCCTCCATCACGTCTCATAATATTCCTTTATGCCTTGCCGAGTGGTACATGTAGATGACCTGCATACCTAGGTGCTTCTGAATGCCTTCTAAATACTAGCGGTCTCCATCGTTATGAGGTAAATGCGGGAATTGCAATCCCCAGTCTGACGACTTGAGGGCGTTCGCCAACCTTGGCTGCCTTGATACCCTCCTTCAAGAAAAGACGATGTTACATTTCAATATCAGATTTTCTCTCTCTTTCTTTTTGTTATATCATCGTCTAGCTATCACTTTCTACCATGATCGACGTCACCGCTCAGCTAGCCACCCGCGAGCCTCTACAAACACCGATTATCTTATTATCGCGTACAGCGCACTTCCTTGTGCTGCTGGCATAAATCTGCCCAATGGCCATTCGCCAACAAGGCCAATTGTCATCAAGCCAACCAACGAACCCCAGCGTTCCAATGAACAATTTAACTCGCTACAAGGGGGGACGGCCCGCAAGGGCTTCGAATAGAAATTCTCAAGATGCGAAACGACATCAGCCCGCCAATCAGAGGCTTCCCAACATGGCAGCATCGTTTCTTACTCGCAGAATGGCAGATATGTCTTCAGCTTCTTACCCCACACCTTGACTTCACCCCCCTTAGGGTTACGTTTACCATTCAGCTATGTTTCTACTTTGCCTGTTTGCCGGTCCTCCCGCCCGCCCCTTAGTACTATTGTGCGCTGATGATTTTCCTTTTCGGACTTTTCATATCTAACTGAGATGCCCTAAGCTGTTCGGAGGCGTTTGCTCCTAACCGAATTTGATCACCACCAATTAATATTTCCCAGGTACCATGTCCAAAGGGTTCTAAGGGTCTCTCAAGTCCCCTATGAGAAGACCCTGGTGGTAGTCTCCAATACGACTTTCCATCTTTGATCGTGAACCCCACCCCTTTCTTTCCCCGCGAATGACTCCAACCCATAAATTGCTTCATTGGGCTTTGCAGTCAAAACTCGGAACATATCCGTATACCAAATTTCCGATTACACTCACGTGCGCTATCAAAACTGAGATTGTTCATGACTATCGTTTTCTTTAAATGTGATAAATACCAAAGCGAACCCCGCTTACAAAATGACCACGCGAGAATCGCTCCATGGGGGTTCACGAACTTGGAGACCCTGCCTGTCTGCTAATCAAATCAATAGCAGCCCACAAGCCTAGCGTCTGCAGGCTGGGGGTTCTCGGATCTCACCCCTCTCATAAAAAGTTGTCATGAGACGACTAGAATTTGACCTCCAACTCCGCCTCAGAGACCGATCACGGGCGTGGATATCAATCTGTGTCAATCCAAACAAACACCATACGGATCTCTTCCTAACAAGTATCATTACACTATTTGCAAAGAGGCTCTTTTGTTTCCATGCTCAGCTAGCTAGCTTAGAGCAATTCTAGCGTTGTTCTTATACGCTATGAATTCTCTAACCATAAGGCTGAGGAGGTCGGACCCTGAATTTTCACTCTTCTAAAGAGATTTTACAAAGATTATCAGCTAGAGCTATCTACGTACAGAGACTAATTCGAGCCACGAGAGACTAACTTTGCTCGATCCATATTGTAAAATTGCATGGCGGCTAACTATGGAGGCTAGAGTAGGCCACTGTCTAGAATGGCAGTCCATTCATTTTGGGTTGCTTCAGACGAGATGCCTTTTACTGACTCGCGTGCGCCTTTCTACCACGTCCCTTCAGTTCTAGGCCCTATTTAACCGCATTGCCGCGTGGCTGACAAGAAACGTAGGCAGAGACTGAGATTTTACGAGTAATCAACAATTGCTATTAGCATGTGTCCAGACCAGGCTTCGAGGAGGTCCTAAAGCAAAATACGATCTAACAAAACGGGAACGTCACGAGGAATTTCGCCGGTACCGAATCATGAAAAGACCGATTCTCCATTAAGGCGCTACAAGGCATGTCGCGTTTCAGCCATTTAGTTGTCTCGGCACAAGCTTTTAAGTAGAGTGCGCCGCTTAAGAAGCCAAGATAGCGACCAAGACGGAGACGAAGAAGATACGCATACCTACCTGCCTACCTAGCACCTCCTTAGGATGCACTGGACGGATTGCCAGATAAAGTCAGCATATGTACCAGAGTTTTGAGATTGCCGAGTTCAAGGTTGTCAGGGTCTCATTTGTGGAGAGGGTTAGGTTAGTATTCTGTACACTCTGCAGCCGGAATCGGCAGCTTTCCAAGTGGACGATACTCAGGATACGATGCTTTGAGGATCCACAACTCCCGGTAACTTGGCAAATCTATTATCTTGACTGCTTGACTGCTTGAGCAATGCAAGTACAGTGTTCTGGGTTTTTTCCTTTCTTCGAGACATGTCTTAGACGCCCCAGCTGCCCAGCAGTAAGAACTCAATCAATATGACAGGGGTATGGGAAAGGGTAGAAAGGGACGGGCAATCAGACAGCCACCGCATTTATCTGCTATGGAAACCCTCCTTTCTTTGCCGATTGGTATTGGTTCAAATTACTGGCACCTAGTCTCATAACTCCGCTGCAGCCAAAGGTCGTACACGTCACCGCCGCGGCATGGTGGAACTCGATAGCCAGACGACTTGCGGCTCTCACCGCAACAAGCTCAGACCAGCAGTATCCGCTTCAAATGGACTGATGGAGCATTTTGAGAGTAAACAAACTATCGAACGTGTGTATTCCAGCCATCTCAAAAAAATGAGATTGCTTTCCGAATTATCGAGTTTGGTGGCAACGCAAGGCATGAATCGTTAGCACCCGTCTGCCCGTCAAAAATGAAGAATGTGTGAGTGGGTTTACAAGCGCTTCCTCCCGCTCTTAGGGCTTGTCTGCTTCTGTGTCTCACTACAATGGCACGTGCAGCGGTGGCCAACAGTTTATATCATGGACTTGATCGGGCATAGCGGATACGGCTCTTCCTCGGATTCGTGGACCCAGCATGATCTAGAGGCTGCCGCAGGCCTGTGGGACTACCGGGGCTCGGTCCCGGTTTTCTCGACTTCTCAGGATATCGCTACCGTTCGGGCCGATCCTGAAACTTGCGGGCCTCAGATGGAAAATCCCTTCGACGATAACGTGTTGCTCGCCACAGATACTGCGACGGGGCCTCAAATTCTCCTATGTGGTTGAAGAACCTATCGGGAATTGTCAATCGGAAGGGTGACGCCACGGGGCAAATCTGATAGGTTTATCGAGAGATTCCACGGCGAAAAGGCAGTGTTTTAATAAGATCTTGGGACCGAGGTCTCGCTTATATGCAGCCTACGCAAGCTGTTGAAGGCCTGATCTGTGGCCTGGGCTGCCTGGGTCCTGGTCTTTTGAGGTCGAGAATTATGATCTCCAGAAATAATTGTCGCTGAACTTGTGGATTGGATACCAAACTGTTCTAAGTCCTATTTCTAACGTGAGATTCCCTAGATTTCTCTACTTACGGTTCTTATTTTAGTGCGGTATTCAAAGCTTTCGTGTCATCTTTGGTCCATGTGGGCAAGCAAGTAAGGTCGATCTAATCCATACGAATGGGATAAGATGGCATAACGTGCCTCTTTATGTATGTATGTATGAGGTGCATTGCGTCGAACACGTCTAATATGTAGTTCGTCGGGCAGCATTGAGTGGATGGGAGAGATAAGAGACTCAATGGGGCCTTGATTCCGCTTTCCGCGTAGTTTTCGTGGAGAGTTGCTGGGAGTCCTATCGATGATCCAGTCTCAGACATCCAGAGTAGGATATTCCATATTTTCCCGTGAAGAATACCATGATGGTATACTCACCAGCTAAAACCATTGGATGTTCTTTGTCGCAATATTGTCTCCCCGAATCATAGCTTCCCACGACTCATACTATCGGTAACATTGGCAAGTCAGATACACCTATGTCACATGCAAATTGTATCTAAATGCTATAGATAAATCCACACATCCTCTTCGCTTCCATTCTGGTAGGCTCTTGTTGATTCTTATCCTTTGTTGCAACTCGATCAATCCAGCTAGCCTCAACAGAAGTCCAGAACAGCAACTTTCGGTGTCCGCTGTAATAGGTGACTAAATAAAGAACTATAGACTATCTACACTCGTTGAAAAGCTTGTGACTACTTCTAGAATAATGATGAGCTTTGCCGGTTTCTCATTGTACATGGACCTTCTCAATCTAAGGAAACCGGTACGGTGAAATGCTCTAGGCATCCACGACAGTAGGTCATTGAGATTGTCCAATTGGCAAGAGAATCATTTCATATAATGAGAGGTTTTCCTTTACTATGTATAATTCTTTACCAAGACAGCTAGATTCTCGTGATAGAATAAGAGCAAAGCTCCTGCATGATACCTACAAGGTAGACAAGCTTGGTCCTATCATCGACGGTCCCACTAACAACGCCTACGGAAGAGCTTATGATGGGATAGCCATTGAAGACTAACTTGAGGTAAGACTTCCAATTAGAGCTTAGAGCTGTTTGTTGTTAACACCTTGTTGTATTTCTGAAGGCTAACATGTGAAAACCCAGGTCTGATTGATGCTCATAAAATAGGAATATGCGCAATTCCGTCCAAGTCATAGATCATGCTCCTAGAATAAAGAGTATGTTTGTGAATAACAGCTCAGCACCTAGTAGATATGTCACGAACTGCCAGGTAGTGTTGTGGCTAGGAAGACAGCTGGCTTATTTTCTCGTTTATGAGCACTGGTCTGATATGACGTCCGGTCATGCTTTGAAACCCCAAACAAATGATGAATGTAAACTGGCCATACAGAGTCAACCTCGCATTCTTTTTCTGTATCCCAGATACGTAAGACAAATACTAGGTGATTCCAATTTCATCTATGGGAGTTTACAGTATCCCAGGGGTGTACAAGACAAGTTACCCTGCGTAAAGAAAGGAACTTTAGGACAACAGGATGTCTTCTGACACATAGGATCACGTATATCCAAAATAGTATATAAAGGCTAGAAGGCTGTATGGAATAAGCTGCCTAATAAGTTATTGTAGCACTTATTACTTGAAAATATCTAGTTTAGGAAGAGCGGCCTTGAGAATTTTCATAATACACGTCTAGGATAATATCTAATAAACCTACCTGGTACCTACTTACTAGACCTTTTCGACCGTGAATGAGATACAGCCTCAACAAGCTATATCTCCGTGCCATTACAAGCTCTGATGAAACCCGGTCCAGATCCTTTGCTCATCTCTGTTAGCTATCGTATAGAGGCAACAGCAGCAGAAGCGAGAGGTTTAAGCTATCATAAGCACAGAGATATCGTCATGCCTGTTACACAGTTTCACCAGCCCATTGGCTTCGTATGTTGCCATTGCCGGTATCGCAGTAGCGGGAGCTTCTGCTCAAACCCAGATAGACTAGACTGTCCACATCGCAGGCTCCCTCGCTGCCAGCAGTGTCCCATCCTCTTCACGCCATCTCGGTCCAACGATATAACAAGCAACGTGGATAATCGTGAAGGACTAAGGAAAGAGCAAGGCCCTTCGCAGACGAAACAGAGGCGTCGGTCTGTTGATTCGAGCACAAGCGACGGCAGCATAGACGATGAGATCATCCACCCAGACGGCACATGACGAAGAAAAATATAAAGCAAGCAGGATAAAGAAGAAACAGGACGATTGATACTTGTGGCTCGATATTCTCATGTCGTCTGCGAGGGCCCCTGAGCCAAGTCGGTCAACATGACCCCCTGACAAGAAGGGTTTGTAATTGCTATCAAGTTAACTACTAGGTACCTACCTAGGTAAGCAGAGAAAGAAGGACGAAGTTAGGTAATCGAAGTTTCCGTCATTCACTTTAGTAGGCTGACGATACGATACCTAGCTTGGAGATAGAGAACCCTCTAGATGAAAAGAACATCGTCGACTATGTTGAATTCTATTGGGCACACTATTAGTAGGGAAGGACACCAGCTATGAAACTACCTACGAATGGACACTAAACCCCGTAGAGAGTTAGAAAATAATAAAGACTTAAGTGTTTCTAAATCATATTCGTATTGTTCCGTGTAGGCATAATGCCTAGTGTCTATGTGCAACTTAGGTGGGCAGATGCTACTAACACACAAGCAATGCGCCGAGTAGGTAATGATGAACTAACCCTCGTAGAGGTCTCATGCTAGCCTCCCTTGTTTTCCGTTCTCTTCCGATAGCTTCTCTGCTTGAAATGAATAGTATTGGTCATGTTTACCTTGTTTGAAGACATAAGGCTTTAGAAAAGGGGTAACGTCGAAAGTCCCTATCCCCCTTACCCAACTACTCGCCCCATCACCATATCTTACTAATTAGTTAAGGCGGATTCTTCATCACTTGAATCGGAATCCGTTGGTGTAAACCTTCTATGCTAACCTTGCACCCGGACACGCTTTGACACCACCCCGATAAGCTTACTTGCGGTGACCGTCGAACTCAACCAACCGAACCGATAGGTCGATTCCCACTGGTGCATGATACGAGCCTCCTAAAAGTCCGCTTAGAAAGTGTGAAGGGTTGCTGGAAATCTAACTGGCTAATCGCTGTGACGCCTCCTGCGAAATGATGGGATATTCATGCTCGACAGCCTTGGCTTTAGGAACCGCGGTATCTAAGTGGCTTGACGGATCCGTTCCATATCATTACTTGCATCATATGTCGCGGGTATGCATATTGGAAGTCATACCTCGACGTCGTAAATAGTAGTGGATTAAGTCGGTAATTTCCATAGCAGGTTTTGCAAGTTTACATTTATCAGCAAAGTCCTTGTAATAGCATGTTTCGTGGCGACATTAGTGTCGGGTTTTGTTTCACGGTACTGACACAAACACCAATAACTGTATCTCCTGAGATCATTTCTTCTGATACTGACTGTACTATTAGCCAGGTACTAGGTAGGTAACGAGGTCGAAATCTGATGTTCCGAGGTTCGTAAGGGTGTGTAGACTGAGATGCCGATACCTGATCTTGGTCCTAGACGTTTCTCAAGCCCATCTGATCGACACCGAAGTGAAGATCATAAAAGAATCATCAGTTAAATACCTAGGCACCAACAATGTACTGCATTAAAACCACAAAAGGGATAGCTTCAGCCAAAATATCATCGTTACCGTTCGGTCCTTGAACTTCATGCCACCACTACTAGGTAGCATCCTAGTTTTATGATTATCACGTAACCGAGACCAACCTCGGAGACCGAAGTTACTGCCGTAGAGTTAGGATCTAATTGTCAGGTATCACTCTTCATCGCAACTGTGTAAAGTCTAGACCATGATGTACTTTGATAAAAACATACGTCTTGCTGACTGGCTTGCTTCCCCGAGACATTTGTATTACTTTGTAGCTGATTACCTGCCCTAAAACATATATTGACTACCTAACTCCCAGATATATATGACACCAGAAACCGGAATTAGGGCTGTTATGACTGAAGATTTGTGATAGTGGCGGTTATGCTTCCGGCTATCTATTCTCTGCGTCGAGATACGCCGTGTGAGATTCTTGGCAGTTTGACTCGACGATCAACTCGCCAACACGGCGATAATAACTTTGATTGATTCAGTTGCCTTTTTCCTCATAAATCCTCCAAGTCTGACAGTTCGAACTGTCTGAATCAAAGATAAGATGCGGGTAGGTACACCGTGTACGATGTGAGAGTTGACAAGATATATGGGTCCAAATCGTTGAAGAAACAGATCGGGTGGCAACGAGTTTGCCAATGTACGATCGGATATCGCACTATGTACATCATTAACCAATTCTAGATTATCATACAGGATAGGTTCGTGGGTTGGGTATGTCTTCTACACTATGTGAATAGTGGAACTCACGACACTCACAACACGAACCATGGATGGAACGTCGCGTCGTGACATGTGGACATCGTAACAGCCCCATTGCTCACCTTATCATAGGAAGGAGGGTTACTATTTTTGCAAGCAGGTACGCATGAGGCATGTGGCCTCAATGACCGTACAAATCAAGTGTTCTTCCCCATACACCGGCATTTCCGAAAACTCCGGATGAGGCCGGAGATGAACTATTGCATTGTACCGTACTCCGCCCTAAGAAGATATGTTTGACGGGTATGTAAGTAAGCTCTTGGCTCAATTGTCAGCGATATTAGGGGTCCTACCCTGCATTGATTACTTCTATTGT